AACCCCAACCCCAACCCCAACCCCAACCCCAACCCCAACCCCAACCCCAACCCCACCCCCAACCCAACCCCAACCCAACCCCAACCCCAAAAAACCCCAACCCCAAACCCCAACCCCACCCCAACCCCAAACCCCAACCCCAACCCCAACCCCAACCCTACGATCCCTTGTCTGGAAACCTCTCTATCCTTGCGGGGAAAGACTACCAAGCCGGAGATCAGGTATGTTCGTCTTGCTTCCTGATGTTACCAATTTGCACGCTTACCTGGGGAGTACTATTCCAGGTCTTTATCTATTACGGGGCTATTCCAAATAATCGCCTTTTACGTCTCTATGGCTTCGTCATGCCCAGTAATCCTAACGACAACTATGAACTCGTTCTTCAAACGCACCCAATGGCGCCATTTTTTGAGCAAAAGCGTAAGCTCTGGGAATCAGCCGGACTCGATTTGACCTCTACCATCCCCCTCACTCTCACTGATCCGCTCCCGAAAAACGTCCTTCAATACCTCCGCATTCAGCGTTTAGACGAATCGGATCTCAACACCATAGCGCTCCAGCAAATTGATCCTAAATACGAGAAAATCAGCGACTCGAACGAAGTGCAAGTTCTGCTGTCTCTGATAGAATCGTTCAGCGGTCTTCTAGATAGTTTCGGAACTCAGCTGGAAGAGTTAGAAGAACGGCTTGCGCAGGGCGCCTATCCTTCGGGAGGGAATGCATGGGCGGCGGCGTACGTTAGCTTGGGCGAACAGCGAGTGTTGAGATCGGCGAGAAAGCGAGCGGAGGACATGTTAGCGGCGGTGGAGAGCGGAAGTGGAAAGGAGAAGGGTTCGTTATCGGCGCTGGCGCGATGCGCGAACTGTGGAGAGGACTCTGTGCGGTTGATGGCGTGTGGGCGGTGCAAAGGAGTTATGTATTGCGGACGGACGTGCCAGGTTGCTCACTACAAAGAGCACAAGGCGAAATGTCCACGTACAGCCTCCAAGGATGGTTCTCTCATGAATTAACAAAAAAGGATAACTCTGGAATGGCGGGTGGTCGTATATTATGTCACGTGATCCAACATATCCAACAACTTCGCTTCCCTAAATCGCTCCTGAATCGTCAAGCAACCTCCGTTCGTTCCCGGAGAACTATCAGAACAGTCCAACATTTAGCAGTTTCGAACAGCTAGACTACTCTTGGCATCGCACTTTATATAGAGATATGCGTTATCCCTTTTCTCGCCCACAGGGTGGTTACTTTGACCCGTTTAACCTCAACGACTACAACTGCAATGCACTTCTCACCAGCTTTGTAGCTACCTCTACACCATCCTCTCCTTAGACATGACGGCCATCCGCAAAGTCCTTATTAGCGAGTTTGGTGGCGTGGATAAGGTCACGGTTGTCGAAGATATCTGCCCAACACCACCTCCCGGTCATGTCCAGATCGCTACTGAATATTCCGGCTTCACCGGCGGCGACGTTAGTATGCGCAAGGGTATTTACCCAGAGCAGAAGCCAGCACCGCTCACTCCAGGATACTGCCTCGTCGGAACGATACGCTTAATAGGCGAGGGCTGCACGGCGGTGGCTATGAAGCAGGGAGACACTGTCGCCGTGCTAACCAAGTACGATGCCCAAGCTGAGCTTGTTAATCAACCGGAAAAGTATTGCATTAAAGTCCCCGAGGGGCTTGACCACCAACAGGTCACAGCCCTGCTCTGTGACTGGAGCACTGCCTACGCTATGATAAAACACACGGCCAAAATCACCAAGGGCCAACGAGTATTTATCCACGGGCTTAGCGGCGCCGTTGGTTGCGGGTTGATGATCCTCTGTCAACTATATGGTGCTGAGGTGTACGGCACCGCCGGCCTTCGTAACCACGATCTCATTCGTTCGTATGGCGCCATCCCTTACGATTATAATGAAAAGAGGTGGGTTAAGGAAATGAAGGCCCTTGGCGCACACGCCGTCTTTGACCCTCTTGGGTTTGAAAGCTTCGATGAGAGTTACGATATCCTCACACCCGATGGTATCCTGGTTGCGTATGGCAACAATATGGACTCGCTGGGTAATAGGGAGCCGCGGGATCCAACCCCGGCTGTGATAAAGCTGCTTGCGCGCAACAATCCGCAGTCTACCAAGCGGACTGAGTTCTTCGGGCTCACGCGCGACGCGCCCACATACGTAGACGATATCAAGGCGTTGATGGATATGATCCAGCGAGGGGTGATTGCGGTGCCTATCAAGAAGGTGTGGGCGATGGATGATATTCAGACAGCGCATACAGAATGGGGTGGTGGGAATGGTATTGGATCCGTCTTGATCAAGGTAGCCGGCGTTTAGTTAATAGCTATCATTGGCTCTACCACTGTCTACGAGGGTCTATCTATGCTCTCGAGTATCCAACTTTTCGGGACTCAAATTTCTGTTTACAGCACAGGCACCATCTCAATAATACCACCACCAGAAATCTCATCTCTAGTAACCGAATTGATCCTCAGACCGGCTTTGGTAGCAATGTCGGTAAATAGCCGGGCATTGCGGCGCTTACCGCCAAAGTTCATCATCCATATATCAAAGGCGGCGAGGTCCAGCGATGGCACCTCGGGGATGAGCTGCTCAGAGACGAGGACCCGCGAGTCGCTGGCACAAGCTTCCCGTATGCGGCTCAAGATCCTGACACAGTCGTCGTCTGGCCAGTCGTTTAACACACGGCGGATGTGGTATACTAGTGCACCTAGATAAAAAAGAAACAACCACATGAGTGTTGGCTACCAGTGAGAGAATTGCGAGTAAGACAAATTCCAGAAATGAGCAGCGGCGACGTACACTTTACGGGTTGCGGATCAAAGAAGCTCCCTCCAATCTTCTTGACTGGTCTGAATGCTTCGTCATCTTCTTGGATAGCCTGCTGGATCACTTCGTTCTGATCCAGGAGGACGCAGCGCGCCGCAGGAATGTTCGGATTCTCTTGGAGGATGGCTTTCAACGCTTGACCCTTGCCACCACCGACATCGACGAAGATGATCCTTTCGGCTGTCGGATTGGTCTTAGCATAATCGCCAACCCAAGCAAAATCGTACATTCCCGTGATAGGCATCGTCTCGACCACGGCCGCCATGGCGCGATTGAACTCCTCATTGCGCTTTGGCCTAGTCTCAAGCACCTCGTAGAGCGTTTTCCCTGGCTGGCCGGATGCAAAGCCAAATGGCACACGATTCGCAGCCATGGGCTCTTTGAGGCCGTGCTCGGCAAAGTATTCAGGCCACTGCGCGGCGGGGACCATGAAAAAGTCGAACACATGGCGATATAGAAGCTTCATTCTGCCGTCGGCCATGCGTGCGGATGCTTCTGTGTGGGCAACACGCCCTGGGAGTGGTGATGCGAGGACGCCAGCAGCGATGAGAAATTTGGAAAAGCGCTCTATGAGGTTGGACTCGGCACCCGTTTTCTCTGCGAGCTCAGAAATAGATATATCGCCGGTTTCGGGAATTGTCTCGAAGATGCCGTGGTCCACGCATACCTTGACAATGGCAATTTCCAGCATGGAGTAGTAGTACCCGTGTACTGGTGTCCTGGCCTCTGGCCATCGGCCATTGATAGATTCCATGGCCTACTTCGACGAGGATGAGAGATTGATATAGCGCGGCTGGTAGGCTCAAGTTGGTGTTAAGGAGTTAGTTTAGCGGTGCAATTGTATGGTGCACACTCTGCATTATTGTTGCGAACTTGAACCCTAGCTTCTGCCAGCTAGTTATACTAGACCGTTACGAAAGCTGTCCTTGCGTCCTCGCAAGAATCTGAAGCTGCCAGCCGAAGTCTCTATCATACAGGGACCGCACCTCCGCCTCGTGACGGAGAACGGAGAACTCACCGTACCTATATGGATTTCGTACTTAGAAACACCGTGAAATAACCGGAGGCTGAATCTACAGGGACTTGCAACGCCTAGTCGAGATTCGCCTGTGCATGCGCCTTAGCCTTGAACGGGGCAGATAGTACTGATACGCTGCCCTTGGTGCTGAGCGTGCGTAGTACAACATAGCGGGGATGCCACCACTTTCGGCCGCCTCTATTTGAGTATAGAGTCTTATTATACAGTATATCATAAGTTGGGCGATTTGAGCATATTCTTCCACTACTGGAGTCTTTTCATGATATTGAAATTATATACATATTATATACCATCATGCAGAACCTATGGGATAAAATATATCGATGTTTAGATATATATCATGCCGATCTACTTGGTGCTTTCCTAGCTCTATTGCTTGTGCTTATGGACACTTAATACCAGCCGGAGGTAACGTGGGAATGGAAAACGGATTGGTAAAGAAGTCTTTGTGGTCCCATTTCTTTTTAATGTCAATCAGCTTGCAGACATTGTCTCCGTAATAGGAAGTCAACGGCTCTGTGGAGATCTTTGCGTCCATCTCTCCAGAATAAGATGCGGGGCTACAAGAAGAAACTATTAGCATTCTTTATCTCGCCGTCACACTAGATGATTGTGAATTACTTACCCGACTGCGGGTCTCAAGAGTCTTTCCAGGTCTTCAAACAATTTATCATAAGTCGCCTGTACCTTGGGGTCTGTAGATCCATGGATCTGGAATTCAAGATGCGCAAGCGCCTTTTCCTTCCAGGCAAAAGCCGAGTCGGTGTGGGTGGATGAAAGGTTCCAGGCGTGCCACTCAGCCCACCCTTGAGATTCAGGCGTCAGCTGGCCGATATGGTCAATGACCTTGCGCAGAGTCGGTGCATCGAGGGGCTTATCCTTTTGAACAAAAAACGACTTGGCTTGCCGCCGATAGCGTTGCCATGGCGGCGCGACGGCCACGCTTTGGCTCTTGGGTACTTCATTGTATGAGTACTGCGGGTAGTCTTGAATCTTTGTAAATGCCTGAGGCACCGTGTTGAGGATCGACTTCACGTATGATAGCTGGTCGTCTGGCACGCAGTCAAAAATGTAGTACCCAAGAAGTCGAGAGTTGTCTGTGCTGCAGTCGCCCCCGATGGTAGTTTCCGGTTTTCCAATATTTAACAGTTCAGAGCTCTTCATAAGTTCCTGGAGGTCCTCTTTGGACTTGCCGAGATACCAGCCAATCAGTTGCAGGCTGCCTGGGTAGATGTTGATATTGGTAGTGAACTCAGCGGGAGCGGATGGCGCCCACTCGAGGAAACGCTTGGACACATCAAACTGTACAGCAGGATCTGTCCAGTTCATGAAGACCATAGCTGATCGTGGATACTTGACTAGACTCAAAGTCCATTCGACCACGATACCATAAGTTCCTCCACCGCCGCCACGAATAGCGTAGAATAGGTCAGGGTTGATGTGCTTGGACGCTTGCACGATCTGTCCATCGGCGGTGACGACAATGGCAGAGATGACACCGTCCACACCAAGACCATTTTGTGACCGCATTTGCATAGTAAACCCGCCAGAGCCCAGAAAACCGGACAGACCGACGGTGGGACAGATGCCGCCGTTAAATGTCGTATTGTAGCCACCTAGAGCCGTGTAGAGCGCGCCGAGTCGGATACCTCCCCCAACCGTAGCGGTAGTACGGTCTGGAGAGACATGAACATAATCAATGTGACTAATATCAATGACAAGAGAGTCATTCAGAGCGGACCAACTTTCGAAACTGTATAAAGTTGATATAAGCATTTCAAATAGTAACACTAAAATAGAGTAACCATTTAGAGTTGCAAGTCACGCCACTTCGCGGGACGGCCCGGTGCCCCGTCTTCTTGGCGCATTTGATAAGCTGTGGTACTTCGGAGATCTTTTCTGCAAAAGCGATGACGGATGGGAAGTGCTCGAACCTGAAACAAAGGGAAACCCAGTATTAAATCGGGGAACTAACAAGCCTTAAATGTAGAGCGTAGTGACGTACTGGATCTGCTCTCCAATTCTGGCATCGGTGTATGTCTCGTCCGACGGGTCAACGATGCGAGGAGTGGCATTCGCACCAAATGCCCGCGACACGCATGACCTGAGCATAGTGCTGCCGTTGACCGTGCCAAAAGTGGCAGATGCAGCTAAAAGGTACAACAAGGGCTGCATGAGGGGTGGGTGCATCGAGTTAGAGTTACAGCACAGTGCCCTGTGCCCTTGCACTATAATATAATAATCACTATGAAGGGGTTGGTGAAAAGAGCGGTAAAGAGATATTAGTATCGACTTGCGCTTCTAGCGGTACATAAGTGCTCTGACATCAGGTTCAAGTACATACATATATATATATCTTTCCCTGAACCGCCTAGGCTATCTATAGTTATACTATTATTGTCAAAGTGCCTCGCTAGTATCTGTAAGCCGCACGCCACAAAGGCATTCTACCATCACGCTGAACGGATTAGATACGAGTCCGGAGGTTTGCTCTGCCCGTTTACGGCGCTGAAAATCGCCGAACATCTAGATGCCTGTCGCGAATTTACGACCCCCGCCTAAAAATAGTAATCCGGGAAGTTGGGTTGAGCCGCTACCCCCTCCGTCTAAAAACGGAGGTCCTTGCGCAATACATAGAAAGGCGAGTGTCCGATTTTTGTTGCAAGAGAACAGACACGGCATCGTATCCCTTTTAACCTCCTGACTTTGATCCGAGGAGACTTCTGCTGTAGTCTTGTTATATCGTTCTTCTATACTTGTAGTTATAGGTTACGTATGCAATCAGCCAAAGTAGCAATTCTGCTTAGCATACAGTGGCAATTAAATATGCCATTCAAAATAAAAAGAATAGAGTTGAGATTTTAATAGAAGTTGAATAGTCTAGAGTATCTAGTAGATCTCAATTGGGGCATAAAACTTCATTGTTTCTTGTGCACAACCTATTAAATCGAACTTAAGCAATTACCGTAGGTAGACAAATTAAAAAATCCTGCCCTTTGGCACAGCAACAATTCGAGATAATACAAACAGCAGCGCACCAAATAGAAGCGTCACCCCCGAGAAAATAATCAGCCCGTCGAATTCACCGTTTCGCGCCTGGACTAACGCACCACCGATTGGGTTACCAATCAACACGCTTAACATTGAAAAGTCAGCTTGTGAACGAGCGAGGAACTGGTGAGATATATTGCTGGAGGCCTCACCCGATCGAGTTGACTGCCATTTGTATCCCAATCTTGGTCCCGTACGTGTCCATGTCCTTAGTCAGTCGGGCCACAGAGACCGCTTGCAGGGAGATGAGGCCGCCGGAGAATAGACCGTAGAGCGCGGAGAATGCAATGATGGATGGCTGCGTCTTGATTGCTATCAAAGAAAGTAGCGTTACACTGGAGAGTAAAGAGGTGATGACCGTTATATTGAGTCTAGAATATCAGTTCAGTTCGCTTGTTTAAGTTGGTCAGTTCGTCAGTTCCCAACTTACACTCCTACTCTGTCGGCGAAATAGCCAGAGATAATACGTCCACAAAATGATCTGCCATTCAAGATCGCAAGGAGATAGTTGGCCAAGGTAGGCTCCATACCATGTGCCTGGCCGTACAACGGGAGGTAGTAAAATGGAATAAACATTCCCAGGTAGCTAAAGGTAAAGGCAGCAGTCGTTATAACATATGTCGGGCTCTTGAGCTCCTTCTTGAGGCTATCCCGGTTAACTGGGCCCCCATGGGCATTTTCAGTACGGCGTTCGACAATAAGCGCGGTCGAGACGATCATGAGACCCAAACATATGAATCCGACGATTCGAACTGCCCACGCAAATCCAACGCTGCCGAGTAAATATTGGATTAGAATGGGCCAGATAACGTCACCGATAGAGGAACCAGAGACAACAATGCCTAAGGCTATACCTCGCTTTTTGTCAAACCACATGTTTATAGCTGAGATTGCTGGGTAGAACCTAGACAGAACGAGTGTTGGCCAGAGGCACCAGTTGGTACATAGATTCTTCGTTTCAACTTACACCATTGCATCTGCAATACCGAACAAGATGCCTTGCGCTAGAAAGATCTGGTAATACTTGGTCGACAGGCTTGTCATCATTAGAGAGAGGATATAGAGCAGCGTTCCGGGCACAGTCAGGCGTCGCGCGCCAAACTTGTCGAACGCTGGTCCCATGCCCAAGCCTGCAATGAAGAGCAGAAATAACTACTAGTAGTTTAGCAATGGATATTCTAGCTCGGATTGTTGCATATTATCTCTTGGAGTAGGTGGCATATTTACTTGGATAGAGCCTATCCATGAAATTGCGCTCGGGGTAGACTGTTTGAGGAGTTCGTTCTGGTAATATGTTTGGAACGTGCCGAATGAATTCAGTAAGCCTGCAGATGGCAAGTCAGAATAACAGAATTTCTCTGGCTGACGAGGAGTTGAGAGTAAGTCCCATAAGTACCGAAAGGAGCGCAATAGTTGATGAGGCCGCCAGCAACGACAGCCCAAGCCTGGAATCCTCCATCTGGAGCGCCACTGCCCTTTTCAGCAATAGCAATTTGTTGCTCCGCCTTGTTGGTAGGTGTTGGTGATTCCTCCATCGGTTCGGTGAATGCAGATGAGGATGATGTATTTGCACGGGAGTAGCCGAGAACCTACATGATATAGGAGGTAGGAAAGTCTGAGATACGAGATATTTGATTGATTTGATTGGTCAGGTGGGTCTGGAGCAATCTATGAGATTTCAATCTATCAAGCACTGATCATCTAAATACACGATATTGAGCTCCTATTTATGTTCCTCATACGGCCATGTATCTTGCCATCGCGGAGATGCCAGCTACAGCTGAAACAGGCGTTAAAACGCCGGGCGTAGCATTTGTTCGATGATGGAGAGCTGACACTGATATTTAATGAAACGGCGTAGTTGACTAACGTGTTTCGTACGATCAGGCAGTATTACACCGAATCTCCGTTCAACAGTTATGAATCATATAGTCCGACAAGCTTAAGTTTTATACTAGCCCAGTGTATAACCCAAAGGCTACGAAGATTCTGGCTCGGCTTGACAGAGAAACTGGATACTAGGTGCAAAGAAGCAGTTTTTCCGTCCATCTCCAGAAGAAAAAAATATTGAACCTGGCTGACAGTTCAATGACTAGCCGATAGCCTGACGCTTTTTGCGCTGGCAAAATATGTGCAAAAGCGGCTTAGTGGAATGTAAGTCTCATTTTAAACGTATAAACACCGGAGGGATGTTGACATGAGGAGCTAAAACTAGATACCCCCATCTCCTAGTGGTTAGTGAGCACGCAAACGTTCCTCTATGGACAAATAATTTGAGTAGTCCAGTGGTGGGCTATGACAAAACAGGCGCAGTTTGAGGACCTGGATACATCGGTAGAGGGTCGCATAGCCGTGACATTGCCTCGGTAAACATATCGTCGTTGATTTCGGATTCTATATTCCCCGCCGAATACCGCAAAACAAAAGCACTCAATTTAGAAGCGATATGGCCGTCATCGGAGATGAAGGGGAAAAGCCTTAGAATCCTTCCACTAGGTAGTAAGTTCGCAACTGTTGATCAAGTGATTGAGGGATGTCCAGGAGCCGTGGTCCTGGTTGCTCTTACTATACCCGCAGGAAATCAGGCAAACAACGGCCGCTTCAACACATATAACGATGCCATCGCCAAAGTAGCCAAGGCCCGATACCGTGCAGGCAAACATGTCCTCCTTGTTGATCGTAATGCTCAGCAGCGCATTTCGCACTTCTATCGAAAGATCATCTATTTTCGTACGGTCTTATGACATTTGGCAAGGGAGTTGGGAACATTGCTACGGGGCCTATTACAGCGAGACTGTTGGTTCAAGCTGTATCAGGGTCAAGCTGTATCACCTGGCTATGGCCTAGGAACATACAAGCATGTTATTATTTACACGGGAGCTCTTTTGCTTGCATCCGCAATTGGCATTATCGGATGGCCTTTGAGAACCTTTCATAAAGCCATCCAGAGACAATAGCGGATCAACGTAAAAAGGTGAACCCAGCTCTAGCCAACGTCACTTTCTTGGGATAGCTAGGCATAGTAGCGGCAGCAGCGAGTTAACGTATGATACACCAACTCTACATACCTGTAGGTGCTGATTATTCCCTCGAATAGAAGCAAAACTCCAAGTTTATACAGAGTAATAGTAAGTACGGAGTAGGTAATGTGGGAAGTGATAGCGGAAACGCCATGGACATAAGCTTATTTACCCACGGGAACGGCCCGATTGGCGGCTTTCTCCTTGGCGCGCGCATAATTGCCTCGCCAGAACGCACAGATCCACCCGCATTTATTTTTACTCCGCCCAACTCAACGCCAAAACACAGTTCGCTCACCATCTCTTCGCGACAGCTCATGCAATATCCTGGATAGCAAGGCTAGACTACACTTCAGCGCTACCTCTTCTCTTCTGGCCCACACGCTCAGCTTCGTTCTCGGTGTTTGTCCTCGCGACGCCTCATGCTGGGCCCTCCGCACGTTTGAACATGGCGGCCACTCAGTCGCTCTTAGCCTGGTATAAACCCCAAGTGTTGATAACTGTATGCTGTGAGAGAGCTCGCGTTAATCTATAGTGTAGGTACGCGTCCCTGAAGTCTCGGACTGTCGACCTAGTGGGGGACTATGCCGGTGACGAGCTATTTATCATCGAGGGGGACTCGCTGCTCGCCCACACGTTTGCAGACAACAAGCTAGATTTCAACCCTGGCTTTCAGTTGCTGCATGCAGCGTATATCTTAGAGAATTTCCTCCACCGACTACGTCTGCGTAAATGCAACTTCCATATCGTCTTTTTTCAAGAGCACGCACCCTTGTGTGTTCCGGATAACATGCCCGATGGCCTGCATGCAAGATGCTATCTAGCACGGGAGTGTATGATCCAGCATTTGCAACGTAACCTTGCCGTGTCTACTCCGTCTATCAAGGTAAAAGTGTTTGATTCATATCGTACTCGTGAATTTATGGACTATTTGTCGACATCTGGCACCTATTTCCTCATGTGTCACGACGGCGTCTTTTCGGACATGGAACATGCAAAATGCGATGAAGACGTCTTTGATAATGAAGACAACCTTTCCAGCTTGCCGGACTTATCAGGTAGTACTAATGGACTAGATGATGAAAGTAGTCTCAATGAAGATATCAAATCCGTTCCAGCCCATGGTACCAAGCAGGCTATTGGGTTTCGGTTAATGATAATCTGGTTTGTTCGCTACGGCTACAATGTTGCTCTTCTAAATGTGTTAGAGTGCCGTGATACCAAGGTATGTTTTTAGGTTATTACTACTCTCCCGAGACAGCAGGTCTAACCTCTCCGGATAGGTCATGACGATGATTGTTGAAGGCACTGCTGTGGAGGCTCGACAGGCCTCACAGTACCCGCTCACCATCGTCGAGAAGCAAATGAAGGGCTCGCATGCAGAATTAGGACCTAGTTCTGATAGCTCAAATGATACCAACATGATTGTCGACGGAAAACTCGACAACCGCGATAGAAATACCCATAAAGCTCTCGTGACTGATCTGTCAACTGCGGCCGAGGTGGAGGCCATACCCGAGCTGTCAGATCACCCAGTGCATGGGAAACTTTTGCAAGAGCTTTCCAGAGTTCTGAAAAGCGCTAGTCACTCAGAGCTTAGCCAACGCGATCTAGCCGTGCTCCTTGCCTTGAGCTTGATGTATAAGTGTGGTATTATAGATGGAGGGGACACTAAAGAGGCTAAGGCTATGCTTTTGCATAATGCCATTCTGCTCAAGTGTCGCGTTTCTTACCGTACCACACAAGTCTTCGTCAAGAGCGACGTTTTCCTCACCCTCTTCTCCAGGGCGGGATATCAAGTACTCAAATCTAACATCTGGAACGCCCTCTTGGAGAATAATGACTCGAAGTCTTGCGACTTGGCTGATTTGCTAGACGGTCGACTATTCCACCATCTCTTGAATTCGGATATTTCTCATATTACTTCCGACCCATCAGTCATTTCAAGGGTCTGTGTTCTCGCAACCTGGTTGGAGCGTCTCTGCGGCCTGAGCGTGGACTTTCAATCACTGAACGCAGGTAACTTCAATACCTCCCCATTCCCTCTTTCCTCTGACAATTTCTCTAACGGACTGAAAAGGCAATGAAATACAAAAGGATGGGCTTGGAAGCAGTGAGAAGCCCAAGCAGTCCAAGGGAACTGAACTAGCTTCCAGCCAGGAAGTCGCTCAGCCTATACTCCCTTTTAGCCATCCGGTCTTTAATGCTCACCTGGAGCCTGTCCATCTCTCCGTAGACGAGCAAGGGGAACAGTGCATAGTGAGTAATACTTCACGGATTTTTCAAGAACTCAGCCACTGGCACAACCACCGTCGCCCAATCGGTAGCAAAATACACGATACAAAGATGACTGGAAAGGATGCCTTCTTTGCCAATCGCCGGAATCAATTCTTCATGGCTGAGATGGCAGATTATGCAGCTAGCTTGACTAATGCGATAGGCGGCGTACTAAACCCGGAAACAATTTTCTTGCAGTCTGCAAAGGATGCGAAGAAATCGGCATCATCAAAGGATATTTTCACCATTCGTCCCAAGGCCAATGAGAAGAAAGGGTCAGCAAAGTCCGGCGGCAAAATAAACACTTCCGCGAAGGATTTAGCCATAGCTGCAAATGAGAAAAAGCATGGTGAACTAATAGACAAGCAACTTCGGGCATGGCGGAACGTGAAAGTCAACTTCCATGGTGAAAGTGACCTTGCCACCCGTTTTGCGAAGGCTAAGCGGTACTTGGCTGATCGGCCGAGCGATAGCAGTGTCATGTTGCGAGCTGAAATCTCAAATTACCTCCTAAGTATATTGGTTGAGTTATGGACTGCCAGGTGCACCGCCGGTGAGCGGGATCGGTCCCTGCATATTGCAGCCTTCATTTGGGATATGGTCTGCCGTATTGCAAAAATGAAGGAGGGATTAACCCCAGAAATTGTCAAAGACGTTACAGAAACTACGAGAGCGCTCCGGCTACCAGATGTAGGGCTTGATATTCAACCCATCGGAAAGTCTTCACAAGGCATCCAGCCCGCTAGCCTTAGGAAAGATGTTCTCGACATTGGATTATCGCCTCATGAGTTTCAGCTTGTTCATGCTGCTCCCTTCTTTGATCGAAACATGGGATCGGCGGCTGATCCTCGAGTTCGTGATTTTGAGCCAGATGAGTGGCAACGGAATGTGTTGGACGAGATTGATGCGAACAGAAGCTTGTTTGTCGTTGCACCCACCTCCGCTGGAAAGACGTTCATCTCGTGAGTTTCAAGCGTAGCCCCAGCCGCCATTCCGTGTCACCGAGGTGTGGGCATAGTTACCCAAGAGAGATGGCTCCAGCTAACCTCATAGTATAGATTTTATGCGATGAAGAAAGTCCTCCAAGAAAACGACGATGGGGTTTTGGTATACGTTGCACCGACCAAGGCGCTCGTTAACCAAGTTGCTGCCGAAATTCAGGCTCGTTTTTCGAAGAATTTCAGGCACGGCGGAAAGTCAGTATGGGGTATACACACGCGTGATTATCGTATCAACAACGCTACAGGTTGTCAGATCCTTGTCACAGTTCCACACATCTTACAGATCATGCTGCTTGCGCCAGCAAATGCGACATCGTGGTCTGGTCGAGTGAAGCGCATCATTTTCGATGAAATCCACTGCATCGGTCAAGTGGACGACGGTGTTGTATGGGAACAACTCCTCTTGCTCGCCCCGTGTCCTATTATAGCCTTATCAGCCACGGTGGGCAACCCTCGAGAGTTCTATAAATGGCTAAGTACAACCCAGAAGGCGAACGGCATCGATCTCACGATGATTGAACACCGTCACCGTTATTCAGACCTGCGTAAGTACATTTACAAGCCGCCAAAGAAGTTTTATTTTGGTGGTTTACCAGATTCTACACCATTCCCTCCTATGGGCCTTGACAACGCGCTGGGTATGGCATTTATGCACCCAGTGGCTTGCCTTGGGGATCGCTCAAGAGGAATGCCAGAGGACCTAACCCTTGAGGCACGCGATTGCTGGCTGCTGTGGAGCGCCATGGCCAAATACCAGACGCCTGACTTTCCCGTTGATAAGGCGCTTGATCCAGCAGTTGTTCTACCAAAAATTATTCGCAAGGTTGATATTGTCAATTGGGAAGCCAAACTGAAGCCACTTCTGAAGACCTGGATGGAAGATCGCACGTCACCCTACGAACTCGTGTTCAAGGAGCTCGAATTTTCCGTGCGTAGTGCAGATCGGCCTGAGGTCCAGGTTTCGTCATATCGGAAGTCCAAGGAATCTGAATTGGCACACGATATGTCTGAGAATTATATGGACAGCACTCTCCCTTTGATTTGTTCACTGCAGCAGGCGGGAGCCCTGCCAGCGCTCTTCTTCAATTATGATCGAAGCGCCTGTGAAGCTATTTGTGAGAACTTGCTAACTCAATTAGAACAGGCTGAAGACGCCTGGAAAACTTCAAACCCAGCTTGGAAAGCCAAACTTGCCGGATGGGAGGCTTGGAAGGCTTCCCGGGAGCGGCAGGCCAAAAAGAACGCTCCAAACAAAGCAAAGAAGAAGGGGAAAGCAGGCGACGACGATATGTCTCAAGAGGACCGCATGCGCGATACAACAGGTGCTGAACCCAGCATGTTCGAGTCATTTGATCCCGATGCCCCAGTAGATGGTTTCCATCTCACGGACGTGAAAAAGCTCACCCCTTCGGAGCTTGAGGAGCATGCGAAAGAACTAAGGCGGCGCTATGTCCCAGAGCGGCTTATTACAGCTTTGCGGCGTGGTATCGGCGTCCATCATGCTGGTATGAACCGCAAATATCGCCAGGTTTGCGAAATCCTGTTCCGAAAGGGTTACTTGCGGGTGGTGATAGCGACTGGCACCCTGGCGCTTGGTATCAACATGCCATGCAAAACCGTTGTCTTCTCGGGAGACTCTATATTTCTCACTGCACTCAATTTCCGTCAAGCTGCCGGTCGCGCAGGTCGTCGTGGGTTTGACATGCTTGGAAACGTCGTATTTCAGGATGTTCCCTACTCAAAGGTCTGTCGCTTGCTCAGTTCAAGGCTCCCTGATCTCAACGGCCACTTCCCGATCACGACCAGCTTGGTGTTACGTCTTTTCATCTTACTGCATGAATCGAAACAGGCGACCAACGCGAGGAAGATGGTTGACTCCCTCCTATCCTGTCCGCACATTTACCTCGGTGGAGGGGAAGCACGAGATACCGTCTTGCATCATTTGCGATTCTCTATCGAATATCTGAGACGTAACCATCTCCTAGGTCCAGGCGGAGCGCCTCTGAACTTTGCAGGCTGTGTCTCCCATCTTTATTTCGTTGAGAACTCCAGTTTTGCTTTTCATGCTTTGCTGAAGGACGGCTACTTCCATGGGTTGTGTCAAAATCTTGGATCGGAATCCAAGGGCCAACTCCATACCCTGATGCTTGTCATGTCACATCTGTTTGGGCGTCAATATCTCCGGCCAGGCGTCCTGAACAGTCAGAAAAAGGCCACTAAGAAATCCACGTCAATGATTGTGCTGCCACCATTGCCGCACAAGCCGGCTGCTATGTTGCGCCGTAATAATAGGGAGATACTCCGGATCTACAGCACTTATGCAAAAACGTTTGTGGACCAGCATATCACCGAACCTGACTGTACCCTGCCGCTCACCAAGATGCAATGCGGCGGGGATGAGGCCCTGAAAGTTGGAGGGCCCGGTTCTCCATCGCCTGTGAAGTATACGTCGGCGTTCTATGCTTTGTCTGGACATCGTGATAAGTGGGAAAATGTCTCTGACCTCTGCGACACAGTGCGTAGCGGTGTTTGGCTCGAAAAGGCGGTTGTTCCGTATATAGGCCTCTACCCCGAAGAAGGCAAAGTTCCACTCAACGCATACCTATATGACTTCTTCCGGCATGGCAATGTACACGCCCTCGAGAAGGATAACGGAATCCGAAAGGGTGACATTTGGTTTTTGCTAAATGATTTTTCTTTGGTCCTCGCCACGATCGTGACCAGCTTCGAAAATTTCCTCAAGCTTTCTCCAGGCACGGATGCGGACATACTGGACGCTATAGGCAGTGGTGACGCGCACGAAGGGGAAGTAGACCTGAGAGCCATGCAGGAGGCCACTGAGAATATGAAGCTGAAAGGCCCGGGAGCTCTGGATCTCCGAATGACGGCGACTGCACCAACTTCTCCCTCATCCCCGGCTCCGATCACTACCACTCGCAAAAAGAAGGTGGCCGATAGCTGGGAAGATGAAGCGGAAGACGACGAGGCCGATGAGAAGGCTGCGATAGAGGCAGAGAGGCCACCGCCGCCAGAGGAGGCAGATGGCACCCCTGCCGCATCGGATAGGGGGAATGCTGGGATATACGATGTGCTGCGGGGATTCAAACTGTTGCAGGCAGAGTTCAACCAGAAATTCAAGGCAATGTGGGCGTAACTGTACGCTGCTTATACTAGTTATGCTAGTTGACAATCCTTGATATGCATGGCTCAAATGGTAATCAATTGGTAGATATTGCTATAGCTGTGATATAATAAAACAAGCATCTATAGCCGTGTACTCCAGTCTCTGATGACGATGACCTCACTCTATACATGCCACAGTGCATACCACAGTTTTATCTCTACATGCTCGACGTAATTAACCCAGGCGCCGTATCGTGCTCTCGGGTATACAGCTATCCTGTCTCCCGGCTTGAGGGCATTCATCCAGTCCGCTATGGCCGGAGCCCGCAAGCGCATCTCGTTGTAGTGAGTCCGACCGGACCTGGAAGCGCAAATGTTCGACTGAAGCTCGAGGACCTGGGCTTTCTCCTGGCCGCGAATTGCAGCAAGGTCAAACCAGGTGAACGACCCGACATAAGACCCGGGAAGGCCTTGCTGGCACCAGCCTGGGGACACAGTTACCGGTCTACTCTCTCGGAACATGGAGCAAGGAAGTATTACCTTGATCGTGCGAGACGGTGAGGACGTCTATCCTTCGAACGTAGCCCTGCAGCGCCGGATTCACGACCGTAATATACGGCTCAACCGGGCAATGCTCGTCGACAGAGATCTTGTCCTTACGCCGGACCGCGGCCGTTACCCAGAACTCGGCGTCATCGAGGATTCTGGCCACGATGGTCTCCGGCAGCTTCAAGGACTCCGTCAGGAAGCCCAGGAGAGCAAGATAGCCGCCCTGGGTCAGGCTGGTGCTGCTATCGTGCCCCGAAACGACCGATTCCAGGGCCGGGAACCATCGCTTTTTGCTCGCCCAGCTGGAGACTGCTCGCGGGAGCTTTACAGGAAGACGTTTGCCCTGTTCAACCATCTTCTCTACCAGGTATGCGCAGGTATCGGTGTCCTGGAGCTCCAGCGCAGACTGCAGCGCTGTCTTGCCGAACCAGTCCTGGGCGTTGATATCGCATCCGTCCTCGATCAGGCGCTGCAGTCTGTACATACCGGTTGTCTCCCTGACGGCCTGCTGTAGGGCACTGCGTCCAAAGCAGTCCCTGGCATCGAGATCGGCGGCAGACGTAGCCATCGAAACGCCTGCTGAGTTACGGACGTGCGAACGAGATGGTACGCATATGGCTTCGAAACTACTTCCTGGAGGACTGAGTGGCTACGATGACTACTCCGGTCCTACAGGGATGCATCGAGAACGCCAGACAAGATGGAATATAAAGCAGAGAAGGAATGAGAAGGAATACGAAGCTGAGATGAAGCTGAGATGAAGCTGCTCCGCCGATCCAGATACTCAAAGCTGTTTGCATGTGTTCGGATGCCGCGGATATAAAATAACCTCGACTCCCTCGGCGCAACCGTCGATATATATATATCCATATATTCATACTATATCTGAATTCTCGAGATACATACCTTCAATATGGCCGACGATAACAGAAAAGACGTCAAGGTTACTCTCTACTGGTATGCGAGCCGCCCTCCATCTGCATCAGCACCTACTGACTTCATCCAGGCTAGAGAAATCTCGCGCGCAGCGGATCCTGTGGCTGCTGGAGGAGCTCAAGCTCCCCTACGAGCTGAAGCGGTTTAAACGCGACAAGGACCTGCTGGCCGACCCCAAACTGAAGGAGGTTCACCCCCTCGGCAGGTCGCCTGTGATATCGCTCGAGGCGCCGGCGCTGGAAAAACCGCTGGTGCTGGCGGAGTCTGGCTTCATCGTCGAGTATCTGACGGAGCACTTTGGACCTGCCCTCGTTCCCAAGCGATACAGGGACGGCTGCGAGGGCGCGCCCGGGGGCGAGACGGAGTCGTGGCTGCGGAACAAGTACTTCGTCCACTATGCAGAGGGAAGCCTGATGCCGCTCTTCCTGGTGCAGCTCGTCGTCAACCGTAAGTCCATACCTCTACCACTGCCTGCAAGGAGATAGAGCTGACGTCGACACGACAGGAATCCGAGGCTCGCCCGTGCCTTTCTTCCTCAAGCCCATCACCAGGGGCATCGCAGACAAGATCGAGGACTCGTACCTGAAGCGCAATATAAAGCTGCACCTCGACTTCCTGGAGGACCAGCTGAAGACGTCCCCGGACGGCGGCCGATATATATGCGGCGACGAGCTCAGCGGAGCGGATATCATGATGAGCTTCCTGGTGGAGGCTGCCTCTGCCAGCAAGGCCGTCACCGAGGAGTCGCACCCGGCCCTGGGCCGGTATCTGGCGCAGCTGAAGCAGCGGGAGGCCTACAAAAAGGCCGTGGATCTCATAGTAGAGCTCGAGGGCAGCTGCGAGGTCATTCCCAGGTGATTATAACAGCTGAGACTATACCAGTGAAGCTGAGACTATATACCAGTAAATAGACTAGATAGATATCTCACGATGAAACTGTATACGAGTAAGATCTCTTATTCATGCTGCCCCTATTCCTCGCTGTGTCGGCCAATTACAGGATCGGTCTAAATAGTCGCCTCTGCGTAGATAAAACGAAACCACCGAGCATCTCGACCGGCATCTTCACACTGGACAGGACGGCGAACGAGCTCCGGCATCCCATGCGAACACCCATGACCCGATGCGCCTGCTCGCTGGCGTGAGAGCCGACAATCAGATACAAGAGAGCCTCGATGTCCTCGACCACCGGGCTGCCGCTGTCGGAGCCGCCCAAGGGAGAGGCCACAATCCTGCCGCACGAGAAGGTGTTTCCCATCCAGATCGGCTCGCAGCTGTTTCGTCTCTCGGGCGCATCTATCGCCTCTGATGGTGATTCTCCCTCTATCTCGAGCCTCGAAGCGTGGCTGACATTCTAGAGCACCGTCGTACTTTTCCCGTTTCTTCGAAGAGCAACTGAACAGCGGCCAGGAGGGCGTGAGGACGCTGTACATCGACCGCGACCCCGAGACGTTCCATGAGATCCTCAGACACCTTCAGGGTAGGCCTCGCATCTCGGGAGATAGAGACAGGAGATAGACAGGCTGACCGTTGACTACAGGATACTACGTACGGCCAAAGGATGGCGCCCATTTCGTCAAGCTGTTCGCCGACGCGCAGTTCTACAGCCGTATGAACCCCCTATCGAGTGGAAGACAGAGCTGACAGCTATATAGTGCCACGGCTGATAGCCCAGCTGTTCGAATGCGAAATCTTCATACAGATCGGGGACCGCCATTTCCAGATCCCCCGAGACATCTTCTCGAGTCCCGGCGACTCGCCCAACTTCTTCTCTCTCGGCTTCGCCGTCTTCTTTGCGTCTCCGGCCTCGGTCTTCCCTGGCCTCGAGCGAGAAGGCCTCCTCCGTCCGCCGTCCATCACGCCGCCCATCGTCAGCAGCCGGTCTGGAGACATCTTCGCAGAGCTCCTGCACATGCTTCGTGGCTACCCGATACACATCCGCGACGAGGAGCACCGAGCCTGTCTCCTGCGCGACTGTCGGTACTACCACCTCAGGGGACTCGAGCAGAAGCTGATCCCGCACGAGATAAGCTACAATCTCGAGCGGCGGCGGTCTGAGATCACGGTGCGCCTGGAGGATATCCGTCCGTCCGGCGTCGCCTTTGTCCACGACGGGTCGCCTTCGTCGTCAACTGCCTCGACCAGTCCCGGCGGGTGGGTGCACTATTCCCGCCCGTTCGTGGACGACGACCACTGCGAGCTGATCATCGAGATCGGGAGCGAGAGCACCCTGATCGACCTCGCAACGATGCGCGCTGAGCTGCACGGGCTCACCAAGGCCCGGGTTACGAGCCTCTGCCAGGTGATCGCGAACAAGATGAACCTGCCTACCAACGCGCCGCTGGGCCTGCTCATGATGTCCGGCAACAAGGAGACCACCAGCGCCGCCGGCAACACCGCGCTCGGCGGAGACCGCATCAAGATCTATATCGACGGCAGTGCCGACATCACCCTCGACGGCGAGCCCTTCCTCGGCGCCCACCCTCGAGACCTCAGCCACGGCAATGCCGGTAACCATGCCAGTAACAATGCCAGTAACAATGTCAGCAACAATGCCAGCAGCGGCATCACAAACGACATCCAGGCACTCGCCTACCAGCCCGGCGCATCCCACACGCCCCTGGAGGGCAACATCTCGCCCCTGACCCCGTCGGCTCTCTACTCGCGACTGCAGGCCCCGACCGCAGTCCAGCCGAACCAGCAGCTGCCCCGGAAACGGCGCAGGGTCGACGGCGGCGACAGGAGCCGCCAGTGGATTGTCGACAAGGGCCAGTGGCGCCTGCGAGTGCATCCCCTGGGGCCGTCAGACCCCAACGCAGGCAAGATGGAGGTCATCTTCGTCGCCGTCAAGCTCGAGGCCCATTCCGGCCAGCGAGGCCGCAATGCCAGACGCGCCTTCATCGCCTAGTCTCATACTATTCACTGTATGATATGATATGATATCTACTCCGTATATAATGTTGATATTGTACTATGATGTAATTGATATTGCTTTTTCTCATGATACACGTATTGTCTATACCTTGTACTGTACATACCACTAAATTGCGTGCCGTAAGTTTAGGGTAGTGTCGTAATATACCGTCATGTACTGTATTCCGCGTATGGAGATGCGACCTTCGGCTTTCTCCCTTCGGCCGCCACTTTTGCCCACAACAAAGACACACGACAGCAGACAAGACGAACAAGAGACAGACAAGAGAGACACGACAGGAAGAGACAGGACGACACAAGAGAAGACAGAGAGTCGATCTGCCACGGCCCATATGCAAGGCTCCAGCGCCGACAGCACCACCGCTCACACTCCTGGCGCCGCCGGCCATGCTTCTCCAGACGGGAATCCGTCGCCCGCAAACTCGGCCTCAGCGACGCCCACGAACAACTCGCCCACCTCTCCGCGCCTGATGAACGCCCAGCTGCAGCAGGTCCAGAGCCAGTCGCGCCAGCTGCGGCCGCCCAAGTCGCCGCTGTACGTCCCCGCGGCCCTGCGTCGAACCGAGCGGGCGCCAAAGCAGTCTCCTCTGACGCCGCCTCGCAGCGTCCACGGCTCCGTCGACAACCTGAACTCGGATGCCGCCTCGAACTTCGCCGCGAATGCTGCTGCCGTCGAGCCGGAGCCGCTGTCTCGCCGGTCGACGGTCGAGAGCACCCGCAGCGGAGTGAGCAGGCTCGCCCAGGACGAGTGGCTGCGAGACCAGAACCTGGGCGAGGTGACCGGCTCCCCTACGAGGGAACACTGGAAGGTGAGCATCCATCCATCAGGATATACAAAAGACAATACTGATGTAGCATTGACAGGCCGACTCGGCCTCTCCGTCGTGCGACTCGCCGGTCTGCAAGTCGTTCTTTGGCATCTTCGTCCGCCGCCATCACTGCCGCCATTGTGGCCATGTCTTCTGCTCCTCGCACACTCCCCATGCCATTCCACTCGACCAGAACGCCAGGTTCCATCCGGACGGCATCCCTTCTCGCAGCTGTGACCTGTGCTGGGCCGCGTACCGTCGCTGGGAGCAGGCCCGGACCGACCGTCTGAACCAGATCCAGCACGACCTCCTCTCCAACCTCAACGGGCCCGGCGAGCGAACCCAGGGCTGGGCAATCGACGCAGACCGTTTCAGCATCGGAGACTCGGGGGCCCAGACGCCTTCAGTCGAGCATCAGGGCGGCATGATCGCCAGCAGCGTTCCCAGAGACTGGAGCTGGAGCACATTCTAACTCTTTCTTTCTCTTCTTCTTCCACTTCCACCTCCTCCACCTCCTCCTCTTCCTCTTCTTCCTTTTCTTTCTCTGCGTCTTCTGATTGATACCCTTTGCTGAGGTTGCATCCACACCACTGGCCTACTCACCTGGCGTGCTGCGTACCATAGACTCGTCTGCTACTTCGGTTTCTTGTTCTCTTGCTTCTCTTCCTCACGCTCTTTCTCGAGGTGATTGCATGCTCTCTAGCCAGCACAGATATGACTACGTGTTTATTTAGCTCTTTGGCTTATGTTTACGGTTGTTGAACGAGGCTCCCCGGTCCTCGAATGCCCTGGCTTTTGCATATAGATTTCATTGCTGCCTTTTGTCTGTCTCTTCGACTATCTATGTTGGTCTAACTATTTTATATCGCTGCGAGCGCTTCCTTCAATGCAATCTCAACAAGTCTAACGTCATAACTACCAGTATCGGTCTATACGCCGTAACTCTAACGTCGTCACAAGTACCAGTATCAAGATAGTGTCAGGACGGTGTAGAATGTAAAACCTCGACGGTCTTCCACATCCCAATGTGCGGGATCCCTTCTTCCTCCCAGCGTCCCATGCCCGGGTCCGTCACGAAGCCCAGACGAGCATACATCGCCTCGACGGCCGTCTGCGCGTGGATCAGCGTGAGGCCGTTCCATCTCGAGCCGGCATCGAGGGCAGCTCCCACCTCGCCGGCGTGTTCGGCAGCCCATCCCAACGCCGTGTCGACCAGCGTCCGCGCGAGCCCCTTTCCCCGGTACGACGGGAGAACGGCCAGTCGACCGATCCTGACAAACGGCTGCTCGCCGTCAGGGCCCTCATGGCCGTCATGGCCCTCATGGGGAGGCGGGACGAGACGCACGACGCCGACGGGGACTGTGCCATCGTACGCAACCCAGTGCCAGCTGCGTCCGTCGTCCTCGTCCACCTCGTTCTCCGGCGCGCATCGCTGCTCGTCGACGAACACTGCGGTCCGAACCCGCAGGCCATCGTTGTAGATGGGGAACTTGAGACCGGACCCGGGCTGGGTGGCTTCAGGGCCCGGCGGCAGCTGGAAGGCGATCGTCCACGAGTGGCAGGCAGATCCCATCTTGCTAGTATTTATTATACGGCACGATGTCTGATGCAATGACTGTTGCAGGTCTCCGTACTAGACGACTGACTTGGGAGGAGGTGAGACGGTCACTTAAGTGAGCGTTTAGATATAGCTTGATGAGACCAGAAGCCAGAGACCGGGAAGCCTAAGCCTGGAGGAGGGGAAGCCTGGAGGGGAAGCCTGGCAAGTACAGAGCTTAGGGGCTTAAGGAAGCTTAGGGTAAGTTAGCCTCTTAACTAAATTTAACTCTCTTAACTACTCTTAACTAACTCTTAACTAAGTCTTAACTAAGTCTTAACTAACTCTTAACTAACTCTTAACTAACTCTAAACTATCTTAACTAAAGCTTTCTCGGCTATAGCTAAGTTTTCCACGCTATACCGTAATAGGTAATAATGTCTACCTCCGAAAAGTTGACGATGAAGACGAAGATAAGACGAAGACAAGATGAACGACGAGGAATTGACGAAGGATGTCTCTGTACTTTGAAGCGGCAACCGTCCTCAGCGGCCCCTCCAATGCTGGCTCGCTCAAGTCGAGGATATACACCGGCCAGTGGAAGTCTCCGCCGGCGCAGATATACGCCCTCGTCGTCGAGGCCGCAAAGTACGACGGCTTCATCAAGCAAGTCGTCGACGCTGCCGGCCTCCTATCACACGAACCCAAGGTCAGCCAATGCTCACTCCCGTGCAGGTTTCACCCTGCGGCGCTCTCTATCTGCTGGGCTAACCGCCGTGCGAGCAAGGTGACGCTAGCAGCTCACGCCCTTGCTCTCCCTCCTCCTCGTCCATGACTTTCTTCTCTCCAAGCGAGGCATCGCAGCGCCCTCCAGCCATCCACTCCGTCTCGCCGTAGAGCGCCACAAGACTCGTCTCAATGCAGAGTTCACCAAGCTGCGGGTTCGCCGGGGCTGTGCATCTAAAGAAGAACTGAAAAGATCGCTGCTACAGGACCAACGGACGTCTCAGGCCTTCTCGCCCAGATGGATACGCATAAACAACGCACTCACGACTCTTGCACAGGAGCTGGAGACGACCTTCTCTACTTACTCCCCCGTCGACTCCCTGGCTGAGCTTGCCGCAGACTCGGACTCAGACTCGGATCGAAAGAGATACTACTTGGACGAACATATTCCAGACCTTCTTGCCATCGGTCCCGACTCTGATATCATTTCCACTCCCTCGTATAAAGAAGGGAGGCTCATACTCCAGGACAAAGCATCCTGCTTCCCGGCCTACTTGCTCCTCGGTGACAACCCCGAGCAGTGGAGCGGGGATATCATCGACGGTTGCGCAGCCCCGGGCAACAAGACCACACATCTGGCCTCCCTGCTGTCCTCCCGCCGGAAGTCGGACGGTCAGCAGAAGAACAGGATATTCTCACTCGATGCATCCCACTCTCGGTCGAAGATTCTACAGGAAATGGTCAAAAAGGCAGGCGTCAAGGACCGTGTAACTGTTTTGCCGGGTCAGGACTTTCTGGCACTCGACCCCAAAGACCGTCGGTTCCAACAGGTCACTGCCCTCCTATTAGACCCGAGCTGTTCGGGGAGCGGGATTACCAAACGTGAAAACATACCCCAGCTTGCCCTGCCCAAGTCAAAATCGGAACTCGCGTCTACAAATGCCAGCAGTAGACCGAAGAACAAAAAGAGGAAGCGAGGGGACGAGACTGGCCCTACAGCCGCGCCTGCCCCCGCCTCCTCGTCAGACAATACTGCTGACAGCGCTCGGTTAACCAAGCTCGCCAACCTTCAGAGCCAGATCATAGAGCATGCGTTTCGGTTTCCTGCAGCCACTAGGGTTACGTATAGTACATGCTCGATACACCGACAAGAGAATGAAGGCGTCGTTGCCCATGTTCTAGCGTCATCCATCGCACGACGTCGCGGTTGGAGGGTTGAGGCTAGAGCGGATCAGGCGAGCGGCCTTCATAAATGGCATCATCGCGGCGTGGCCCCGACATCTGACACTCCCGGCGACGAGGAAACGCTTTCCCCTGAAGATACGGAGGCATGCGTCCGATGCTGGCCCGAAGACGAAGACGGCACGGGAGGGTTCTTCGTCGCTGCATTCGTGCGTGATGCGGACGCCGGGGAAGATGAGGAAGATGAAGGTGAAGAGGAGTACGATGAAGAGGTATGGGAAGGGTGTAGCTCCAGCTAGCAGTGGCATGCCTCTGTCAGGTATTCCACCTCCAGAGGGACACTGTCTTAACTACTATCTATAATCACTGTACCAAGTGTGAACTATCAACAGTCCCTGGTTAGTGCTAACAAAGTAGAAAACACTTACTCGCTCATGGCAGTCATCCTTTCAGGCTTCTCCAGGACTGCCGGCTGCTGACCGTTTACCGTCTCTCTCCAACTTTTTAACAAGCTCACTCTTCGTCCTTGTGTACTCAAAAATTGGCAGCACAAATCTCACAATCCTTCTCTGCATATCCCAGAAGGTCCCATCCCCGGAAGCTGTCACGATCCCCCAAAGTAGCTCCCACAACTGACATTCCTGATTACCACTTGCATCAACATCTTTGGTGTCACTTATCTTCTTCCGAATGAGATCGGAGGGTTCGATTAGCGTGTACCAGAAATGTCCATGTAGAGGATGCCACCTAGGCTGGATATTTATGGCATCCATTATTGATATGACTTCTTCCAAGACCGCCTGGCGGAGCTGGACGTCTGAGCAAAATTCCTAAACAGCAGTAAGTTTAGTATACATAGCTACTCAATATGTCTGTTGTGTGGGAAGTGTAGCCCATACCCGTTCAGACTTGCCAGAAACCATTGCCTTTATTTTCTCTATATCGCTCAGGATATTATTGAAATGCGTCACTCCCTGGTTTAGGATGTCTCTCGCGCGCTGGAGCAGTTGGGCGATGACAGGGTCTGTATCTGAGCCGTATAGGGTCCTGGAGCACAATAAGGATTCGATGGCGATATAGCCACGGAGGTCTTCCCCAAGGGTTATATGCACAATGTCGACCTCGCGTCGCCACGCCTCGGAGAGAACATCCTCCAAACACCAGATAACCGGTGGGTGCTTAGACCTGGTATCATCAGGGTCATGGACGACTACCACGTCCACATCGCTGGTTTCACTTTGCTCTCCCACGGCAAAGGACCCAAATATTCCGGCCCATCTGACTCGCGCAATATCCTTTCGTAACAGAGCAGGTGTTCCAGCAGTTATTAGCGTTGTTATATCGGACAGAGCATATTTACCAGCAGCTTTTTGCGTTGTTATATTGGATGACATTGCATGAGTTCTCACACTTCGCAAGTGCCGGCATGCCCACCACTGTCTGAGGCTAGAGAGCCCCATACGGGCCAAGGTCGAGAAGCGTGATGCAGCCAGGTTTCTAGCCAGAGCAGCACTCTTTTACTTAGACATTCGTGACGTTCATACACATCTTTTATCGTACAAGATAGCTTATAGTTACGGTCATCTCGATGGTACGTGTCACGTGATACATCCGATATCCAACGTTCAACGTCTTCAACTTCTGCTTCTTCTCTTCTCTTCATACCATCTCATCTCTTCGTCTTCGTCTCTTCTCCTATCATTCTTCCTATTATAGTTACTCAAACACATGCCCGAGACGAGGGTATCTCAAGAGCAGACCGAGGAATTTCTCTCTGGGCCAGCAGGGCCAAGGGAGTCATCCCGTCCAGGGCACCGTACAAATGTCGTCCATGGTCCAGAAGACCAATGTCCGCTAGTAGCCACCAGATGGGATGCCTCAAATCCAATGGACGGGGGCACGAGAGTTGCTCGGTAAGTGGGCTGGACAGGGCGAGGCGGCAAACCATATAAGTAAGTTTATATACTCAGTATATATATCTCTTATCTACGTCTATTATATGAAGACAGCTTGTGATATGCCGAGCACACACTTTGATAGAGTACCGATGCAGTGCTATACGGGTACTCTAATAGCAAGACAAGTCCGACTTGGACTGGAGGATATGAGGGCGCTCCCTACCCTGGACGCTGGACCAGATGCCAGCATCATCCTGGCCAAAGGATCGTCGTCAGCCACCCCTTGGAGATCAAATCGTGCCTGATGGAAGCCTTGTAGAAGGTTATTCTGCATGGTCGTCCATGATGCTGGTAAGGTCGGGATCCCTGGCATGAAACGTCAGCGAAAAGCTCGCCCTTTTTCCATATCCGGCCCTGGCCTCAGATGAACCCTATGCATGGGCTGCACCCCAGAATCATCCCCCGCAGAAGGCCAAACTCCATCACGGGGCTATCCGGATGGATATATATCTATAGATCCTTGAATCACTGCTGGCAGAGCCCACTGGAGGGGGGTTTGGGAAGTGAAACGCCGAGGCTGATCGGCGCCCGGGGGAGCCGTGGTTAACCCTGGAACAGCCCTGTGTTTTGATGCGGCATGCCTTACATTATTTTGCGGGTTGGATTCCGGATAGGCCTTACATATCAAGCATATTCGGTCAAGGTGGGAGGGGGGAAGATATTTAAGGTCGCACCATTCCACGCTCTCCGTCCCGCCGCTCTCTCCTCCTCCCCGTCCAACAAGCTGGCAGGATAGCAAGTCATCTCACTCCAACTCCAATCGTCAATATGAAGGTCTCTGCCCTAGCTGTACTTGCTGCCTTTGCGGCCACTGCTCTTGCTAGCCCAGTTCGCCCAGATGGCGTTGGAAGTGACAAGTACCTGATTGAACTCGGGCCAGGGAAGACCCAATGGGTTACCAAGGACCAGAAGCACCAGATGAAAGCTGTACGTTTCCACGTGTTGATATCATGATGGAAACATTAATTCTGTACTAACTTTCTTCAGGCTGGACAAACGTTCATTGATATCACCGATGAGTTCGGTACTGATTTTATGCCCACCCAAGTTGTTGCTGCAAACTACCCAACGAAGGCCCTCCATGCCTCCATTGTCGACCCCCTCATTGCCAACCTTTCAAAGGAGAACCTCATGCGGGATCTGACTGCGCTGGTGAAGTTCCACAATCGTTACTACGAGTCAAAAACCGGCGTTGAGTCTGCGACCTGGCTGATGCAACAAGTCCAGAAGGCCATCGATGCCTCTGGAGTTAAGGGTGCTAAGGTTGAGAAATTCATGAACAAGTTCCAGCAATTCAGCATCATTGCCACTATCCCAGGATCCTCCAAATCGACTATCGTCGTTGGGGCCCACCAGGACAGTATCAACCAGAAAAACCCCATGGCTGGCCGTGCCCCCGGCGCCGATGATAACGGAAGTGGATCTGTTGTCATCCTTGAGGCCCTTCGCAGCGTCTTGGGATCCAAGGCTCTCCAGGCTGCCAACGCCACTAACACCATGGAATTCCACTGGTACGCTGGTGAAGAAGGCGGTCTGTTGGGCTCCAGCGCTATCTTCTCAAAATACAAGAGCAGCGGCCGAAAGATCAAGGGCATGCTTAACCAGGACCTTACTGGTTTTACCAAGAAGGGCAACCCTGAACAATTTGGCCTTATCGCCGACAATACTAATAAGGAGCTGAATGAATTCACCAAGATGATTGTTAAGAAGGTAAGCTTCTATGCCTCGCTCACTCTATTTTAACGCTGCTAATATCAGTCTTTCTGTAGTATGCTACTATCCCAATCATTGAGGCCAAGTGTGGCTATGCCTGCTCTGACCATGCCTCTGCTACCCGAAATGGGTTCCCATCCTCTTTCGTCGCGGAGACCAACTACCGCAACACCAACCCATACCTCCACACTGCCGACGATGTCATTGAGAACTTGGACTTTAACCATATGGTGGAACATGCTAAGGTCGTCGTTGGATTCATGGCCGAGCTTGCTATGACCCCCAACTTGTAAATAACCATTTTTTCTTATCAATACTATCTTCCAAGTACAGTACTAGCCATGTTTAAATTTGTACTCTTTGGGATGTTGGCAATCTCGGCGTCGGCTTTATTGACGGCGTTGAGTGTCAGCGGTGTGGTCTCCGGGCTAAACGCTCTGTAATGCCAACATATGTGCCGTGTATCGTATTCTTCGGCCGAATGCCAGGCCTAAAAAGGTCTCTGCCGTGCTTTGCCTTTCCGGGAACCTGTCGTTTGCGTTTCATCGTGACTGGACTCTGTGGTTGCTATCAGGGGCTTGGATGGCCTGACTCTAAAAACCGTCTGGCATTTACTTCTGCAGTGCTTGCCAGGAGGTCTCCCTATGCGAAATGCTCAACTTGCTTAGTAGAGGCAGGTGTTTCTATATCTATTACTCCATACTGCCTCTGCGGTTGTTTTAAACACTCTAGTCATAATCTGGGCGTCTTGCTCTTCCAAATGGTGCTATCGTTAACTAGCACTGACACCTTCGTTACTGGGATTCTGCAGGATATTGCTTTGGCCAAAGGCGTAGGCATATAGTTCCTGACTTTCTAACTGCAATCGATGGCCTATGTCCAGGAATTATCCTTACCTCAGGAAGAGATCGAGATAGAACTTTGGTCGTCCTTGATGCCTGGATGTCTGGCTGTCTTTGGCTGTAGAGGAGATGTATAAGTCCTTAGAACTTTCATAGTCTTCGTACTCGTAGACTCTTGTCACTTCATCTCCTCTTCTTCTCATTTCCTCTTCTTTTATCTTCTCTTCATCTTCATATTTGATCTTCTCTTCATCTTCATCTTCTCTTCTTCATCTTCGTCGTCTCGGTCCGTCCACGTGACATGACTAAGCAGTTTCACGACTTCGACTTCAACCTCGCGATATCAAGAAGTCGAATCGATTGCTTGCTTCAATCTCGCCGTCTCGGTCAGAACACAACAGCAACCATGGCGGGACCGTCGAGTAAGTAACGGCTGAGAGGTGTTCCCCCCATCGAGACATGTCGGCTAATCCAATACGTTAGATATCCACCTTGACCCTGCGCTGCAGAAGTACTACGGTGAGCACACACCTGCTGGCATTTCGATCTGTTCAGCCGCTGCGTCTGGCCCGCGGGCTCCCTCTCCGGATGTACGCTGACCAACCCGCCAGATACCAATAAGAACCGCTACAAGTATTTCAGATGGACGCCTCGCACCGCCTGGCTCTCGTTATGCTACATGGCAGTTGTCCCCGGAATCATTGGCTATATCGCCTACAAGACAGACGTGAGTGCAGCTGCTGATCTGTGGAAAACGCCGTGGATGCATGGCTGACATATTTGGTGCTAGGGAAAATATGAATTCAGAGGGAAGAGGAGGGGCGACACGATCGCGGAGTGGTGATTGCATGGTGATTGCATTGTGATTGCGGATTGCTGCAGGGTGCTATTTGCACATACTTCCGGCAGTTAGCGACCGACGACTACGGCATCTCGATCGTACCCTGTTGATGATCTTCCTCTATGGATTCCGACTGCCTTGGGCGCGGGGACGGATGGCATCTGTATAATAACACCAGCTTTGATATCTGTGCAGAGAATGATAGATATTACGCATGCCTTTCTTTCTCTTCTCCATTGTTGCCCTCCAATATGGAGTAGTATTCAGAGAGGTATCTCATCAAAGTCTAGCCATCTAATGTTACAGCAATGGTGGGTATAACAGTTTTCCTGTCGAGCCGATGTAGCCAGAGTGTATTATACATGCCCTTCCCCTCCCATCCTAACCTTCCTGGTATCTTGCAGTATGCACTAAAGATTCGGGCAGTATCAGCCTCCTCGGAGACCCCTGTGAGCCATCGTTGCATCCATCCGTCCAGGCAGCTCGCCTGACGGTTTGATATACAGCTTCTTTGCGCGATACATGTATGCCTGGACAACCATGTAGACCCTTCCATTCCACCTTTTCACTGATCAGTATGGCCTCCCTCCTCCATCCCTGGACCCTCGACTATATACACGCCCGCCAGAATCCGGTAACCGTTCTCCCCTTCTCCATTCCCCGCTGGGCACATTTGCTAGGTTCGAACCAGCCACTCCTCCACCGTTCCTCCCCGAGGGCGCCCCCGGGCCATGTCTGGGTCTTGAAAAACCGCCGTCTCGCGAAAATGGTCCTCCTCCAAAGGCTCTCATGCCCCTGCCCATCGTGGGATGGAGGGGTCCTCTAGACGATATTGCAGGCGCCACAGAGCCGTCAGCGAGTGGTGGTAGTATGGCACAGTCGATATAATCCCCAATGACAAACCGCGCGTCGTGAAGCACCTTATCCGCCTCGTCGCCTTCTAATGATATCCCTTCACCTGCCTTGTCCGCATCTCCGTCCTTGCCATCACCGCCCTTCATAAATCCCACGATCACACTCCCGATATCCTTGCTGACGTATTTGCCGCGCCCGTCTCCCCCATCACCAGGCCTGGATCCTGCCTGGCTCCTCGTGTCAGGGTAGACCAGCCGGAAGCTCAGTCGGGTTCCTACCGCCGGATCAGGAAGCAGAGTAGGTAATGCCGATGTGAGTAGATGTGCAAGCTCGCGCAGGGAACATGACTGCCAGGTATATATCTGTAGATGGGGAGGGAGCGGAGCGCTGGCAGAGGACGCGGTATTGTCAGTAGGTGTCGCAGACGGGACCGGGAAGTCTGAGAGCGAGTGGAAAGAGTTTTGGCGGTAGAACAGCTTCAGGTGGAAGGGAGTTGTCTTCTGGCGATTGACCTGGAGAGATTCTTCTGTAGAAGCCATTGCAGGCTGTTTGTTCCTCTGTCTGTATGGCTCGCGCGGCCGAGGTCTTCACAGCTCGGAGCTCTGCGCCGGAGGGTAACCAGAGTAGAGATGGTGTTTGAAGGCAGTCGGTAGACGTATAATCGCCTGGCCTAGGAATGGTATCAGATTAAAATAGTGATCCTGTGAGTGTGAAGCCGAATGAATGTGTGGTTGTTTAGAGATGATCTCGTGGAGAGCTTCAACTTTTCGATGTTTTTTTCCCTTCGACGTCAACTCGAGCTTCAACATCATCAACCCAGCTCCATCTTCAGCGGCGCACCCTCGACACTTCAGCGGGCCATATACAAACAGCGGAGAACTAGTATTAGCCCTCTGATATACCTTACCACTGCTGCTGCTAGCTAGACTACGCAGCTGTTTTACTCGCCATCATGGACTTCGCCTCCCTCATGTCGAAGGAGATATCCAAGGCCAAACCCGAACCCTCGTCGGAAAAGAAGTACATGAAAAGAGCAGATATAGAGGCAGCCCGAGTCGCAAGCTACAATGCAGAGCAAGAAAGGCTGCAGCGAGAACGAGAAGAACGCGCAGAGCTGAAGCGGAAACGGGACGAGGATGAAGCAGAGCAGAACCGACTACGCGACGAGAAGAGAAGACGGCTGGCCGAAGAGTCAAGGGCGAGACGGGAGGCAGAACAGGAAGAGAAGGAAAAAGAGCGCCGGAAACGACTGGGCTTGAGTGATGAGCCTGCCGGCGAGAAGGACGACCAGGCTGCCGCTGGCGGGGACTTGGATGACAGTGAGCTGATCGATAAACTGCGAGAGCTGGGAGAGCCGGCACGAGTCTTTGGAGAAAGCCACAAGGGAAGGCTGAAGAGATACAGGCGGCTGGTTGAGATATCGTCCAACCCTCCAAAGCGACTTACTGACGGGCCCATTCCCACCACCCTGGAGCTTCTCCCCGAGTCGGAGATGAGAGTCCCGGACAAGATACCAACGGACCCGGAAGGGAAGAAATACATGTTCAGACAGCTTGCTTCCTACTTTACCTTGGTCCTCAAGGAGTGGGAGATCGCACTGGCACAGCGAGACGACGCCGTCAAGCAAACTTTTCAGGGAAAGCAGGCCTACAATGCCATGGTCCAGTCGCGCGAGAACATGCGCCCTCTGTTTAAGAAATTCGAGAACGGAGACATAGGGGAGGGAATCCTCGAGCCCGTCGTTGAGATTGTGCGAAATGCCCAAAAACGCCGTTATGTTGATGCCAACGACGGATATCTCACGTTAAGCATCGGGAAAGCGTACGTACACCTCACCCTAGATCTAATCAAGAACACTCACTATATCTAATCAAGAACCTTCGCTGACTATATTTTGCTACCAGCGCCTGGCCCATTGGTGTTACTATGGTTGGTATCCACGAAAGATCTGCTCGAGAAAAACTTCATGAAGGAGGCAAGGGACAGGCGCACATCATGAGCGACGAGATCACACGCAAGTTCCTTCAGAGCATAAAACGATGCTTGACCTTTGCCCAAGTCCGATGGCCGCCAGATGACCAGCTCCAGCTCATGGGATAAACACAAGTCGCCCCGAATACATACCCAAATGGCCTGTACTCACTTCACTCTGTTTCTGTCTACACACCCAGTCCTAGCAACCAGCCCTGGGATTGTCCGCCAAGATTGCATCTAAATATCGTGGAGGCTGTATTGTATGTTCAGATTACTCTCCGTTTGGGAAGATGGCAGTTCATTAATTTACAGTCGTAGCTAGTCTTATGTTTTGTTTGCCCCTTTTCGATGGCCCGCTACCTCGACTTCCAACTGTTTCAACGCCTTTTCATATCTCCCCTTAAGTGCTGCTCGATCGTCATCGTCTAGTCGAAGAGCAACCTTCTTGATCGCCATTCCAGGGGCCCTGCTCATGCCACCCCTAGCGATCTCGTTTGTAAACCACCTACCCTCGCTGTGGGTTACAAGAGTCCATGCGGAACCGGACTGGCCCGCTCTAGCGGTACGACCAACACGGTGAACGTAGGTGGTCAGGCTGTTGGGGACATCATAGTTGACGACATTGCCCAGAAGAGGGAGATCCAGACCACGAGAGGCACGGTCTGTCGCAATGATTATTTGCATTTTCCCCTTTCGGTAAGCAGATATAACCCTCCGGGACGTGCTCGATTTGTTAGATTTGATGAGAGTGCCAATCTTTCCGTCGAGAAGAGGGCACATAAGGGCAAGAAGGCGAGATAGTCGCGATGCTGCCTCCGAAGATTTCGTGAATATCAGGACCGACGACTGAGGTGTGACCTGTTTGTTCGGGGAGGTGGACGATGAACTACTTGCCGACGAATCTGAATCTGAATCTGAATCCGACGAGTCTTCGTCCGATTGGGAGGATGCGGATGACGATGAATCCGAGTCCGACGAATCGGAAGTGTCGCTGGAATCGCTTGAGGTTGAATCACTCGAGTCGGGAGAGATGGATGTACGACTCTTCTTCGATCTAGTCCTTTCTGCAACAACAATACCAATAGATGACTCCAGCAGTTTAAGAAGATATAGAGGTTTCTCAGACCCGTCTCCTACAGGTATGGACACTTCGTTCAACCGGGAAGGCAGTGCTATGTTGTTATCCGAGCCCGTCAACCCGTCAGCGGCCTTGTCAGCACCATCAACTGCCACTAGCTTTGGATTCTGCAGTCTTAGAGAATTGAGCTTGCTGATATCTCGTGTCATCGTAGCACTTAATATGACCTTTTGAAGCCTACGCGATTCTATCGGACATCTTATCCCCTTCGATAGCTGATGTAGGAGTCCTCTAGAAACAGATCCCTCCTTCGTCTCCAGTGCAGGAAGGACTGTGTCCACCCATTCCTGGAAGCTCTCGTTGAGCAGTCTGTCGGCTTCATCAATGATCAACCACTCAAGATGGCTTAACGTGAAACCCTTGGTGGACCGAATATGATCGACAAGTCTTCCTGGAGTACATATTAAGATATCGACACAGGGCGATGACTCTATAACATGATTTTGTGGCGCTTTACTGTATTCTTCCGCCTCGGCGACGTAGTCTTTCAGGCTAAAAGTCGCCCATTGGCGTGCGGTCATCTCGTCGTCATACCCCTCTCCTCGCCAATGTCCTGGGTTATATACGCGGTTCTGTTCCATAATCTGGGCCTGTTCGTCCTTTAGGGCAGTTGAGCCCACAGCGGTGCCAATCCGCAGCCCGGAGCCACTAGAGCAAATTTCGCATGCTTCGCGTACTTGCTTTACCAGTTCTCTTGTTGGCACAATGATTATTGCGCGAAGTTTTGCAACTGGGAGACGATCCAAAGCCGAGAAAAGCGGGAGGACATAGGCCAGGGTTTTACCAGATCCAGTCGCAGCTGAGACGCAGACATCTCCAGGGTGTCGTGCAGAACCCTTTGAGAGGAGAGGAATGACGGCGGATTGCACGGGCAGGGCCTCAGTATATCCCCTATCCTTCAGAGTGGCTACCAATCTAGTTCCAACTCCCAGGTCCGAGAAGCTCACTGGCAGTCCGGACGAGCCATGAGAAGGAGCCGCCAGCCAGGGAGGAAGAGTAGCATAAGACGGCGCCGTAGATTCACCTGGCGCAGGGGCAGGTTGCGGTAATGGAACCAGGCCGTGTTTCTCCTCTGACGACTCCTTATCCTCCTGGCCTTGTGTCCGGGGCTCCCTTGATGCGGCGGAAGAACGATCGGTTGCCATTGTTTTCGATTTTTCGTATTTAGACAGGATCTTCTTGTGCTTGATAGGCTTCGATGTTCTACCATTGGCGTTGGCAGAGGAGTTCGAAGAGCCGCCTTTCTCCTCCGAGCTCACTCTTTCCTCGGTGGTGGTGTCAGGTTCCCGCTTCGATGCTGTCCTTCGATCTTCATGTTTTCTAGACGGCTTATCAGGTCCGTCTGCCACGTCTCTACTGCCTTTCTTCGACTTTCTCCCATGAGATTTATCCTCCACCCTCGACGGCGGCTCGTCGGCATTCTCCTGCGGGTTTGCATGCTGGCCAGCAGCCCCATTGCCCTCCGTCTGGGCTTCAGAACCTGGCTGCGAACTGGACGCGCCTTCTGTGGGCCTTTTTTCAGGCGGCGCGGCAGCAGAACTCTTCTTCCTGTCCTTCTTTTGGGTACTTGTGGGCGCATCCAGGTCTTCATGGCGCTTCCGCTTGCGGGCTGACGAATTCGAATTCTCTGTCCTCGAATGCTTCCCGGACGAAGCACTGTGCGCGTGGCTCCGGCGGGCTATATCTGCCATGCTCCGATGTGTTCAGCCGCAAAAAGCAGGGCTGTCAGTTATCTCTGGGCCACTCTGATGCCAGATCTTCCCGTCGTCGTCTTTTCTCTGTTTATTCTATATAAATATTTTTTTTTTTGGCGGTACTCGGCTTATGTAATCTATGATGGCATTTTAATCACGTGGTATCACCTTTTCCTTGCGAACTTTTTGATATTTGAACGACGCAAAGAGAAGAAAAGGCGAAGATAGATCAAACGGAGGCCAAGGGACATCAAGAAGGCTGGCTGAGAGGAATGGCGGACGCTGCTTGGCCCCATGTCACAGTCTTCAGGTGCAACTAGGTCTTCTCGCATGGAGCTCGCATCCTGTGAGCCCTCTGCTCCTCCACGATGCCTTACAATATTGCGTATGTTGGCAAACCCCCCGGGCTTTATCTTCAGGCTCCTGCTAACAAAGAGACACACGGCGCAGTATGATAAGTGACTTCTTCTTCCCTCAGCCGGGTACGCGCATTCAATGGAACACATCCAGCTTGCTTCGGCCGTTAACAGGAAGCTATAGGTGGAGTGGAGAGTCACATATATCAAGTGTCTTCGGTCAGTTGGACACCTTTTTGCCGTCATAGCTGGTCTAACTAGAGATATAGAAGCTTATAGATCGCGGCCACAAAGTGATAATAGTCACCCATGCGTACAAAGGTCGAACTGGAGTGCGCTACCTAACGAACGGCCTCAAAGTCTACCATGTCCCCTTCTTCGTCATCTACCGCGAGTCCGCCATGCCGACTGTCTTCTCCTTCTTCCCCATCTTCCGGAACATTATCATTCGAGAGCAGATAGAGATTGTACACGGCCACGGTAGCTTAAGCTGCTTCTGCCATGAAGCCATCCTGCATGCGCGAACCATGGGGCTACGTACCGTTTTCACCGATCACTCTCTGTTTGGATTCGCAGACGCCAGTTCAATCCTCACAAACAAGCTCCTCAAGTTTACTCTCAGTGACGTTGACCACGTTATATGCGTCAGCCATACCTGGTAAGATTGTGCCATCACCTGTCCGCCTCCCCAGTGCTATAGGGGGCTAATATCCTGGTGTAGTAAGGAAAACACCGTGCTGAGAGCGTCACTCGACCCTCTGATGGTGTCTGTCATCCCCAACGCACTTGTGGCGGAGAATTTTCGGCCGCCGTCGTATAATGCATCGACCGGCGGCTCCTTATCCCGTGCTTTACCGCATAGGATGCCGGGACCGCGCCTGCTGGGGCCCGATGATACCATCACGATCGTGGTGATATCACGACTATTCTATAACAAAGGGACAGATCTGCTCATTGCCGCGATACCCAGGATCCTCGCGCTTAACAAAAACGTGCGGTTTATCATCGGCGGGTCAGGCCCAAAGGCAATCGACCTCGAGCAGATGCTGGAACGAAAGGTGCTGCAGGACAAGGTGGAGCTACTTGGCCCCATCAAACACGAAGATGTGCGTGACGTCATGGTAAAGGGCCATATATATCTGCACCCCAGTCTAACAGAGGCCTTTGGCACCGTGATCGTGGAAGCAGCCAGCTGTGGGCTTTATATCGTCTGCACCCGCGTGGGAGGTATCCCAGAGGTCCTCCCCCAGCACATGACGACCTTTGCCAAACCCGAAGAAGACGATCTCGTCCAGGCGACCGGGAAGGCGATCGCGGCGTTGCGGTCGAACAAGGTGCGAACGGAAAGGTTCCACGACCAGGTCCGGATGATGTATTCGTGGACCGATGTCGCGCGACGTACAGAGCGTGTTTACGACGGGATCTGCGGCGCCATCAACGAGGAAGACTTCTACGGTAATTTCCCCAAGGAGAGCTGGACTGGCTCGCGCAGACGCGAACACAGCTTTGCGCTGATCGACCGGCTGAAGCGGTACTACGGATGCGGCATCTGGGCAGGGAAGCTGTTTTGTCTCTGCGTCGTCATCGACTTTCTGATATACGTCTTCCTAGAGCTGTGGATGCCTCGCAACAGTATCGATATCGCGCGGGACTGGCCGAAGAAACCGCCCCGTGAAAGCAGGGAACTGCTCGATTCCCGTCATTCTGCGACGGGCATCCAGCACTCTAGGCGGGTAAACGACAGCTGGCAGGGGATGATCTGACTTGCTCGCGCGTTTATATTCCCATGATGCTATGATTAGTGATACCCTTTTCCAGAGTAGACATAGGACGTCTATATTAATACTTAATCAATCCTCCGTACGCCGAAGAGAAAATAGATAAAGAGGCAAATCTATACAAAATAATAAACAGAAAGTTGGGTATATATGTACAAGCAACCGTATTCACATCACGTAGAGTCGTTCCCCAAAGGACAACAACCAAGAGAGCATCCGTCTATCTCATGACTGGAGGCCTGCCCTCTTTATTCCACTTTACCCGGCTCCTGATCCAGTCGACAGCTTCCTGGACGCCGGTGCCCATCAGGGCGCTGACGGGGAGCACTCTGCTATCCCGCACGCCTGCGCCTGCCTGTCCCTCGAAGACTTTGCGGACGAATCCCTCCTTGATCCGCACGACTTCGACGCAGTCTTCCCTATCCTGTTTGTTCGCGAGGACGAGGATCGGGACGCCGGCCGTGTCTGCATGCCGCAGAACGGATTCGAGGACCTGACGGCATTCATCCAGCCTGCCGAATCGGCCGGCCGGGTCAATCGCCTTTATCTGTCCCTCCAGCGCGCCATCATCATCACCGTCACCGCCGTCTCCATCTCCGTGCCCGTCCCCGTTGCCGTCACCCTCTGCATCTGCGTCCGCGTCTGCTCCAGCACCGTCCTCAGGTGTTGACGACGGGCTGAGGTCTGATACATCCGGGTCGTCGCCAACGTCGGCGCTGTCAACAACGAAGACGATGGCGTGGCAGCTGGAATAGTAGCTCTGCCAGAGCCCGCGCATGGATATCTGCCCGCCGATGTCCCATATCTTCAGGTACATGTCCGGCAGCGAGATCGTAGAGACATTCTGGCCGACCGTCGGCACCGTCTTCGCAGAGACCGGCTGCGTCTGCCCGTCGGCGGCCGGGATGAAGAGCGCCTTGATCTGGGAGAGGAGCGTCGTCTTGCCCGCGTTATCGAGGCCGAGCAGCAAGATCGAGTATTCTAGACAGCGGCATCAGTAAGGGCACAGGCAGGATGCGAGGCAGGCCGGTGCAGGCTGACCTTCTTTGCTCGTTGCGTACTGGTAGAGCGACTTTGCTAGATGGTACATCGTTGCGGGACGTGGACATGCTGATGCGAAGATGAGCCGTGGAGGTCATTGGTTAGGCGTCGCAGTAAATATTTGGCCATGGCGAGTTTGAGATGTCGCGACTCCGGCTTACTACAATATACTACAACCTCCTATATCACGTCTCCTACATCTTCTACTCCGTATATCTTGGTCTCTCTCAGATCTCTCATCGCTGCATCTCATCTCTACTCCGTATACTCTTACAGGTCTCCATCGATCTGCATCTATCCTCCTCTCATCCTATCTCCCTATCTTCCTCTCACCTCCTACATCTCACCGTCCCATCCAGCTATCCTGCTATAGCCTGCTATAGCTCCCTGCTCCCTGCTATGGATTACTCGGCGAGATTCCGAGCTACACGAACTACAGGAGGATCAAAACCAACAGAACCGGACGAAAGAAAGTCAGTCGGCCAATTTGTCAGCACTCGGGTTCGCCCCTCCATGGTCGACAGGCTTTTCCTGCGATGGGACCGGGAGCAGGCGGTTTGCTCTATTTATAATCAAGAGGCAGAGGACGATGCAGGATCCTCCAGCTCGCTGTGAAGTTCATCCTGGCGGGCGTCTTCTTCTTCGGACGGCGTGGTGCGTTGAGATATCAATATCACACTCCGTCAAATATCCTCTCGGCCCTACTAAAATATCCTCTTCAGCTCCGTCAAATATCTTCTCGGCCCTATTAAAATATTCTCTTCATCTCTGATAATATCTTCGGCTGTTCTCCAGACTCGCCGGCTACAGACTAGGATATCAAGAGGAGACAATGTGGGTGGCTCGATTGCCGCAGGACCATGTACCACAGTCCTGCTACCGCAGCATCTCTCTATATCTCTTGACAGCGTGAATCTAGGCCGATGCAAGGACAAACGCCCGACTCGTCATTCATTGACGCAGTTATCGTCGGTGAGTATACAAGACAATACGGCAATATCAGGATCAAGAGCTGATTTACCTCATCAGGCAACGGGCCGTCTGCTCTGATTCTTTCGTTCATCCTACATGGCAACATTCCCTGCTACAACGTCGACTCGCCTCACCCGGATCCAATCCTCCATGCGAAGCTCAAGGATGCAACGGAGCTCCTTCAGCTCGACGTTGGCCGGCTGACCAGCCACTTTGAGGCTTCGCGTTTTCCTTACTCGACGCAATCCCTCCCTATCAACTCCCTGGTCGACTCGCTCGTGCGGCCATTCGGAGAGACGGACGACCGTGATTCAAGCACCTGCATCACCTGGCGCCACGACCCTCAGCGCGCTGTCCGCCATCTGGCTCTCGGTGAAACAGCTCAACCTGGCGGGCAGTGGACGGAGTGTCCTCCGGGGACCACCTGGGATATCCAGTCCCTCAGCTATGCCGGAATGCTCTCGTTGCCAGGGTACAGCTACTACGATCATCACTACGCTACCCATGGCTCCCCCTTGCCCGCTTATACCCGACCTTCCAGACGTGGGATGGCCGAGTACCTGGCCGCGTACCCGAGGGCTGTTGGGATTGAAGACTCTACGCGGAATGGACAAGCTGTGTCCGGCGTGTCGCGAACCCAGGACGGCTTCTACATTGCATCTCACAATATTCGGTGCAAACATCTCATCCTAGCATCCGGAATATTCACTGAAGTAAAGCCAGCAAGACCGCTGTTGCAGCCATTACTCTCCATTCCGAGTCAACCAAGTGTGCCTGCAAAGGATAAGGCACCCTTGCTCGTCATAGGCTCCGGATTCTCCGCTGCTGATATTATCATCTCGGCCGCAAGGGACCAAAAGATCATCCACATCTTCAAATGGGAGCCAGAAACAAGCCCTTCCCCGCTCCGAAGCTGCCACCAGCAAGCGTACCCAGAGTACGCCGGAGTTTACAAGCTTATGAAACGAAGCACCCTGCCAAAATTTACTACATCTAGGGCAAACAGACGAAGCCAGGCTGCTCTCTCGCCTTTCCTGAAGAGTCGGGAGTGGGACGACATATACGAACCCTTGCCCAACACTCTCGTCGTGGATGTAGCACTCAATGGCGCCGAAGGTGTAGTCACATTCCAGCGAAGCGATGGTTCGACCTTTAAACGCCATGTTTCCGGTCTATCCTATGCTGTTGGCCGGAAGGGCTCATTGGCGTATCTGGACAAACATCTTCAGCGAGAGATTCTCGGTCCACAGTTTGATCACTCCCAGGATGCATCTATCGCAAAGGATACCCTAGTGGCCTCTGCCATGGCTGACTTGGAGGTAGCCAAAGATGTTTTCATCATCGGCAGTCTCACCAGTGACTCCCTGATTCGATACGCTTATGGTGGCTGTGTATATGCTGCAGGGAAGATCATAGAACGATGCTCTCGAGACCAACATTGTACCGATGGGGGTGCTTGTAGGACTGCTGGTCAACTCCATCAATCAGAGACCGACATAACTACCACCTTCAGCCCCAAGGCCAACCCTGACTTGAATATATATAACAACACTCCTCCTGGGGACTCTCTCATGCATAGGGTCTCTCCTGAGCTTCGACTAGGGCCGAGAAACGATAGGTTTGGAAGCGGGAGACAGAAACCTTGGTGGGCGTTTCTTTTTTCTTGGTGAAAAAAATGAACAAAAATCTGCGTTGGGAATTTCTCGCCTGCGCCAAATGTACCGTTAGATGTCTCGTGTTTAGACTGCTGCTTGGCTTTATATTGATCTTTGGCATTACCGCAGGGACATAGTACTATTTAATATATACTACATGCACTTGATAATATGCAACCCAGAGAACACCGACCGTTTATATTCGATTCAGATGACTGGTCAGTACGTTTCACGTTCTCAAGACCTGTAGACCGGCTCATTATCTTGCGTTTCTAAGTACATTCTGACCATACCCTCCAACAGTCACGCCGTTCCCACAGGTAGGGACTTGATATGTCTTATGTTCCTAAAGCAACAAATAGAACAATAAAGAGAGAGTGAAATTCGTTTAAGCGAAAAACACGCCTATCCATCGCTGAGACGCATAACATTCTCTGCATACCGTTCGCCCTCTACCGGGTTTTGGGAAAGGATGACATCAACTTCTGCCAATTCTGCATCGGCCAGGGACACAACCGTCGTGTTCTCAAGCACCCTGTCCCGCTTGGTAGACCCCGGGATAGGAATGATGGTGACATCGAACTGCTTTTCTAACGCCAACACCCATGAGATTGCAATTTGCGGCAGGGTGACGCCCTTCTTGTTCGCGATGCCTTCTAGCGCTCTGACGAGCTTCATGTTGGCATCAAACATTCCTTCTTGGAACCGAGGGAACGTTCTCCTTCTGTCTCCCTCCGGGATATCGTCCGGCGACTGGAACTTGCCAGTCAAAAATCCACGGCCAAGCGGCGAGTATGCGACTACGGGGATCTTCAGTTCTCTGCATGCATCAAGGATTCCATTTCTGGTCGGATCAGTGCTCCAGAGGCTGAGCTCGATTTCCACGGCGGCAATAGGGGCGACTTTCGCAGCGCGCCGGATCGTCTCTGCCCGGACTTCAGACAGGCCAATACCCCCGATCAGGCCTTCGTTGCGCATCTTTAGAAGAGCGGCCATGGTCTCTTCGATGGGCGTATTCTTATCTACCCGGGCACATTCGAAGATATCAATCTTCTTGCTACCGCCGAGCAGCCGCACGCAGTTCTCGACGCTGGGGCGTACCCCCTTTTCTGTTCCGTCGAATGCATGATCTTTCCCCATCCCTCCCTTGATGCTTAGCACGACCTTCTCTGCGTCCTCGGGATATTTGGTGAAGTACGCCTTCAGGAGCTGCAGGGAGTTTGCATCGGGGGGACCATAATGCTCTCCGCCGTTCCAGAAGTTAGCTCCCTGTTTGAGCGCGGTCTTCATTACCTTGAACGCATCTTCGTAGCTGGTTGGGCTGGGAGTCCATGTGAACCCTAGTAAATGTTGCATTTGTCTCATAGTCAGTCCTCCATCGCTCATCTTCAATAGCGGCTGTTGGGTTGATGTGTACTAACCCATCAGCCCATAGCCGATCTTCCCGACTGGCTTGCCTAGTAATGCGGCCATATATATCTCGTAGCTACGAGTAGTGTCCATCCAGGATAGTCGTTTTGACGAGATCTGTCTCCTATTTGAGCCCGAGAAACCGTCTGTACCTCTAGGCGCAGTGATCACAGTTGGCCTTTTCAATGTTGAACAACAGGGGCTATGGTTTGCTAGAGATTGCCTAACTCCGGCAACCAGCCAGTCTTGAATATATAGATGATAGCTGACCCCTGACGTCATTTCATTCCCTATCCTTTTCACTCTGGTAGGGAGTGAGCGGGAGTACAGCTTGCCACTGGAAAGGTGCCATGGTCCGGGTGTCCGGAGATAGGAGTGGTCGGCCATCTTAACCGCGTGTATACAGAGGTTGGGAGATGTCTTACCTGAGGCGGAGTTAACGAGGGTGAAAGGGAGCATGATAGACAGGTTGGTAACACTCGATGCGCAGCTTGCACGACACAGAGGGCTATTGGAAATGTTTCTTATTTATTCGTTTCTTCGTTAGTGCCGATATATGCAGATTAATAAACCCCCATTACAAAGACTCAAAGAAATATCTGGGTCAAGCCAAGTCCATCACCGATACCCACTATCCCTAGGCCAGGTGTGAATGCGCGAGGGGGGATAGTGGTTGCTTTGTGCAAAAGTACAACAATACAAAATAGAACGGAAAAATTAGGAGAGGAACATGATTTCAGGTAATAAAGGTGAGGCTGTGGTGGGGATTGAGAGGAGGTGACAGGCCGCGGAGGTAGTAGAAAAAATCCTGGGAAATGCATAGGTTCATCTCAACTATATTTTATGCCCTAGCTCTACATCATTTCGGCTAGGAGAATGAGTGTCAGAGAATTCTTCTGTGAATCCGGACACTCGGCGATCCCTTGGTCGTGGCTCCATATTGTCAGACACTATAGCGTTATCAAGGGACGCCGGTATGCCAGCACTAGAGAATGATGAACCGTGACGGCCGTGAGTAGGCCGGATTGGGTGATGTAATTCTCGCTGGCTTTCCGGGGACGGCGAGATGGCAGGAGAAATAGGGCTGATGAATGATGGGGTTTCGCTGGGGTGTCGAGCGGTCACTGGGGTGTCGTTAAACGGAGTAGGTAACTCTGATGGACTCATGACAGTGCCAGCTATAACGGAGATGTTAGTTGAACGCATCTAATCAACCGTTTGCACAGGTGTGAACATAGAGGCTTACCGTGCATCTCATGAATTGGAGAGCTGCCAGCCTCAGGGGCATTTATATCAGAGTATACGGTTACGGTGGTGGGTGGTGGGTGGGGGGACACCACTGAGTCCATCCCTGAATCCGAATATATCCCGGCGGACGCATGCTTGTCGTTAATTCCAATCTCAGTCGAAGTGGTTGTCATGTCAGGCTTGTGTGTCGGTTGGCCCATCCCATACATCCAGCCCAGGATACGTTTCCTCGCTACTTCACTTGTGCCTCCAACGCTAGGCGCATATCGTCTTTCTCTTCGTCTCCGCAGGATAAGCCACACCACCGCCAATGCCGTTATGAATATTAGGCCTAGGACGACACCAAGGACAGCGCCGACCCATCTAGGTAGACCACTGCTGCCTCTATCCTCTCCAGGTGATGATGTTTGAGATGGAGAAGTAGTTGCCTTGGCCGGCTGGAACGGATACCACTTTTCGATTTTTTTGGTGTATTTTTTGGCAAAAATTCCCTTGAGCTCATCGGCGTCCCAGTGGTCTGGGCTCGTTTTGGTAGCCCCTCCTTTACCACTGTCATCAAGTGATAGTTAGCATAGATCCTAGGAAATAGAAAACTGGAAATTGGAAATAGGGGCAAGCGGGGATCTGCTTACGTTCCACCAATTTTTTTGGTTATCACATCCGGAACCAAGTATTCATTCCACTCGGTCGGATCATATTTTTCCTTGAATTTAAGGGCGTTCAGGCTAAAGACCCGAACCAGGGGCCCTTGTAGGCAGGCCGAAGGGGCGGTATATTCGCCGCCGATCACAAACATCTGGTCTGGGTATGGTTTGACGCACTTATGGGCACGGCGACCCATGTTGGTTTCTCCTTTGTATACTTTCGTCCAAGTAAACGAAGGGATGGAAAGGACATATACATCATCGGAGGGCCTGACACCAGCTTCACTCCCGTTATATCCCCCATATATGTAGATGTTAAACGAGCTCCGGTCTTGAGCTTCAGCTACCACTGAGCAAAACGAGCTTGTGGCGGGAGGCATGTCGTCGTCGCTACCTGTAGTGTTTTGGGAATACCTGCCCAGAATTAGTAATTGATTCAACAGTTATATGGCAATTACTGTCTAGCGTTCTCGAAGAGGATCTCGTAATCATACCATTTTCCTAGCCCAACGTCATACAGGCTAACCGTCCTCATGTAAGTCGGATCTTTCTTAGCCTGATTACGAAGTTAGCGATTAATCGAGAGAGATTTGGAATCTGCTAGAGGAATAGATAGGCTTACATTTTCCTCCTTTTCGGAATCTGACAGCCCGTCGAGGGTCAAATCTTCAGGGTTGGTAACGCCACCGATTGCAACAAGGACGCCGTCAGAAACAGGAAGCCAGGCAAGTTCCGCGTTAGATCTTCCAGGTACATTTTCGAGGTCTTCCTTGTTGAATTTTTGCTCGCCAAACGTGGACAAATCAACAGAGACGAGAGAGTTAGCGGTCTCATTGGGTATATCAATGTTATCTATCAGTCCGCCACCACTCCTCTGTCTTCCGCTAAAGTAGTAACCCTTGTTGTCGCTAGGTACGGAAACACCAGCTCCGTCTGTGACATATCGAGTTACATTTTCCCGTATGGTTGGCAGGATGGGACCTGGTGCAAAAGCTGGTTTTTGTGGCCCGTATTGATAGACGTTATATCCATAGAGTGAGACATTTGAAGGAGGTGTATACCCATCTGATCTTACGGTAATGCCCCTATAAGAATCCTTCGTGTTAAAGACGAGCTTATCATAGAAACACTGGTTACTACGTACCCATAAGTAAGCAGCACGTAGTCGTTATAAAACATTGTTCCGTCGACATATTTAGGAGTAATGCTGGTAGCGGAGCCCCCAGCAAGTTTCGGTATCTTGCCCAACAACTTGGTGAAATTCGTTCCCTGGTCGAAAGATGAGTTGAACGAAAGAGTGTACATGTCGGTGAACTCTTTGCCTATATTTGGTATTAGCCTATTGCAAACGAAGCCTTGTACCGCGAGTGGTAGGGGTAAGATTGGGAGTTTAACTATACCGGCTGGCTGAAGAAAAGATCTACCGTCCGTGAATCCGCTACATAAGTGTTAGAAAAATTGGTATATCTATTTTATCAGGCGATATCGCAAACACCTACAACTTCCACAGCAGCCGTCCTCCGTCTAAATAGACAGTATCACGGATAACACCAGCTAGTGGTGAGTGATGTTAGCATCTCTAATAGGGAAGGATAATAATGTAGATGGTAACGATGGGATATTTAACGAGGCAGTAGCCCGATAAAAGAAGAATAAAGTAGCAGAACATACCTCGAAATCGATACCAGTTACAGACGGATACATCATTTTGGTCTTTGGACCCTTGGGAATTGACCACCGTGAGGAAGCCCAGTCCTAGGCCTGCGATGGCCGCGAGAGTTTTCATTTTTGTAGGTCTCCCTGCGTAGAATAGAAAAGCGATAGCAGGAGAGCGACGACAGGGTCGTAACCTGAAGCCAAGCGCTTAAGCAGCGATGAGAGATGCGAAATAAAAAGCTGTACGGCCTAAGAAAGCCTCTCTCCCATGGCTAATCTAGTTAAACCAGCTCCTGTAGTGCCCGCGCTTCTTCAACGATGCACGACAAGATGGATGTGTTGACGGTAGCGATGCGCTGAAAGAGCGACGACAAGCCCGCCTCGAAGGCCAAAGGAGATACCTGGAACTAGAGCGTATCAACGAGTGTGGCAGGGCTAGAGTGCTTCAAATGATGCGACCCGTCACTGAGATGTAGCAGCGGTAGGTTTGAGCCTGGCGCAGGTCGATAAGGCTGATATCAGAGTGCCAAAGAACCTGCTATTTCGCTGCGAAAAGAACCTTAATTCACCCTCACAGATTGAAATCGTGGGGAAGTGAAAGGGGGGAAATGCAATAGAAAGAAAGAAAGGAAAAGATTCAGCAGCTAGCTATGCTGCTAAAGAGCAGTGGACCAGGGCAGTGAAGGGAGACCCAAGCGATTTGGCGGGACGGAAGTAGCAAATGGGCATATAATCTCAGCTTGGGTAGTATTAATAAGAAGAAAGCAAAAAGCCGCAAAAAGCCACAAGGGGCCAGGGCGGTGCGCTGGCGGTGATAGGCTGTATCTATATGTACGTATAGATACTCCGTACGTGCATCCAACCCCGACTGCAGGATGCAGGCAGGAGATACAGAGGTCCCCAGAAGCATAGAGGACGCCCTCATGAACCCTTACCTATTTTATATGGTAATGACCTGCAGTCGCCCATCTCTCTGAACCTGCGCTGAGATTTCACCCTGAAAAGGGGATCCCGATGAGCATCGCAGGGACCGCTGTCATCGATCCCTGGAGTCCGGTACCGTTCTCCTCCTCGGGCTAGCTCCTTTTTTCCTCTGTAAAGAACAGGACGTGGAAGCTTTTCGCTGCGCAGACAAAAGGCTCCTTACCAAGCCGTTATCTGTTGCGTTGTCTGCTGCGTTATTCCTCGCCTGCCAGTCTAATTTCATCCTGGCCCACGGAGTACGACGTCAGTACAAGAGACAGTCTGCGTCCTCCTTTGTCCATGTCGCTCGCTCGTTTGTTCCGTCCAACCCATGGCACCTTGGTTGGCGCAGGATGTGCTATCTGCGTGTCTGACATCGACTAGCAGGGGATCCCCGGCGGCGCCGCAGCCACCATCACCACCTCCTTAGCGCACCATCTCCACCGTGTATTTTAACGGTAGTGCGGGTGAGCAATTCCGTACTTGACCTTGCACAGATGGTAATCTATCCCCGTCGCCTATTTTCCTTTGTGTAGCTTGTTGTGTTGGCTGCGATCCTGTCCGGATGCGTTCGTGGCGGCCGAAAGCTATGCTCGACCAATGTTCATTATGACATGTATACAGAGTACCGGCCCAGCTCGATATTTCTCATTTTGCTCTCCGCGCAAGAGAGCCGCGATGGAGGACTCTGCGCGGTGGTCGTCTCTCTCGACAGGGCTACCAAGCGACTTCACCTCTGAGGACACATTCTTCTAGCGAGAAAAAAAGAGTGCACACTCGTGGCCGGAGGAGAAATGTAACATCGAATAGCGACGTCGTATTACGCCATGTCCTCTGGTGCAGGTCAGAATGGAGAAGGTGAAAAGGACGAAAACCTGGTCGCAAGGCACATACTTACTTAGCAAGGATGGTGTTTACTCGGGGTATTCCAGACATGGTTCTCTCGGTCTTCTCGATGTGGAGAGAGCTTAGATATTCCATTCTGAGAAAATATCCGAGGCGGCACCGCTAGCGATTGTTCTATGCATGTACTCCGTAGAGAAGTCTGTATACGCAGACCTGAGCGCTGCAGACGGGTAAGGCGAGCCAAGTCTTCAGGACTCTTCACGCCTTCCAACGACGCTGCGTATACCACGTATGCCACTGTGTATACCACGCGGATAGAGGTTCCGGCGTGCTGAGCGGAACTAATAATGCGACGGGAGTTAACTCCTAAAAGAGATGCTGGTTTCTAGAACTTGCTATCCTTGTTGAGAGGCGACCTTATCATGTATGTAATCTTTGAGTTGGTCTGGCTAGAAGCTTAGGTCTGAAATATAGAGTATATCTGGAATATTAATCTGAATGCTTGCTATTGTATGGAGACTCTTTCCATAGTCTCTGTATCTTAGAAATGTAACAGTCTTGGTCCGATACTGGGGCAATTGGTCAAGCTATGGCCACTAGGCCCTCCAGTCCCCGAACATGCAGTAGGGACATGATCCGCAGCTCAATAATTCCCTGGCCTAACCATCTACTCCCTTCCTTGACAGGGACGATATATAGTACCATTGACAACACCGGATCTGGGATGAAGCAAGGGTTTTGCCGAGTCAAGGAAGCAAGCGGGGTAAGGTCATGCATTCGTTCTGGTTCTCGGGGACGCCCGGAAGAAATTGGGGACGAATGCACTTCGACGAGGTGAGATACGTTGGCCTCAATCCGACGACACGATTCTCCGTATACACGGCTCGTATATTATCGATCTGTGCTGAGGCGGCTTATCGTTTTGCTGGAGACCTGAGAGAACCGTGCTTTGGTCCTACTGCTTACCCGCCAGGTAAAGTAAGATTGTGAAGGTTGAAAAAGAAAGAAGTTCGAAAAAATCGCTTGCACCATCGACTCCACCAGCAAGGATCTCTCTCACTGTGCGCTTTGGGCCGGGCTTTAAGATCGCGGACTAGGATACGACTCCATTTGGAATTCAGCTATCCAACTCGGCGTGCATCGGGGAAGCCATGCAAGATACCAGCCTGGCCATATTGAATAGTCCTCCGTAATCAGGTTCGGACAAGGAGATCAGCGCAGGCACGCATGCAAGAGCTGCTGGGCTGTCTGCTGGGGGGTGGATGCTGAAGACCAAAGCAGCAGTCATCTCCATGGCAACTCTGGTCTGATGGCCGCGGATCGAGAGCTCGCCTGCGTCAAGGGTGCTCCATCTGACTAGCCCGGCGTATCCGCAGCATCCCACGGGTCTTCCAAGCACCGTCTCGTCGAGCTATCACCGTCAACCCGAGGTTGGAGTACTGGACGGACAGCGTTGGCTCCAGTCAGCGAAAGCCACAGCCGCAATGGGCAGCGGGATGGGAGGATCAGAGACCTCGGCGATCCTCTTCTCTCGCTCGAGCAATATTCGTACTCCGTATCTCCGTACAATGTATCTCTGTGTGTATCTGTATGTACGAAGTATGTGGTATGTAAGTTGTAGGTTGACGAGGAAGAACGAGCAGAGCCTCATGGCCGGCACATGACCAGAGCCAGCGAACATCCTCGACTTCATCCCTGTGTCTCTCTTTGCTTCTTCGTTGCATCTTACACATCGATATTCGTCAATCCCTGTCTTAGACTTGCCCCAAAGACGTTTCTCGCGGTTCTCTGCATGCCCTGCTTCCCGACGAGGGTTTTCTGGCGCTCTTTGTGCCCTGTTCTCCCACCAAGCATGGCTTCCCTGCTGCTATATCAATGGGGGTGCATAGTACAGAAGAAGTGGCGCCGTCTGGCGTACGGAGTATGTCTCACAGGATAGGCTTGCTGTACCTGCTTTAACACCCTGCTAGAACCACGGAGCACATAACAAAGACTGGCCTCGCACCTTGTCCTGTTAGTCTTGACGGCCAGGCCATCCATCCGCCACCGTATGAGAAGCAGCATGCCAACACGCCAACATGCCAACGAGAAAACAAAGCAAAGGCGGAGCCTCCGTATCCTCTGCTAGTCCACAAGCCCAACGCTGATCGTCTCTCGCTAGAGCCAATGCTTAAGTTGTTCGCTCTCGGCTCCGTCTTTGCATGCTAACCAGTGGAGGCTGGGGACAGCAATGGCAGGGGTTGGAGGCAATGCTCGGGAGACCAGCATCATGGATGGCCAGCTTTCCGATAAACGTGGATGCGCTTGAGCTTACGGAGTAGTTACGGAGTACATACCAAGACGAAACCGTGTTGTCGCCTAAGGTCCAACATCAGATGCCAGAGTTAACGATAACCTAACCGCACATTTAATCTATTTCGCGTGCGCAGCATCCTCCGTACGGAGCATGTATTTCGTCTTAATAGCTGGACGAATGACGCTGACGGCTCTTGATTGGAGGGACTAGGGCCTGGTCGGGCGCCTTCCGCCTTTCCATGCCGTGTCCCCCATGGACTAGCGTTGCTATTATTAAATATACATCGCCAGCCATAATACAGTAACGACCTCTAAAGCAAGCATGGCGTCCAAAAGCCACGATCAGCTCTGCATGCTGTTAACTCGTTCTATCTCCCCCGTCCGCAGGCCCTGGTCTCTCTTTGTCGTGTGTTAACCATTTTGAGACTAGGATATCTGCATCCTGCATCCGCAGTCCAGAAGAAGGAAAAAACCCAGGTCCAACTTTCGAGGAAGGCCTGTTGCGGGATAGTTCTCTCGCTGCAAGAGCCTTGTCGGTTTCTTTCTTACGCCAGTCGTTGTTTTTCTTTTTCTTTTTTTCAGTTGCCCTGAAAAAAAATATGACTGTTCGACCTTCGAGCATGCAGCCCAGAAGCGGGAGTGACGTTGCATTCAGCCGTTTCTTTCAGCTCTGATTGGAAAACCTAAGATCCTTCGTTGCAAAAGCCCGAGCAAAATGGCAGCGGCGAAGCAGCTAGCAACTGCAGCATGGTAGCCTTAGATCCTTCATGCTGATAGTGTATCCATAAATCTAATACCCCTCATGCTTTTACGGATTCCCATTACTGTGGTCCTGAGATGCGGATATGGAGCACACCTTGGCCTCTCAGACGCAGGCATTCGTTTACTGTGCCCTTTTCTTTTTCCTCTCTCTGTTGATATCCGCTGTACATATTTTACTTGACAAGGCCTCCCCTGCGGTCCCGAGTTCTCTGTCGAGCTCATTCTTCCGGCCCTCTTATCTTCTCCTCCTGTCGCATGCGTTTCCGTTTCCTTTTCTTTTCCTTTTGCTCCCCTTCAGTTACACCGGCTCAATAGCGACCTCCAAAGCTTCAATTGCTTAGCTGCCTGGCCATCCTTCAACCTGCTCGCGCCCGCGGTGTCGCTCTGCTGTTGAACACCCGTCACAATGAGGTTGACTACATCTACGCTCTTGTGGGCAGCGACGGCGATACTCCAAGCAGCTGAGGCCACCGAGTCCTACCGTAGCCCAACGGGACCCGAGGGCTATGGGGCATACCCTCCAAGGTATACAAATTCATACACCAGTACCACCACCATCACGTCAACGAGGACAATTCAGAGCTGCCCACCTCGAACAACGACTATTTGGACTTCATCCCAGCCCGATGGATGTGAACATCCAGGCTGTCCAAATAAGCCATCTGCTCCATCGGGTCCCGACTTTCCCCCTTTCATTTGTGAGGTAAGAACATCTCTCCGGCTTGGCTACATACGGTGGCTTGTCTTCAAAACGATTGAAAGCAGTTTCCACATTTCTGGGAACGAAAGACCCTAACTGACGAGGAAATAGGTGTATTGCAAGGCGAAGGGCTGCGCGCTGTGCCAAAATGGAGTTTGCCCTGACCAAGGAGGCGTTTATAAACGCCGTGAAATGATGAGCAACCTTGTTGGCCGCGGCACTGGTAGCGAATATGGCTATAAGCATACCCCTGAGGCGACCTGCTGCTGCTGTTGTGAGGGTGGCGGCTGGAAAAAGACGGTGACGGTCACCCAGACCAAAACCGAAACCCAGACTGCGAATGTCACAAAGGTTATCACGGACTACATCACTGAGACCGTCTCGATTCCGACCACTATCCACGATTCCACGACTGTTTATAATGAAACTACTATCCATGATTCCACAACCATTTATAATGAAACTACGATCCATGATTCAACGACCATCTCAACAACAGTGCTTCAACCCACTACAATTTTAAGCACAACGACGCTGACAACTACTTTCACGACGGCAGTCCCCACGTACATCACCACGAGCATCTTTGGGACGGTGACGTCGGTTATCACTGTCATGGTTCCTACTACCATTACGTCCACCTATGTATCGACAATGTTTACTACCCTTCCTGGCTCAACCGTCACCGTTCCAGTTACACTGCCTGGGCATACCGTAACTGCGCCTCCAGTCACACTGACAGGGCCTACCGTAACTGCGCCCCCGGTTACCCTACCACCAGAAACACATGTCATCACCCTGCCAGCATCAACCGTGACGAAAGTTACTACCCTCCCTGCAAGTACCATGACAATTACGAGCACACTACCTGCCAGCACGGTTACCCAATCCGGAGGCACAATCACAATCCCTGGCAGCACAACTGTGGTTACCACTACAATTCCAGCTTCTACCATCACCCAAACCTTGACAGAACCTGGACAAGTCACTACAGTTACTAAGACTGGAACTGTAACTGCACCTCCGGTTACTCTGCCGCCAGAAACCCATGTCATCACCCTGCCAGCATCAACTGTGACGAGGGTTACCACTCTTCCTGGAAGCACCGTAACGATTACAAGCACACTACCCGCCAGCACCGTTACCCAGTCCGGAAGCACAGTGACAATCCCTGCCAGCACAACAGTGGTTACTACTACAATTCCAGCCTCTACCATCACTCAAACTTTGACGGAGCCCGGAAAGGTTACAACGGTTACTAGGACTGGAACTGTAACTGCAACTGATACTGTAACTGCAACCGATACTGTCACTCGGACTAAGACTACTTTCTCCATATCTCTTTGCCCAACCAGGACTGCGAACCCAACATACACCCCACCGGCGCCGCTTCCATCGAACTACGTGTGGGGTTGTCCTCCCGGGCAGCTATGCAGACCGAAGCGTACCCCCGAAGACGGAGAGTGCAACTTTGAAGTTGGTCTTCCAAGTGCAAACTACACTTGTAGTCCTGATGAGTGTATACCTAGCCCCCCGCGGCATCCGCCACAGCACTGGACCCCTGGTAAAGCTCAAAAATGGATTGTTTCTCCTGGATATTTCTACCTAGACCCCAGAAAATTCGGTCTTGGATTCGACATTTTTGAGTTTGAAAACACCACCACGTACGATGGTTACATCCGTCGCTCCCTGCCTGATATCTCGAGGCGTGACGATAAGATTGTTCCTCCAGAGTGCTATGACGAATGTAACAACTGCTCAGAGGAGGGAGAGTCACTTGGCAAATCGCCTGCACTATGCAAACGGGGATCTTTGTTCAATCGCTACGTCAACCAATGCAAAGAATGTGTTGATAAACGACAGTCCGACAGTAAAATGTTGTCATTTGACGAGGCTATTCTTCCCTCCTTCGAGCAATGGCTACATTTCTGCGAGCAATTCCCTACAGACCCCGAACCAACCACTGTACCAGAACCTGGGATGACTTCCGCCACCTCAACTGAGACATCATCCACCGAATCTACTCGATCCACGGAGTCACCCACACCCACGACTTCCACAGACTCATCTACTAGGACAACCCAGACCAGCGATACAAGCGAATCTTCAACTCCAACGTCAACCATGGAGCCAACTGAAACGTCAACCATGGAGTCAAGTAGAACATCAACCATGGAGTCAAGCGGAACATCAACAATGGAGACGACATCCAGAGAACCGTCGACAACTGAGTCAACTGGCACGGAATCGACAGGATCACCAACAACAGGTCCAAGTGAGTCGACATCAACTGACTCTCCCTCGAACACCGAGAGTGACCCACAGTCGACGACCGGCCGGACAACATCAGGGGATGGCAGTTCCACCACCAGTAGAGGAGGGGACCCCTCACAAGCCCCGTTCCCTACTAGCATGGGCCCTGGTGGAACACACACCACCACTGGAGCTTCCATTCCTGGCTCAGGGACTGGTGCACCATCCTCGTCGTCAACAGGCCCAGTTGAGTTCCCTGGAAGTGCAGGGTCACTTTCCCCATCGGCATGGGGTAAGGTTTTGACATGTATTTCCGGCTTGGCTTTACTCATTCCATTTATATAATCCGATAACCTGATGGACGAATGTTCCATTAGATCAAAATACCCCTTTCATGTCCCTATCTACTCATCATAACCCACTTGCAGCGCCTCTCTGGCTGCAATTTACGTCTAATAAGGTCATTACCAGTGATTTGTTTTTCTCTTTCTCTCTTTTGTTCTCGTTCTTGCCCTTGTATGGAATTGGAAATGTGTCAACGCAATGAATGGTTGGACGCCTTTAAATGAACTGGGCTTGTGGTCTACTATATCACCACGTTCGATTATTGCCCATATTTATAAACTAATGAATTGAAACCTTCTCTGTACGGAGTATCCTAACCATCTCCTCCCTTGTATTGTGTGGTATATTGGGTCTAACCTACATATTTCTTATCAACAACATTGCCGGAGACAATTAAATAGAGAGACTAAGCTACTTGAATGTTAATTATAGGGGTTCGTTATGAGTGTTGGAGTAAAGACTGACATATTGATTAGCCTATTAACTAAGCCCTAGATTATTTTAAATCACCTCCTCTGCAAGCTCGCACTCTGTTTGACTATATTTCCATCTAGGTGTTTAGCTCAGAAGTAGTATACCTGATAGATAGCGGTAGTAGACATAAACGTACCTTTATATTCAATAGCGGCACCCACCCTGGCAAGCACAGCAGAACCCATTGCACCCTAGAACCGGGTTTGAGTTAACCAGTTGTCAAACTCTAGCCGTGCTGTACTATTACTTACTTCCATATCCACAGCAGGGTGTCCCCGCCGTACCATCCTCACATATCTATGGGAGCAACTGTCAGTTTCACTTGACAGCTCGCAAAACACAAATGTCTATCCAGATCACCTACCCCTCCCCATATAGGGTTATCGCTCCTACAGCAGGCACCCTCGCTTGTAAGGCCTCGGGGAGCAGGACTGGGGCCAGCGGGGGTTGCGAGCGTCATTAATGGAAAAAGAAGAATGATCAAGATCTGCATTCTGAAGGGCAAGTCGTATGTAGAACAGTTCTTTTGGCTTTGAGTATATTTTGATTTTGAAGACCACAACCGCAATGGAGGGGAGAACCAGTCATTTATAGATACGGAGTACCTGAGCCGGCAATATCCCAGGATATCTCCAATTCATTGTTCCCAGCAGACGGGTAAAGTCACGTCAGTATATGCAGATAGCACGCCCTTGTCCATTGTACAATTCGCGATAGGCAGAAAAGGTGCAACCACGCGGTCAAAGAAAGTCTTGCCGAGTGCCGGCAACCGCGTTTCAGTAACCGCTCTTGAGAAAGGTTAAGACTAGATTCACTAATAGATAGAGAAAGGCGATCAAGCGAGTAATGATCTAGACGCCCGGTCGGTCCCAGTAACTGGTCGTTATGGGACCTGTGTTGCTTCCAGGGGTATATCATCAGGTCAGCAAGCTAGCAAAAAGTCCAAGTACTTAATATTTGCAAGGTATAACCATATATTATATCCCCTATATATATATATAATGAACAGGTAGGCTCATTTCCGTCTCCGGTCCATTCTCATATCCAGCGGCTGTGGAGTGACAATCCACCCTACTGGCGCCCACAATTGGTAAAAGCCAGAGCAAGTTGAGGGAGACATAGAAGAGACAGAGTAAGATACTGCTCTTTGGTCATATACTGTTATATACTATTATATATCTGTTATATATTTGTTATATATGTGTTATGTTATGTGTATAGATGTTACCCCTGAACCGGAAGTCGCGCTCCCGCTTAGTCATGATGCTTAGGTAAGGTGTGTATATTTGTCATGTCTTACTAAGTGTCTTACCTAAGCTTCAAGAAAAAAAGGAACGCGGAAACCTTAAAAGTAAACCTCCTTTGCTTCCTTCCGCTCGACTTGCGCGCTCTCAACTTCGACTTCATCTTTCGACTTCGACCTTTGCTTTTGCCCTTCTCCGTCTTCTCGTCTCCGTCTCCTCTTCTCGTCTGATACCGCTGGCTACTCGATACGCTGCTCCTAACCACCGTCGCCTCGTTGCCTGGCTGCCCGATCCCGGCCGGCCCTATACTTAGCCTACGACCCCGTTCTGCTTCAACACCACCGTCACTCGCTCACTCTACTTTGCCATCCACCGGCTGCCACTACGCTGCATTCTGACTGTCTGTCCCTGTCCGTGTCGGCCCCTTGCTCCGGAAACGCCAACTCTAGGCGCGTTGCTCTTGCGTTGCGGTACAGTGCGGTGCGGTGCATCCCTCATGGGCCTGCGACCCTACGTTCCATCTACCACCGTCTGATAGATCGATCAAGTATCTGGGGGCGGATCAACAGCTCTGTTCTGCCTCCGTGCTTGCTCTGTGGTCCGCCATCATGTTTAATTCGTCATTCCCTGAGCTTCCGCCGCTCCCGTCCTACACCCTGACCCCCCGCCAACCGCTCATCTCGCCCATCCCAGATAATGCCACCATCCTCATCCTGCCCATTGTCGCCTACTGGGCCCTGTCCATGGTCTTCCACTGGATCGACATCAATGACTACTTCTCGCAGTACCGACTTCACACCCCCGCCGAGATCTTAAAGAAGAACCACGTCACACGCTGGGAAGTCGTGCGAGATGTCATCCTACAGCAAATCATTCAGACCTTATTTGGCGTCATTCTCATCATTTTCGACCAGCCAGAGTTTGACGGGAAGGAGGAATACGACGTCGCCGTTTGGGCCTCCCGCATCCGCATTGCCCAGCGCGCCATCCCGCAGATGATGACCCTGCTGGGAATCGACCCTGTTGGGCTAGCAGGCAGATTATCAGCTTACCCGATCCTCGCTGGCGTGGTATCTGGCGGCCACTACCCGTTCCTGACCCAGATAGTAACTCTGCCGTCGGGAGAAACGATGTCGGCTCCAGCCTTCGCCGCCTGGGAGTTGGCTGTCGGCTATGCCATCTACTACTACCTCATCCCTATGCTCCAATTCCTATATGCCATCACCTTCGTCGACACCTGGCAGTACTTTCTTCACCGCGCAATGCACATGAATAAATGGCTGTATAGTAAGTTTGTTCCCTCCCTGAACTGTGTCTGTGAAGCAACCCGTTAACCAAAACCCTAGCAACATTCCACTCCAGGCACCATAGGCTTTACGTGCCATACGCCTTTGGTGCCCTTTACAATCACCCGTTCGAGGGCTTTTTGCTTGACACGGCGGGTACCGGTCTTGCGTTCCTTACCTGTGGTATGACTACCCGGCAAGGAATGTGGTTCTTCACTTGTTCCACTCTCAAAACGGTTGACGACCACTGCGGCTACGCCTTTCCCTGGGATCCGCTGCAACATATTACTGCAAATAATGCCGCATATCATGATATTCATCACCAGAGTTGGGGTATCAAGTCAAACTTCAGTCAGCCATTCTTCACATTCTGGGACGCCTTGCTCAATACCCGCTGGAAAGGTGACGTTACACAGAGATACGCACGCTCTCGTACAGCTGCCCAGAGGATGGTCGATGAAGATATGGCTATAAATTCCCAGGAAGAAGATTCACAACAACAGCCACTACAGCAAGGAGCCGCCGTCGTGGCTTCTAGGGACGACGACGATGCGCGCACCCGTTCTCTTCTCAAGCGAAGTGTCCGCAAGACCACCAATTCCTTCTCTCCGCAGGCAGATTCTCTCAAGGGCCTCACCCACCGCTTGAGCGGCAGCATCCAACATAAATAAATTCTAACCCTTATATCCCTTTATAATGCTTCATTAATGCTACCTCTGGTTATTCCATTCTTGCCAGCCCAGACTGGGCTAGTCAACGTTGACTAGACCCCTTTTTGTGACTCTTATACTTTTCTAATCCTTAGCCTGGGCTTCTTTTTTTTAACCCCTTTTCATATCGATGCTGCCTGGCAAATATGCCATGAGCATGCCGCTCGCTTCTTCTCTTGGTTGTGTGTCCTTCTCTTTTCAACATTATTATTATTATTCTTATTATCATTATCATTATTTTCCTTTGTATGAACGATACGGTGATGAATAGTTGATTGGGACGTTCCCTTGGTCTCCGCTCTCTTTGTTTTTCGTCTTTCTGTCTCACTTTTTTTTAATTCATCCATATTCCCTTTCCCTTGTATCTTTACCCCTTCACTCGAACATGCCTACCTACCCAAACATTTAATATGTACATTTCTATCCCAGGGCAATCCCTGAACTTTGAACTTGAACATTTGAGCCGCGTTGATCGCTACAGAAGACTGTCCCGAGAAACCTCACCGTTAACTCCCCGCTGATTAGTTGAATTGTATTTCCTCCTTGGGGCATTATCTCTTTTTCCACTTGGGTCCGGTTATAGACGCCTTACCGTTTCTTCAGGCGCCCTGATTTCTTGATTATAAACCTGATTTGCCTGATTCAGAAGATTCCTCTAGGTAAAAGACACCCCCTAACATGTTTTCCCATTAGCTAAATGACCCTCGATCTGTTCCCTAGACATACCCCCATGTATACTCCATAAGCCTACCTCCTAGGCATGATTTATAGAGGCGCCCCTATGACTTTTCCCGACTAATATGTATCTTAGGAATGCCTCTAGAGAAACGCCAGGGTGCCTATATTTGGACTCCGATTTTTCGCTTTTCCTTGCGGATTCTTAATGGAGGGATTGGCCGAATAGGCGGACTCAGAATGTCGGCTTGATCCATCATGCTCCAATGAGTCGTCGCCTCGGAAATCGGCCGCATTTTGTCTTCCAGTCCCTGCCGCTGGCCCTCGCCCTCGACATCGCCCTTATCAATAGGCGCTTCATCCAGCGTCACCCGGCTGTAGTTCGAAGGGGAGTAGCAGACAACCCGACTCCTTTCGCCCAGCAGTGTTCGGTACTCCGTTGCATACTCTTTGCTTGTTTTGGTGGTGTGCGAGCGTGTCATGCCGCTGCCATTGCATGTCGCCAGAGGAGTTTGAAGATCGAAGTATTGATCGAATTTCGCATTGCTTCTTTTTTCGTAATTCGTTCTTGCATGCTTAGCGGGCTTTCTTCTCTGCGTTAGCAAGGCGTCGTTGCTATCTGCTGTCCTTGAGTCGGGTACTCCAAGGGGACTATCAGGGTTGATTTGGGAATTGTGTCTTGGATCAGAGTAAGTGTTTATATATGTCCTCAGGGACTGGCTTCTCTGAAGCATTTCACTCCCCGTTAGATGCCCTTTAGTCATACTACTTATACATCTTCTTCTCGACTCCAGCTCTGGCTTTCGTTTACTTTCTGTGGCTCGCACTGGATCTGGATCCTCCAGGGTGTCATTTATATAACAATCGATGATTTCATTCTCGGCGTCGTTCTCGTTGTGTGGTGCTTGAGAATCACTCTCCCGCTGCCGGTCTGCTATGAACGATCTTGGTCTTCGGGTCCCCTGGCGTGTATTGATTGATACCCATCTGCTCGGCCGAGGAGTAACGTTACTCTCCGCTCTCTTCAACCTTCCAGGGTTGGCGTCTGGGCTATACCCCTGGGATGATATCGACTTGATATCCCTCCTCAACGCTTTTAACTTCAACGCATCTTCACCACTAAACAGGAACATCTCCAAACTAGACGGTCCATGGCAGCTCATGAACTCTTCTACCCACCGCACTAGCGGGGGCAACGCCCTCGCTTTCCGTCGACCTATTCGGCTCAGGAGAACTGTTCGCATATCTGTCAAGACCGCTCGGTCTCTCGCAAATCGACCGATCATGCACGCCTCGCATCCATCGCCCTGATAGAACCATGTGAACGATGGTCGGATGAGGTATTCCCTCTCCACTGACTGTCTTGTCATCCACAGACCGTTTACCGTTCGCAGGTCATGCACCATGCGCCTCTGCTCCGGCGAGAGCTTTGTTTGGTTCGTCGCCAGCCAGTTGAGGCCATCGCCTACCTCTGTCCGTATAAATCCACAAATTGCGTGGATTATTTCCCTATTAAGCGACTTGTGGGTGAAGCACGCCGAACTGGAGGGCTCTGGCAAGATGCCTAGTTTATCTATCACCAGTGACAGAATCCTCGATCGGCGAAGGTATGAAGGCAGTTCAGCGATTAGTTTAACAGCGGTTTCTCGTTCTTGGAAATTGTTTATATCCAGGTAGAGTATCCGAGTCAGTATCTTCACGTCCGCTCGGCCCAGATCCTCAACCTTTACCTGCATCCTTTTCCTGTGGCTAGGCGTCTTAGATTCTCTCTTGCGACAAAGATTTTGCTCTGGAAATTCAAGATGGCTTCGGTCGATTATGCTGATTCTTTCTTCGACGTGACTTACCTTATAAGATCGCTTTCTTCGTTACCATTGTCTGGGAATGCTGAAAGGTCTAAAAGACAAGCGAAACTGCAGGGTGCTAAAACGGTAAAAATGGTTGGAGAAAGTGGATATGATAACTTCTTCTTGAGCTTTCTAGTAATACTTACAGATTTCATTCATGCAATGTGTTTGCTACCTCCGTCAATTTTGGCATATTTTCCCCTTCCCTTTGCATCTGCACAAATAGATCTATATTGTTCTGGCATCACCCAGCTTGTTTGCTACATGTATATTCAAGAATTTACAATTCTCAGAGATAGTTAATGAAACATCCCTTTTGAATTATAAGCCTAGTTCTTCAGACGAGCTTCGAGTATGCGCCGCTAGCTATTATATCGGTGGATGGTAAAATTGTCCGGAATGGGTAGTTTCAGACGATAGATCTATTCCAAACGGTACACTCGCGTGGGATTTACCATACAAAGCGTGCCACCGCGTTTCAGGGTGATGATCCTTTACGGGCCAGGGATCACTGGAAAAAGCCATCTGGGGAATTATAACGAAGGATTTTTGCCTTGAAGCTGCCCATATAAGAATGTTGCCGTGAATAGCATAGCATGAATACGAATGTTATATCTAGCAGGGCCAGCTAAGATATATCACTTTAGGATGGAGAGTCAAGTTAAACTAATGTGGCCATCTGAACACTTGATCGTTAGCCAAGGATATGAAGGGATTTACTTGAAATGCGGATGTCGCTCGTAGAATGCCCCATTAATTAATGGGAGTCAACGTGAAAATGCATTAAGATGAGTTCCTAGGGTCCAGCCTTCAAGGTGGAAAGTGCATAGAATAGAGAAGGGAGTTGTGATGTAGGAAACGCGGTGAAGTATACATAGGAAGAGCCAACGGTAGTGCAGTTCTCTAGGGATTATAGTCGCGAGCGCCCATCCGCTGGAACCCGTTGCATCAGCTCGGCTAGTTTTCTGCTTGTCAGGTCTGTGATTGCCATGTTCGTTACCATTGGGTTGACGCCGCTAGCACTTGGGAATACTGAAGCATCGGCAACGTAAAGGCCGGAAGTTCCCCACACCATGCCTGTTGCGTCTACAACGCTGTTCCGTGGCGATGTGCCCATGCGACAGGTGCCCATTTGATGGGCGCTTGCGAACATTGACTGCTCGGTTGGGAGGGGAGTGCCAGCACGGACTTTTTTAATCCAATCCTGGAAAGCCACATTGTTGACTCCTTCATCTGCGGAGGAGGGTTCCGGACGGACAAAGGTAGGAATGGCTCGGGACGAAGTTCGGATCTCTTTTGCACCAGATACGTAAGCGATCTTTGCAGCACCAATGATGCCTTCTAATATATGTTTCCGGTCGAAGGCTGAAGGGGTATATTCGATCCTACACCTTCCGTCGTTAGGGTCGGGATATACCCTCCCTGTGTCTCTATCGCGGGTCAAACTAATGAATCCGGCCATCCGTCGCATGTTGGCGGCGAAGAACTTGAAATCAAGGCCGTCTCTCCATGGCATTAAGGGAAGGAAGAAGCTCGGGAGCATAACAATAACCTCAATCTTTGATCCATGGCCGCGGCCATCGAGGTTTTCAAAGTCGCTGACAAGGGAGGTTAATATACCCCCTTCCCATGGACGGGTCTCCTCGTCAAACATTGAGGACATGACGATAACTATGAGGAAGTTAGAATATTGGAACTAGACCAAGGGGGAAAAGAGGAAGAAGAAGAAGAATCTAATCGTACCTGGATGGAGGTGAAGATGGCGGCCAATATTATTGTTGCTAATACCGCTGCGAAGGAGCAACAAAGGGCTCTCCAACGTTCCGCAAGACACAATGACCTTTTTCGCTTTTATTACAAGCTTCCTCTTCACGACCGGCTCGCCATGAGTTTCCCCAGATTCGTCTCGTGAGGTCCATGTTCCTCGGACTCCGACTGCGACCTTATTCCCCCTGACCAACTTTTTGTCAAACAGGACTTTGTCAGCCTTGAACCCTTCGATAAATGTTGCGCCAGCCCTAGAAGCATCCGCTAGGAAAGTAACGGCGGGCCCCTGTTTGATACCAGCAGCACAGCCTAGTGTGCAATACCCGCAGTGATGTTTCTGGTGGCCGGTATTCTGCGGCACAGGTTTAGCAGTGTAACCAAGCTTGCGTGCGCCCTCGATCAGCATGCTGTTGCTGCGGTTTTGCTCAATGAAATCGGAAGACACTCCCATGTAGTCGCAGACACGGTCCAAGGAGGTCTGGAAAGCAGATGAGGTGAAGAACGGCAGGCCCGAGTTAGCCCACTCCTCGCGGACCATCGACTGGGTCTGTAGTGCTGCTGACCAGTTGATAGTGCCACCTCCGCCCCAGGTCGAGCCCGAGACGACGCCAATTGAACCGTCATCCGACAACTCGGCGCCACCATTGCTGAACATGTGCACGGCACCCTCGCTTCCGGTCATGGGGAAGCGGTTGTTGGGGAAGAAATACGACTTTTCTACCACGATGACCCTATGACCAGCCTCTGCGAGGTTCTTTGCCGCCACACCGGCGCCACAGCCGCTTCCCACGATGACCACATCAGTCTCGATGATTTCAGGCTGGTCTCCGGCAGGGAATTGCAGGAAAGAGTACGGAAAATTCTCGCTGGTCCTACCATGGACCGGGACGTTGGGGAACCCGAGGACGATGGGCAAGGACGGGCTTATGCCAACCCATGACTTCTTGCTGAGGGCCATCAGAGCACGGTGGGCAGCACGCAGGGGCGGAAGGTATGAAGTCTCCCATGAAGCAAAGATCTGCCTGCGCACATTATAAGGGTGGCGCTGGAAGGGCATCCTTGAGCCGGTGAGCATGAGAGAGATGGTGCTGTTGTTGAGGCCGCTCAGGATCAGTCCAATGCCCCTGCGGCCTTCCTGGTGCACATGGTGGCCCAAGGTGCGGCACAGGCTCTCCTTGAACCCTGGGACTGACGAAGCGCTCTCTTCCAGGTACCGGACAGCAGCATCCCTGGCGCCAGACTCGTCCTCGACGGTTTCCGGTCTGAGAGAGGACGCAAGGGCGTCAAACTCTGACCGGGCAATGACATGGCTGAGTGACGAGCGCTTTGCAGGGTCTGCACAGGTAATGGACGGGATGACAGTATCTGCAATGGCCAGGAGAGTCTCCCACTGGGCCGCAGAGAAGACATCCTCAGGACGAGGCGCTGGAGGGAGTGGAGTCCCTTGAACGGTCATGGCCGGTGAAGCCATGGAGAATAGGAAATAGGTAGAAAAAAGCACCAAATAAAGAACAAAGAACTAGGAACTAGAGGAGCGATCCACAGGCCGAGGAATGACAGAACGGGCGGACAGCATCAGCTTGTCTCCAGTAGTGAGGGAGCAGTATGTCTCCAGTAGGTGAGCGAGCTGGTGAAGAAAGCAGAGAAGCGAAATCTGAAATCCGGGGAAGACGCCAGCTCCTATGTAGGGCTAGGAAGGAGGAGCCCGCGGTCGGCAGAGCTTGCGGGGGAGCGTTCACAAGCCGTCTTCTCCTGGTCTCCCGTCCACTGTCTCTGTCTGGCCTCTGCTATGCTGTATAACGCGAGAGAGAAGAGGAGAATGATGGGTGTATCGGCCAAAGGGGTCGGGAAGCTCCAGGTTCACCTGCGGCTAGGCAAAGGCAATCTGGTCGAGGTGGAGGCCAAGCTTCCTCCTCAGGGCGCCAGGGGACCGAGGAAGAGTGTGAGACCATGCTTGTGATCTCAGCAGCCTCCCGTCGGCCGCAGTGAGATCATCTCGCGCCCTCATCCTCCAGCCGGCGATCGATCGTACGGAGCAACTATCGTGTCATGTAGAGCTAGGATCCGCAGCCAACGGCATGTATGGCGTGGTTGGCGTGGTTGGCGTGGCTGGCGTGGTTGACGTGGAGACGGGCACGTCGTCCACCGACTGCAGCATAACGGCGAGGACGTCTCTGTCTGACTCTAGATTCTTTATATCCTCCATCTTTGTCTTTTTTATATCAATCTCGAGAGTTGAAGTCTCGATCTTCCCTTTTGGGCCAGATGACAGGCCACGTGATGTAGGCCATGGACATATATATACATATATATATGAATATATCAACACGTTAGCATGTTATATCTGTGTTCTGTGTGGATGTATCGAAGTAGATATCAATGCTCTGTGGGTGTCATGTTGTAGGTGTCTGTCGAGCTGGATCCGAAGATACACCTATACACTATACACACATATACATATATCTGAGATACGAGATATTTGATTGATTTGATTGGTCAGGTGGGTCTGGAGCAATCTATGAGATTTCAATCTATCAAGCACTGATCATCTAAATACACGATATTGAGCTCCTATTTATGTTCCTCATACGGCCATGTATCTTGCCATCGCGGAGATGCCAGCTACAGCTGAAACAGGCGTTAAAACGCCGGGCGTAGCATTTGTTCGATGATGGAGAGCTGACACTGATATTTAATGAAACGGCGTAGTTGACTAACGTGTTTCGTACGATCAGGCAGTATTACACCGAATCTCCGTTCAACAATATACATACACACACCTACACATACACACCTACACATACACACCTATACATACACACCTATACATATACACACCTATACATATACACACCTATACATATACCAACCTATACATATATACATATATAATATATAAATAGATGTGTGTGTATATATGTATATACAAAACATAGGTACAGGCTCGCCTCGTGGTCTTGGCGTCCTCCCCCACCTCGAGGCCCAAAAAGGAAGTTTTTTCTTCTTCTTCTTTTCTTCTTCCATCGCGGGGTGTTTTTGCATTCTTCACTCTTCTCGACGCCGACCCTGATCTCCAGCCAGAACACTTCCAGCGCCTCACACAGCTACTTCTTCCACCCGCCATCATGATCATCTACAAGGTGTGTGGACCCCGCACTCGCCGGACGCAGGGCGCATCGCCGCGCCGCCCTCGCTGCCCTCGCAGTGACAAGCCCCTGATTAACACGCTTCATGGCAGGATAAATTGACCGGTGACGAGCTCCTGTCCGACGCCTTCAAGATCCAGGACAACGGCGTCCTGTGGGAGGTCAACTGCCGCAAATACCCCAAGGGCAAGGACAGCTTCGGTCAGTGTGTTCTACTGTTCTACTGTTCTGAGTACTGGGCCTCTGCTGACGGATATATGCCCATTGTATAGTCCTCGAGGGAGCCAACCCTTCCGCCGAGGGCGAAGATGACGCAGGTGGTGATGATAGCGGCCCCGCCGTCATGGTCCACGACATCGAGGAGAACTTTCAGCTCAACTGGCTGAAGCCAGACGAGGACGGCAACGATCCAAAGCCCAGCAAGGATGCCTTCAAGGCCCAGATCAAGAGTCCGTCTCTCCCTCTCTATCTATCTACACCTCTTCCTACAACGACTCCCTTCTAACGCCACTTTCTAGGCTACATCAAGAAATTGAACAACAAGCTCAAGGCCGATGGCAAGAGTGAAGACGAGATCAAGGCCTTCCAGGCCGGAGCTGCCCCTGCCATGAAGAAGATCATTGCCAACTACGACAACTACGACATCATGATGGGCAGCTCCATGAGCGCTGAGGGAATGTAAGTCTTCTTTTAAGTCTCTCTCTCTCTCTCTGGCCGGGCCATATCTGACTGTGCGCTAGGTACGTCCTCATTGACTTCCGCGAAGACGGAATCACCCCCTTCGCCACCTACTGGAAGGACGGCCTGGTCGAGGAGAAGGTCTAAACGGGCTCGTCTTCTCTCCTCATCATCTTCGACCCAGTCGATCTCGGGGACAGGGGCTTTCTCTCTGGCCTCACCCTCGCACACCCAAATGCATAGATTCCCAGCAGATAAGAAAAAAAAATCCAGGCCAAAGTAGCGCCATACAAGGCCAATCCTCTTACAATCAATGTTCAGGAATAACGTTAGCGAATATTCAAAATCACGATCTAATTCAAAAGTGGCCTTTATAAAGTAGATAGGTAAAAGTACCATTGTCATTATGAGTTGAACATCTATAATGATACTCACATATCTATGCTTGTAAATATGTAGCCTTTTTTAGTCCCGTCGATAAATCGTCGTTTGGTGGGCGCGGGGCCAAGGAAATCCACAAATTTTCCACCAGCAAACCAACTGCACACAACACCGATATCAACCTCGATACCAACCACAATATCAACCTCATCAACTCACGCCAACTCGGTCCTCCATAGCAACCCTCCAAGTGATACTCGCACAATGTCGCACGCACGAGTCGAAGAGGTCTCAGACTCTGATCCAGACGACATGGACCCGTCGGATTTCGATCCGGCCAAGGACTCGATCATATATCGCGAAGACATGGAAATCCCCATGACAAACACCATGCCGCCCGTCCCCGTTATTCACCATACATCTCGCCCTATACCTCGCCCGGCCGGCCGTCCTGCTCCCCCGGCCGCCTCGCCCTCTCCGCCGCTCTTCCCGTCGAGCTCGCCGCAGATGCGCCGCCCCGCCATCTCCCAGGGCCGCGACATCCCACGCTCCTATCAGTGCCTCTACGCCGTGTACTTTGACCGGACACGAACCCGCGCGGAAGGGAGGAGAGTCAGCCGGAAGCTGGCCGTGAGCAATCCGCTGGCAAAGGACATTCTAGACGCCGCGCAGCTGCTTGGACTGAATGTCGGGTTCGAGCCGGACAAGCTGCATCCCAAGGACTGGTCGAATCCTGGGCGTGTGCGTGTGATGCTCAAGGACGAGGACGGACGGCCTGCCAATACCAATATCAAGAACAGTGCGTCGTATCCCTTTTATTTTCATAATGTCTACCGCATACAGACTACTGACTACTGACGGACGCAGAACACCTTCTCTACACACACGTTGCCCGGTATCTACAATCCCACCCGACAACAGAACAGGCTCCCTTCCGACTCCGGCTGCAGGGCATGCCCGTACCGGACAAGCCACCAGGGCCGCCGGCCACGCCACGGGGATGGAAAATCGGCACGATCCTACCCCTGCATTCACCTGCTCTGACGGGCGGCGGGGTTAGCGACAATCCGTTCAAGGAGGCCATGATGGAGATGCAGGCGCAGCAGGGGTTGCCGGGCATGCCTGCGCCGGCGGGTGCGGCCTCAGAGCCGAAGAAGAAGAGCAAGAAGAAGGGGAAGGCCTAAATCAGCCTTCGGTCTCTGTAGCCTCAACGAGTCTACAGGTCTTCTGGTCTTCTGGTCTTCTGGTCTTCTGGTCTTCTGGTCTTCTGGTCTCATCCAGCTGTATATTCGCGTTCGTGTCAGTCGAATACAGGGGTATTCTGCCGTAGCAGCATCGGACTGCCTATCTGGCGCCGTAGACTGGCGCCGTAGACTGGCAGCCGCAGAGATAGAAGTCTCCGTAACTCCTCAATTACCTCGTCAGTCCTCGTTAACCGTAACATCGTCAACCGTAGCCCCGTCAACCGCACTCAAGTACCGTAACTTCATCATATTAATAATTCAGGCGCATCTCGAGCCCACATGTGGAGCGCGCTAAGAGCCGCGCCTAATTTCGGCGCCGCGAGACGATAAGCGCGGCCCCCTCGTGGATTTCAGGTTGACGGAGTTCGTTTTGTGCTTCATCGTCCATCACCAACGCCACGAGACCAGAAACCGCGGGCTGCCGCCGATGTCGTGACGCCGGACCTGCCCTGCTCCCCCATCCTCGGCCTCTTGAACCGTCAATGAGTCTGTGGGACGAAAACCCGCCGCCTCTCGCTGGCCACGACGGCCTCCCCCAGCGCCGTCGGCCCGCCGAAACACATGGGGATAACGGCCACTCGGACGGCGAGCATCCCAGCTATCCGGCAGCTGCGTATCCAGGGCCGTCCGCTGGCAAGACGCCTCCCCGGCGGAAGAGCCATGGCTTCGGCGCCGGGAAACAGATCACTCGCACCAGGGTGAGCTACTCGTGCCATACCTGTCGGCGGCGCAAGGTCAAGTGTGACAAGGTCGGTCAATCCCCAGAGGCCATCCCTCCCTTTTGTACTGCTGCAATACTCATGGTTTCCATCGCGGCAGGTCCATCCGGTCTGTGGGAATTGTGTCAAGACCGGCACAGAGTGCATGTATGACTCCCTTGCTGCCGCCCAGCGAAACCGCGCCGAAGACACCCACCGGAGAGTCAAGCGGAGGAGAGACGCATCGAAGCCGGTAGAGAAGGACGAACCGGACTTTTCTTCTCCGCAGGAGAGCCTGCGTGAGCTGTTGAACTACCAGGCACGCCTTCGGGAGCAGAAATCGGGCTCAGACGAGATCGCCACGCGTTTGGATCGACTCACGTCCATGATCGAACGTCTCAGCCGTACAGGCGATTCACACACCAGCGATGGCAATGGCAATGGCAATGGCAACGAGAATGGCAATGGGAATGGGGTTGGAAGGCCGGGGTTTGTCGATGGTCCATCCACACGCACCGGCAACAAATCTGCTTCGACGTCAGGCTCTGTTTCACGGCAGTCTAGTCCACGGCGGAATTCTGATGACGCCAGCAACGAAGACTTCCCCATCCCTGCTGGACTATCCACAGATCTCGTTGATCCCGTCGGCACGTTGAACCTGGGACATCTGAGTTTGGAGGACGGCGGAAGGTCTCGATATGTCGGGACTACCTACTGGGCATACATCTCCGACGAGATCAACGAGCTAAACCAGCTGCTCCGAGATCAGAACCGCTCCCAGCCTCCAACGGTGCCTCAGCCAGCGCCATCAGACGACGGCAACGACGCCTCGATACCGCCAGTGCATAAACGAGACGATTCCACTGCCCATGTCCAGGAGTGGCTGGCCACCCATGAAAACACCAACATACACGAATCGGTCCTCTACCCGAAGGGAGGCTCACCTTCCTCCAACCTGAAGCCCATCGAAGCCGAAATGCTCAACCACGTACCGACAAGGCAGCAAAGCAACATCCTGTATAAATCCTTCATGTCAGGAGTTCAAGCCATCAGCCCCGTTCTACACCCTCCAAACGTGCTCAAATCTTACCAGACATTCTGGAACTGGTATACCGTGTACAGAAAGCCTGGAGAACCATACCCTAATCCTTCGTTCATTCCGCTACTATACGCCATCTGGTATGGCGGGTCGGTAACGGTCTCCTTGAAGACCATCCATGCCGAGTTCAACGTCGAAACGAGATCAGCATTAACCGAGCCTTTCCACGACGAGGTCACCCGGTGGCTAAAGGCCATTTCGTTTCCGCGAAGCCCATCGCTCAATGGGCTGGCTGCCTTCCTGCTTGTCCAAACTATTCTATCCAAAGAAGAAGAGCCCCTGACTAGTAGTCTTTTTATCAGTCTTGCCCTTCGCGTGGCCCAAACCATGGGCCTACATCGGGATCCGGCCCAATTTGGAATCTCACACTGTGAAGCCGAAATGCGCAGACGGATGTGGTGGCATATTGTGCATATGGATGGAGTGGTCGCCATGTCAAGTGGTCTCCCACCGCTCGTTAGCGATGAAAATTACTGGGATGTTCGCCTTACTAGTGAAGTAAAGGACACACTCCTCACTTCGCCAGAGGCAGAAGTGTACGAGCGGATGGTAGACGAAGGCTATAAACGCCCGGACAAGCCAGATGATCCGGCCATCTGTGGGAATTCGATGGTGAACGTTTACTACATTTCTGCCAAGGGTAAATATATCATGGCTCGTCAGTACCCCCTTCTCCTACCTTTTTTTTTCCTTCTCTATATCTACTAACCCTCAATAGGTGCCATTCGAAGGATCCTGAAAATCCAGCTGGGAACAAGGCCCGTTACAAGGAAAGATATGGAGGACCTGAAATCGGTCCTTGTCGACCTCCAATTCAAACTACATGCGCTTGTTGATAGAATTTCCAACCCCAAACGTCCAGCTGCCAATGCCGATGGAACTCGGTGCATTAAACCAGATCTCCCGAACGGTGGGCCTGGCTGCGGCGAGCAATATCACACACCGGTTCTAACTGCGTTCCATAAGTGGGCTAAGATATTGCTATCGTTATTTGTGCACAAAGTAAGTGGTGACTTTCTCGTGGCATTGCCTACTGGCATTGCTGACATGAACATAGGCCTTTTGCGTAGCATATCAGCCGTTTCTCAAGAATGCAAAAAGCAAGATATGGCCTGCCGCGAGACAATGGTTCGTGGTCTCCCCTGTCTGCTTTACACTCTTATAGCATGCTAATAGTAAATAGTGCGTTACGTCATTGTCATGGCTTCATGGAGAAATTTATTCTCCTTGCAACAGATCCTGATTTTCAACCATTCCAATGGAGCTGGCCTGGGTGAGCGGAACAAATGATTGTAGTCCTGATGTACTCAACTAACGTTTTATAGAAATCATCAGCCTATGCATGCAACAATGTAGGAATCATTATATTCGCATATGCACTTGCTCGCTAACATACTTCTAGGATAATGCTTATCGACCTTTACGAACGTCCTGCGAGCTCAGAGGCTCCCAAGTCGCGCGCCTTTATCGATAAAATATTCTCGCTATCCGGGCCTGATGGCGGAGTCGTCGGCGGCGAGGACGGAGTCACCACCTCACGGCCACTGAATGACGGTGGCCGTGAGGCCTGGGATATGATGCGACGGCTTCGTGAGAAAGCATGGTTGAAGGCCGGACTTGATCCACAATTACTGTGGACAGAGCAGGCTCAGCTTCAAGCTGGCGTTGGGCCTAAGAAGAGTCCTTCTGTGTCAACTACCTCCACCCGGAACCTAGAACGAACCTTGAAGGACCAGAGCGCATCTCCCACGACAAACTTCGCAGATAGTTATTATGCGATGATCAAGAACTCGTTTGACGATCGCACCCATGTCCGACAAACCTCTGGGGAGTCGAGTCGTACGAAGGATAAACAACCTATCACGTTTACAACGCTACCCCAGCAGCCCCCAATTCCTGGTCCTACTTGCACAGTCCCTGGAGTAGGTAACAGTGCTGCCCCACAGGCGTCTATGAACGCATTCATGTGGTCCTCCTCGCCGGTATATCAAAATGCAGCGGCGCCTCTCAATCAGCTTCCATCTTCTCTAGGCCAAGGTGACGCTCGAGGGTACCTCAATCCAAATTCTGCGAAATACGTTGCGCTCGCTGGCGATCGAGCAAATATGGCAGCGCCAATTGGAATCAAACTGGAGCACGCCCAGCCATCCCTGGCTGACATTCCTCTGCAAGCAATTCCGCAGCAGCAGCAGCAGCGACAACAACAGCACCAGCACCAGCACCAGCACCAACAACACCAGCACCAGCAGCAGCAGCAGCAGCAACAACAACAACAACAACAACAACAACAACAACAACAACACCAGCAACAACAACAACACCCAAGTGCGTTTGAGCCCAATGTGAACTTTGATTGGGATCAATGGGATGCTGTGTTTGGACAATATCTCCCGATCATCGACGGGTATATGGACCTCGACAATAGCGACCATCAGCCCAACCCCAGCGACCTCCCTCTGTCCCCAGCTCTTCAAGTGCCCGATGGTGAAATGAGTATGATGGATCGTCACATTGCTGGCCCAAGCAATTCTAGAAACTGGGCCGATTTCGGATAAGGCAGTCATCTCCAAATGATGTCAACTTAACTAGACTATCGCCGTAAAAGAGGAGCGAAACCTAGGATAATTCATGTCCTGCTCGTCCGCTGCAGGGCCGTGTGTACAGGGGACATGGAAGTTCAACGTGGTCAGGTCGAACGGGTAACGATAATATGTGCAGGCTCAACGAAACACGGCGCTACGTACGGACAGAAGCTACTGGCGCCGCTCCAGCATCGCCGGATTTCAACATCCGCTGACTATCAGTTGTCATAGCATGCTTGGAGCAAGTCCCTTACAAGCTTGACTTGTAGACATTAAGAAATCGGATATAATGGGAGAACGGAGATTGAGGAGGCTCATTTTTCGGGCCAATACTAAGAAGACGGTTCAGACTTTCTTTGTTAGCTAACACTATGATTAGAAATAAACACTCGATATTACTGCATCGTTACCTCGGCAATCAGTTTAGACCGTTTCCACTACATGGAACGTAGCCGTGGTGTTGCTGGTAGGTATAGAAATAGTATATAGTTCTCTCTACAAAAATCAATCATCCCCTGGCGGCTCTTGACGCAGCCTTTTCATATCCTGCAGTTAGCAACTAATACGTATCTCTTCGCCTATTTTTGTAAACCTGGAGTGTCTTTACCTACCCTTCTATTAAAATATACAAACTCGGCATATCTTCCTGTAGGCGCTATGCACTACCAATGGTACAGGTGAGCAACCACTACGCCCTTCGGCGTAAAAGGTTCTCCAGCCCATCCGTATCTGCCGAACACGACGAACACGCTTATTCTATTGGAGTACTCAAGCGTGGGGAGTATATCTAGTTAACCGAAATCTCGGCTAAGCTGGTTCTACTCATCTTCGTTGCTACAGAACTATACTCGCATCTCTATCAACTCATTCTACCGCAATAGGAAAATCATGGATAGACAATCAAGCGCTGTACTCCACCGCAACCTACAGCTTGTACCACAAAAGGTAATAAGGGCAAAGGGAAGCTATATTTTTCTCGAGGATGGGCAAAGACTCCTTGACTCTACGGGAGGTGCGGCCGTTTGCTGCGTTGGACATGGACATGAAAAGGTCAAGGATGCTATCAAGAAGCAGATGGATGAGATATCCTATACGCATTCGCTTTTCTTCAGCACCAGTGCCTACGAGGAGCTCGCCGCATTTTTAACCGAGTCTACCGGGGGGAAGCTGCCGAAGGTGTATATCGCAAACTCTGGCTCTGAAGCTATGGAAGCCGCAATGAAACTCGCTCGACAATATTTCCTGGAACTTCCTACTCCTCAGCCACAGCGTAAGAGGTTCATTGCACGCAAGCATTCATTCCACGGAGTCACTCTCGGTTCTCTGTCCATGGGCGGCCATGTCTTCCGGCGAGAGTTGTTCAAGCCCATCTTATTAGACAATGTATCGCATGTCTCGCCATGTAATTCATATCGCGGGAAGGAAGACGGAGAGTCGGATGCTGAGTATGTTGCAAGACTGGCTGCAGAACTGGATGCCGAGTTTAATAGAGTCGGCGCCGACTCAGTATGTGCCTTTGTGGCCGAGCCCGTTGTAGGTGCGGTAAGTATCAAAGATCTCTACATCGTTCTCCAAAGCGTAATTCTAATACGCAACAGGCCTTGGGCTGCGTTCCAGCTGTCGCGGGCTATTTCCAGGCCATGAAAGGGATCTGTGATAAATATGGAGCCCTCCTTATCCTGGATGAAGTGATGTCTGGAATGGGTCGATCTGGGACTCTTCACGCCTGGGAACAAGAGGGCGTTGTACCCGATATTCAAACCATTGGGAAAGGCCTTGGAGGTGGTTATGCTGCGGTCTCCGGTATTCTCATTGGGAATAAGGTAGTTGATGTTTTAGATAAAGGTACCGGCGCCTTTCGCCATGGGCAGACGTACCAAGGCCACCCAGTTGGATGTGCAGCAGCTCTGGCCGTTCAGAAGGTGATCAAGGAGGAAAATCTCCTGGAAAATGTGAGAGAGATGGGTGCGCTGCTTGAAGCTCGATTAAGGGAGTATCTGGATGACCATCCAAATGTAGGAAACATAAGGGGCAAGGGGTTGTTCTGGGGCGTAAGTTGACTCCGTCGCCTAAACGGCCAACCTGATGCTGATACCGTCTGAATAGGTTGAGTTTGTCAAGGACAAAGTAACTAAAGAGCCATTCGATCCGAAACTTGCCGTCAACATGAAAGTCCAGGCGCTTGCCTTGGATCCAAAGTATAGCTTCTCGATCTATGGAGGTGCCGGTACGAAAGACGGGATAAGCGGCGACCATGCTCTACTTGCACCGCCATATAACTCCACAAAGGAGGAGATCGAGGAGATTGCGAAGCTTACAGCAGCCGTGGTCAAGGAGGTATTCACCGATTTGGGTGCGAGCAAGTAGGGATGCTGCTATATATATATTGATATTCCTGTCAGATAGATCGAATATTAGCGCAAGGTAGCTCAGGCTTTGGGCCTACTTTTCGAATACCTGGCTGGCCGAGAAGATTAAACCTCGAGGAAGCAAATGAATATTTTCAATCATGTTTCATTTACGCCTGTTTTTGCTGTCCTAAATGCGAAAATAAAAGACAGGGTACATACTGGAATGCACTTGCGCCGATGCATGACAAACCCTTTCCCAGATGAAGAACAAAATGCCGGTTTAAGAGAGGACGAAAAGATTATTTGGTGTGGGAAACTTGTTGAGAAAGAGGGTAAGAGAGGCAGCTCAGGGGCCGTTAATATGAATTATAGGAACAAAGAAACAAAGCAGGATTAAAAGGGTCATAGGGCCAGGAGAGCCTCAGTGCTGGCGATAAAGAAAATAAATGTGATTGAAAAGGGTTATGTCACGGCCAGGAGTAGAACCACAAGTTGTAAGTTGTAAATGGATAGGTTGGCCCCCTGGTGAATTCCACTTCGCTACTCACACGAGGCTTGGTTGGCCCTGCCAAACATCCCCTTTGCTATTTCGAGGATTTGCGGCCCCTGTGGTGCATGCAGTGATTCTTGTGGGAGGTCCAGACTGATCTAGTTTAGGAGACTTCGCTATCTTCCTTTGCATCCTTGGAGTAAGCTTTCTGTAAATGCTTCAGGCCTCTACCGTCCACCTCTAGTGTAAATAGTATATCTCGAATCTGGATGCCAGCTCCATGTTCCTTATCCTCTCGCCAATCACCAAATTGCTTGCGAATAGCCTTGATCCCAACGGCCGTAGAATTTGGCTTGCCGGTGACACCCGAGGCCGATCCAGCAGCGGTCACTGTACTTAGTCGAGAAGGTGTCGAGAACCCACTTCTGCTAGCAGCTGGTTGAGAGGATTTCAACCAGCTGTAGCCGCCTTTCTTACCGAACCTTGAAGAGAGGCTGGTTGTCTGCATGCGAGCTGTTTCTACTGCATGCTGGTGCTGTACCGCACCTGTAGCCTTCACGTCGACCTTTTTGATGTCCTTCTTGGATATCTTCTTATCGATATCTGGCGCCCGTTCGCCTAATAGGCCATTGGGTGTGGCCACTCCCGGGGTGGATAGTCGGCCATCGGCACCGAGTATGGCATCCGCATTGCGTTTTGCGCGTTTGGCAGCCCGACGCTCTTCGTGTGACTCGTCCCTGTCGATTAGTCGACGGCTCTTTAAAGTCAAGGCACTCGGTGTGGCTTTTTTCGCCACTTCAGCGGTATTACTAGCTGCACCTTCGGCCGGGGCGGTTTGATCTGCTTCCATTCAATGTTAGTTTCTGGTATATACATAATAATAGTTGCACACAAAACTCACCTGTCACGGCAGCGTCGACACCAGACGGCTCAGGTACAGCAGCTAGGTCGATCCATTCAGGCGGTACAGCACCGTGGGAATTCACGCGTCGATTTCTAGACAGTGTAACAGAGTGATCGATGACTGATCTCAGCCGTTCTTCCGCAGCTAGCGAGAGTAAGGAGATGATGTCACCCAATGCAGACTCTGGGTTGAGAATAGTCTGGTCTCTTCGGACCACCGAGGAGCCGTCTGGACCACTGACTTCAACGGGACCGGTTGGGCGTCCGGGGAGCGGTCTGAATACACCGCCCATGGGCATCCTGACCCCGTGTTCCGCAGCATGATTCTCTAGTTTCTTCTCCATAACCGCTGTCTGTAGGAAGGCCGCCTGAAGGTGGTACTGTTCTCTCCGGCTAGCTGCGGTGTCCTGCCGTAGTTTCTCATCTTGCGCCAGTTCTTCCACCGATTTGGCAGGCGGAGCAGCTGTCGGTACCTGGGGAGAATAGGCTATAGGTTGAAAGGCGGGTTGTTTGGCGGTTGAATCTGAAAAACTGTTTGTTGAGGTGACGGAGCCCGCAGATGGCAGAGAATTAAAGGAGTTTGAGAAGCTGGTCTGGAGTCGTGGTGGCTGCGAGGGGTGTGATGCGGTCTGAAGCTGTGCTTGCTGTGGAACTTGGGCCTGGGTTGTCGACGGTTTCCCGTATCCGCTGGTCAGAAAGGCTTCCTCCTCCTTCACGTCTATACCGGACGAGGCGAGAACGTCCGTAAGCTCGGCCGTGTCCGTGGCCTTCTCTACCGGACGCGAGGGAGGGCCCATCGAGCCCGGTGGCGGGGGCGCATTTGGGCCAGGCTGCTGCTTCGACATGCCGTTGACAGAGGTGCCGTTCATGGGGCTTCCGTTCGTCGGCAGCTGGACAGGCGCGAAGTGAGGAGAGTTATATGACTGTGACTGCGGGAGAGGCGAGAGGCGCTGTCGTTTCGGCGGAGGAGGAGCGTTACCTGGAGCCGAAGACTGGGTGCCAGGGGAGGGACTTGCGGCAGGGGGAGAAAACGCGCGAGGAGGAAGCTGGTGCGACTGAGTCTGCGCCATGGCGGGTGTCGACAGGTGAAGAGAGGTCTTGCCGCGTATTGTTCTCTAATTCTTCTTTGTTGGCCTGGCTGTCCAGGGCAGTCCAGGCGAAGGTGAAGCCCGGGTGAATGCAGCGCAAAACAGATGGGAGCTACCGGCCCTGGCTTGCGTCTCCCCGGAGCCAGCTTTCATCTCACGCTGGGCGAGCTGACCATCTGCAGTGTAGACGAGCGGGCGACAGCGCTCTACCGGTGGCTATGCGCGCTCAAACGGTGGCTTCAACGCTGGTCTCAGGTCGGTTTCTCGCTGCTTTGTATCTTGTTTCTTCGTCGTCGTCGTCGCTTTTTCCTTTTTCGCGTTTTCGAAGGACAAAAAGAGGGAGTCACGTGGATGGTTAGCTAAGCATGTCCTATATCAACCTCGAAGACAACAAGATACAACACAAGACGATAAAATATACAACACAAGAAGACGAGAAGACGATACGACACGATACGGAGAGAGACAGCTGATGTCAAGAGGGATAGACCTGACCTGTTGGCCAGAGACGCCGCATGATCGGGCGCCAGCGTAAGAGGCAGAAATGGCGGTAAAACGAAAGGGCTCGTTCTCGGCAGACGAGCAGCAGATAGATCCCTCCGATGAGTTCCTTTTTCACTGTCTCGGCGGTGGGAATGAAGTCGGAAGGTCCTGCCATATCATACAATACAAGGGGAAGACGGTTATGGTGCGCTGAACCCCCTGCTCCGTCGTGCCGAACCCAGCTAACACGGTGCTGTAGCTTGATGCCGGAATGCACCCGGCAAAAGATGGCTTTGCTGCCCTGCCGTTCTTCGACGACTTCGATTTGAGCACCGTGGATATTCTACTTATAAGCCAGTACGTTATATCTCCCCTTTATGCTTCCAGATGGCCGAATCTATACCTCGGAGAGAAGATATGCCCTTTTGGCCCCCGCGTTCTTCTCTTTTTCTCTTCTTTCATGGCTATGTCCAGATGTCAAACATGTACTATGAGATATCAATGCAATTCAAGTTTATTCCACGGAATTTGGAGCTTCCCTCGTATCCCGTGTATTAGCCTTATGTCAAATGTACAGTCCACAGCCGGCTAATTAGGACCTTGCCATTTAGTTTCCATTTAGATCACTCGGGCTCCCTGCCATACGTCCTTAGCAAAACCAATTTCAACGGCAGGGTCTTTATGACCCATGCTACAAAGGCCATCTACAAGTGGCTGATCCAGGATAACGTCCGGGTCAGCAATACATCCTCCTCCTCCGACCAGCGAACAAGCCTCTATACGGAGCATGACCATCTCTCGACCCTCCCCATCATCGAGACGATCGACTTCAATACCACCCACACGATCAACAGCATCCGAATTACGCCCTTCCCCGCCGGTCATGTTCTCGGTGCTGCGATGTTTCTCATATCTATCGCCGGGCTGAATATTCTGTTCACCGGCGACTACTCAAGAGAAGAAGATCGCCATCTTATATCCGCAGAAGTGCCCAAAGGTGTCAAAATCGATGTGATGATAACAGAGTCAACCTTTGGCATATCGTCGAACCCTCCTCGGCTAGAACGTGAGGCAGCCCTCATGAAATCGGTCACTAGCATCATAAATCGAGGTGGAAGGGTTCTCATGCCTGTCTTCGCACTGGGACGAGCACAGGAGTTACTCTTGATCCTGGATGAATACTGGAGTAGGCATCCCGACCTACAAAAGGTACCGATTTACTATATCGGTAATATGGCACGGCGATGCATGGTTGTATACCAAACCTACATCGGGGCGATGAATGAGAACATCAAGCGTCTCTTCCGCCAACGCATGGCTGAGGCAGAAGCCAGGGGAGACAAGAGCGTCACTGCTGGGCCGTGGGATTTCCGTTTCGTGCGAAGTCTGAGGAACCTCGATCGCTTCGACGATGTAGGAGGTTGCGTGATGCTTGCATCTCCTGGTATGCTCCAAACAGGAACAAGTAGAGAGCTTCTAGAGCGGTGGGCACCCAACGAGCGTAACGGCGTCATTATGACGGGTTATAGTGTGGAGGGTACTATGGGCAAGCAGATAATCAACGAGCCGGAGCAGATCCAGGCTGTTATGAGTGCCAGAAGTGCTGCCGGAATTAGGGGTCGGGGTGACGGAGACGACGACCAAAAGATTATGATACAGAGAAGATGCACAGTCGATGAAATAAGTTTTGCAGCTCACGTCGATGGGGTTGAGAATAGGGAATTTATCGAATCAGTTGCTGCCCCTGTTGTGGTAAGTTGCAATTGCTTTTCATAACTTAACGCTACAATCACTGACGCTGCAATCTAGATCCTTGTCCATGGAGAGAAACACCAGATGATGAGACTGAAATCAAAGCTACTGAGCTTAAACGTAGACAAGGAAGTCAAGGTCAAGGTCTACACGCCTGCCAACTGCGATGAAGTTCGAATTCCGTTCATGGTCGACAAGGTCGCCAGGGTCGTTGGCCGATTAGCCGAGACGTCACCACCCATGGGGCAGGATGATTCCCGGCTGATGGATGGCGTTCTCGTCCAAAATGGCTTTAAACTGTCCATGATGGCGCCAGACGATCTCAGAGAATACGCCGGACTTACCACGACAATGGTTACATGCAAGCAGTACATTACCCTCAGTACAGCGAGCATCGACCTCATACGCTGGGCTCTCGAAAGCACTTTTGGCCTTATCGAAGAGATTGATCCTTCCTCAAACCAAGATATTAAACCCTCCAATGGAAACTCCAGTCAGCAAGAGAATGACTCGGTCATCAAAAAGGGGGAAGAAGCGGACGAGGAGATCCCCTCCTACGCTTTAACCACCTATCTTATCATGGGCTGTGTCTTTGTAAGATATAACCCGCAGCGGCGTGAAGTCGAAGTGGAGTGGGAAGGTAATATGATGAACGATGGGGTTGCAGATGCTGTCATGGCCGTACTACTCACAGTCGAAAGCAGCCCGGCAGCTGTTAAGCGTAAGCAATCTCCTTTGGCCCCTTATCCGTATTTTTATCAGAGAGAGCATGTATCTAACCAAATCATTTATGCACTCAGGCTCAAGCAAGAATAAGCATTGCCATAGCCATGCGCCGCTCCCAGACAATCCGCACTCTCACCTCACCCCCCACGAACGCTTTATGCGTCTATGCATGATCCTTGAAGCGCAGTTCGGGTCCGACATTGCTCCCATCGAGCGGCCAAAGATGAAGCGGCATGGAGGCCCAAAACCAGGAGCCGATTCCGCCAAAGAGGATGCCAGCAAGGGTGAGACGCCGGAACCGTCGGGATCCGAGGACGAGGAGGAACTCCAGGAGATGGAAGAGCTAGAATTAGCTCGCTTACATTCCCTCGGTATACCAGTGCCCGGGATCGAGATCAAGGTGGACAGCCACATTGCCAGAGTCTGGCTCGAGACGCTAGAAGTTGAATGCTCCTACCCGGTCTTGAGGGACCGTGTCCGCGTCGTGGTCGAGAGGGCCGTGGAAACCGTTGCCGACATGTGGAATACGAAGGCTGGCAGTTCCATGCCAGCGAAGTCTATCCCCAACGGAGCGACTATAATGAAAACAGAGCAGGTTATTTAGCGCGGATACTCTCGTGGACTTAGGTCAACCCTATTCATCTCCAATCTATGACCACGTTTCTTTTTTCTTCTCTTGTTTAATCGCTATGGCCGGGAATCACAAAGGACTTGGGGGTTACATATTTCAGCGTATAATGGCCGCTTCTAACTTCTTCACTGCTAGTCTTTTATGGAAGGCCCTTGTACCCCTTCTATATCGACATCTATCTGCATCATAACTCTTGTGCTTCTCGATCTCGAAGACGCAGCCCTCGTACGGCAGCGGTCATATCCTGGCGATGACGATATGTATAGATCTCCTTGTCAATGCTGCATTGCAATCTACGGCGGCAACCAACGGCGAGTTCGACATAACTGAAGAGTACTCAAAATAGGAACATATAGCAACCTCCAAGGAGCTAGGCACTCCTATATGCTACAGCATTATAATAGTTATCTAAAGAGCTGTTTAATTACTGGAGTAGTATATAGAAAGCGACTACGCAAGTTACCCCCTGGCGACCTCTACATGACTCACATAGAGTAGAGAATATCTTCAGGTTGGGCTGACTATAAAATATCTATGACAGCCCGCTACAAACCACCTTCACTATCGCAGCTCCCTCCAAAGCCATAGCCGTTACTAGATCTAGCAATACGCACTCTCCAGAAGCCTTGAGCCTATCCCATAAGCATGGCTGACGGCCGTGGCACCGTTCTTCCCGTGCCTGGCAAGCGGAACATCCTCATCACCAGCGCTTTACCATTTGTAAACAATGTCCCACACCTTGGAAATATCATAGGATGCGTCCTTTCCGGGGATGCCTTTGCGAGGTACTGTAGAGGACGTGGTATCAACACTCTATACGTTGGTGGTAAGCAACCATTGAAGCTCCCCCGGTCAAGACAGCAGGCCCTAATTATCAACCTTCAGGGACGGATGAGTACGGGACCACGGCAGAGGCGAAAGCCCTCTTGGAGAAGTGCACACCACAAGAGCTCTGTGACAGGTACCACGCAATTCACGCGGGGATATATGAATGGTTTAATATCAGCTTCGACATCTTTGGCCGCACTACGACTCAACTTCAGACAGACATTACCCAAGACATATTTCTGAAGCTAGAGAAGAATGGCTTTTTAGAGGAGCGCATAACAACCCAGCTGTACTGTCAGGAGCATCACTCATTCCTGGCAGATCGTTTCGTGGAAGGCGAGTGCCCAGTCTGCGGCTATACCGATGCTCGCGGCGACCAATGCGACCTCTGCGGCCAACTCTTGGAGTCTCTGCAGCTCAAACATCCTCGATGCAAAATTGACGGCTCCAAACCGATCACCAGGGATACAAAGCACATTTTCTTGGAATTAGACAAGTTACAACCTGATACCGAAACTTTCTTTCGAGACTCCGCCGCCCGCGGTGCCTGGTCGAACAATAGCACAGTCATCACCTCAGCTTGGTTGAAAGAGGGATTGAAGCCACGCAGTATAACCAGAGATATTAAATGGGGAACAGCGATTCCACTGCCAGGATACGAAGATAAAGTCATATACTCATGGTTTGATGCTTGCATCGGATACGTATCCATCACTGCTCGGTACACTGACCAGTGGGAAAAGTGGTGGCGAAATCCCGAAGACGTTCAGCTTTATCAATTCATTGGTAAAGATAACGTTGTCTTCCACTCTGTGATATTCCCTGCCTCTCAAATTGGCACTGAGGATACCTGGACGAAGCTCCATCATCTCTCCACGACAGATTACCTTACCTACGAGGGCGGGAAATTTTCTAAATCTCGCGGCATTGGTGTCTTTGGAGACTCGGCTCAAAAGACCGGGATCCCTGCTGACATTTGGCGCTGCTTCTTGCTTTCCCATCGCCCAGAGGCCGGTGATAGTGAATTTACTTGGGACGCATTTATTAATTGCAACAATAATCTGCTCCTTAAGAATTTCGGCAACTTTATCAGTCGTGTTCTGAAGTTTATCAACTCTCGTCACTACAACAACATTTTACCAGACTGGACTGAATACCACGAAGACTCCTTTGACACTTTTAAAGAAGAGATCAACAAGCTTCTCGCGCAGTATATCCAAGAATTCGATGCCGTCAAGATTCGTCCCGCTTGGTCGACAGTCCTCCAGATATCTCAGCAGGGCAACGGCTTCCTACAGTTGAATAAACTCGACAACAGTCTTGCCGAAAATGAGCCGTCTAAATGTGCGGCAGTTATTGGCATAGCCGCCAATACTGTCCACCTTCTTTCATCCATCGTTGCCCCATACATGCCGGACATAGCAAAGTCCATCAACACACAACTTTGTACCGATCCAATTTCCATCCCAGACCACTGGAATGCAGATTCTATCAAGCCTGGTCATAAAATTGGCAAGTCTGAGCACTTATTCAGTCGTATCAACCCCGAAAAGGCAGAGGAGTGGCGAAAGGCGTATGGCAGCGACGAGGTGAAAAGGGTCAAGGAGGAGGAGGTTGCAATGAAAGCGAAGAGAAAGGCAGCTATGAAGCCGGGGAAGACAGAGCAGACAGGGAATGTTGACAAGGCAGAAGATATGGTGTCAGAGGCTTGAAGACCTGCGTAGAGTCGCTCAACAAACGTTTCCCAATGAGTACCAACTACCCGCAGATATTCTGGTTCCCGTGTATGATGTCTTATGTTTAGTTATTAGATCTGGTAAATCGAATCTTTAATATTTTGGGTTATATCTCGTGGTTCAGATATATTCATTGTATCAAAATAATATAGTTATCGCAATTCTTAAACATGGCAAAAAGTACAAGCTATATCGAAGCCCCTGAGCATTATGCTGACGGCGAGCAACTACTCTGAACATAACCACTTACCCATACGATGTGTCTCTTATTAGCTACTACAACTACCACACTGCTACCCCAATTGTGCAGCATGGGACAACATATATACCACCGGCCTCACAACTCCTGCTTTCACTAACGAACAACTCTACCACAGCTGAGGGCATCAAGCCGAAACTTGATCCGGGCAACAGATAGGATTGAACATACGGGTCAAGGCTAGCTACCAGTACTAGGGACGTCATCTAGCCTACAAAAGGAGGGCGAAAGAAAGAACATTCCCTTATAGGTACCCCTATTTCTGGAGTTTATGTGCTTCACAAGTGCCAGTTTGTTGTCCGCCTGTTGCTTCTTCCCGTATACATACGTGTCAGATGTTTAGTAGGTATCTACTAAACATCCTGCATCAAACCGACCATCCAAGGAGTCGCCGCTAGATGCTCGCGACTCTGCTCATTTTATACCTGGCACCCGCGTCACCTTCATTTTCTTTGTCAACAATATTATCAATGCTGCGCTATGGCCGATGGTTGGTGTAGGTACGACGCAGGCGCTGATAGCATGTTCTTTGTCGTGCAATCCGCGGACATCGTCTATTCCTATACAGCTTGGGCTTTACAGGTTGCCATCCGTTGAACCAACGGCTACATCATGTCTTCGCGTTTTGTTCCCGATACCCATGAGAATTCATCTCCACGGCTCGTCAACTATTTAACTAACCAGTCAGTTAGTTAACTAGTTAGCTAGTCAAAGTCCATGTTTGAAATATCCAGTGCCGATTCCAAGCTGCCAACCCCGAATACAACTCCAACGCCGAATTCTCTATGGCTCTACTCCGTACAATGGGGCCATAAGATGGTGTTTAATTACAATGCCAACATATCTTCCTGCCAGTCGCGTTTCCCCTCACGCTTGGCCTGTTGATCTCAGGGGAGTACGCGCTTGCACGGTTCGTGTGTTCGTTTATTATATGCCTGAGGAACACCCTCACACCTCCTTTTTATCCAGGGAACGGAAGAGAGTGTTCAATATTTATATATTATTGCCTTGAAGGTTTCATCAACCCTTTTTCGGGCGTCAATTGAGGTGGTAGGCCGGGCGCAGTCTATATCTGTAGTTATACCATGCCCGGAACAGACCTCCAGGGTTGAATTAACCCAGCATATTAACGGGATTCTCTAGATACAGTCTGAAGTATATAAGGTACCATAGATTCTCTGTGATCTATCTCTTGGTTCATCCAGAATATCCTTAGATTTTATTTCGCTCAGGTACCCAATTCAATCCAGTTGTGACAGTCCGCAGATCTTGCAAGCTCAGTACCCCCAACCCATAATGATTGTCAAGGTATTTTATGTTACCTTCTTCCTCGCCGTCTTTGGCGCCGTCTTTGGCCTTCCCAGGGGGGTGTCCACCTCAGAGGAAGCCCATATAACCAAGCGGGAGTCGTAAGTACAGTTATGTTGACATATATTCCCTGCACTTATCGTCCCTCACATTCCTCCTTTCCCTGACCCAATGGCTAATGGTATTACGAAACCAGGCGCGGACGAGGAACCATATATTATCAATATGGAATATTTGGCTCCTGCGGCATAAAACATTCGGACCGTGACTATATCGTTGCTCTGGGCAAATCTCACATGAAATCCTACAAAAGCCCTAACTGTGGCAGGCGTATCATCGCAAAGAACACAAGCACCGGGAAGACCATCCGGGTTACAATTGCTGATACTTGTGATGCCTGTGGACCAAATGATGTTGACTTCGCCCTTGGTCCCTGGAAGGAGCTTACCAACAACGCTGCCCCCGGAGTTTTTACTGTCACTTGGTACGTTTTATTGCATTGGCTGATCTGAGAACGAATTAGGACCAGATGCTAACCGCTCATCTACGGCTAGGCATTGGGCTTAAATCCATGGATGAGTCCGCGTATTTGGTCACTGGCATGCAACCGCTGGACGGAAAGGTGTCAGAAATATCATCATAGCTCTCCGCTTGCCATAGAGGAGGGACGAATTTATACACAAGGCTGAGGTATAAAGACTAAAGATAACTAGCTTCCTTCATGCTATAGTTAGATTCAGTCTTGTGTTTTATCTTGTGCAGCAATATCAAAAATTGGAATTATCGCCCCTCTTTTGTTAGCATGACCAAGAACACCCAGGAGACATGATCATCATAATAAAACAAAGCATATCTATCTCCTATTATATATATCAGGGGTATATTAGCGTGTCAGGTTCAACACACAGTTGGGTCGAGATTTCTAGCCTTGTAAATCTAAACATCTCTTTTACATATATCATTAGCAGCCGAGACACCCAGGTGGTATCCAAGGGCAGACCCTTCATGTAGCATCCATCTCAAGGCTTATGCTTCCCCTTTCTCCTCAGGCTATCCGTATACCACGGACTCATTCGCATTAAATGATGAAACAAAGCTGTATCCAAAAGGTAACTTTACTCAGACACAGGAAGATCCGATACGCCCAACAAAACGACGATACCTCCGTCGACAAGTATATGATTATCGAGAATGAGAATAAATAATCTTCATTAATCCCACCCCGTATGAGGGTGCCGTCCCCCAGCCCTTATATCTCTCCCATTCCCCATACCTTCATACCTAGCTAAACGCCAATGGGCTTGCATTCCCGGATCGTAAAACAAAGCGTAGTCCGTAGACGTAAGAACGTCACCGAATCGTGAGGAAATGTCGCAAAGAAAGAACAGAGGCGTAGAAACAAATAGTGTCTAGAGTGACATAAAAAGTAATAAACAAGAAGACAAGTTTGAGAAGAGAAAAACCGCCGACAAATAATACGTGATCAACAGTTATCGCACTCGTTGGTGCGGTTAGCCTCCAAAAGTAAGTGTCTGACGCTAAGAGGAATATATGGCATCATCAGCCGACACGCGGATTATATGGGCAATGCTCCGGGAAAATGTAGTAATGAAAATTAAATAAGGATGGACAATGATATGTTTGAGAGAGAGATATTGAAGGGTTAAGTTCGGCCTCAGGTAGCTCGTTGCTGCTGCTCTCGTCGGATCTGTTCGCCGATACGGACTGCCTCGGTACCATCGTCAATGATGGTATCTTTGAACCATGGGTGCTTAAGGGCTTCTTTGGCTGTGATGCGAGTTTTGGGGTCATAGACAAAGATACGACGAAGTAGGTCGAGGAATTGTTTGTTAAAAGCAGTTGTAGCGGGGATGAAATCCTGTCGCCGTTGTTAGTAAAAATTGCAAGAATTGAATTTCTGTGAGCTTACGTGAAGCTGCTTCATCGCTTTTACGTATTTTCTCGACGCCCTCGATGTTTCCTCGTTTGGATAGTCAAGCTTTGTGCGGTTAAAGTATCTAGATATTGTTAGTGACATGACTGGAGCGCTCGGATTCTTTGGAGAGTAAACTCACTTAGCAGCGGCATTGGCACCGTGTCCATTGCGGCCCTGTAAGACCTGCCTCACAATTCTTGGGTCGATCTTGCCACCACATACGCTCTCCATCATGGCAAGATGCTCAAGGTTGTCATGTGTTTGGAAGAGGGCATCTCCAGTGAAGAACTCGACCAGAATGCATCCGATACTCCAGATATCACAGGGAAAGCTCCAACCTAGATTGAGAATGATCTCTGGGGCACGGTAATGCCGAGTTGACACCACAGAAGAATGGTACTCATCATCGAAGGTGGCAGATCCGAAATCTATTAGACGGATCTCGCTGTCGAGTAGGACACGTCGTTGCCGCGCAGTCCTTGAGGTAGTATGGGAGGAGGACGGGATCGTTCGGTTGTATGTAAAGGTCTGGTAAGCGTTGCTCACAAGGAGGATATTTTCAGGTTTCAAGTCGGTATGTATAAGGTTGACATCGTGAAGAACTAGGCCAGAGTCAGCAATTACAATCTCATCATGCCGAAGGAAAGGGACGATGACTTACATGCAACGCTAGTAAAGAGTTGTCGAGCAAAATTTTGGATCTGACTGCTCGGGAAAGGGACAAATGAGTTTGCCTTTAGGAAATCGAAGACGCTCTGGCCCAAAAGGTCGGTCACGATGCAAATGTGATTACGGAAATCGAAGCAATCGCGAAGATGGATGCATCGGTTCCTATTTGTCTCGTCGTTTGAGGCGAGAGTGGATAAAACTCGGAGTTCGATTCGTGAGGCATCGCGATACTTTTGAACAGATCTGATAATCTTGACTGCGCAGCGGGTTTTCCTTTGTCTGTCATACGCCTCCACGACTTTACCGAATGTTCCCTGACCTAGGAGCCGTATAATCGAATCTGGTAAGGGAAAATCAGTTAGTTTGGACCGACCCAAAAAAAAGAAAGAAAGAAAAGAAATTAATTTGCGATAGGGGGCAAAGGGTACATTTATCAGTCAGGTTTGTATCTGGGTTGACAATATAATGTCCGTCCTCATCGTCGATCTTCTGGTTTTTGTTCACATTATACTGTCATGCCGTTAGCATATAGGCTTCATATGCCTAGGGAGTAGGAAGGGACTCACGTCTCGGATGACAGGGACGACGACGTCCTTGGCCTTTATGGGCGGCTTTGGAGGAGGTATATAGCTGCTAAACGCATCGCCGACGGTCTCTAATTCTCTCCGTTTCAATTCATCACGTGCAGCCTTACGTGTCACGACTCGCTTCCGCTTCTGGCCGACAGCGACATCGTCCAGGTAGGCACTGTTTGTGGGAGCGCTGACTTGCGAGCCCAGAGACGTGGGAGCGGTAGTGTGGATGGACGTTGTGCGGTCGGTCGACATTGACGGCGCGGACGAGCCCTCGCCGTATTTCTGCGAGGAGACCGAATAGGCTGGGCGATCGTAGTAGACGTCGACGCCAGAGCCAACATCGGTTCTCCGTTTCTTGTTTGCAGGAAGAGCAGCAGCGGCAGCAGCAGCACGCGGGACAGTTCTCCCCGTCGATGGCAGTGTGTGGGCGTTGTTTGGGCCGGAGACGGGGGCAGGCTCGTCGTTATTATCCTCATCGTCGTCAATGACAATTATCTCCTTGGGAACGCCATTCTTATAAAACTCTCCCCAGTCTGGCTGCTTCCGCCGGCTTTGTGCGGTAGGCAATACAGTAGGCGTGCTGTAAGCGGACATGTGTGACAGAGGGGCGGACGATTTGGGCGTCGATGCGAGGGAGAGACCACTGGTGGTGGACTGATGGCTGGACGTGTAGTTGAAGGTGTTCACAAGCGCATTGTTAGCCACCGACGCGGTGGGGAAAGCCTGGGGGTTGGGTTGAAATGTTTGGTGATGGGAGTATCCGTAACGCTGGTGGTGTGATGGATGGGTTGCCGTAGCAGTAGAAGGGGTCGACATGGCGATGCCCCCCAAAACCGGTGCTGCCGGTCACGAAAGTGGTATAATTTTTCTGGCGGTGCCGGAACGGGCCCGCAGGGGAGACAGAGCGAGGAAAGAAAAAAAAAAAAGTAGATGATGTGGTTAAATCCAAAAGTGAGGAAGAAGTAAAGGATCTGGCGCTGTGAGGAGCAGATCCAGCGGCGACTGAGAGCGTGAGGCCTGGTGGTAGAATGTGGTGATGCGATGCCGAAACGAGACAACCGCACGCCTCACCCCGAGCCCGAAATCGACGCAGAAAAGGACGCGGATCTGGCGAGATGCAGGGTCAGAGTGAATCCGAGCAGGACGACAGAGTGAAGCAGCAGACTCTGGGAGGCGATGAAGGAGTTGAGGGCGCGGTGGCGTGGCAGGTCAGCGAAAGCAGGCCGTGGTGGTTCACGGTCGACCAGACGACTCAGACGATGCTTAGAGGCGGGGGAAAGGGGGAAAAGCAGGCATTGCGGCGTGAGCAGGACGTCGGGGCGAGCAGGAAGACAGCGTCAGGCAGCAGAACGGCCCATGGTCTGCAGCAGGCGGGCGGAGGCTGGCGGGCGGGTGAAAGGGTGAAGTTGAAGTTGAAGTCGAAGTCGAAGTTGAAGATGAAAGTCGTGAGGGCGGAAGACCCGTTTGGGACGGCCGGCAGAATCCTCTCTCTCCTCCTATATTTTATACTCCTATTCATCTTCTATTCATCTTCTATATCCTCTTCTATCTATATTATCTATTCTATCTATCTATTTATGCTATATATATATATATATATATACGGTGTTATTGTGTGGTATTTATTGTGTGTTGTTCGTGTTGTGTGTATTGTTGCCCAGCGAGTGCCTACCATGACCGGTCTAGCAGACTCCGTATATGAGAGCGACAGCTAGCAGAGAGCGTACGAGAGCGTACGATAGCGTACAGCTAGAGATCGCACTGGCTACTACGCTGGATCTCGACGGTCTAGAAGACCCGGAGAATGCTCGCAGAGGGCCATGCCATGACGGCAGCTGTCACAGCCACAGGTCATCCCACTCGGACCCCTACGTCGTACATGAGAGTGAACAGTGTAGACTCAAAGCTGATCTCAAGTGTTAAGCAGGGGACCTGGCTTGCTGCTCATCGCCTCGCCATCACATGGACCGGCGCTGAATCACCGGACCGCTCCCCCGTCTCTATTAGGGAGTTTTATATGTCTCAGGCAGCCGTAGATCCGGGCACCTGTCTGGCCTGGAGAGTAGTTTAGGCCATGCTGAAGGGGTGATAGGGCGCCGTCACGATGCTATATATGCGGCATATACCCAGCCGATGCGTGAAAACTCGCAATGTGGCAAATATCTACCGTCACCTCCAGACGTACCATGGAAACATCAACCGGAACACCGATAGGAATAGGATTACGGAGCATGGATGTCAAAAGAGTCGAGTTATGAACACACATTTATCTTGATCTAACACCTAATCTAGACAACTAATCTGACTATCTATCAAACTCCCCAGAACCCAGGCATGATGTCCGTCCACTCGGTACGGCACACGAACGCAAAGGGGAGAGGAAACGACCAAGATAACCCGCTTGGTGAAAACAATCTAGTGACGCCTCGCTACGACTGGACCGGGTCATGCAGTCAGCGAACCCAAATAGGATAAAGAGAACACCGCCAAAGAAAAACATTCAAACCTCAAAAAGGAACTCCAAAGAGCAGTACGGCAAGGGAAAAAAAGAGTGCCAGCGGAGCTAAAGAAAAAAAGAAATATCCATAGAGATAAAGAACTCTGTGTCGAGAAATTGTCAGCTTTCACAGATGGCCCAATAAAATGAAGATTCGGGTTCGGTTAAGTAACTTATATGCCACGATTGAACTCAACGAGCCCGGTGCTGCCGCCGCGGCCCCAGAACTCCTCTTCGAGAGAGTCTGCCTGCACAGCCTGACGCTGCGGGAAGGCACCCAGTGCAAGGGGTAAAGCGAAGACGGACGTTGTTAGAATTAAACCTACAGAGGTGTTAGCAACATACTGGCATATATGGGGAGGCCCCGAGGGAAGAATTACCCAGGTTAACTGGCAGAACCAGCCGTGGCCGTAGCTTCAGCCACTGCATCTGCTGCAGCCGCACCAGTATCAATGGAGGCAAGACCATGATGGGAGTCGAGTTTAGCACTCGGCTTATGGCTGTCTCACCCACAGCCAAGGTGGCTGCCCTCTTGCTCTTCCCGAGACTCTGCACCTCACCTCCCTCCAGCTCGAGTTTGTCCCGCTGCTCCTTGGTCTCGAAGGGATAGACATCGATACCCTGTCTGATTTCCTCACCTCGCATCAAGAAGACGTTAAGCGCACCTGAACTGGCCACGGCCGCAAATGGGACGAGGCGGCCCATTATCAACTTCGTGTTGGGCGCGAGTCTAAGTCGTGGAACCAGTGCATTCAGCCCCAACGCGACAGAACACGACGCCGAGACAGCGAGGAGGTATGATTTGACTATGGCAGAAGTGGATAGGGGAGTGGATTTGTTGGCGTTGGCATTGTTGATGGCAACGTTCAGAGACTGGTTGGTTATCTGCCAGAGCAGCGTGCCGGTTATCTAATGACTCATTAGACCACAAATCAACTTCGACAAAGATGAAAATGGGAAAAAGAAAAAGAAAAAAGGGCGGGGGAAGAATACGTACGCCCATGCCCGGTGTGAGCATACCCGCCGTGACAATCAGATTCGAAAGCACGAAACATGACATTCTAAAGGGGAAGAAAACGGGCTCGCCGGTATCTATTCTCAACGGTCAGATATCGTCCTGGCACTCTGAACAGAGGCAGACTGGGCCGGGCTTGCAGGCTGCGGCGTACCAGGATGTAGAGTCGAATCCACCACTTTCTTCGCATGCCATAGCTCTGGCGTCATGGACAGCAGCTGGCCGCCCTTGTACGATTCAATGAGCCTCTTCGCATTTTCCAGGCCGTCCGTAGAGACAAAGAGGGTCCTACACCAGGTGAATCAGTCAGTACAGCTCGACGACTATGACCAGGATAAAATGTCCGAGCCCCCTACCGCGCGGACGGACAGAGACTCCTGGCATATCTCGACATACCTGGGATCGCATAACTCTGCAGACTGCCTGACCCGACCCCAGTAGGTGCTTAGGTCATATTTAGAGGCAGGGAGGTCCCGATTGCCGGAGCTCGAAGTTGAGGTCGCCATATGTGCCGGTCAATCGTGTGCGTGGCTCGGTCAATCGATAGCGACAGAACTATCCCTATCCTCGCGCTGCTGGACTTGAGAGATAGACACTAGACAGACGGTAGACGATAGATGGCAGAAGATAGATTAACTTGGCTGGTCTTGCCCTTGTCTCTTTTTACCTTTCGGCTTTTCTCTTTTTGTCTTTGGCCCTAGTCAGACCACGTGCCCTGCAGAAAAAAAGCCACTTTAAGGGCGGTGAAGGGGCCGATGTTCGGCAGTATCTCGGAAAAGCTTATATCCGATATGCGCTTATTTAGACGCCGCTTAGTAAGATGGCGGCTGTTGTTTTCTCACGTGACTCGGAGTTAGGAGTTACTAGACCTCGCATATAGGAATATACTAAAGAGAATAGGAGAAGACGAGAGAAGCAGTTGAGTACGCGGTATCCGAGGTCAGACATAGGAACAAATATGTACAGGAGAACGATACAGCATTGGCACATGCGAAGCTGGGTATTATAACACACGAAAGAAGATCTAGGCTTGGTATAAGATGGCAGAGTATAGCGACAGCACGTAAAAAAGAAAAAGGTAATAATAGTCGGGAGAAGGCCTTGGGCCGGTAAGATCGCAGACTGTGCGTAGGTAGATGCAGTGGACGTGGTTTAGGCGTTAGAGGAAGCCATACGATTTATGGGTAAGCGGAGAGGAGACGTGACCTCCACGGACCCGCGGGTCGCGGACTCGTCGGCGTACGGGGTTGTGCACGCAGTAGACGCAGATGTATACCGGTGGCAGGCTTTGGCGGTCAAGTCCAACACACTTCGTATGGAGCCAGTGCGTGCACGATTCACTGTGGTAGTAGCGGTTAGCAGAGAAGATACACGGACACAACGAGAGAAAACATATTACCATTGGATCATCAAGTGTCCGCCATTGTTTCTCGAATTGCACACACATCTGGTCCCCGTACTGGGGTTGTTCTGGCGGTCCATGGTCTGCGTGGGAGCGGTGTCTGTCTCAGTCATCTTGGTGGGCGAATTGACGTCTTCGGCATATGATTCGGGGTATCCCACCAGCGGAGGTGAAGACCGTAACGTCGCCATCGCCAGTGAGTGGGAAGCTCTAGACATTGACCCGTACCCAGCGACCGATTGGCGCTTACGAGCCTTGAGGACCTGTTTCAGTGCATGTTGGGCGTGTCCCGCATCATCTGCCTCGTCGTCTTCCTGGGTTGCCTCGGAGTCGGTGATCGAGTAGTTTCGCGAATGACTGCTCGATGGGTTGACAGAGTGTCGACGGCGTTGGTCCCACGCATCCTGGGCGGAGAGAACATCTAACTGTCTCCCCCTGCCCCGTGAGGTGTCCGTCCAGCCCGGGTTATACCCCGAATGTGACGAGCCTACCGTTGACGAGCGGGACGAGCTCTTCGAGTGTGGGCAAGACGACGATGGTGTGCGTGCGATGCGAGGCCTACGGGGTGTGATATCGGGGAAATTGAAAGACGGATTCTGACTTCTCGTTATCCGACGCTCTGAAGTATCAGACAGGTCACTGTCGCTTTCGGTTGAGAGTTCCTCGATACTTATATCGGGAGATGCATCGGGGAATTGGGACTGCGAGCATGGTGCCATTTTCATCTCGGTGGTGGCTATCCCGTCCTTGCCAACCTTCAGGACGAGCGCTTCCATGGGTGCAGCCAGCGAGGTAGGTCGAGGAAAGGAGTGCATCTGCGTCTTAAACGGCGAGGTCCGGCCCTTGGAAGGCGTCTTGGTCACCCCGCTGCCGGGCATAGAATTCATAGTTCCGGCGGAAAAGGAGTTCTGCCGAGATATCGCACCAGAATGTGTGGTAGTCCGCCTGGCGGGTGGCCTGCCCAAGTTAGACCGAGGAAGGGATGCATAGGGATCCTGGTAGGTAGCAGTGGCAGAAGTAGCAGCAGCAGTAGCATGCCGTTTCTGACCAACACTCCGGGTCCGTGGCACCTTGCACAGGCCCCTTTCTCGTCTGTCACGTTCGGACTCCTCCATCTGATAATGGTATGGCTGACGGTTCTCTATCCGGGTTGCACTAGGGGAATATGACGGGTCAGAGAAGCCGAATCGTCTTGCTGGAGAGCTGAGGAACATCGAAGGGTCGTCGTTTTGTGGTGCAGGCATGCGTGGTGATGCTGAGAACGAGCTACTAATGGCCGCACCCTGCTGCGTATCAAGGTATCGTAGGTCCTGAGGAATACCCAGACCTACCCGTTTTCTCCCAACCGATTGCGTTACAGGTAGCCTTGGAGTCTCTAGTCCGATCTCACTTGTAGGGTCGGCATCGAATGCCTCCACAGGCGGCTGTGGTTGCGGTTGCGACGATATATCAAAATGATTGCTATACATTGCGGGATCCATCATCGTCGACGACTGGGGTGCATTCTCCTGATACCATGGCATTTGATATCGAGGGATATAGGAGGATTCGGTAACTGATGCTCCAGCTACACGGAACAAATCAGGGGTGCCCTGGAAGCCGTAGAAGTTGGGTGACAAACCGATGAAGCGGCTCGGGGTCTCGAGCTGGCTTGTGTTCGTTTCTTGCACGGGCGTGGCAGCATCGTCAGTCGTTAGATTCATGGGGTCCTGCATTCTCCTCCTCGAGGTGCTGGTAGGCGGGGGCGTCTGCATCGAGGCAGCGGAACGGCTCGTGGCATCGATTCCATCCGACATGTCAGGCCTGGAGCTGGAAATCGTATTCAATGCCCTTGTCTTCCTCCCACTACCCAGTGTCGTGCCACCACTGTTCAAACCATCACCGCCTGATAATCGGCCTGTATATACCTGTTAGCACACCGTTCGACCAATCCTCTGACAACTCTCCGAACTCTAGCTCTACTACCAAGCGGGGATAGGGGGATGATGGCATGGTACCTCGTTGCGGTGACGGAGAAGCCAGGTCAAACCTGGGCGGGAATTTGATCAGCTCTGGGCTAGAGCCGTACGGGTCTGCAGTGTTCCATGTAACCCGGGGGTCGTAGAAGCTGGATTCGAGCTTTGGGGTCTGGAAAGAGGTCTCGAACGAGCTCGTAGTGGGTGTTCTCGTGGGCGTTTGAGGTTCGACATTAGGATCCGTAAAGCTAGGGGTTCAGCAGGTCAGAAATATGTTCTCCTATATCGACTGTCTGCTATACCCAGCCGAGGGGCACCACAAGCAGAGGCCAGCACTTGTGCGCCGAGATAGACCGCCGCCGACACATACCTGTGGATAGGGTAGTCCCAATTCATATCAGCAGATTACCTCGGACCAGCATGAGGCGAGACGACCGGGAGACGAAGCCCAGGAAGTGCGAGCGGTGGTGGTGTTTGACGGTGGTCGTTGGTGGTCGTCGGTGGTCGTAGTGGTCAACGGAGGACGAGAGACAGACGACGGAGCACCTGAAGACCGGCCCAAGAGTTATATATAGGCCTACATGCGTATATCTCCGGGGTGATAAGATGTTACCTCTTCGTAGGAAGCGAGACACAGCTGAACCCGTTTCCCCCTTGCTGGGATGTCAGAGATATATGTTGGTGAAGGCGGGAAAAGGCGAAGGAGGAAAATAAAATAAAAAAAGTAGAGTCGACAACACCCACCAGGCAACAGAGCAAGGGGAGACCAGGCAGCACAGCAAGCAGCAAGCAGGAGAAAGAAAGTGAAGCAAAAAAGAAAATTAAATGAGTATAAGACAGGAACTTCGAGGGCAGAAGCAAAAATAAAAAATAGACAGAAACGGTCAAAGAAATATGCAGCTAGAAACGACCTTTCGAATATAGAAGAGAAAAGACTATAATAAACTATGATGTTTAGATGAAGATAGATTATTTAATTCTATCGGACATCTTCTCTTTTCCTTGTTTACGTTTTTCCTTTTGATCTTTCTTCCTTTTATTTTTCTTCCCTCCCTGGGCTCCAGCGCCGGAGCTTCTATCCCTTATACCCATGGCGCATCCGTCCATAATGCCCACTCTGACGCGCCCGACCGGCCTTTGTCACACCCGCTAGCCCTTCTTCCAAGACCTGGATACACATATCCAGCAGGTCTCTAGTAGCTGGGCCAACCAGGCAGGCCGGAAAGCTTCTTTCCGACCTGTCGATTGGATGCGGCAGGCGTTGGCCCACGGATATCGGATAGAGAGCGTATACGGTCCCTACTATCAGGATATATACAGAGCTCTGCACGCCCCGAATCAAGTATACAGACGCCACGGAGACCTTCATTGGCGGCAGGCCGGGGGCCCGGGGCAGGGCTGGGGATAAAAAAAACTGGCCATTCCGAGGTAGATCATTGGTAGGCCTGTCCCTCCATGCGTCCGTTTTTGGGGTCCATCAAAGGAATCAGCTCGAGCTTCGAGCATGCAGCATCCCTCTGGCGGGAGACTATGGGCTGGCGGCCAAACCGCCCCCTTAAAGCGCGCGACATATGCACATATAACACACTTGTAGGGGACGGAGTAGCACCATCGTACAGATGCATGTCTGCTGTGCCTGCAGCCGAAAATCGCATTTTAGCTCCAGTCCTGATCTCGGATCTCCACTGGCATTGGCATGGGGGGATTACGACCCCCTGACCGCGGCCGATGATTGGATTGTTTGCGCCTCGGAATTGGCCAGGAGTCGTTGGATGGAACCCGCTCAGCTTGTCGTGTGTCCGAGATCCATAATTAATTAATTTAAGCTGCGAGTCGATTAAATCTATCCGTACTATCCAGTTGTTGAGATCGAGCTATCGTCGGAGCGAGGGCTGTAACCTTTCGACAACCGCAGAGGATATATGACCATTAGGTGATATCCGACAGGAGGCACCGTACCCGTCCGACGCTCTCATCCGTGCCGCTCCCTACGGCCTTACACAAAGGCCATCCTCTTAGCACGCAGCTGCGCAGGCGCCGATTGGCGAGCAAACATCAGCTAAAAATCCTCCACAGCTCTTGCGTAAGGATGCGCCCTAGCCGAGCCAAGGTACTCCCGCATTCTGCTGTTCGTCCTCCGTACAACGGCCACAGTGATGCTGTTGTATACTCCATAGTTGCGTGGTGCCAGGTCTCGATCTCGTCGAGCGGCCGGCTGGGGCATAGGGAGATCGTCTGCTGCGTGCGACTCTATGACTGAGGAGTTACGGAGTACTGTTATACACAGGTTAGCTCGCGGCTGCAAGGATCGGGAGATTGAGATTGGATATTCAGGACCAACCCTGCCCTGACGGCGTCGCAGGCGTTGCAGCTTCATCTCCACTGGTTCAACGTCATGGCGATTTAGCCTATCTCTTCTCGCCACTCCGGCGGCTGGAGCAGGTTGCGGATAGACGGGATTGTACATTGTAGCCCTTGAGCAGATAGACGTAGAATATAGCCGTTGGCAGGTACTCTGTAGTTATACTCCGTGGCTGCGTTTGGCGTAGTTGTGGTAGATACTTGAAGTCTGCTTTGGAGGTGTTGAAAGTCGAGTTCTACCAGAATAATAGAAATGTCATGGCCATCGAAGATATCATTTATATTCGTGGCTGGTTCATGGTTGAATATAAACGGTTGTCCTGCCAGCTTGTTATTGTGTTGCTTGGTGAATAACACATCAACATGATATATCAACATGCGGTAAACATCCTCTCACTCTACAAGAGAGAAGGGCTATGATTCAGCCTACGCCTCCTCGAGCTTCCGCTTTACGTCTCTTCTCTCTCTCTAGTCAAAGTTGAAAATATCAAATATGGGAAAACTGCGGCGTCAAACTCGGCCAAAGGCCAAACGCAGCCGTCGTGAAGGCAACAAACCCCCAAAGACAATGCCGAAGGCTCTACGGGTGAAGCTCAAAGGTATCGCATATTCTAAGACGGTGCATGGTTTCGTTCCTGAAGACGTAAGTTCGCTGAGCCAGCGTTATCATTTCGTAAAGCTAACACTGCTGGCAGATACTTCTCGACAACCAACCAACGCCGTCTGGCTACGTCTTCGTTCCCAAGGGGAATATCTACATTACAAGGAAATGCCGTTCCCAAACGCACGATCTGGGCTCAGCTGTGTATACCGTCTATGTAGGTACCATCTCAACCTGGTACAGGCCATCCTGGCGGGTGTGAGCTAACCTTCCTCCCAGAGTTCCACGACTTATGAGCAAACCGGCCTCTACGTTCCGATCGACGTGCGTACAGCCGTCGAACTAGAGTCACAGGATACATCCGATGCACGGAAACAAGCAGTGGCTCAAAAGGATGCTCGTGATCGACGCAAGGCCCGGGACCTACTTCTCAGGGAATTTCCAAACATGCCCAAATCTGATCTCAATGCGGTTCTTAACCATGCCTTTTTAAAGGGGTCCAGGCGAGTCGGCAAGAGTGGGAAGATCGCGAGCGAAGAGGAGAAAGTCCGGCTGGCTATCGAGGCGCATATCAGGCATGTCCATACAGAATATGACGCCATGATCAAGCGAGGTATGACCAGGGAGAGAGCGAGGGAGAACATCTGGGGGGAGGTTGTCACCTTGAGGGATTCGTGGAAGAAATGATTGTACTTTTTATGCATTAAAGTCGGAGTTAGGCAGAATTAAATAATTATAGTTTAAAGATAGCGGTTAGGGATACTGCATTATGATTAATATACGCAATGTCAACTGTATAAAGTGAACACTTAGACATCTGTTACCATCTTACCATCAGAACGCACATGCACTCCATGGAATCCAAACCCAATAGCCCCGTGGACGTCCGCTCTCCCGACTTCTGTCATCGTCTTTGCATCCAGCACAAGCAAATATGACTTCCCCGAAAGCCCGTCAAGGACTACCGACAGTAACACGCCATCGTCCTCGTCATCGATATCTTCAGCATCAGGAGAAGCGCCATTTAACGAGCCTGATCCAAACGGGCCACTCTTGGTGCGGGGAACGAAGATAGGTTCACCTGCATTTTGTCCATGATAAGACCAGTACTTTGCTTCATGTGTCTTGGTATCCATTTTCACCAGCCCGTCCAAGAACGTAGAGTTCCCTGTGAAATTTACCCCGTATATATATCTGTGAGGACGGGTAATATATCGAGGGTTCATGGTTGGCAGCTCAGGCGCCTGGATTGGCTCAGACTTGAATTCAAGGGTAGCCCTGTGAGGTCGTGTAGGGTTCTGTAATATCGTAGAGGAACGCCGTGACTGCGGAGTCGATAGAGGAGTTTCTTTTGATTCCGAGCGGATATATGGTAGCCGATATCTTAGGAGAACGGTAGTGTATGGGTGCTTTGCCTTTATCTCCCCTGCGTTCGGCGAATCAGACCGGAGGTTCTCGAGATAGAAGCTTTTCAAGCAGTTGAGGTTGTCATATGCAACCAAATCCGCGATGATATCGGTTCCAGATCCAGTCTGAGAAGGGGTTTCGTAGGCATTGACGCTATGAAAGCAGAAAAAAGCATCGCTCTCGTAGGTTGCTACCACACCCTGGCCACCATTTTCAGGAGTACGTCGGTCAATGACATACCATTTCGCAGGACGAGACGGGTCATATTCTCCAATGGCATCAAGGATATTTCTAGTCCACAGGATCTTCAAGCCGTGAGCAACAAAGAAGGAATTCCATACACAGAGAATGACATAATTCTCGGTCAAGAAGATTGAGTGGATATAAGCTGCACTCGCACTTGTAATAGTCGCTAATATGGACGTCTTGCCTGTGGAGCGAGAGACGCTGAAGACACGGTAGGTCGTGGTAGGCCCCATCTCGAGGTTGAAGTTATATATATCTCCTGTGAGCGGATCAGACTTCGCATGAGCTCCAGACAGAGGGCCTTTGAGCTCTTCGTGAAGGACTTTCTGGTGCGCAATTCCAAGCGGTTCGAGTGTTTCTGGATCTAACATCTGGAACATCGCAGAGTCCGTCTTGTTTGCAAGCCCCTGTATGCCCGAAGAATGCCCGCTGCTGAGCTTCCCTTTCTTAGGTTCTAACCCCGGGAAGTCGACAGACAAGGTGATAGACATGGAGTATTCGTTTGGTGGCCGTTCTCGATCTGGCCTAAAGACTGACATGACCTTCTTGAAATAGCTCTGGCACGGGTCATATTTCCTTGCAAAAGTCATTGTGTCCCGTTCACCAGTTTTTCTGATCTGCTCAATAAGGCCATCACAGGTGCTTCGTGAGTTATAGATGACTCGGACATCCGAATGTTCCTCATCCGGTGGTAGAATTTGAAATCTATGGACGACCGCCAGGCCATCGAACCAGTGGCGTGTTTGGAACAACCCTTTCTCTGTTTCTATCTCCCGCTTGCCAATTCCGGTGCGGTATAGAGTGCCAGCAGCCCATGATGGAATGTTTCCAGTTACCTTTAGCTCGACAGGCTCTCTTTCTTCGTACGATGTATCGAACTGGAGTCATTTGTTAGCAGGAGGCATAAACTTAGGAGTCAAAATTAAGCTCACCCCTTGATAATTAGGCCAGTCATTATGCGACTTTGGGGGCTCTTCAGATATACCGATCATCGTTTGTCGTGTTGTTTAGTAACAGGCTATAAACAGATTCGAGTTTCCGAGTCCGTCGTCGGGGTCAAAAGAAAAGGGAAAGCTTTGAATAGGATCTTAGATAACTGCGGTAGTCATAGAAACATTGAAGTAACCTTGAGATGGTAGAGCCAGGCCTTCTCGGATCTGAAAACTACTTATCCAAGTTCCAGCGAGGATGATGGTAAAAAATATATATTTAAGGCCAGCTTCAATATATATATGCCACTCAGCTGGTGAATCGTATCAAGGTCAACCGGAGCCTGGAATTACACGACAGCCAAGCAGGGTCTCACTAACGCTATCGTGCCGCTCAAGCTACGTGTAGGAGAGGAGGAGAGGAAATTTATCCGGCCACAACGTAAATCAAGCAGTTACGCCCGTAACACTGGGTAAACCTATCACTAGTGAACACTAGAGTTCGGCTCGTTGTCTGCATGTTATGCAGCGATTACCCCGACTATCTGTTTAGAATGCATCGACGTGCGAAGGCTCGATTCGTCGCTGGCCGATAACTGGTCAACCAGGTACTCCATATAGCGACAAAAGTATGAAGTATTCTGCGTTGCATTTACGAGCAAACGAAGATAATAAAATCATTATAAGTAAACACACGACGGCTGGTGGGGTGGTATGAAAAGACATACGAGGGGTACTGTATGGAGTACATCGGGGTATGTACTCTGTACCGACGAGTAGCTTTCCAGCTGATGCCCGCCTGGACCGGCCACAGGGTTTAATTCTTCAGCTTTCGGCTCAAGCAAACAAGGCGACTTGAGGGACGTACCCGTTACATCGACAGGCCACGGCCCCCTTTTCGCGAGTGCAGGTGCTATGTGCGTATACGCCGTCCGTCATATGGAGAACTCGGCGGCTTTAGGCCTGATGTTTGCCCGCTCGGGATGTTTCCTTCGGCCGTAATGGGAGCCGGGTCATGTGACTTTTATTTTCGTCCAGCTTCTTGAGAGATAGACACATTGACATCGAGCATGTGGCACATCTACCGTATATATGGGGCCAGGCCGATGGAGTCTTGCTCGAGCCGTTTCTTTTCGTGCTTCTCCCCACTCCTCTTGCCGGTCAAAGTGGTTCTATAACAGGTCCAGAGGTAGTTATGTAAAAGGGCCATTGGGCCAGAATTACTAACAACCAACAAATTAGCTGCCAGCGCCTACACCAAAGACGAATGATCATGAAGCGACGGGGTTGGACTCTCCACACAACAATTGCGATGACCTACGGTAAAACTGACGGTCAGTAAGTGTTGTGGGTTAAGATTCAAAAAGAATCCAGCCCTGTCTGTCTGAAACAGGACAGGAGGTGAATTTGGAACTTTAAAGCCAAGGATAAAAATATCGGTTGTTTCAAGGCAGCGTATCAACCAGTTCTACGGAACGGTTGGACGGAAGCAACGCCGATGTCGATGATAACGACATAGGTGAGTGGCTAGTCCGACGGCCAGGATCAGTGCGGGGATTTCTAAGAATAGAGGGGAAAGATATGCATAGGAGCAGGCCCAAACGCACAAGGAACAAGAAGCGACCTTGCAGCTCGCCGCAACCCCGAGAGCAACCACGTACCCTAAGGTACCTTCTACTTCCTCTCTCCCCGCGCGAAGGATTCATTAGGCGCCGTAGTTTTTCTGACAAGGATTTAAGATTTGCCCGGCTGGCGAATAAACGCGAGGCCAGGGCTCCACTAACTGCCAGAGTAGGCAAGGCGCGTTCCGGTGCGGCGGTTAGGCTGCAGCAAGGGCCAGGGATCACATGGGGTTTATTTATAGAGCGGTGATATGGACGCTGATTGGCTGCAGTATTTGTGATGGTTGAGGGCGGGCGGTTCTGCAGACAGCGAGACGCAGGAACAGACAGGGCGTGAAGAAATATAAAACCACGGGGACGTTTCATCGTTTCCAATCTCTCTTCCTCACCCACCTGCCCATCCATATCTGGCAGCGAAGGAGGCGAGAGCATGATTCTCCACGAGCAGGCTCGAAACAGGGGGGAGATCAGACCCCCCTCCACCGATCCCCTGACCCGCGATATGATATCTCCGCCTCTCTCTCAGGAGTCAGCGTTCGATTCGAACCTCATCGCCCCGCAGGTCTACTCCGGATTGGAATACGTCTCGCACAAACTGCAGTCCCACACGCTGCACCTGACGCTCATCCTCTCGCGTGCCAAACCGTTGCCCATCGGCCAGGGGTGCAACCTCACTGTCTTCCCCGTCGGTACCCTCTCGGACGATGCACGCCACCTGTTCGGCAAGTACATTCGCCGTGCTGCAAGGAAATACCACCTTCAGTCGAAATGGATGGCTCTCTCGTCATCGAGCACGGGCATGGACGCGGTGTTCAACCCCGAATATCTGATCGATCGATCTCTCAAGCAGAACGATGTTTTGATCAGTCTCGAGGGCCTCACCGTCTTGAATATCGATCGCACGTACACGCTCAAGCAATACCTTAACGCTCTATCCACGCCTTGGGTGACACCAAATACCATGATCGACCATATCCCAAGTCGCATCTATACAGATGCCTGCCTCTGTCTACTTCGACAGTCTGTTCAGAGTACCGGTGGTCGGCCGTTTACAAAATCCTTTTTCTACCATGCCTATAACCACCTCCACTTCGAAGACCAGCTCATCATAGACATAGCCAACGAGTATGTCGCCCGATACAAGCAGGTAGCCATCGTTTTGCCAAAACCTAAGCCTGAGTTAAAGCCTGAGTCTGAGCCAAAACCCGAATCCAAGCCAGATCCAGAGCTCGTGCTGGTGCCTAAGCTGGAACTCACAGCAGACCCCAAGCAGGAGAAGCTGGAAAAACAAAAGGTAAAGAGAAAAGAGATATCGGCCTCGTCTTCTGCCACCCGAAGAGTTAGCTTCGCGAAAGCACTATCTCCCCTCAGAGCCAGGACACCGCACAGTGCGTCTGATGTAACGCCCATCACTCGGAGTGAATGGAATATTCTTGTCAGCGACTCGACTGTAGGCAGAAAGAAGCCCGTTCAGCTGACCGTGCCCAACGATGGAGAGTGTCTCACTGATATAGAGGAAGATGGAATCATATATGATCTCAATTGGGAGGACCTGGAAGGGTAGCTGGCGTACAAGTGGGAACTTGGGTTAACTTATGACTATTATGAATCTTCATTTCTTCTTTTCGTACTTACGACATTTTTCGTTCCCTTTGAAGAGTTCCTTGTGGATATTAGCTTATTCCTCCTTGGTTGAAAAAAAAAAATTATTCACACAAATTCTTTATCTATGGACCAACGGGCTAAATAATATGCGCTAGTTTCGGTACTAAATTAGCATCACAATAACTAGTTAAGCATTTCGTAGTGGGTTTAATATCAAGTATACTTTGCTCACACTTTATTCCCAGTATCTATTGCACTGAATATTCTGCCCCAGGTCCCCTCCGTCTGCTTAGTGTATAATCTGCATAGCAGGCTGGCAGATCTTTATCCCTGCCATGAATTGGCATGCCGGGTTGCAGGTAGGCAGCAGAATATTGTCGACAGGCAGCAGGATAATACCATGAGTATAAGCATCCGAGTAACCGCCGAGATACCACCTAGTGGGATATCCTCAGAGCGGTTTGAGAAACACTGTCTGCATAATGGAGCCCCAGAATAGCGATAGGAGAGAGCCCCGAAGACGGCCGACATACACCATCCGCCGTATCAAACCGTCAGACTTCTCCGAAGTAGCAGCTATTTTAGCAAAATCAATGAAGGATGACGACCTGTACACGGCAGTATTTCCGAGAAGGGAAGAACACTATGATATTTCCCTGGACGGCTTTCTCCGGCTCACAAAGGAGAGATATTGGACTCCTGGTTGTGTGATGTATGTTGCGGTCACTGCTCCAGACGGGGATAACTGCAGCCACATTGAAAAGATTGTTGGACACGCGAGTTGGAAGCGTACTGGGACAAGCCCTGCCGCGCAAATATGGACTTCTGAAAACGAAGGGGGCTGGAATGGTATGAGTTGTCTGTTAGTACAATCGAACGATCCCGGACCGCTTACACAATGCGTGCTCTAGGATTACAGCTTTCTCTCTGCAGGACGCAGGACAGCCTCGCCCGATATTTTCAGCCGAACAAGACCATCGTCGAAAAACCTCCTCCTTCCCCTCAATTTGATGATAACTTCCCGTCTTCCATATTTCCAGAGTTGTGGTACTTGGCTACCCTTGCGGTTGACCCGGAATATCGAGGACAAGGAATAGACAAATTATTAGCACAACGCGGTATCCATCACGCCGTCGAAGAGAATGTTCCTCTTGGGTTAGAGTCAAGCGCCAGAGGTCGAAAGCTATACGACAAGATGGGGTTCAAGCTATTCAAAACGACGGTTATCGGAGAGATGGCAGTTCCTGTGATGGTCTGGGAGCCTCCGAGACCAAGTGTTGAAACCGAAAAAGCGAGAGAGTGGCAGGGTATGAATGGAACTACACAGATTTATACCAGATACCCCTGAGTGGTTTTCTCTTATATTTGCCTCTATTTACTGGGGGAGGACTGTGGCCTCACAAAATTAATCTTTTCTCATCAGATACCTCCATCGTTATTTTATGATGTACGAGTTAATTATTATAGTTGATATTTATTCAAAAACCCCGTTGCTTTTATAACGCCAAACACATCCGAACAGCCATGGCAATGACTATTAGTTATTTATCCTGGCGTTATGGTCCTAGCCCGTCCACGCCGCGCGGTTGAACTCCGGGGGGAAAACCTGATCTCCCTTGCTTGTCATTGTGATAACAGCCAAGTTAAGACCCCCATACCTCGTCTGAAGAAAAGTTACAGCGATTCGAGCGAGCCTAAGCTGTAACAAGCTAGCGAAATGGTTCTTCGAAATCTCCTCTCGATGGATCGGCCAGCAGGGGGAAGAGAGTTCGGATCCTCCAATTCTGAGCCTTTGTCTTGCTTGATATCGGCGTCGTGGCGCCTCGCACCGTCTCGCAGCGTTTGTGTTGCACGCCACAGCCAGCCATGTTAATCAGGACAGCAAGTACTGGCCTCGCAAAGGCCTTGCGGCCTCGTTTCCTGTCCTTACAGGCATCTGCCAGTAGCTCTGTGTTAATTCGCTGCCACAGATGTACCATGGCGACCAGCAGCGCTCCCCCGTCTTTCGACGAAGAGACCGATATTCTCATTGTGGGGAGCGGTGCAGCGGGACTGACGGCTGCATTGAGAGCACATTCTCACGGTTTACGAGCTGTCGTGGTTGAAAAGAACGAAGCCATCGGCGGTACATCAGCTTACTCGGGCGGCGCTGTATGGTTCCCCGATAATCACTTATCCCGGGCTGCCGGCGTGCGAGACAGCAAGGAGGAAGCCCTGAAATACATGGAAGCGATTATTGGGGACAACGCAGGGCCCGTTTCATCTCGAGAACGGAAACTTGCTTTCATTGACAACTCGCCTCGAGTGGTGAAGTTTCTGCAGGACGCTGGGTTTCGCTGGCGAGCAGTCAGCCGGGGTTGTCCTGATTACTACCCAGAAGCACCAGGCGGCCGGATGTATGGCCGGACGCTGGAGCCTGATATCTTTGACCTTAACCAGCTGGGCTCTTGGAAGAATCGTATACGGAAACGCCCGGGTCCCTCTCTTGCACTATTTACTACGGAAGCCAGCAGCGTCTTGAGACTGGGTGCTTCGTTGACGGACTTTGCTACTGCGCTACGAGTTATACTGCGAGGGCGTCTTCTCGCCCTCCGAGGACAGGCTCCTGTTACATTGGGACAGTCAATGGTCGGCCAGCTGCTTTCACTCAACCAGAAAATTGACACACCAATCTGGCGCAGTTCTCCCCTAGTTAACCTGATTTTAGACGGCTCCTCGGTCATTGGAGCCACGGTCAATCGCGACGGCCGCCAGTGGAGTATCCGCGCTTCTCGTGGCGTCCTCCTCGCCGCAGGAGGGTTTTCCCACAACAAGGAGCTGAGAGAGAAATGGGGTCCATCCCCTGCTAGTATCGAGTGGACCAGTGCACCCTCTGGAGACACTGGAGATGCCATTACCGCTGCCATCGATGCCGGCGCAGCCACAGCGCTTTTGGAAGAAGCCTGGTGGGGACCAACTATGATTGATCCGAATTCCGGAACGTATGTGTTTTGCCTTACTGAACGAGCGCGGCCATTCAGTATCATTGTCGATTCTTCAGGATCCCGTTTCATGAACGAAGCCGAGCCGTACACGGATGCTGGTCGACATCAGTACGAACGAAACCAGAAAGTAAAAGCTATCCCCGCTTGGCTTATCGTTGACCAGAATTTCCGCAAGCGATATGCTCTTGGAAGCCTGTTTCCACGGCAGACGGTCTCTCAGAGTGGATTAAAGGCCGGCTATATATACAAAGCAGACACCATTCAAGGCCTAGCCCAGCAGATTGATGTCGACGTCCAAAATTTACAAAGCTCAGTGAATCGCTTCAACGGCATGGCCAAAGCTGGTGTCGATGAAGATTTCCACCGTGGCGACTCTGCATATAATAATTACTATGGAGATCCTAAGATTCGTCCTAATCCAAACTTGGGACCCGTCGAGAAACCTCCCTTCTACGCAGTTCGCATCTTCCCTGGTGACCTGGGTACGAAAGGAGGCTTGTTAACTGATGAACACGCTAGGGTGCTAAGAGACGAAGATGGCAAGCCGATAGAACAGCTCTATGCAGCCGGTAATACCAGTGCAAGTGTCATGGGGAAGACTTATGCTGGTGCCGGTGCAACTATCGCGCCGGCAATAGCATTCTCTTTTATTGCAGTGGACCATATGGCTTCGTTGAAACGTACATGACGACTCTTTTGAGATAGAATCTACGTTTCGCCGTTTCCTGCCTTTAGCTACGTACACCGTCTGGGATAAAGGGTATCCTTTTTAAGGGTATCATATTGGATTAAATGGACTGATGGACCCTATATCCAATATACCAAAATCACAATCCTGCAGAACCTGGGGGCCGCAAGGTGAGAAATATATACATCGTCGCCTGGAAACGCATGCGTCTCCCACAAAATTCGCATTGCTTGCTAGATAAATGTCACTTTGGTAGCTCGCTATCCATAATCAAATGGGAATCACTAAGCCATTCCCTGGCATCATATTGTCAGTTAATGGGTATCTTCTTATTGTTATCACTGTCCTGGCATAATACACGCCGGCAGAAATGTAGATAATTGTACAATTACGTATTGAATATGGTGGTTGTATCTCAGCTCAAAATCCATGCCTCTTTCTCCACACAAAAACAACGAAAGAACTGAGATATTTTAAGCTTTTTGAATATCTCGAGTTTTCTCGCGCCGAAACTTCAACCAGCTACAAACAACAGTGTTAACTGTTATCCTGAAGCCACGGATATCTTTCCTGTTCCAATGGCTGACGAAGATGAGTCGCGGCGGAAGCGCGTGAAAATCTCCAACGATGATTCTGCCTCTGAGCCTATAACGGCGCCAATTCGAGAGCAGTTCGCCGACGCTGTGACTGGAACTGAACCTCCAGTTTCTGATGCGCAAGCTGTAAAAGAGACCGAAGTTGGAATTACGCACTTCGTCAGTCCGGACTTGCCTGGATTTGCCGGAGTGGTGAAGAAAAGGTGTGTCGCTTGTTGATGGTGGCCTGTGAATGCTGGTCTGGTCGAGCTAACATTGAGGACTCTGCCTCTTAGATATACGGATTTTTTGGTCAACGAGATACTACCGTCTGGAGAAGTTTTACATTTAAAGGATACTGGGCTACCGGATGCTTTTAAAAATGCCATTGGAGAAACTGCCGCAGCCGTTGAGCCTACCGGGAGAGAGTTACAAAACACTCCTACTCCAAAGCCAGCAGGCGAGGATAGCAAGAAGACAGACGAAAACGCGGAAACTGATAATTGCGAATCCAAGGCAGCGACTGCTGAAACGAATGACGCTGCGGTACTTGAGGTAACGCTACTCTACCTATGCTGTTGGTGCTTGCGGTGACGAGATTGCAGCATTTACTGACCCTTACGCAGTTGACTCCAGAGGACCGCACGCTATTGAATCAGTTCTTCGGGTCTGAAACTACCCCCAAACTTCTCAATCTACACGCTCGCTCACTTGCTAAACTTTCCTCGAGACCATGCGAGCTTGGTAAGGTCAAGTCGGTGATTCTCACTGATAAAGACCAGAGGACAAGCCTCCACCAAGCAATCCGCCGCATATTTAACTCGAGCCTGGAATCGTCGACTGACAACGATGGAACTATTGTGGTTTCTGCAGCCTCGGTGCAACAGCGTGGAGGCAAAGGTAAACGCACCAGGCAAACTGCGCAAGATCGAGGCAGCGCCGCTCGATTGCCCCGCGGTAAACTGGGTTGGAGTGAACTAGGTGGAGATTACCTGCATTTCACCCTATACAAGGAGAACAAGGATACGATGGAAGTCATTTCCTTTCTCTCCCGCCAATTGAAGGTAGGGCCAAAGGTTTTCCAGTTTGCCGGAACGAAAGACCGCCGTGGAGCAACCGCTCAGCGAGTTAGCGTATTCCGTATTTATCCAGATCGGATGACGAGACTCAATGGGTCCCTCCGCATGGCGGCTATCGGCGACTATGAATACCAAAAGCAAGGCCTGGAGCTGGGACAGCTGAACGGAAACGAGTTCGTAGTCACTCTTAGAGACTGCCAGTTCCCTAAAGGGGTTGTTGGAGAAGGAGGCCCCTCAGAACCGGATACCATTACAAAGGTTAGGGAGCTTGTTGGGAAATCTCTTAGTGACCTCCACGAACGAGGCTACTTTAACTATTATGGGCTCCAACGGTTTGGCACATTTGCGACAAGGACGGATACCACTGGCGTCAAGATGCTCCGAGGGGAGTTCAAGGAAGCCTGTGAATCGATCCTTCACTACAGCCCAATTGCATTGGCGGCAGCACAAGACGGCACATCTCTAGAGCGCAACCAAAGACCGCAGATAAGCACAGACGATATCTTGCGAGCCAAGGCTATTCACATTTTCCAAACGACCGGGAACGGCCGCGATGCGTTGGAGGTTTTGCCTAAAAAGTTTACCGCAGAAAGCAACATCATTAGGCTTCTTTCCCAGCGAAAGAACGATTATTTTGGCGCATTGCAGTCGATTCCCCGAAACCTGCGGCTGATGTACGTCCATGCCTACCAGTCTCTAGTGTGGAACTTTGCTGCCGGTGAGAGATGGCGTTTATATGGGGGGAAAGTCGTTGAAGGCGACTTGGTATTGGTGAATGACTTCAAAGATGAAATAAAAGCGACAGCACAGGATGAGGTCGATGCAGACGGCGAAGAAATTGTCCTACCTGATGCAGACGACAGTGCAGCCGTCGATGACATGTTCGAGCGGGCCAGAGCTCTATCAGCAGAGGAGGCAGCCAGTGGGAAATATACCATCTTCGACATCGTCCTGCCACTTCCAGGGTTTGACATCCTCTATCCTGCCAACGAAATGACCAATTTCTACAAAGAGTTCATGGGCAGTGACAAGGGAGGCAATCTGGATCCATTCGACATGCGTCGCTCCTGGCGAGATATCAGCCTTAGCGGCAGCTATCGTAAGCTGCTCAGCCGGCCCAGCGCTGACTACTCCTTCGAAGTGAGGACTTACCGCGCGGACGACGAGCAGTTCGTGAAGACGGACCTTGAAAGACTCAGGGAGAGTAAGTCGAAGGGCAGCGTGGATGCCAGCGTAGAAGAGCAGCTCAACGCATCAGAGGCCTCGGAGTCTCCAGAGAAACTGGCTGTCATCCTCAAGTTCCAGCTGGGAGCTAGCCAGTATGCAACAATGGCGCTGAGGGAGCTGATGAAAACTGGAGGGGCCAAGGAATACAAGCCTGACTTTTCTCGATAGATGCTGTATCCTTCCTCGGGCTTAGATATTATATAGAGAGCATGAAAGACAGCGCTCAATTAAAACAATCACATGACATCAGTTTCTCCCTCAACTTCACCATCTCAACATCTTCAACATCGCCCAACTCTCACCCAGAGCTTCACTCGACCGACAGGAGGAACTGACGAAGATGGCAGTTACAGGTCGGAGTTTGAGCGTATCCTGTGCCTGAATCTTCTCCGGCCATCCAGTTGGCTCTCAGAGGCCCAGCAAGCGCCCAACTCTGGTTTTCACACTCCACTGGCCAACCTTCTTCTGCGTCCTCGGCCACTCTGCGTTTCACATTCAGCTCGCGAGCCATGGATAGAGACTCGCTGTGGTCTGCTTTCGTCCTCTCGTCTGCTCTCTCTGGTCGACCCCTGACGATGAGACGGCCGGCGAACCATGGATCGGGCCAGTCAGCTGTTGACACTCGCACAATGGGGATGCTTATCCTTTCCACGCCCGAATAATACAATCTTCCTCCTTAGCGAGTCGTTGCTATATCGCTACCCTGTCTCTGCGAGATATCCCTGCTAGAAGGAAAATGCCCGGCCCCAACGAGTGTGGGTGTGTGGCGACGGAAACGGCGCATTACTCGCATAAGTCCCGGAGGAAGCACAGTCCAGGGCCCTAACGGCCGCTATCACCAGAGGTTCGCTCTGCCCCTTCATCTCTCATGTGGAGAAGGAGACGAGCTGGAATCATGTTCGGCATGTCCTTTGACCGTCCTCTATTTGCTAGATCCATTGCGTGGGCGTCGGCGGGTGGCTCGCTTGACATATATTCATCGATACCCCCTCTCGATCTAGGCGCTACTCTTCGTTTCTTCCATTCCTTCCTTACCCAATTTACCTTCATTTATTCCACATTCTATTCTACCACTCGCTAAATCTGCAGATTGACGCTGCGATTTCGAGCTTCCATTCTTTTTTATATACCTTCTTTCCGGCCTGGTAGCTCTAGACACCCGTTCATTACTATCGTTTTTTTCACATACCCTCTTTCTAAGTCAAAAAAATGAAGTCTATGATGAAAACAGCAGCACTTGTCGGCCTCGCCGCTATCTCTTGCGTTGAGGCTCACATGATGCTCTTCTACCCTCCTACTTTCGGCGCAGAAAACAATCCTCATCGCACTGATCCCGTCGATCCCCATCTTGACAACCCCTACAACTGCTGTGGCAGAAAGACGATTTACCCCTGCCGCGGATACCTCGATCTCCTCGGAACCGACCAAGGCGCCCCCGTCGCTAGCTGGGAGGCCGGATCGTCCCAGAACTTCAGTCTTGTGGGCACGGGAACCCACTGGGGAGGTTCGTGCCAAGCTGGGTTCAGTATCGATGAAGGGAAATCCTGGAAGGTAGTGAGCAGCTATGAAGGGAACTGCCCTCACCGTACCGGCTCAAACCACGCTCCCGAGGAACAAACCTTTGAATTCAAGGTTCCCAGCGACATGCCCAGCGGTAACTACGTCTTTGGTTGGACTTGGATTAACCGCGAGCAAGAGTTCTTTATGGTCTGCTCTGCCGTGACTATCACCGCTCCTGGCACTGGCGGGAACTCTCCACCTTCTCCATCCTTCACTCCTCGAGGATTACCTGTTCGCTCGACGGCTCCTGACGCCGAGAGTCACGCCGTCGCTTTCAACGATCGTCCAGACTTCCTTGTCGCCAACATCGATAACGGTTGCAAGACACCACGGACCAATGCGGAGGTGAAATATCCAAATCCTGGCCCTGATGTCGTGAAGGGTGACGGTGCCTATCCCCTTGAGCTCCCATCGCCAGCAGATAAATGCAGTGCATAGAATGCCCCTTTCTTCTCGGCTGCATCGACTACTATTGGCATGATATAGCTAAGCGATCTCGATAAGGGTATGACAACTTGGCCGGTAAGGCTTGACATTTCAATCTATGTATTTGTGATTTTACTGTATGTATTCTATTCACTAGGGAGTGCCGGACGGTTCCTTTCAACCTTTTTGTTTGCGTTTGAAACTATCTCAGACTAGACCACTCATTTGTATATTAAATTGTCGAATATATGCCTTTTGCGTCAACGCCTTTAAAACCGATCTCCTTGGTGTCGTCTCCGTCTAATTTCACGCCATATAAGAATCTATACACAGGCGTCCCCGGAGCAAATGTGTCCACCACTTGAGACCGGAGCACAGATGGTTAAAATCTTTATACCCGCTGGTGAGAGATTTTGTGAACGTGATATCGTCGAACGTCGTATCTGATAATGGAAGAGCTGCGCATATTTATTCCAACAATTGATACCTCTGTTGACGGTGGATACGTTCTTTTGGTCCTCTGCGTCGGAATATGTTTCGCACTGACTTCTTTAGCCGTGGCGGTTTAGCCTCTTCGCAACCGGCGTGGAGATGGCAAGGTGGTTTGGACTTTTGCTGCGATGGCGCGGTAGTATATAAACTCTTCCAGAATATATAAGTGAATATCGGCAACGGTACACTAATAAAAGCCCTCGTCAATTACTCGACTCCATAGACAAGCTCCAAACGCTTAGCTCTTTACTTACAACACTGGCGGTGATCCAGAGATGCCGTCCCCGGGAAAGCAAGCCACCTGCATTGGCGACGTAGATAACCGTACGCAGAAAATTTATGGCAGCAATAGAAAGATTTGGCGCTGGAAGAAATGTTACCCCCGAATGAACAGGCTAAATGAACAGGCTATGAAATATCTTCGTGGAGGAGCCTGGAACAGTGGTCAACTGGAGTAACGGTACTCCGTGCCCAGTCTCAGCGCATTTAAATCATGGCCACGTCTCATAGAGAAGCAACTAATATAAACGGGTAGCTAGAGAATCCCAACGTGTCGCAATGCTGTGCCCAAAAGGAGCAGCTGCCGGCGTTTCGAGTAACGCACTCATGGCTTGGAACAAAGACGAGCTAAAAAGGACTCCAGGTCCTGTAGGACAGTGTGATACCATCCCCCTATTGGGCCTATGGAGATAGCATAAACGGGCACTTTGTTCACCCAGCGGGCGCTCATGCATCGTCGGCCACACAGCATCAAGTAGTCTCTCTCCGACTATGTACCTGACAAATCATCATTTTTCCAGGTGCCACCAGTACCACTAGTTCAGGTGAGGTGTGTAAAGGAAGAGCCACATTCATTGACGCACGTATAGTGAGGCGCAAAGCTACGTACAAGCTTGTCTTTGCTCAGAGTATAGAGGTACAGAAGTGCTTATATATGTACTCCAGTAGACGTTGATATTGATATATATATGCTCATTTTGCCAACAGAAAAAAGGAGGTCGCTGCTTAGTAATATACGCGCCAAATATCAGGTGACTTCGCGTTTGGCGTTTGCTTACTCAGCATCTGAGTCGCGTCACGCGTCTAAAAACGGTCTATAAAGCGAGGGGGAGTCGGCGTTGAATATATCTTTTTCAGAGTATCATCGTGGAATTTGTTTTGTTCAAGCCAGTTTGTATATAAATATACGGGAGTACGGTGTACATATTTGCCTCTTCATTTGTTTTTGCTCCTCCATTACCATTGTTTGCCCAATTGCGTGTTACGTTCGCTTTGTCGCCTGCGTTGTCCTTCCCACCATCACATAAATGCGACAATCCTCAGAACCTTTCAAAGTAGAAAGTGACGACAGTATGTCAGACGATGACGAAGGCATCTTCGTCTCACCCACTCGCCCCTCGGAGAGCACTAGATTGCCCGCAGATGGCGAACTGACGCCCACTAACCTTGACCCGAATGGGGACGCTATCGTCATCATTCCGGGCAAGAATACATCTACATCTCCTGCTAAAAGCTTCCGCGTTTCTACACATGTCCTTGGCCTTGCGTCCAAAATATTCATGCAAATATTTGGCCCCAGGCATTTCTCAGCCCCGGGGACCCCGCGGATAAGGACCATAGAGGGAGTCCACCACAGAGCCACACTTGACGATGACGACCCAATTGCGATGGAGGTGATACTCGGGATTCTTCACTTCAAGGTACCAGAGGCCGCAGCTCAGATGGATGCTAGAAAGCTCGCGAATATCGCCATCCACTGTGACAAATACAACTGTACTAGAGTGATCAAGCCATACTTGGCAGATTGGTTCAAGGAGGCGAATACTATACTACCTACAACGTCTATACTACCATCGACGGGGCCGACTTCGGTAGCGGATGACGATTCTAGTGATTCGGATGATTCCGATTCTGACGACTCCAGCGATTCTGAAGACACCAAGCTCAGCGAACAGCTAGGATTTCTCTTACTAGCGGCCCATTTCTTCCGCGATGAAAAACAGTTCAAACACTTTTCAAAGGTTGTCGTTCAGAACTTGACCCCGACCTTTTCGGCGGAGTGGGAGAAAGATGCGCTGTTGAAACTGTTGTCTCGAACCATGAAAAGTACGTTTGCGAGACTTTACGGTTTGTCGTTACCCTAACTAACTACATCTACAGGTAAGCTGGTTGATAAAGTCAAAAAATGCCAGGGTTACCTCCGCAACGATTTAGAAAGTGGCATATCTCGCCTCCTGGGACATGCCGAGACGCATAAGGTACGCGGTGACTTGTGCGGCAAATGCGGCGTAGTATACTCAACGCTGCCTACAACTCGAGAATGTTCGGACTGCGAATTTACTGAATTTTACCCGTCGTACTGCTCAAAGGACTCTAGAGTGGGCGAATATGTCGAAAACATGAAAAGATTCGGCCTCTGGTCGTCCAAGCGATTTGAGCGATGCCCTGTGTCTCAGCTGACAAGAAAAGTAGCAAAACTTGCAGAGAATATTTTTGACGACGAGGTACACGAGTGCGATGGCAGAGATAAATGCCCTCTACGGTTGGAGTTGACGCTTCTCAACAAGGCGTTTATGAAGCGTTCGGACTCGCTCGAGGGGATATCCCTCTTCCCTCTTCAAAAGTCTCGGAAAAGGCAACGAGACGAGGCTAATTAGGGAATAATTAAGACCCCGCGCGAGTGGGTGGACACCGGCAATTTTACAATTATGGCAACTTGGGTCAAACATTTCGTTATATTTTCTATTTACGGTTTGCGAGGTCCAAAAAAAAAGAGGGTTAACCAAGACCATATTCTTGGTGTACGGAGTAGGTATCATCTACATAGATAGAGAGCTGTTTAGAATGCTTTGACAAATATTTCCGGCGCGAAATCACACTCCCGGGGAAGTTTACTACCAGCTGCGATAACTATCCGATGGATGACAAATCGAGAATGAGAGACGTCCGCCGAATATCTGATTGAAGAATTGGATTCTCATCGACCCCCATACTTCACCTTAACGGCTCTCAAGTAGGATGCAGAGCCTACGGCCGATAAGACATATCCATACGTCGACAACATAACTAGCTCAAGCACCATCCCCGTTTTAATATCCTGCGGTTCCAATGAGCGGTCTACGACGTTTCCACATCAAGTCGAGACATGGATGTGGCCAATGCAAGAAGAGAAGAGTTAAGGTATGTGATTTTAAGTCCTGCCTACGCTTCGATCGTCCGTTTTATTGGTTTAGACGACCCCAATGCAGACTAGATACCTGTTGGTGCAGGATGACACGAGGCGTACGCGATGCTAACTAACTATGCTATGCCACAGTGTGATGAACAGCCACCTAGGTGCGGCGGCTGCTCAAAACGCGGGCTGAAATGTGACTACGAGGAGACCCCAGCAGAGTCTATGTCCTGCCCGCGGGGGGAAGGGAAGAGTCTCTCCCTAGTCAATTCGGGCGCAAAAGATATCACATTCGAGTTTCACCCGTTGACAGAGTTGGTCAATAAACGACGCACGGTCAATCACTTCCCAGATGAGTTTACTCAGAGAAGAAAGCGGGAAGATATTCTACAGGCAAATACCCATCGAATAGGCGAACTTGTCATGAAGCCGAAGGCGTCTCTCAGTCTTGACTATCAAGATCTAGAGTTGCTGCATCACTATAGGACGATTACAAGCCATACCCTCTCGGAGGACAAGCTCAAAGGACAGATTTGGCAATTTTTTGTCCCAGAGCTGGCTCAGATATACCCCTTTGTGATGCACAATATCCTTTCCATGGCTGCCATGCACCTAGCGTTTCTACAGCCAGAGTCGTCGGTGAAGTATACGCATCTCGCTGTTAGCCATCAATCACACGTGATAAAAGCGGCCCAAGCACGCGTGGCTAGCCAGGAGGTTAACAAAGAAAACTGCAGCGCGGTGGTGATATGCTCAGGCCTGCTACTCATCTATGAACTGGCCATATTGCATCCGTCTTACTTTGTTGGGGCGCGGACTACGACGACTGCGCTGGATGAAATAATCCAAAAGATGCTGATAATGCGCCGTCTGGTTGGGCTATGGACTCTAAGCATGCCGTTGTTCAAGGATGGCCCGGCTAGAAGTTTACTGGCTAGAGGGGAAGCCGAGCTAGCCACACCACTGGCAGATGAGATACGGCGGTCCCTGGACAGCATTCAGATGGCCAATAACACGTTGACTGCCGACAAGGAAGAACGATACGCATATCAAATGGCAGTTGAATCATTGTGGTTCTGCTTCCAGATTTGCACACTCTCTAGTCCGGCGGACTGGGTAATGGGGATGGCCTGGCCTAATATGGCTCCGCAGAGGTTTATGACGGCCTTGGTAGAGAAAAAGCCGTTGGCGTTGGCGACTGTTGCTCACTATTGCGCGCTGTTATATCTATATCCGGGAAGCTGGTGGATGCAAGGGTGGCCTCAACCGGTGCTATCGTCGCTCATCAGAGCAGCAGCCGTCGGAAGCCATGGACCTACCTGGCAATCTCTGTTCTCATGGCCATCCCGTGTGATTGGTATATCACAGGTGGAAGGGTGTCAGAATAAGGAGGGTGATATTCTGTGATAGTACGTAATACGGAGTACTCCGTATACTCCGTATGAAACATCCGGCAGATATAGAGTATAAAAAACTAACATCGATATGATCTTGTTCCGAATTAGGATTACGTGGCCTGCACGGTCCGTCAGTTTTCATTAAGTTACTGTACCAGTGGCCAGCCCCTTACTTCTACCTCTCAGTCGTTTTCGTACCTCAGATCAAGCGAGTGGACAGATCTACCTATCCCTTCCAAAAATATCAACTGTTGGTACGTGGTGACGCCGAAGCGCTAGTACGGTTGTCTAATCGATTCCCCCCGCCAGCCGTGTAGTAGATCACGGTGGACACGACGCTACTTTTCATATTGCAACGGTATCATAGATGTATATCGACTTGCCACCCCTTGCATGAAAACTTTGAACGCCCCAACATTCTATTACCTTTTCAAGGACAGGCCTATAGACAAGCTTGAGGTAAGGATATATGGATAGAGGACACCCTTATCTGATCCCTTGATAGAATTTCGGGGTCTTCAAGGTCTGGAAATCCCGCAAACTAAATGTCCTTAAAGTCGACAGTAAATGTGGCCCGTGTGGAAGGCCAGAGGCTCAGCAACCAATGCTTAGTTACTCCAGCCTTGTTATATATCGGAGCGCGCTAATGATCGGTACGATTGTGGCGTCTCTACGGGACACAACGGAACGGCAAATCAATGCCTATAAGCCCAAGATACAATAGCAAAGAGCGAAAATAGGCCTAATATCGATGAATGATGATGATAACTAGGGAAACAGGCCATATCTGGCCTCTATATATATGGGGGAAGGCGTAGCGTACGTACGAGCCGTAATCAAACAGATCTGCAGGGGGGGGCGTGGCGTTGGCCTGATACTGCCAAGACGCCGTACACACGAAGATTCTGACATTATATTGCTTTGTTTTTTTCACCTGCATTTGCCTACTCTGTACAAGCAGCCGGAATCAGCCGGCATGTCGATTGACATGCTCGCTAACGTCAACCTTCTATTCCCAGCACGGTAAGAATCACCAGCCAAAAGCTTTGCCTTGGAGATTACGTCCAAGGACGAGACCATGCTAATAAAGCCTTCAGCCAGCGTGCAGCCGACATTTTTCTCTAAAACATGTGCATGTACCTGTCGTTGAATCCTCAAGGCATATCGACGGCATCAGGCGAAGAGTAAGTCTTTAACTTTGCAGCGTGCTGGTTTCCGTACTATATCAAAGTCTGTGGCAACGATATGCCCGGTGTTGTGACGGAAATATCGAAGTACGCCCGGCGTTCACCGTGGCACCAGATGAAACAGCGGGGAGATTGCTGGCTTGAGGGTTCGCACTATGATTGCAGATGTGCGTGGGGGTAGATGGAGATATTATAAGCGCCAGGATGCCCCCATGCACCAGGATGGGGGTTAGCTCTTATACTGGCCACAAGTATAAGAGCTAACCTTGGTCGATAGAGCTCGCTTGCACATGGAATAATGATAGTGCAGAGTATAAACAGAGGCTAACATCCAGCGTACGCCAGACGATAGGTAGTGACAAGCTGCTGCAGGGCACAGATATCGCCTCTAGTCAACCTTGTTCGCAGCCTTCAAGCTTGTCCTTCAGCCCATCTTCAGCCCATCTCCCAGCCGATCCCGTACATGGTTAAGGGAAAAGCGTAAACCGGCCTTGTCGAGGACCTTTATACATCTCCGGTTAGACCAGCTTTTTGGGGAGAGGCCGATGATGGTTGGGATTGACATCCGCTAGTTGGTCGACGATATTTAGCCAGCACCGCGGACCGGGCAAGCGGGTGGACTAGCCTCAGCCATGGAGGATAAGCGGCAAGCCTGACCCAAAAGGCTATTTTCAAGAAGTACTAACGCTGAGGATGAGCATGTCGATGGGCTTCGTGCAGATACGAATACCACCGATGAGGACCCAGAGCAGAGACCACATTCAATTTTCAATTCACTTTTCAATTCACTTTCAATTCTCACTTTTCAATTTCAATTTCTATATTCCATTTCCATGGTCTGGCCCTGCTCACGCAGGCTGACTGGTGGCCATCGCAGCGGCGCTTAGACATGCCGCCTGCCTGTCTTATACACATCGCTTGTGTGCACTTGAGTTCTCTCATCATGAATGCTCTTGAAGTCAGCGCAAGGATGAAAGGGTGGGGTTACTCGACTAGACATTGGATGATTCTGCTCCCATCTGCCTCCGTGTTCGTATACATCCATGAAGCTGATATTGTGATAGATATGAACGTATATCAAGTGACTCACTCCGGCGACCTGATTGGTCAGTCTGGATGTATTATTAACACTCTTAGTCACCTTCTTAGTCATTGACTTAGTCATTTCCTTACGTAATATCTCCTGCCTTATGTAATACCTCCTGCTACTTCTACTTATCTTTGTACTTATACTTATACTTCTACTTACTATCTCCGTACTTGTACTTATACATACTACGTAGATATACTGCTTATACTTAATAGAGATACTAAGTATACTTAGTGTACTATACTTAGTACTCGATACCCATACGCGATACCCATAGTATAATGCCGAGTTCGCCTTCACGCTAGGAGGCACGCCACGTCGATACATCGGGCAAGATTGACGCTTCACATGAGGAGGCGCGCTCCGGCTCAGCTGGCGACTCAGGGGAAAGGCTGGCCATGTTTTCTTCTTTTCTTTTCTCTCTTTTCTTTTCTTCTTTTCCCTTTTCTACTTTCCTCGCCATCGTCAAGATGCTGACCGGAGAAAGCCTATCGCTCCACGCCCTGGATGGCGCACGTTAGGAAGTCTGCGTGCAGCCGGGACAGATATAGGCCATCTCGCTACGGCTATCTGATCCCTCATACCTGGACTGACGCTAAAGAGGCCTGAGAGTTTCTCGGAAGGCTAACCCTACGAGTCGCTGTCGAGCGGGAGGGCCGTTCATCTCCAGGGTGGCACTGGCATGGCATGATATATACCTGCGGCCCTGTCTCGAACGTCTGCACGTCTGCACGTCTGCACGTCAACGTGGATGGAACTGGAAGAACGAGGAACCGCCTTGATGTTGTTTCAGCGACGGGGACTCTACAGCCTACAGACATCGCTCTTGGAATGACGAAGCGGCGCTCGTTTGCACCCGTGGAAGGCCTCGACACTTCACACTCCAGCGGCTTCAGGAAGGAATCATGGTCCCTCTACGCCATCGGCATGACCGCCGTCCTCCTCAGAACGTAGGTCTCTTTTTTTCTTGATATTGACATCATATACTGACGAAGTAGTATCGCGCGGGTGCGGCGGATGGGGGTGCGAGGGCTGCAGAGCGACGACTATCTGATACTGTCTAGCGTCGTCTGGTACACGCTGCTGTGCGTGAGCCTGAACGAGATCACGATGACGGGCGGCTCGAACCTGATGACGGCGGAAGACATCCGCAAGCTGACCCCGTACACGACCGCGCAGCGCACCAAGGGGGCCAAGTGGGTGTTTGTCGCAGAGAATGCCATGACCATGACCATCTGGACCCTCAAGGCCTGCATGATCATCCTCTACCACCGCATCATGTCTGTCTTTATATCTACTTATATATATGTATGTATGCTAACGATGTTTAGGGAAGGACTGAGCCAGGAGCGCCTGGTGCGGTATCTCACCGTCTGGGTGGCCGTGGGCTTCGTCGGGACCGAGATGTCGCTCTTCCTCATCTGCCGCCCGCTGCACAACTACTGGGCCATCCCGCCCCCCCCAGAGAGTGAGTCTTCCCTCGTCCTTACCAAGATAAAAACTAAGTAGTCAGCGCAATGCGCCTCGTACCAGATCTACGGCATCATCCAGGGCGTCTTCGCCATCTCGGCAGACATCCTCATGCTGGCCATCGCCATCCCGCTCTTCCTCACCCTCAACCTCCCCCGCAAGCAAAAGTTCATCCTCCTCTTCGTCTTCGGCCTGGGCATCTTCGTCATCATCTCCGCCGTCCTGACGAAGCTGTACTGCCTCGTCCCCTCCCTCATCTCGTACGTGTACATGAACTGGTACTTCCGCGAGGCCACCGTCGGCATCCTGGTGACCTCTCTGCCCATGACCTGGTCCTTACTACGAGACCTCTTCCCCATGCTGCGTGAATGGGCCTCGGGGACGGGCTCGGGGTCCGTCAGCTCCTGCTCGCGCCCCAACGGACCCTGCCTCAAGCTGCACTTCTGCCGCCAGTCGCTGCACAAGACGCACGTCGAGCTGCCGGACCTCGACCGCTGGCACCCCCTCCAGCACCTCACCACCATGGACCCGGCCGACGCAGCCACCCTCACCACCGTCGACACCAGCGCCACCACCACCACCAACACCAACAACATCAGCAAAAACATCAGCAGTAGCAGCAACAGCAACAGCAACAACGTCGACAGCATCAACGTCGACAGCATCAGCATCGAGAACAGGAACAGGCAGGACATGGTCTAGGATAGAGGCGTTGGGTCTTCTGTATATATGACGAATGAACATGTTAACTTCGTATCCACCGTTGGGGGCCTCGGCTGTCCCAACACTCTCACTACACTAACATCTTCACTCTACACTAACATGCCCTAACAGCATGCATCTCCTGCATCTACCCTACACTAACCAGCATCTCTAACATCTTCACCTGCATCGCACCTGCATCAAGCATCATCTCGCGTGCTCGGTAAGTATGTAACCTAGGCAAGAACACGCCCAACAAACGTCCCAACAAACTCTCCCAGACACTATGAGAGACACAACTATGAGACAGAGAGATAACTAGACACAGACTCCTAGTTATCTCTTCCCTCCCCCTTACCCTCTCTACTTACTCTCTACCCTTACTCTCTCTATACTTCTCTCTCTTCCTTACTTCCTTCGACCCAGGGTTCACTGATGTCTGCCAAGGATTGAATCATACCCTCTCCTTCTACTATACCCTCTCTCTACTATACCTCCCTCTCTATACCTCTATAGTATCTCTACGATGACCGTGTATATGGACCTCCCGCCCAAGGGCCTGTTCAGGTTCCCCCCAGACCCCCGTCCCCAGGTGCTGCCGCCGCCCTCCGTCGCCCGCTCCTGGCTGCAGCCCTTCAACATCAACCCGGGTCTCTACACGGCCCTGCTCGAGGCCAGGGTGCCCGTCACCGTCGCCCTCCTCTACGCCGCCACCGTCGTCCTTGTTAACCGTCTCAACCGCCAGCGAAACTACCGGCCATGGGCCCTCAGCAAGACCCGCGCCTTTCGCGCCTTCGTCGTCCTCCACAACGTTTTCCTCGCTGTCTACTCCGTCTGGACGTTCCTCGGCATGGTACACGCCTTCCGCACCTCCTGGCCACGCCATAACCTGGTCAGTATCGTCGACTCGCTGTGCAAGATCAACGGGCCGCGCGGGCTGGGGAACGCCGCCGTCTACGACCCGGACACCGACGCCTGGCGCATGCTCAACCCGCGGTACAAGCTGGCAGACGGGGTGCCTGATGCCGCGGACGTGGGCAGGCTGTGGAACGGCGGACTGGCCTACTTTGGTTTTTTGTTTTATCTCTCCAAGTTCTACGAGGTGCTCGATACAGCCATCATCCTGGCCAAGGGGAAGCGCAGCTCGACCCTCCAGACATACCACCACGCCGGCGCCATGATGTGCATGTGGGCAGGTATACGCTACATGGCCGCCCCTATCTGGATATTCGCCTTGTTTAACTCTCTCATCCACGCCATGATGGTACTACCCTCTCTCTCTATATGTGTATATATATACTAACGGTTGTAGTACACGTATTATACGTTAACAGCGCTGTCGGTGCGCATACCGGTGCGCATCAAAAAGTCACTCACCACGATGCAGATCATGCAGTTCGTCGTCGGGACACTGCTCGCGGCCGTCCATCTCTTCGTCTACTACTCTATCCCCGTTGCCGTCCCCCATCCCGCCCCCGAGCGAGCAGTCGAGCGGCCAGTCGAGCGGGCAGATACCGGGGCCGGGCCATGGCTGAAGAAGCTCGCCTTTCGCGCGGCCGGTGCTGAAGGGGTGGCTGGAAACGTCCTCAACTCCAATGGCTCCTATTTCGGTGCAGACGGCTCAAACACAGCCCACGCAGTCATGGATAAGAGGGAGGTCCGCTACTCGCTCGAGCCCAGGACGTTTTCATGCATGAACACCAGCGGCCAGGCCTTTGCCGTCTGGCTTAATCTTGTCTACTTGCTTCCGCTTACTTTTCTCTTCGTTCGCTTCTTCGTCCGTTCTTATCTTCGTCGCACAGAGCCAGGACACCGCCACTCTACCACCATACACACTGCTGAGAAGGCGGGTATGGATGCCATCAAGGGCGTCACGCGCGAGATCACCAACGCTGTCATCGAGATGCACGGCGACGGCGAGGACTCTACTGGCACGGGCACTGGCACCAGTACTCCCAGGCCTGATACTGCCACGCATCAGGTAGAGACTACTATTCCACACCAGGTAGAGGTTCCTGATATTGTCACACATCGAAAGTCTCAGGTAGAGGGCCCGACTTCAGATAGCGACGTGACGGCGTACGAGGCGAGCGTGGAGCAGGTCATGTCCAGCCAGGAGATGCAGATCGACAGCCACCCGGAAGAGTCCACTGCTCGCGGCAAGGAGAAGGAGAAGTCGGGGAAGAAAAAGGCCCAGAAGAAGCGTCGCTAGCGGCTTCTTGTTTCTTTGGTAAATGTCTTTGGTAAAAGTCTTTGGTGTTAATCTTCGGTGTTAGTGTCGGCATTAAAAGTCTTTGGCGTATTGGTTGGGTGGACGGACGGCGGACGGCGGCGGTATAATGATAAAGGATGGCTTAGTCTCTATCTAGCAATGTATTCTTATACTATCTCTACCTCTCAACGTAGATGTATCTGTAGATCTATATCGTATATGTGTGTGTAGGGTGCGCCACGTGACGGCTGACATCAGCTGCCAACTTGGGCATCTTCGACGACTGCGCTCTCTCCATGGCAGGCCTCTTCTGCCCTCAACTTCCTGATACCGTTAACATACTATGAGCGGGTTCAAGGGCCTCGTCAAGGACGGGTGGCATCCCAAGGGGAACGACGGAGGCAAGGAAAGCTGGAGAGGGGACTTTAAGGGCATCAACCAGGTCGTACGTTATCATACGGACAATATGAATATGAATATGGATGGATGCTGACTGTTTAGGCTGGATGGGTGGGCAAGGGGAAGAGTACGGGTGGAGGCACCGCGCCGCCGCGAGTTAGCAGGCCCGTATCCAGCTTGAAGGACCCGGCGACCTTTGGACGACCGCCGCAGCGGACGGCGGCTCGACAAAACCAGCAGCAGCAGCAGCAGCAGAATGCTAGGGAGCCTCCCCCGGTACCCTATCGAGCAGACACCACGGCGAACACGGGGAACACGACGAACACACTCCTACCACCCCCTCGACGGAGTGACGACGGCCTCAAGCCGAAACCATCACTCCCTCCCAGATTGCCACCACGACGGGAATCGACTGAACAGGCTCACCCAGACTGTCCTCCCCCGGCATACGAAGCTGCAGCTACAACCGCGGTAAGCAGGCTAGGTAGCGCTGGAGTCTCGGTTCCTGCTTTTGGCATCAATCGAACAACACATGTGTCTCCTGAAACGTCACAGGCAGTCGCCTCTGTAGCGCAGAGTGAACTCCAGCAACGATTCAGCCAGATGAACCGCTCCGTTTCTACACCGGAAATTCACAGCCAGCCGTTACAGCAAGGCCAACATCAGCCGCCTCCTCCTCCTCCTGCTCCTCCACAACGAACTTCAGATACAAACGCCTTCCGGGAACGACATAACGAACATATACAAGCAGGAATGAACAAGCTAAGCGGCATAAACCAGAAATACGGCATCTCGAAAAAGATCAACAGTTTCATCGAAGATCAAAAGTCCCCTGCCTATCCCCCTGGACATCAGCAGCAACAGCAGCAACAGCCAACCCCGCCTCCTCCACCGCCTGCAAACCACCCCTACGCAAATCCAGACAGCAGCTCTTCAAGACCTGACCTGAACAAGCGCAGACCACCTCCGCCCCCACCACCAATGAAACCTGGCTCCCTCTCTTCCCAGCCAGTCAGCCACTCTCCTTCACCGCCACCATTACCCCTAAACACCAAACCGCGATGATCTCGTCATTCTTTACCAGTTTACCAGTAACGTACCTGGCTAGTCCGCCGATGTCTACTTGGCCCCCTTCCTTTCACGTTTTTTACCATTTCCTATAATGGGTGATATACATTCAGCGGAGTAGGATGGAGCATGTTGTTCTGTGGATTGGCTATTTTGATTCGGTGTCCTTGTTATTGTTATACTCTTCCTTCACGTTTCTGAATCGCGTTAGAATTAATATCCATTACTTTATGCTTGACATTAGTAGTTCACGTCGTCCACGTCACTCGCCTGTCAGGCTGTTCCTTATATTAACTACGAATGATCAAACTTGAAAACCTGCGTAGATAGCTTGCCGATGCTGGAAATATACCAGCATACAGCAAGTGCAAGATGTCTCAACCGAGAGCGAGTAACCCCTTTAAACGAGAAGCCTCCATCCCACTCTCCCTGGAAACACACTGGTTCGTCGGCGATAAGCCTAAATTCCCATACCCCGCGCTCCGAAAGCTAGGAACCATCCTCAACGCCGACTATAGATGGGAATCAGCAGACAGCGTGGCCCTCGACGGTAGCATCGACCACACATTCATCGGTGCAGTGAGATGGGAAGATCAAGAGAGTGATACCCATGCCGATAGCGGGGTGGTCACCAAGATCCGAGTAACGTGGAATTCCAACGATGTCAACGGCTCAATGAGAGGGGAGGTGAAGAACATATACCACGACAGGGAGCGGGGGGGATATGCCAACGGCAAGGGAAATGAGATAACTGCGCAGAATCTCCGGCTTGCTTCTGACTGGTATGGTAGATATATCGTTGGCTACTGCATGGATCGCATAGGACTTTCAGTAGGCGACGGCGAGTGTTGGACGCTAGCTTACCGTGCCCTTGAAGAAGCTGGGAAACGATCACTGCGAGAGGACAGCCGTGAACCTCCCATGCTAAGCGTCGGTAGGGTCCATGGACACCTCATCTTTGAATGGCACGCGACTCCAGATTATCCCATCGACATTGCCAGTGGTATCTTGCAGCATATGCCTGCCGTGCCGATAGAGCCGGGAGACATAATGGAGCTTGCAGAGGGGCGTTTCCAAAAGGTCAACTTCGTCCTTTCCGGTCTCGTGAAGCAGGAGGAGAACGTCCGGTTCAAGGCTCATACTGCTGTCGTTAATGGTGTGGAAGGGTGCACGATCAAGGTCGTCGAGCAGAACGGTCGGATCAAGTCCGTCGTGGCTGAGAATGGGTATGATCTTGGTAGTATGGTGGACGGTACAGTGCGAATATACCGTCCAGTCGGCATCTCGCTCTCCGCCGCCCGTCATCTACATCGTGGTGTTTCTGCTTCTCTTTCTCTTTCTGGCGTCTGCGATAGTTGGTAGCGTTATGTAAGCAGAGTAGGACCTGACTAAGCATATGTCACGTTATCTTACTCTAAACCTTAGCGCGGATAAGCTTATTTAAATATCAACCAATCACAGATCGCAACCATACGAGACAACCGAGGCCGCGGCTCCCGACGGCTGGAATAAGCTAAATTGGATAACTCAATTAGGTGGGGCGTGGGGGCCTTAGTACCTTCATTTATATTGCAGGGTGGTTCGTCCATGATGTCCTAATATGACATTCAATTAAACACAGGTCCCCGCCGGCTGCAAGCTGATGCAGAAGGTTTTCGCCAAGGGTAGGTAGCTCGGATTTTAAATGGCACACTCGGCGTAGAGCTGAAGTAGATATCGCATAGCAGCGCAAATAAGTATGTATTCTGCACATACCACGTCACACGGCTCAGGACAACAGTAATGAGATTCTAATGGCTTCTAAGAGGTCAAGGAAAGGGAGGGAGAAATGTAAAGTAGAGGAAAGACATGACGATTCTCTCGCTGTCATTATTAAACTGAAAACAGAAAGGAGACCGCAGAACGGAGCAAGACAGACAAATCAAGCCGAGGAGCGGAGTGGATAACAAAGAAAAAGATCGAGTCAATGTTAGCTAAAAAAAAAAGTAAAAAAAAAAGTAACTAATAGAAAAAGCAGGATGTTTTGATTGGCATCCATCCCTTTATTTGATTTGAAAACCACTCGCATGCACGCACGCAGCCAGCAGGCGGCAAACGCAACCGCGCAAGAGAAACACATGAGAAAAACACACTAAGCACGAAGACCACAACCATTACAAAGACAGTAGAGTTCAAGATGGAAAAAGAACAAATGGACAGAAAAAGAGAGCTGGTAATGGGAGGAAAACGAGGGGAAGATTGTTACAGATTTGGAAACGCCTGACCGCCGTTCTGGGGAACGAAACGCCACCAAAGATGCAAAGAAAGTTCATTAAAAGAAGTGTGTGTAGACTTTGGACGACTCGTGCACTTCCATCTCCTGTAGTAAAAGGGGAAATTAGTAACGGATACACCAGTGTAGAAAAAAAGAAAAGAAAAGAGACCGTAACGTACCATTTTGAAAGTATTAAGTTCTTCCTTAATCTGCTGTGCAAGGAGAGGGGTGAGGCGGTTACAAGTCGCTACGTCTCCACGCCTATCGTACTCGCCACTTGGCCAGGTGTCATGGAACTGAATTCGGGGACTGAATGAAATGTTTCTACCAGTGGTAGAGTGTGGGGTGCCAGGGGCGCTTTGGCCAGCGGTGGTAAAGCAGCCGGCAGGGAGGAAATAGTCTTCTCCTTCGAGGGTGACGGAGTCGGTTCGTCTATGGCCGGAGCGTGGGGGACGGTCACCGGCAGAGCTGCTGGGAGCACTGCTGGAGCGTTGTGATTCCGGTCTCTGGAGGGTCGGAACTGGAGCTAGGTCCGTCACGGGCCGGATGACAGGGGATGAGTTTGAGGAGTTGGTGCCTGATTCTGTTATAAAACATGTTAGATAAGAATTAATTGACTGGGGGGAGGGGGGCGTAAGTAGATCTGTATCATGGCATGACGTACTTTTGAGAATGCCCTTTCTAACAGCAGCTAGCACCTCGGCACGCTCCTGATCGCCGCCGAAGATGCTCTTCCTCCCGCTCCGGTCCACATTACCGCTCGCATCTGACTCGACAGACGGTCGCTCTGCCGCAATCTCCTGCCTCGCCGTGCCAATTTCAGGAAGAACGGGTGGTCCTGTACCGGCGGCATCCCGCTGTGCTTCCACTGTTACCATGGAAACTTGGGGGACAGGTGCAGCAATTCTGGACGAGTCTGTGGGTGCGTTATAGACGGACTTGGGTCGGAAGAGGCCGACAAGTGATCGAGTCGATCGTTTGACACCATTGCCCATTTTGCGGAGCATGATGGATGCGGAAGAGGCTGTGGAGGAGACGGAGATGTTATCTGTCGAGCCAGTGAAGATGTTGCCCTGGCCAGAGTAGATACTCTCGCCCAGGCCGCCAGCTTCCTGTTTGGCTGCAATGGCAGCCTGCTCGGGGCCGAGTTCTTCATCTAGCTGTTGCTTGCGTGGAGAGCTGACGGCTGGTTCGGGGTTGGATATGCCACGAAGCTCTGCGACGCTGCTGAATGAGAGAGCGCGCCGTAGCCGTGACTTTGCTCCTTTTCCTTGGCCCTTTTTGGATATTTCTATTAGGCGTTTTGCAGCCGGGCTGGGGGCGTTGGCGAGCTTTGGCGGTTGGTTTTTCGTGTCAGGGATAGATTTAGAGGTCGTCGCAGGCGTTACAGTCTCATCAGCGTCAAGATTAACTGGTTTAGATAAAGGAGATGGAGTGCTCGAGCGGTTTGGCGTTTCGGTAGGGCGAGCCAGCAAGGCAGAAGATTTCTTGTTAGGTTGAGTCGTGGAGGCCTCCGCAGCAGCTTTGTCGGATTTGACCTTTTACGAGTATGTTAGCATGCATATATCGCTATATATGGGGTATTTGTACCATACATGGCTTGGATTACGTACTGAGCCAGAGGAAGAAGTGATGGAAGCCGTGTCAGCAGCTTTTGGCACGGTGCTCACAGGCTGTGGCGGTCCATTCAGCGGGAATTCAGTGAGAGCCATTTCGTTGGCGTGGGGGGAAGGGTGCGATTCAGAAAACGAGAGAAATCCAGCGGTGTCGAGGCTGCCAAGACTCCTACGTCGGTATCTCTTTGCAAGTTCGGCGCTGGAATGGCTGGCACTGTCCGTTATGGCGGCATCGGCGCTGGCTCCACGGGTATGGTGTGCGGTAGGTGGATGTGGTTTGGCCGGGATATCGATCATTGACGGAGTGACAGATTTGGCCGTCTGGGCGGTCGCCGTACCGATGGTCGTGTTGAGCGGGCCGAGGGTGTTGGAGGCATTGGGTTCGGCAGTGGTGGGGGAGGCAGTCTGGTCTCCTCGGCGCTGGCCACGACGATATCGATCTGGAGACGGTTTGTTCGGGGTTGAAGCAGCAGGTAAGGATGTAGGGAGGGTGAGGTCGATGGCGGATGAAGGGCGTAGACTCGGTTCAGGCGGACCTTGGCGTCTGGGAAGCGAGGAGTCGTCCTTTGAAAGATGTGAATGAAAAGATGAATTAGAGGAAGAAGAATTGGATACCGAGCCAGCAGTAGAGAAGTGAGTGCGCGGGGGGATGGTTCCGGGGTAGAGAGCGTTCTGATTCACGTTCACGTTCACGGTCTGATTCTGGTTCTGGTTCTGGTTCTGGTTCTGATTCTGGTTCTGGTTTTGGGTCTGTCGTTGGGCGTTTGCAGTCTGAGGGGCGGGCAGGCCGGGAGTGCTCGTGAAGGCGTACGGGGCGACTGGTTGGGTCAGTCGATAGCCGGTCGGGGCAGAGGTTCCATTTCCGCCATTGTAAGAAGGGCGGGCGTGATTCTGATTCCGGGCCATTTGTGCCTGGCTGTGAAGTTGCGACTGGTGCTGTATGGAGGTAGAGAAGGAGGAGGAAGATGCAGGACGGGATTGCAGCAAGGTGATAGTGCTGGCTTGCTGTGGAATCGTTTGGACCAGTGCGGCCATGTTGTACACTATGGTATAAAAATGGGTATACGATAGGGTGAGGGTAGGCGGCGAACGGGAACCAGGATGAACTGCCGCACGAAGAAGAAACGAGCTGGCTGGAGTGAATGAGATAGAAATGGACGCTCAAGTAGACGTGATGGTCGAGTGCAAAGTCTGCGAGAAGCGAGGTGTTAGTGAGTTTGCTATGACGCGCCAGAGGACACGTCTGGCCGGATCGACGCCACGAGACGAGAAGACACAGATAAATATATATATATATATAGAGAGAGAGAGAGACTCACCAGGAGGAAGAAATAGAGAGATGAAAAGAAAGCCGTAGTGAGACAACCAAGAGCCACAAAAGAACCAGCAAAAAACGCAGAGACGACGGTCAAAGGGGCGGATGGATAGAGCAAGAAAGGAGGTATTCCAGGGCCCAAGGGAGGTCAAGTCTAAGTCCACCAAGGCAAGCAAAGCATGTACTGGAAGAAAGGCGAAGAAGCGAAGAAACGGACAAGGAAACACGGCAGAGGAACCAGGGGAAATAAGGGCAAGGGAAGGGGGGAGAGAAACCGAGGAGCACCAAGCCGCCGCCTCAAAAGGCTCCTCGAGCGGAGGGGGGGAAACGAAGGTGGGAGGACGACACGATGACGCTGCAAGGTCAACGCCAACGGAGACTGGGAGAGAGAAGAAGAGAGGAAGAAGGGCGAGAAGGGACAAGAAGAAGGAGTTTGAGGTTCCTGAGATAGAGCGAAACAAGCGGCGAGAGGGAGAGGAGAGGTTCCGCAGCCAATCAGAGGGCGAGGATGAGGATGACTCAGCAAGACGGCCGAAGGGGGCAGTGATCGACGGAAATAAAGGCTTCTGGTTGGTCAGTGAGCTTAGTAAGGGCTTACGTACACACTACACTACACGCATACATATATAGGATAGAGATAGATATATAGATAGGATGGATATGTATATAGAGATAGAGATAGAGATAGAGAGAGTGTGGAGGGAGAGAGGAGGGGAGAGGAGATCAGGTTTATGTAGAGTATGTATAGAGAGTCCTAGAGGATTCGATGCGAATAAGACATCCGAAGCTAGAGCTGTTCGGACATAAATATGTACGCACCCACGGCTCCACCAGCAGCGCCTTTCTCCCCCCTTGTTCGCCCTCCCGCACCAGAGAATCGCATTACCACGACCGCCGCCGCCCTTGTTCGCGACCAGAGGCTGTTCGCCGGCCACAGGGCATGCAGAACGATCCCGAGACACCGAAATATAACAGGCCCCAGGCGAGGCAGAGGAAATAAGCGATCCCACGTCTTCTTCCCCAGGATAGAATCATAAGATCAGCCAGGCGCCCCTACACGGCTCCACCAACTGATCTTAACATGATGCAAGCAATTTAACTTAGCCTAGTGCCGTGTCTCAACCCCTAGCTAGTCTCCCTCTCTCTCGTCAATATATGCACACAGCACACACGCACGGCGTCGCTACCGCCCGAATCTTGGGCTCTTGGACGGTCGGTCGCTCGGGGGCAGACGGGGAGAAACCGTCGTCTGCATCCGGATGCACGCACTTGAGTAGAAAACGGATAAACGTCATGCTGGGGGTGACAGGGTAGTCCTGATCAGCGGCCGTCTTCTTCCTTTTTCAGCTGGCTCCTGAACGAGCTTGCGAACTTGCGGAGTCCTGGCGTGCATATATATCGCACGCACTCGCTGCATCTTCGGAGGATACGAGCGCTCTGTCTCAGCTTAGCCCCGAAATCACACCCACCACACACCGCAGCGCCAGCAGATGACTTACCGATGTAGTATTTCCCCTCCTCTGTAGATGCCGTGCATATATATCTCCGTGTCTCTTCGATGGGCATACTCCGGTCAGCAGCTTGACGGCGTCGTAAACTGCGTTCAGGCGCTCATTTCGGTTGCCCTGACATAATTGGCCTTGCCCGTCTCCCGTCCCTCCATCAACTAGTTCCTGGCGGTGAGGAAAAAGCAAGGTGAGGATATGGGTTCATGCTGCCTGGCACGAGCATAGTGTTCATTTTGGCGCGCGGTCGAACGTCAGGTCTCGGCCGTGGCCTGGCTGAGATCTGCCGTTGCTGTGTATCCGATGGCGGCCAGATACCCAGGACGGAGCGTAGTTGGACTTCTATATATGTTCGTCTTGAACAGTTGCTTCTTCCCTTGAACTCGCTCTTGATTATGTAATCAACAACCTCACTCCGGCTTAACTTCAACATCAACATCGACTTGAACATCGACGTCGACATGCAGCGTGGAAATGCATCTAACTCACGAGTCATCATGGTAGATGACTTACTCTTCATATTGATACCCAGCTTATACATGCAGATATACCCGAATGTCACTCCTGATATGTTCTACCTATGCTCTATGGGTTCAAGCCGCCCAGGTGCTCCTATCCAACAGTCGTTCTGCTCAGGGTATACTGTCCAGGTGAACAAGATAAGGGCAGTTTTAGCAGGTCTTAATAGTGGTACACGTTAAGATGATTGTCCCATCAACTATGTTGACAGGACAGACGCCAGACACAATATGCCATCACAGCACAACACAAACCTATCTTCAAGACGCTAATGGTGACTGTTCCTGCTTTGTGTCCTTGCTAGATAAAGGGAAACGCCGAGATAGTCACTGAACTACTCAGATTCACTGTCCCCGCCTGTCTCACAATGTTTATATCTATCACCCAGCATCTTTCTTCGTCTCCCTCCAACCTCCAACCCAGACGGACAGCCTCGTTAACGTCCATATACCTCCAGAAATACAGCCAGTCTCTTGCAGTGTCCGTTTCTCAAGGCCTTTCCAGATGTGTAACGCGTTCTTGATACTGTTCAAATGCGGGCACGTCGACTACGCCGAAGGTGTCCCGTGTCTCGACCCGAGCTGCGCAGCGCGTCAGAGCCAATACTCGAGCCAACAGGTCTGTCGTTACTGCATTAACGACGTGTCTTCAGATTTTCTTTACGCGAACGTGGACCATACCGCTGCCCTCCAAGAACTATTGTTCGAGCAGAACTTTGACGTCGAAATGATTGACCCGGAAATTTATAGGGGGTTTGCAGGAGTCGACGAGCTGAGCGTCTCGTTCGACCAGCCGGAAGATCGCTACTCGGGTCGTGATTATAACGACTACCATGAATTTCCAACAGAGCTGGATAGCGGCATCCATGAACTGCAGATGATCGAGCCCCCGGCCCAGAATTCTTACATCTACCCATCCCCAATCACTTCGGTATTCGATTGGGATCAGTTGAAAGAAGCCCACGAGCATCCAGGCTACGAAGACTATGTTCCCAGCCCGGACGAAGAAGATATTCGTGGCACTCCTAGAGACGTCACCACAACTTCCGCCTCGTCTATTTACTCTAGAGATAGCGACATGCTCGGTGATTACACCACGCCTTCCCCGCCATGCACGCCACATAGACGTAGAATATCCATGTCTAGCCCCGGCACCTCTTGCAGCCCACCACTAGCTCCTAAGCGCTTCGATCTGCGAGAACTCAGCCCTACACCCGGCACACGCGGTCACGAGTCGTTTTTGGACGCGGCATCCGCGATTTTGGATCTTCCATTATCATGGCGCGAGAATGAGACCTTGCGAGAATTCTTGGACGGAGGAGAAGCTGGAATTGGCGCGGACGAGGACGACGACGAGGATGATGATGGCGAAAGCGACATTGACTATACAACCCCCCAATATACGAAAATGCGCCAGCCAGATTTCTTACGCAGTGATTATGCCGACTTTCCGCCTCTTGATGGTCTGGGAACGCGTTCTTTGGTGACAATGTCGACTGGTGGCTATACCAAACTTGGTGCCCCTGAGTCCTTAGCGGAGGGATCTACGCCTGTCGATACGGAGGATGACGACGCCAGCATGCCCAGAGCCATTACCGGACCTTCTTCCGGCGTCAATGTTGGACCCTTTGCTCTTGGCCCATCGGAGGTCATGTCATCCGACGCCTAGCTGCATGCTGCCTCGATCCCAATACTAAGCCTACCATGTTGATCATTCGACGAGGATGGCTTATACCTCGATGACCTGTAGTTTTCTACTCCTGTTTTTTCTATTATCATGTTGTATACTATTGCCGCGGCTATGTTTTGCTTGTTTTACTTGTTTTGCCATCTGACGGGCGCAGGGATGAATGCGATAAGGAGGCCAACTAATAATGTATCATTGTTTGATAGGATAAGAGAATGGAAATGGGAATACAATGGCGCTTTGATACTTTTTATTTAAAAAAAAAAAAACATTGATTTAAGACCGCGTACTGTTTAAGGGAATAATGCATGATCTCGTTACGCAGTCCCTCGTCGTTACTTATCATTTCATAGGCTTCTCACTCAAGCCGTGTCATCTTGCTTCCCATCAAAGCCCGAATCGGCTCCCTCCCCTGCCATAGACATGTCATCATCTAGTCCCTCGAAAATCATAAACTTCTCGTTCTTCGCATCCGTCTCGTCGGGTACGATATTTCCATTCTGTACCTCGCAGTCCTTCAACACACAGTCACGACCAACCTTACTCCTGCGGCCAACGATGCATCCAACCAATTGACATCTTTCACCAATCACGGCGCCATCCATGAGCAAACATCGAGTGAGTCGCGCGCCCGATGCAATATGGCAGTTCGCTCCAATGACGGATTCCTTGATGATGCATTTTTCCTCGACCGTGACGTTCTCGGAAAGCAGACAGTCGGATTTAGTGATTGTACAGCGTTGCGCGATTCCAGGTGGATAGGCGATTTTACTCGTATGGGCCAAGGGTGAAATGGTGGTGTTGGGTGGGTGGGGGTCGTTGATGGCATCTAACTTTGCGAGACGGAGAGAGATGGAGAGGAGAAGGGCCGAATTGTCTACTCGTCGAATCAATGATGCGGAAGGCTGCGATGGAGCAATGTAGCCGAGGAGTGGGGGTGTGTTTATTTTCTCAGCAGTGGTTGCCGATGAGCTTTCGATATGATCGTCAGTCGAGTGGAGGTTACTCGATTGATTTGATGAAAGCATTTTAGACTGTATATCGAATGCGCGTGTTGACTTGGTCGTGCTCATGCTCATGAGGTCGATTTCCTCTTCAATCTGTCCGCTCGAGTGGCTATCGGTTTTGCCCTCTAGGTCTTTCTCCGAACAAAACAGGTCCTGGATGCCGAGTTTTGCGGCCAGGCCGTTCTGCCAGCCGGCCTTTGCCCACCAACCAAGCAGATCTTCACTGATGCTCTGGAACTTCTGATTCCTTTGGGCCATCTCCTTCACCCAGTACGGGAAGAAATAGATGTGTGCGTCACGATAGCCAGTCAGGATCTTGATTCGTCCATGTTTCTTTAACAGGGAGTAACGAATAAACAATGCCTTTTTCTCCTCGATAGAGTCCTTCAGCGTATCCATCGGCATGGTATATGCTACCTTCTGGAGCGCTGCACGGACAGAAATCGGCGCTGCGGGCGATCCGTGGGCAGCAGGGGCTTCGTCTCCGCTCAATGGAGTAGTTACTAAGAAGTCGGCAACCTCGTCTTTGATTTTCTCTTCAGTAGTAGGCAAGGGGTACCAGACACCAAGACCTCCCCTCCGTCCTCCCTTTTCTCCGCCAATTCCCAAAAGGCTAGATGAGCCAGGTAGCAAGGTAGCGCCTTCGGCAGTGCCATCAAGCGAGCCCTGGGTCATCATCCATGCTTCAAGCAGGGATTGTCCGGGCAGATCACATATTAAATCACATGGCAGAACAATGAAGTCTGTTTTTATACATGCTTGAACCTCCGGTAGTCGAAGGAGTTCTGCAGTTCCTGTCGTGAGAGAGAGATCGGCTGGTGCGAGGAGCGTTGGCGTTGGGAACTGAATAGATGTGAGATGGGGATTTTGAGAGAGAGCCGTCTTCAAGACCAATTGGCTGGTAGACGGCGTGATGAGTGTTATATCTGCACCGACGGTAAGTATGCAACGTGGAGTATGGGCGCGGTACGAATCAAACAATTTACAATTAACGATACATAGTGTACACGGTAGCAAACGCATTAAGGAAATAGAACGCTATCAAGGGATATGCTGGCAAAATCTAACAAACAGCATAAATGTTTTATACATATCAAGGGTGGAAGGACCTACTGGTAATTCCTAATCGATAGCACCAGTCCATAGGGTACCACACCATGGGCCGATTTGCAACCGGCACCAAGGCCTTTGGGAATTCCTCGGGGATAGACGTAAATGTGTTCAGCGAGGCACCTGGTCCGCAGAGGATCAAGGCCTGAAAGCCCGTCAAGGGCAAGCCTAGATGTGGCATGATAAGAGCTCCTTTGGCGGGGTATATTTGGTGGTAATAGATATCTCGCTGACGGCGTGTTTCTCTTTTTCTCTTCTTCTCTTCTCCTTCCGACGGGTAGAGACTGCGCAGGGTATTCAGCCTAGAGGGTATTCTCCAGTGAAGCCGTTATACAGTGAAGTCGGGTCTCCCGATGGACGTAGCACTGAGTCTTTGCCTTGATATTGGCGATGGTTGATGCGGGATGGATGAGGCTGAGCTTGAATAGTCCATGTCTCGCTGCTTCTTCCGTCTATACGAAGACCGAGTCCATACTCCGTAGCTGTTCAGTCTGTGTCTATCATCAATGGTCAATGTGTCGTCTCTGTCTTCTCTCTGTTCTGTTCTCTTGACTCACTGTGGTTCTTTTTCTTTTCTTTTTTTGTCAAAAAAGTGTCTGCTTACATAACCCACCAGCCACATGTTTTTATCCGCTTAGTCAGCATATCCCGAGGTTGAACTTCGCCCCTTTGGAGTATGAGATCTTGGACCTTCGACTCTGTTTACTTGTTTACTTGTTTACGACCTGGTTACGACCTGTTTACGACCTGTCGACGAAGAGACCGCGATGCTTAGGAGGAACAGCTAGCTTCACGAGTTAAAGACCTCGACGCCACATGTCAGATTACAACCGCCGGCGCACCTCTGGCTCTGGAGGACGGTCGGCCCTGGGGTACTGGGTGCCGCTGGTGATCACTGTTGGAGTTGCGACAGCCGGACTCGCTGCCTGGATCTGGAGCGAGCGCCAGGGCGACGATGACGACGAAGGGCTAGGCTACCACGATGGCAACTCTCCCATCACGATGGAGCCGGGGACTGGGGATGCGTACTCGAGGGGTGTCACGACAGCCACCGATGGCGGCGCGCGAGCGGACGACGGGAGTGTGATATCTCGCGTCCAGGGAGCCTGGCGTCGGACTCCAAGTCCCAAGCAGTTCTTTGACGGGGCCAGCAGATCGGTCGTGGCCGGAGTCACTGCTGCGGGTGCCGTGGTGGGAGGCGCATTGTCGTCCATCCGCGAGGAGGGTAGAGGCGACTATGACGACGATCCGCAGCAGCATCAGCAGTCAAGACGAAATGGCGAGACGGCCCGGACTCAACGAGCGCCAGATGCGTCGCAGGGATACACTCAGACCCAGACTATTCCTGGCGCATTACCGACCGACATTGCGCCTGCTGCTAAGCAACGTCAAGGAGCGAAGAGAGTTAAGACAGTGGCCATCGTGGTGTCCTCTGTTTTGCCCGCCTCGGACATCGATGAACAGATCTCGGGCCATGCTGTATGTTCATCATATGCCTACATCTCATCACACGCTCGCTAACATTTTCTACAGTCGATTCTAGCGCACCTACCTGAGTATATCGAACCGGAAACCTCTCGAATCTTCGTCCTTATATACGCGCCGGGGGTGCAGCCTTCTGCTGCTACGATCGGTTCCAGACAGCCCTTGTCAATTACATCTTCCTACTCCAACATTGCTTCCGAAGAGGGAACTGGTGCAGACACAAGCGAACTCGGGCCCTTGACCAACATTGACCCCCACCCAACAACTTCAGACGAATCCCAGCAGCCTTCCTCCCTTTACCGTACCCTTTACGGTCAGGCACAGGCACTTGTCGATGATGAAAATATGATCATGCCCTTTAGTACTCCTGCTGGCCACGTGCATATCCTTCGCCATCTCTCCCCAGAGGTTGTCTATATCCAGGAGAGCCTTACCGGTGATGACGGAGAGAGCGTCACCCAGATCTCAGGATGGGTGCGTGAGGTCGTTGTCGTCATCGGTGACGAGGGCGGACGAGGTGGCCTGGTGGACAGTGACGACGAGTCTACCACTGCAGACAAGGGAGAGCGGTGGTGGCAGAAGGAAGGGGTCACTGGTATCGGTAAACGAATCACCGTTGTGGATGGAGTCAGAATTGGTGAAGAGTGGAAACGACGAGTTTGCGGCCACGAATGATTCCACTACGATGAACAACGGTGGTGATCTCTTCTCTCGGTTTTGCGGCGTTCCCCTTTTGCGGTATATTACTTTGACTTTATGATTTTTTTTTAATACTTGGTCGGGACAACCCCCGAAGAGCTCTCCCAATTTGCTCCGGCCGCAAATGAGCTAGGCATATACAGTATGTGCTCAAGCAGGCTACCCGGTGAGGCATGGAGAGTCTCTCTGTATGCGTTTAGCAGCTATCTACTAGCGATATATTTATAAATAATTGGTTTAATGATCAAATGCTTGACTCCCACGCCACACCCAATTCAAGTATCAATTCCTTCGCCGGGTACTTGCATCTACTCTAACATGGCTTCCATACTGTCTTTTTTCAATGCCTGGAGGTCAGGGTGATACTATAATCAGCTACACTTCTGTGCGTCGACCTCAAGGGAGTTCACGAACTATCTCCTCTACGGACTTCCATTAACTCGGTGGCTAATATGACACTATTGACTGAACTTATAGGCAAATGAAAATCTATATTGAATCACCGTGTACTGCAGCTCCGGCCTGCCCGAGTGACTTATGCAAAGCTGGCTAATAATACATATGCCCCACGGATATACAATACATAAAAGGGACGCCCAGCTCCAAGTGTGATCCCAAAAATGAAAGAAAACGAATCACTTCCTCCAATAACAGATTAAGCCAAGCCTGAGGTTGCGGGTTTCGCTGGAGCTGCGATTGCACAGATTTGGTCAACGAACGGGAGCGTCAGCTGGCCCTTTGAAAGCTCTTCGTAGCACTTGCAAGCCTGAAAACGGTGAATAAAATGATTAGCATCTTTGGACTGGGTATATACATCTGATATACATAAGATATCAGACTGCTTGGTACAATAAAAGGGGGGAAATACCGTTGGAGCGTTAGTGCCAGCGCAGATAAGAGTTTGAATCAAATCACCCTTTGCGATGCATGAGGCAACGGCAGTGGCCAATTTCTCACAGTCGACTGCGGAGCCAGGGATGGGAAGGCCAGGGAGACCGGGCAAGGCAGATCCAGGAGTGCTTGGGGTGCTGAGAGAACTGGGGATGCCCGAGACAGTAGGAGAGCCAGGGAGTTGTCTTGCCCTGGCTGAACTGCCTGCTGGGACAACAATGGCAACGCTGGCCATGAGGGCAGAGAGTAAAGCAGCCTTGAATTGCATCTTGACGGTTTTTCCGGAGTTATATGGATTTCGAATATTCTTCGAGGGGTTCGGAGAGCTGGAGAGCTGGAGTTTGGAGTTTGGAGTCTGGGCTGTCTGAATGGGATAGAGGACTGAAAAGAAGACGAAAGTCCAGGAAGACGACGGCCTTTTATGTCTTTCCTTCACTCGCCATCTTCATGCTCGCCATCCTCTGGCCCAGATCCACGAGCCTCCATTTTACGTCTCCCTCTGGGTCGGAACTCGTCTCCCCATGAGGCCAACCGCCGCGATACAACCAGAACCAGCTCTCACCCTCCAGGCTTTGCCCGCTATATCTCTCATCTTTGATATATCTCTCATCTCTGACTCCACATATTGGTAGAACGGTGGACAGTTCACATGTTTGGCATTTGACAGCCGGTGGACATGGCAGATATCCAGATCGCCGTTGTTCCTGAGTCTGGTAAACCATCCCGAGGCCATGCGTAGATATACCAGGCCTATTGGCCCGACCAGGAATTTCCCGACAGTTTCAACTCTGGAGCCATGGTTGGCAGATCGCATCAGCCTTCGTTGCCGCGGATGCCATTTGGCGGTTATGTGGAAGCCAGCGGATTTTTGATAGCGGATTGAGTTTGCGCGGCAAAAAGGGGGCAAACCCAAGCATCTATCCATGGATGAACAGATATCCCCCGCGATCACGGCTGATTTCTTCGGCTGAAACCCGCCAGCTAGTATAAGCGTCTTGAGGGGCCGCAGACGGAAAAATCCGTGCCATGCTTGCAAGCCGATAACTAGCTTATCCACCTAGACCTCGACGGTCAAAAGATACAGAGGCAGTCCCTATCTCTCGCCATCCTTGGTAGGGTAAAAGTATCCCATTATCCTGTTTCTGGCCGGCTCTAGAGAGAAAAATCGAGGTGACCCATACTGTCTTGAGGAATACCGGTGCTCCCTCCTGTCGGATTCCATGTGATATCTCGATATAGGTGATAGCTGGAGACACCAGACTTCTCATGACTTCTCATGACCTATGGAAAGCGTGGAGGCACATTCATCTACTGCTCACTGTCACCAACGCTCTTAACTAGTTCCCGAGGAACGATTCTCATGTGGTTCGTCAGCCCACTGATCGGCCGCTTCTCCTCTTCTCGGTTTAAACACTCGATTCGGGCCTAGAGAACATTGATCATCTTATGCTTTCGGCTTTGCATTCCCCACGATATTCGATGTTGGGTGGCGATGGTTTGCCCGGTAGTCGTGATTCTGGATGCTAATATCTCGCATCCTTGTACGATATTACAGGATTCTCGGCTATATTTATGGTTTAAGCCAAATAGCTGTCCAAGCTTATATTTACAATCGACTAGTAGGGCAATGTTAGTATTTATAACTCTAGCAATTTTATAATAACCAGGTAGTATTGGTTCTTGACCCTCAATAGGCCTTGTATTGCAATATACAGCATTGCACAACCGGTCAATATGTCTAGGTTCACTATTTGCCCCTATGAGGACTCGAATTCGCGGAATAGCCACTACCAGAACAACCACTAGGTTAGTTACGCGCCTATACCGTGAAACAGCGGCATATATATTACGGGGGAGCGGTGTATTTCAAAACTCGATTACAGCCAGCTGTCTCGTTCAACCTTAGCATTATTCGCCATCTATTTCCAAAGCATCTCCCCCTCTTTCTCATAGTCGCAGGCCGTGCATTTCCCGCATCTCGGGTGTTTAATAGTCGCAATGCATTTGGAATTTTGCTTTTGCTTATTGCATGTGTCACTGCCTGGCGTCTTTCATTTGATATTTTTGGTCGTTTCTTCAGTGTTGGGGCTGATGCATGAGTATTTTTATGGAGTTTGCATTCTTGTAGACACATTGTTGGCTGTGGATGTACTCCGATAAGCATACATTTGGGTTAGACTTATCAAATGGAGCCAGCGACTTTCGGAAAGACAAGTGTTTGTCCCCATTCGACCGGATCATCAATGGGTGCGATGGCAACGATGACAACAACCCAATGAACTAGAAGCTTGGATGGGAGTGGATCAATACATATGAGGTTAATATTAAGCGTGGGGATAGACCATGACCGCTAATCAAGAAGCCGTATCGACGGTGTGACGGTTGATACAAGGTCATTTTCTCCGATTACACGCTTCGAGAAGCCGGTTGGTCCACCTATGATTCAGGGGAGCAGACCATCGTACGCGGTGCGAAGGGCTGTTTCGGATTGGGAATAACCAGATTCAGGTTCAACTACTTTGATGAGCCGGACGAGGACGGTATGGAATGGCATTTAACCTTCCACACTCCTATGTGGGTTAGGGCAAGATGCTTTACAAACAATAAGGTGGCGTATGCTTCAGGCGGGTTCACTGATGGATGCCGGGGCAATGACTAGGCTGGGATCAGAATGAGTCGTGTTCGTTTGCATGTTGATAGAACTAGAGTGAAGTGTGACTTTTGATTGGTATCCTCTAAGAAAATAAGTACTCCATATTCATGGCTTCAGCTATTTCAAATGGCATCATATAGATTGGTATAGGCCATGTAGACGTGTACCGTTGTCATTCTCAAACCGAGGATAAATCTGGCGATGGTGTCCTAGGATTTGGAAACGCCATGCAAGTGTATCGCCCCACGTTTGACAAGCATACCCATCCCTGTCAGGACGGGCGATAGACGCAAACACGAGCGCTAGACGTGTGCTCAAGATATACATGTTCGTTGTTGTATAGAGAAAAGAGTCGAGGTCTCTTTTAAGTCGTCCTGCTTACTAAGTGATATCAGGTGACTATGACTAAGCATCAAAAGCAACGTCCAGGAAGAGCGAAGATAGAGAGATCCATGACTTTAAATGACTTCATCCCGACCGGCCTCGTCGACACGCCATCAGCGCTACCTCAGTGCTATCGTCGTCTGCGTCTCTGGACAGCTTGCTTCCGCACCCTGACGCCGGTTTATCCGCTAGTCATCCCGCGACCGGCGTCTCTCGCCAGCGCTGTGTCCCCTCATGTCCGGCATACCAGCCGAGCATCCAGTTCCTAGTGTATCGGGCGTGTTTCTAGCTGCTCCATAGCACTCACTCACGCCTTTCCTGTATCTGGAGGTAGGCGGTACGCTGCCAGCAGAGGCTATGGCTACTGCTGTTTCGACCAAGCCCATGGCGCACCCGGGCAAGATGAAGCGACCCCCTCCCCCAACATTCGTGCAATCTGGCGCCAACGGTGCCAGGCCGTCGCAAACCTCCTCATCGCCTGTTCCTACTCCCGCGAACCGGCTGTCGGGCTTCAGGCAATTCGGGAATTTCTCATCTTCCTCCGGTACTGCCGCGAACGGCGCCAATGGTCGAGCAGTGGCGAGAGTCAACGGAGAAGCATCGCAGAGACCACTGGACCCTTCTTCACGGCTACAACGTCCGTCGACCAGGCGTCACGCTATGGGTAACAATGCTGCTGACAGCCGGGGGACGAAGAGACTTGCGGAGCCATATGGTGGGCTGCCCGACCCTTTTCTGGGCCCTTTCTTTATTGCGCATTCTGTTACAGTTACTAACCGGGGCCCTGGTTGATTCTAGTCAAAACAACCTCCTATATCCTGAAGAAATTCGCAAAATTTCCGCCGTCATTGACCATGCATCTTCACCCAACCCACTTTCGGTTTGATAAGCAGGATGGGAGCTTTCCTTATAATTCAGAGATGAAGGTTGTCATAGAGCATCTCAAGGACGGCACAGTGCCTCATGATATGATGGAGGAGCTCATCATGGGGAATGTGCGGTTTTATGATGGTAAGAATGCTGACTTTGCGGTCTTTTACATATATACATATATATTCAGTTATCTACGGCCACAGCTCATCAACTAACACGCCGATTTAGGTTGTTTAATTGTTCGAGTTGTTGACCATAGGTCTCCTTCTGCTGAACCTACGCCTGTCACGAAAGCATCGACTGGGCAGAAACTTATCCCGTTTTCCATCCATAACTACAACGAGCACATGACCCCTTCTTCATACGTTCCGTACCCTAAGCGAACCCAAATCAATGCCAACACCGGAAGTTCGCAAGCTACCTCAGGTGACCAGGCCTCTCAAGCTACATCCTCCTCAGAACAATCGGAATTTCCAGATGTGAATAAGGCTAAGGCGAAGCAGCCGCCTACCGAAGAAGCCAGCAATGGAACGGCTGCCGGACCTAAGGTTTTCACCACAGTCTTACACCCTACGCCGCGCTCCCTACAGGCCGAACTTACCCTTCTATCAATGATTCCTGATTCTCGAGCTCCGCCACGCCGACAATCTCAAGGGTTCAATACTTCACGGACTTCCACTTCTACCTCCCTTACCCAACCTTCTACCCCACTCTCCGCAGTTGCCCCTCCCATAGATCGTGGACATCCTGCCAAACGACAAAAGATGCTTGTTGAACCCCATGAACTCCCGGAAGTTGAGTCTAAATTGATTCATGCTACCGCACCCCCGCTATATCTCGAGCCAGTCTCCAGCTTGGAGGCTAGTCAGAATCTGCTGAAACTCTTAGACTCGCCATTGCACTGCCACAAACCACCTTCGCCAAAGACCAGGAGACGTACAGTGGCCGAACTTGCAGCTGACGAAGCATTGGCTGCGGCAGAGGAACGATTCATGTTGATCATGGATGAACGCCTTGAACCAGCCACTTCAGGGGGAGCAAATGCAGCTAAATCAGCAGTTGCTGACGGGGACGGCGGTGCTGCTCCGTTTGAGCCTAGATTCTCAAGATTCAAAACATTGGAAAATATCCGTAGCCAGCACGAAGAAAGGGCTAGAAGGGAACATGAGCGGAAACTACAGCAAGATCTTGTCAAGCGGCAGCAACAGGAGGCAGAGCGAGAGAAACGCCGACAGTTTGAGCAGCGCCAAGCAGAAGACCAGGCCCGAGAGGACGCTCGCAGGCAATTATTTGCCCAGCAGGCTGCTCAATCGCAGGCTCATTCTCAGGTCCATTCTCAGGCTCAGGCTCAGGCTCAGGCTCAGGCACAGGCTCAGGCACAGGCTCAAGCTCAAGCTCAAGCTCAAGCGCAGGCTCAAGCACACGCCCATGCACAGGCTCAGGCAGCACAGTCTCAACTTATTGCTTCTCACAATATTCGACCAACCTCCCAAGGGAATTCAGGCATCCCGGTCACTCTTCAGCAGCAGCATATCATATCCGCATCGCAAGCACCTCACTCTTCGCCTATTGTGCGAAATCTAACCCCACACGCCTCATCCCCACATCTCATGAATCAAGGTGTGCCGATGGCCATTACCAGTTCCGCGCAAGGTGCCGGAAGCCCCCTGGCAGTCTCGTCAAGCATGCAACATGGCCATCCTACAGCTATGGGCCATCCCATGGCACCCACCCGTAGCCAGCAGAGTCATAGCGCCCACGGGACACCACAAATGGCCCATGGAACCCCTGTAATGCATGGAACTCCAGTTATGCGCAATCTTACGCCTACTCAACGGATGCCTCACCCTAGCCCTGACGTTTCTACGATGGCCCAAACTCCAGTTATGACCCAGGCTATGGTTAATCCCCCCATGAATGGTGGGATGATGACACCTCAAATGATACAGCAAAGACAGAACGCACTGGCAGCGCAGCGGAATCTTACAAACCAACAGTTAGCACAACAGCAAATGTCTCAATTCCAGGCCAGCACTCTCGCACAGCAGAATATGCATCCACAGCAAATTATGCAGAGCCAGCAGCAACAGCAGCACCAAACCGCCCAGATGCAAAACGCCTATCAATCGAGTCTCATCCAGTCACAGCTAGCCCAAATGCAGGCCGCGCAACAGGGCCAGCAAAGGCCAATGTCCCAATTGACACAGCAACAAATGATGGCAGCCGCCGCCGCCGCAGCTAATGGCCAGAACCGTCAAAAAATGGCCGTAAGCCAGCAGTACAAACAATTGTACGAGTTTCACCTTACTCGACTACAAGGCGAGATGGCTCAGAGGGTCATGCCCCAGTACGGCCCACCCCCAAATTATCCGCCTCATATCAAGGCCCAATATTACGGTGGACTAGGCAAGGTGGCTCAACAGTATGTAAACGACATCATGCACAAGGATGCTGAGTCCGGGAAATCCCGTGCTGCTTCACAGATGGCTATCGCTAGAGCTCACGCTTTTCAACAGCAACAACAACGCCAGCAGCAGCAGCAGCAGCAACAGCAACAGCGAAACAATATATCATGAATATTGATAACATGTACTTTATGTCGTTTATACGAACTCTTCCTTTCTTTTACCCGGAGCCAGGCTTTTTTTTCTTTCTTTCTTGCGACCTCATTATGGATATTGCGACTCGGGGGTTCCTTTTTTTCAGGTTTTCTTGAGCTTAAATCCCCCTTGTAACGTTTACGATTCCCTATTTTCTCTCGTCCAGTTACCTTTACCTGCCGATGGGAGACTATATAATGCAGGCCCCCTTTCCAACCAGTCTCCATTCCCACGAAGAATTTAAACGCGAGTTAACCCATGTATACGATTTGGGCCATTTGGGGAAATGCTGGCGAGGGTGTTTTTGCCTTTTTCTTCTTTTTTTTTTGAATTTCCTCTTCCCTGCATAGCCTGGCCTACCTTGTTTCAGGCTGTTCATTTGTCGCGCCTGGTACACTTCGTTCAACTATTGTTTCTCTCGATATCTCCAACCTGTCTACTACTAATCAGTTCTCAATGGTGTTTGCATGCGGTGCTCTTTAGGATTTTCCGGTGGGGGGGTACAGGCGGTTTGTTTTATGGTGTTAATGATGTGCTTTAAATAGGTATATGGGGGGGGGTTCTCTAATACAATTATAATCGCCTTAATATTCTTTTAAAGTAATTTTCTACACTAAACACCTCGCTTGCTGGTAACCTTAATTAAGCATTGAATTAACTTGCAGCTATACTGTAAGTCGCTAGACGATAGGCTAAGGTTAATCGAGAAGTCGAGAAATGTTGATGCCATCCCACAGCGGACAGAGCCAGTTTTCCAGCCGGTCTGCCTCAGTGACCATCTCGTTATACCTCCGCAGGGTCTTGATATCATCCGACTTCCAATACTCACTGCGGCGAGGGCCAAAGTCGAATTGGCGCCACGGGTTGTCTTCGCTATCATCCGCCACGAAGCTGCATCTCAGAGTGTTGTCGCCGATAATCAGACCTCCAGGGCGGAGAAGACGATTCTGAGACCCGGGCAGAGACGACTCGAGAATCGACTTGAGGTATTCTGGGTATCCAGACTTCTGGGCATCGATGAAGATCATGTCGTATGGCGCCGTGGGAGAAAGCGCGGGGAGACTGGGGTAGGCTGGTATATTAGAAACGCCGCAGTGTATAGTTGTTTTATCACGGTGACATACGTCTTGAGAGCATCACCCACGATCACCTCTACGTTCTTCACGCCGTACTTCTTAAAGGCCTCTTCAGCCAGATTGGCGAACGACGGGTCAAACTCCAGCCCGGTAACCCTACCTTCAGGGCCAACGGCGTGGCTCCAGACCAAGCTGGACAGACCGACGTAGACGCCAACTTCGAGAACTTGAACAGCCCGTCAGTACATGCGTTTCTCTATAATTCGTCACTTGGGGGGGTTAGCTCACTTCTCTTAGCGCCTAATGTCTTTGCGAGAAACGACATTGCCTGTGCCTGAGAGGTAGACACCATGTAGTTTGCGGTCTCTGGCATCGTGTCGCAGACGTATCCATGGTATTCAACAATATGCCGTGGGATGCCCGTCGTATGTTCTTGGGCGTAGGCGCCTACGCGCGCTCCAACCCGCTCGTTCGGATAGAGAATTGGTGTATCCTCCTTCATGTTTATTCCAGGGCCGGCAGCGAACTCGTAGAGCGATGGGTCTGTTTTGGATAGAAGTTGCGGGTGTTTTTTGGCTATTATAAATATAACTCTTTATCCCACCTCTTGTGGGGCATGTATATCAGGGCTTAAATCCATGGCAAACCAGGTCCTTAGCTGTGAGGATATGTAGGCTGCTGTCTGGCCTTCCTCTAGCCTGGTTTACTGGTATATAGCTCACTGGATATTGTCTTCTAGCCGTGGCCGGAGTATATATCTGAAGCTCCATCCAGGGTCGCTTCGTCGACGTCTTGATGATGTAGTAGGATATGTTCGACGGCTTGATCAGCCTGGAGAGAAGACGAGGAGCCGCTCATCCTGATATTTGGTGGTAGTTCTATTTCCGGCTCAAGAGCGTAGATAGAGCAGAACAGATGCTGGAGTGATCCATGGATGTAGAGGCCGTTGTCATGGTTATTCATCAAGCTCATCCTTGTCGCTCGCAGAGTCGGCTATACGAGAGTCAACTACAGTGCTTACTCTTCCATTGTATTCTCACTGTTGTCCAGCACCGAGTATCACATCTTGAGCTATATGCGACGTCGCACCACACTCTGCCCATCTTTAGTCCAGCGTTTACTAGATACGGGCCTAGGGTAAGCCCAAGGGCAGGCCCAAAGACAGCGTAAAGGTAGGGCCAGAGTAAGAAGTAATCTAGAGGAGACAGGGGTAAGTCGAGTACTATTAAGGGCCTGCTTTAACTATAGGTTTCTAATAACAGGGTGTGTGGTTAGCCGGAAGGGTATATACATTGTTATATACAGGGTATACTTTTGTAGTATAGAAATCTGTAGTATGCTTGGCCCAAGAAATTGAAACCGAATATAAACTAAACTGGGGGAGAGACTCGGTTCTGCCTCTTTATTATACACTCAGGCCCCCTTCTCTTTCTCTATCTTCTCTTCCTCCGACCGCTCCCGCCTGCACCGCACCGCTCTCTGCCTCATCTTGGCTGTCTGGTGCGGGCGGGGCGGCCTACTGGTGCTGGTGCTGTTGTTGTGGTTGGGGCGTAGGTTGTTAGAAGAGCATCAACCTGTATATCTGGGTCGTTGGATCGCGATGCCACTTTTTCTCGCTCCTCAAAGTCCTGGCCGGCATTGATGGCCAGGACCTTAAACTCCAGCAAGTTGGTGCATGGTTCTCTGCTGGTGTAGGCATAGTAAAACGAGGTACCGTAGTCGCCATACGTCTCCTGCCAGCGTCGCACATCGTCAGCCTGGCGCAACTCCACCTCTGTTTCTTCTTCCCTCTCTGGTGGTGGTGCGGCCTGGAACGGCTGGCAGGAGGGACAGCAAGGGGGGCGGTAGGGGCGGGCGGCGCTGCCGGCCTCAGTACGAGGGTGGTGGTGGGGCCGCGTTGGAGGCAGCGGCGGTATTCATTTTGAGATAATATAGATTCTCTCTATATATATCCAGTTAGCGGTGCCGTTCTATACTTCGTAGAGACTATATCAAGGTCTGTTAGGGATGTTTAGAGTGTATACTTACACTTGAAATATCTCTTTTGGCCAAGGGAGAAAGCGATAGCGAAGAAGAGGAGGAAAACATTTCTTTTGGTCGAGGGTGAAGAGAGAGAAAGAGGAAGAGAAAGAGGAAGAGAAAGAGGAAGAGGAAGAGAAAGAGGAAGAGGAAGAGAAAGAGAAAGAGGAAGAGGAAGAGAAAGAGAAAGAGGAAGAGAATAAAAGGGCGAGAGGCTGGGGGACAGGGCTAACCGCTTTAGGACTGTCCTGCCATTCACTTCTTTCCTGCTTGTCCTAGTTCATGTCCTTATGGATAAGACAAGTTTATATACGTAGGGATATGACAAGTCCATGTCCTAGGGATAGTTCATGTCTTGTTCAACCCATCCAGTTGATCATAAGATGCCTATACAACACTTGCTATATGTAGAAAGGAACAAGTAGAGATGTCGTTCATTATCTATATAGAACATGTCAATATAGAGATTTGTGGCGGTGTTTCTGACAGTTGGCTTGATCGCTGGTTACAGGCCCAAGTCCAACGTCCAACTAGGGTATCAGGGTATCGTGGTATCAGGGTATCTGCATAGCCAGGCTGGGGAGCCTCTGCTGGGTCGTCCGGAAGGGATGTCTCTTGGTATATCGAATCTTGACATGTAGCCTTGACACTCAAGACTGTGTTATGGCAGGTGATACGACGACCTCACTACGGTAGCTTCTAAAGCATCGCTGGCTTCCGCTTGAACAACAGAGAGACCTTTGGCTTGTTGCTCGATGAGGTTCTCGTTCTCTTTTAAGAAGCTTGCCGGAGCTATGTTTCCCCGACTCCGGCCTTACAGATGACGTCACAGTCCCTGACCTCCTTAAAACAGATAAACAAGTATACAAAGTCCATACCCACGACCTCTTCGCTGCCCAACCGCCCATACATAACTATATCCTTCAAACTGCGTCAGTGTACGGCCTCTGCGAGCTATATTTGACTATGAACGGCCTTTACAGCAGCCTTAAGTCTGCCTATGACTGGGTTTTTGGTTCACAAACTGAACATGGACCACAGAATAAAAATGGTCTAGCAAGCTTGGAAAAACGAGTACAGGCCAGCAGCAATGCCCTTCGCGTTATACTTATAATTGAAGAATTTCGGACCGGAATCGAAGATAGCAGATACCGTCTGCGTTCCCTTGTGCTTTGTATTATCCAAAACGTGTATCTGTCCCTGCGTTACGAACAAGGAGGGCTGGAGCCATACGAGTTTATTAATAAACAGTACAAGCACGTCTCATCCCCTGGAAAGCTCGAGACATTCAACAATATAGTGGACAGATGGGACAAGGCTGCGGTCGACAAGGAGTTTTCTTTCTGGACATACCAAGATACGGGAGAAATATGTCGGATGGCTCGATAAACAGGCTGTGGGCCTACTATCTATATGATACTGAAGCGCATGCCTTGAGTGTCACTCGAGGAATGCAGCAGTGGCTGGTTAAGAGACACGGGACCTGGAATATATGTTAAGCCAGTGCATTACTCGATGCTGTGCTATATAGGATATATAATGCTCTGATTTACCCGACTATATAATACAAGAGGTTTGCTTGGTGTTACGACTTTCCATTCACGTCTGGATGATACCATACCATTAATCTTGCCCTTGTACAGAGCGCAGGACAAGGAAGAGAAGAGAAGAAGAGAAGAAGAGATGAGAAGAAGAGATGAGGAGGACACGACGCGGAGAGGACTTACCTAAACGGGTAAGCGTGATCTGACACGCTGAGGTTCCTTTTCTTCCTCTTCTCTCTCTCTCTCTCTCTCTCTCTCTCTCTCTCTTCTCTTTTCTCTCCTCGCGTCCCTCAGCACTACGTTCCTCGCATCTTGATTTGAATAAAACATTATCTCAACTCTTGAGAACTACTCCTGATACGCCCCCGATAATCTCCTTATCCATCTCAAGATTTATCTCAAGATGGGTCCAGGAGCCAGCCCGTTTGTTTCCCCCCCCCCCCTCACCCAGACATACCACACGCGTATACCTATTCTAATCTCTTCTCGATTTCTAGAGCCGATCGTGAGCTGTTGACCAAATGGTTTAAGACCCGTGAGGTTGACAACTTGCGGCAGGCGGCATATCTGGGCCATAAAACCGTGACGACTATCCGGGAAGAGTCTCAACGGGTATTTGGTGAACTTTTCTTTGCAAGATCTTCCCCGGACCATGATCACGAAGGTGATAGCCAGGCACCTGAAGGGTCCGGCTTCCAGCAGTCTTGGGCAAGCCTAAGGAGAGATATACTCGAGAATCGACAGCAGATCTTCTGCATTGTGGCCCTTGTTGCATTCAGAGTAGTTTCCTCCTTCACAAGGAAGGCAGCCCTAGATCTGTATGGAAAGCAAGGTGCCTGGCTAATTCCCTACGTCCTTGGTGAGGTTATTTGCTGGTTTGGGTTGGCTTTAAAGCTCTATACAAAGCTATACCCGCAACACAGTGATACCTGGAAAGAAGCGCTGGCAGGGGTGAGCGCGATTATCGCCGCACTTACTGACTGTGCATCTTTGATGTACCTTGGAGGATTTGATACCCACAAGGTCTCTAACTGGGTATCGCTTGTGTTTAATCTCTTTAGTGAATCTGGCGTCCACATTGTGGATCTATGCCTACTCACCAAAGCCAAGCAAGAGACCCCGGTCCCTCCGGATCCCGAGAACCCCATGGCGAAGTGGCTGCTCGTTCCAGCGGAGTATAGGGCCTGGGCTTTAGACTCTCTCTCAGACGAGCTATTTCGCTATCTAGCTGAACAAAGCACAACGGGAAAGGCAAGCTCCGCCGTTTCATCGGCTGTGGCTTCTCCAGACCTTCGTGCGCGTTCTCGTAGGGTTTCCAGACCTGCTTCACGCGAGCTTGTTTAGACATGGTCAACATTGAAAAGTCACCAACATAGAGCAAAAAATATCCGCGATGACAAAGCGGGCTGAACACGGGGGGTATTTTCCGTTCTGGCAAGCTCCAAGAGCCATCCGTCGGTTATTATATGGCTGGTAAGCCCAGTAGGGCCAACCGCCAGTCATCACTAGCTACTCTGGTAAGCCCAGTAGGGCCAACCGTTAGTTAGTGATGGTCATCGCGACTCCATTCAACCGTGTTCAGCCCACCCCCCTTTTTTTTGTTGGCTGATGATCTGTGGCAGTCATCTGGTAGCGTATTGCTGGTGGCCGTTAACTCGGTTCTGCATACGTGTGGGTTCGAATCCTACAGTTAACAACAGCCACACAGGGGGATTTATATGGCCATTTGGCTGAATTCGTCAATTTGGCAATTTTGCCAACCAGATATTAAGGCTATCGCAACTGTCTTCCATACTCAAATATGCCCCTGAAACGGCCTCGCACCAACGCAGTTAGATATATGATAACGCTAGAGTCGCCGTGATGCGGATGCAAGGGACCATAAACGACTTGCGACAGACACAAAAACCAGCCTCGTCACACTTGGCGAACCTTCTTCTACATGGCATCTCGCGTTATCTGTTGATCCTCGGACATTGGCCTTTTTACGTTATTTACTGAAGAAACGGTTGAGCCGCCTTCAGATGGCGAGGATGAGTCAGAGGGCCGAGCCGGACAGGGGGCGGAGAGCGAAACGGGATTACGGAGTAGATGAAGGAAGAAGAGAAGAAAGAGACGAAAGAGAAGAATGAGTCTTAACTTCAGTCGAGCCATCCAACGCTCGTAACTTAATGTTATAAAAGGGATGTTAAAGCCTAAAGTCGTGATTATAAAAAGACACCCAATATATTGCCTGCTTGCTACAAGTTTGTTTGCAATATAAATATTCCCACCAGCTTCGGGTCTCTGTTGGAATCAGCATTTTCATCAGCGGTTTCATCAGCAGTTACATATATCGGTTAGATACCTCTACTCAGCATGCAGACCTCCAGGCTCGAGCTGGTCCGGCTGTCCAGCGGCCACCTTGAAGGATTCCACGCGATATGGTCAAACCCTCACGCCGCCCGCTGGAGCAGCAGAGGGCCCTGCAAGACGATAGAAGACAGCCGGGAATGGATGTCGGCCCTGCTGGTCGAGAACAGCCCCATGGCTGAAAAGTACGCTATCTTTCTTCGCTCCGACCTCCCTGCCTCTGAGCTGGAGGAGATCCAGCGAGACGCGCCAGACGACTCGCCCTTGCGGACCTGTGGGATGATCGGCTCCATGGGGAGCTGGAGCGCGGACCCAGTGCCAGAGCTGGGATATATCTTCCATCAGTCGGCGTGGGGACGCGGTTTTGCGACTGAAGCCCTGTCGGCGTTTCTGCAGGTTTTCTGGGCCAACAAGCCGCAGTTTGATACTCTCGAGGCGTATAGTGATCCGGAGAACATGGGCTCGGTCAAGGTCCTCGTCAAGTGCGGGTTTATCGAGGTCGAGAGGCAGAGTGGAAATTATGAGCTGCCGTGGATGACGCCCCCGAAGCGCGACCTCATACGATTCCGAGTGACGAGAAAACAGCCGCCGAATTAAAGAGCTAAACGAGCTAGGTCTGTGGACGGGTTTACTTTTATGTGCCAGGCGCGGGAGCGTTCATGTTCATGTTCATGTCCGTCTTTTATAATTATTATATCTCCTGATTTTATACAGAGCAAGACGACTACCAGAGCCTCGTTACCTTTAGAATCCAGCATTCTTCATCCTTGCATTCCTCTTCTCTTCCTCTCTCTTTGCGTCTACACGGCCTAAGAAGTCCATGCGTCCCATATAGCCCTCCTTGGCCTTGCTATGAACATCCAAGTCGTCCTTTATGCCCTCCTTATCGACGTACGCAGCCCAGTCAAGTTTCGATTTCATAACAGTGTTCAGCTTAGGGCCCTTGGCCGTAGTCCCCGAATCACCAGAGGCTTGTATAGCCACCTGCTTCTCCCAGCTCTTCTTGATGGCATCGGGCGGGTTTGGATCGAACCGGGAGAAACGCCGGAGTGGTCGGCGCAGTTGCTGTACTGTAGTCTCGTTCGACGGGGAATCTGTATCTTCACCTGCGCCTGCGTCTACACCCTTTTGTTTCTTCTTCGCTGCAGCGGATGTGGAAAGGTACAGCTTCGCCTCGGCTGAGTCCTTGGGAACCGTCTTTTCCTCTGTTATCATCTCTCCCGCGAATTTATATGTTCGCCTTATAGTTATTAATTCCTCCTGCGGAAGCTTAGAGGGCATGCCCTGCGATTTAGACGATGCCATCATTGTGTCATCGTCCCTCTTTTCATTCGCTTGCGGCGGTCTGATGGGCGGGTTATTCATTTGACTCCATATTGAGTCGACGTCAATCGTAGCTCCGTCTGTTTTCGCTAGAGCTTTCTTCTCCTCTTGTCTATAGGTAGCCTTGTAGTTAGTAGATTGCCATGGATAGCTGTTTGGGAGAGGATAAAGGGTATCAGCCTACACTTTCGTCCTCATACCCCTAGTCCGAACAAACCCGCCCTCACCACCGGCGTCATCATCGTCCAAGTCAAAATCACTCTCACTTCCAACATCATCGTTGTTAGCATTCTCCCCGGCTCTCTTCCTCCGCTTCTTCTCTATCTTCTCTTTCGCATGCCGGATCATAGCTTCGTCTCCAGAGTCCAGCTCTGGCTCTGCGAACTCCTCGTCACTATCTGCGTCTGCACCTCCACGTTGGGGTGAGAGCTTTCTCTTTTTCCGAGGTCGCCCGCGCTCTTCCTCGCCATTATCTTCATCCTCAGATGCGCTCTCGCCATCGGTCGCGGCGAGTGCTGTGTTGTCATCGTCAAAGTCGGAATCTTCTTCGGAGTTATATGGCTGCGCGTGGTCCTGTGGTGTGGTGTCTATTACAGGGACAGGCGCTTCACCCTCTGCCCTGCCATCTGCATTTATTCTATTCGAGCGTGCCATCGTCCTGGTATATCTGTTCGTGAGCTTGCGCTTCTTCGATACTTTGATACTTTAAACCTCGATAAGATCGCGGGATTATGTAATAGAACCCATCCATTAGTCAGCAGCCAAAACCTACACAGAAAAGGAAGAAAAGTAAGAAGAGAAAGACATCAACGGCTTTTAGAGATAGCAACAAGACATGATATAGCAGATCAAGAGCACTACAATGAGACCAGGAAGCCGAAATAGTCTACTACACGCTATCATGGCGCTTCTCTACCTCAAACCCGCCAGTAGCACCGATACGGCGTTTCTTGTTCATCTCCACCTCGAGCCACCATCCACATCCAACTGATAGACAAGACAGGAACTGGATCACGATCAAAACACACATGATGGCAAAGGATGCGCGAGTCTCTCTGCAAAGTCGACCAAAGTTGACCACAGGTGCAATCTTAGCTCCATCAGCATCCACGCCGTCGGCAAAGCCCCAGGTGCATGTCCAGGAGTTGAGTGTCTGGCCGAGCTGAGCTCCCCCCGCGGAATACCGGGGGTTGTATGCTATAACCGAAGTTGAAACGGCGGCTACTGTAGCAATGAAACCGCTAAATGCAATAAAAGAGATGAAATAGTTCAGGAGAAGGACTCGGGATCGTGGCTGGGCTCAGTCGTCAGCATCTATGCGTACCACGCTTCACATCCGAGAGAGGACTACCTACCGAAGGCAATAGAGCAACTGTGGTATAGGCCATGTTGAAGACCAGGAGGATGGTGCCGCAGACGATGATGGCGATACTTGGACTTAGATCCAGTTGTTTGGGCCATAGGGACAAGTACCACTTGTCGTACCTAGCCGTGGTTTTGTAGTAGTTCAAGGCATGCCCTTCACAGCTTACAACGACAACCGCAAGGACGAATGAAAGAGACGACAGAGCGATGCGCGTCCAATGGATCATCCGGCCTCTGGAGAGATATTTAGATTCGTCATGGTCCGATGCGGCGGATGGGGCATTGGACCCGGTGATGGAGGATGCAGGCGACATTTCTCTTGACTCAAAAGGTAGATGAGGAATAGCAGTGCAAGGACGATGAAGTTTTTATATTATGGAGGAGCGAAGAATTATTCAAAACGGTGAGCCAGCACCAGATGCGAAGAGAAAGAAGATTGACAGGCAAACAGATCCTGTCCTTCAAAGGGATTAGAAGGGGATTAGAAGTGAATAGAAGAAAGTAAGTAAAAAAAGGAGGGAGAATTGGCCTGCAATATGAAGAATATAGAACGAAAGAGCCAGCTTCCTCCCACCAGCGGGACGCATCGACATTTTATCACCTTTCACACTCCACAGAGGCTCGAGATGCATCATATCCAGCGGTTCCTCAAGCAAACGCAAATCCAAAAATAGCCCCTGGATCGGTGACGCTTGTGCGTCGTTGCGCTGCATGGTGATGGGATGCACGATGGATACGCAGCCCAGGCCGGTTCCACCGCGACGCTGCGAGATCGAGCTCATTCGCTGGTATATTAATTCATGCAGAAAGGGCGTGAAACGGCGTACCAATCACATCTTATGCACCGTTCATCGAATTCTTCAATGCGGATTTAAGTTGTTGCTAGGCGCCCATGGCTTGCAGGCCTGTCTGCAGAATGTGACTGGCTCCCTCTAAACGCCTGGAAAAGGTCTACTATATACGGATATTTTCTAATGCGCACTGGACGGTAATCAGGGAAGAACGAAGAAAGACTGATTTTTTTTTCTTTTTTAGATATGAAGTTAACTGATTAACTAACTTATTCCCCCTTCGGCTCATGTTCTTTGGTTTCGGCGTACGATCTTGAGAGGATACGCTCGCAGTGGCTATTCCACTTCCCGAACACCTTCCAATCTTCCAGCATCAGCATCTCCAGCACGTCTTGCTTTTTGACGATATCCTCGTCGGGGGACTTGGCCTGTCTCGCCCGGAGATCCTGCAGAGTAACGAATCTCCCCCGGTCTAGCAACAGCCACTGCATGCCATATGCATCTCTCCTGGGCAGGATATCGTCCTCTCCCCTCAGGCACATAATAATCTGTAGCCCACGGAGGTTTGAGAGGAGGTCGGTAGTACTTTTAAAGGACTCCAATATCTCCTGGCGCGTAGGCGGCTCGTCCGACATCCTGGCGAGATAATTAATATCTGCGTACATTACCTACGCATATAGAAGGGAGCCAACTTGCTTTTCTGCTTTCTTTCTATGGAATCGAACTTTTAACCCAGAAGAAACTCGAGAGGCGAACTTGCGTAGGGATAGCTTCAGTTTTCCCATACTGGAGGGGGTTTGGCGTTGTCAAGGAAGTTGCTAGGACTGTTGCTATGAGTTACAGGCTTTGCACTTTAGAGAAGACTATAAGCTGATGGATAGATTTCGGGGGATAGACCATGTTTTATATATACTCCAGAAAGTAACAGAGATGAGTCTATGACGAAATCAGTCCACGATATGCCCGTGGCTTGAAAAAGCTGAGGTTCGAGCAAAGGATTCTTCTGGTTGACCCTCTGTAGCCTCATGGGTGATAATATCATTTTGGACCGACGCCCATGGTTTCCTGGGGTTTACTTTCAGTCTTGCGCTGAAGACCCTGGGTATAGTATCGATGTGCGCCTCTATTCCTTTCCACAGTTCCATCCAAACTCCAGGAAATTCCTCATCCCAATACCCTGCGCCTATACCGATAAAGCAAAGGGTGGTTCCACCCGTCCGTCAGAATATCAAGAACCAAGGGATAGCAGATAGTAAAGGTGTGAAATCACTTGGAGAAGGTTGCCGCCACCCCTTCCAAGGCCAGCACCTCCTCTACGTTCACCCTCTTCCCCCGAACAACGTCATGAACTTGTTCGCTTTCACTGCCTCCACCGGTCCGATCCAGATGTAACTTGGTTCTGCTGTTGATATACTCCCTCCTCTCGCCCTTCTTCTGGTCCAGTTCCATCTCGTCAACCGATTTAGGGAGTGTCAGAAGCTTTGGGCGTAGTTGCGCTAGTACTGATCGTAAGGCGGGAAGCTGAGACAGGATGAAAGTCGTGTTGGTTGTAAGTGGCGTGCGGGATGGACCAGCGCCTCCGTCACCCATCCGTAGTTTCTTCGCGCGTGGATCAGATAGCAGAAACGAAAGGTTGGGAAGCTGTGTCTCCGCGTCAAACGCGGGTGTTGCTGGAGTGGCAGCTTCCATGGGCGTGGATTGTGTGCCTTGGTTCGGTTTTACTGCCGATACCATGGATCGGAGCTGGGAGAGGATGGCATCATTACGCGCGCATTCCTGCGTCAACATGCGGTTCAGTTTCTTTGTCTCTCGGAGCTTCTGCCGTTGTAGCGTCAGGGACTCTTCAGTCGGAGCGTTCTCGCAATTCGGTTCAAGCGACAGGCCCTGTAACCAGCCATGAGTTTAGCATCTCCCCATATCACGCAGCTTCATCCGTGGCAGGCCAAACCTCATGATGACCCAATCGAATCCAACCCGTCAAGTCCTCCGGCACCGTCAGGACGTTCCTCAACACGTAGATCTCGAACTTGTCAAACGCCTTGTCGACAGTGGCCTCCAGCAGCGTCTCTAGCTGGTGAAGTCCGTTCTCGATCTCCAGCCTCGCCTCGGGGTACTGTATGTTTCCATCGTCGTCTGTGTCTGGGATGGTGCCAGGCCCATGTCTGAAGCCCAACCGCTCAGGCGGCGTGTTGTGAAGCCCGTCCTCGAGACTGGATATAGCCTGGTAGATGAGATTGTTCACGGAGTTGATGACATCGTCTATAAGGGACTGTGATGGTCAGCGCATTGCTTTCGTCGCGGGGTAGTTCATAGTGTTCTGGTCAAGCTGCTTGGACATACGAGTGGCGTGTAGCTAAAGTGCTCAGTGAGCAGAGACGTCGAAGCATCGTTCATCGTGGTAGAATGCGTGTACGGTTCATGGTAAGCTCGTTGAGTTCTGTGATGGTCGAGGCGAGCGAGATGCTCGATGTTGCTTTTACATGGTGCAAGTTGCGCGCCATCGCGTCCCACTAGAGATGTTTACTCCACCTCACAGGTTATCCCTGAGACCAACGACTTGATTATTATATAGGTCTTCTCTAAGGGGCAGCCACTCCTTGTAGATATGCTCCCTCCTAGAATAATATACCACCTCCGTGTTCACTGTAAACCATGTACACTGCAACTCCGCTATAAACCAATGCCTCCGTACTGCCAGGTTCCATTCCCGCCCTAAACGCCAATCCAATTATCAAATCACCCTCAAAAATCGAGCATTAACTGCGGATAAGCCCTCTCCAGATCTTCGGTCTATAGATAGTCGTCAGCATTAGGAACCTCAAGGGCGAAGGAATAGCCGTAATTGGCACATTGGAGCGGGCAAAGTGCGAAGAAGAGGAGGCTGTTCTACCTCCAAATATTTCTTGTGTCCCGTTTCCGTCCTCTTTGTCGCAGACGTATCCATCAAATCTATGGTATTTCCCGCGCGATTCTCTTCCAGTGAACGGCTGATGGCCTCGTTGGCAAAACTTTCTATATATTTTGCAAACATCTTCACCCCATCCTTCGTTATTCGGGTCTTCTTCTTCTTAAAGGAGACCTCATGCAACAGTGTCGTTACGAGCTTGTAATCAACTCGTGGATGAGCGGTCTTGGAGATGACTTTGCGGTTCGTCGGTCCGTCCACTGTAGTTATCTCAGCAAGTATGTATTCTGGCTCTTCGGAGGACGCAGAACTTTCGGATGGCGGTGGCTCGACATCTCCGTTCAGCGCGCTGGATGAACTGGCGCGAGGCGTCTGGGTCTTCTTCCTTCTTTTCGGAGCGGCGACAGAAGGTGATGCCTGTTTATTCTCCGTGGGCAGCGGCCTTTTCGAGGACTTGGTTCCTGTCCGTTTATGTTTGACCTTCTCAGCAGTGCCTGGGGTGCCTAGGGTCGCGTTCGAAGTCGATTTCCGTGGAAACTTGACGATAGGTTTCTTGACTTTCTTCTCTACCGGTGCCATTGCATAGATCCAGCAGTGTCCTATATCATCAGATACACACCTCTTTTCGGTGCATCGTCTCTCCTCTTCCCGTCGTCTCGTTTGTTTCTTTTCTTTTGATCGCGAATAGACGCGTAGTCACGTGGTATAATTAAGTGGGATAAAATTATTCCGAGCCGGTGTATATATTTCCTAATCGAGTCATGCCCAAAATGACTCCAACTTCTTACATTGAAGAAAAGATATCTATACATTCTTACATCTAACAATACAACTTGGAGAGGTATTTCAGCATAATAAGAAGACACTGCATATCTTGAAAGATGGAGCGGATAGCTGAGATAGAAGGAGACCTGTTCCTTGCTCCGGAGGGAGCTGCTCTTATCCGTACATATACTCCTCTATACCATCCCTTCAACATCTGTGACAGGCTAACCCTCCTTTGTTAACAGATGCGTGCAATTGTCAAGGGTCCTGGGGTAAAGGCATTGCCCTTGAATTCAAGCATAAGGTTAGATCTATACCCTACTACAGTTCAGATCTATAGAACGCGCGACTGAACGTTCTATGTCTTTTTTTGCAAATTCTCTAGTACCCAGCGGCATATAAGATTTACCGCTCTTATTGTCTGAATCTTCTTGCAAATCCTCAGACTGGACTATGTCCGTCACAACGCGTAACCAAACTGCCTGAAGGAACAGCTCTTGTTATACCACCCCAGCCAGAAGACTATGACCCCCAGGGGCTCACAATTGCCTCGACCATGGAAGCTGGCAGCAGCCGGGCCCGTGGGCGTGGTCGTGGTCGTGGACGTGGGCGCGGTAGAGCTAGGGGTAACGGAGGACGAAACACCTTAGGAGCCCAACCGGCATGTAAACGGCATTGGATAATCTGCCTATTTACAGCTTGGCACTATGCAGCTGGCAAGCGCAACTCTGCGGACGAAATCCTTGAAAATACAGTTATGGCGATGGCTGACCTGAAACGCCAGATCAGCGAGGAGGCGGCTGGTCTCGAAGCAGATAAGCCCAATGGACTTCTTAAGGATGCAGAGCTCTGGTCCTGCCGCATCAATGCAGGGTTGTTTGGCGTTGAATGGGAAAGATCTAAAAGCGTATTGGCAGACTCTATGTTGGACATCAAGGTCGTCTCACCACCTCCAGAGTAGCTTGCTTGGGGACCACCATTCTGGCTATTTACCATACATCTTCAATAAATTTGGCTTCACGCACCAAGGGCAACCCTTAGAGCTTGCTTTATATGTCTATACTACACGTTAAATGGTGATGAGGAATGAGCAATGAAACAAATAACGCCACCATCTGTAAGTACCAAGGAATAATAAATTCGGCTGGATGAAAGCCTGGAACTTGACTGTAAAGACATTTACCCCTGACTCGTACGCCTATGACTCCCTGGTCAGCTCTATGCCAATCGACTACAAGGTATTTCTGCCCGAATCGCATTAGCCCTAGACAAAAGGGCAATATGAGCAGATTATAGGTGTAGTCACTTAATTAAGAGCTTCTTGAAGCCCCTCTTAATCATGTTACCCCCAGTCCCACTATCATCCGAGCTCAGCTTTGACTTGGGTTCTATATCGAGTTCCATTCCATCTACCGCCTGGCTTGGGTCTCCCTTTTCCAGACTACCTTGGTTTCGTGCACGAGACTTCGATTTGAAGGTGTCGCGTCTGAATATGCTATTGGAACCAATAAGAGAAGCCCGTCTTGAAACGCTCGTGGTGCGGGACACATTTCTGGCCTTTCTCTCTTCATCCGTCTCTCGCTCCAAAATACTGATTTCCTCCAAATAAGTCTTTTTTTTAGTGCCCAAGTTTGCTTCAGGCATGGGCTCAAACTTGACCATGCCACGGTCTGGGGGAATTCTGAGCTGGGCATGAATCTCCCGTTGGATATTGCCTGTATAACGGTTATTGCACAATGGGGTCAGCACAGATTTCAGGGCGGTGACTGTGACAAGGTATGCGTGTTGATTGGAGTTGTCAGTGCTGCCAAATCTTATATCGGCCTTATCGTCGATGTACATCATGATTGAGTGGTCAAATACACACTCCAACTCCGCTACTAATCTGGCTATGATCCGGGGGGCCTCTTCGACCTGAAATTATTGAGAGTTAACTATCGCATCACGCGCCTGTACTTGTGTATAATTGGCAAAATGCGGGCAGGTGGCTACATTGGCCAGGAAAAGACGTAATACCTTTTTGCTTGTCTTGATCCCAATAATAACAACAGACGCCTTGTTGACCTGCTCACGAGATATATTAGGTAGCTCGTCCACAGCGAAGATCCTGCTGTATTCGCCGTATAGACTGACCTTTGTCGAGTGTCGTTTCAGGGTACCCTGGCCTGGTTGGCTCCTACCGACGCCCAGATCTCTCTCAGCCTGTTCAGTTTGATCCTCCGAGACTGTAGAAAGCTATCACAGCGTCAACACTCCTGACACTACCGCCCTCTCCCAGGCTACGTCGAGGTCTGAGTAACTTACACGAGAAGGAGAGTCGCGAGGAGATCCAGTAGCTGAGTCGTCCGCACAGGGCGAGGTGCCTTTCCCGGAGCTATCCATGGACTAGATGATGTAGCAATGCAGCAGGAGGTTCAAGGGAAAAAGAGGGAGATATCCCGAGTCCAGAGGCTGGAGAGACAAGAGATTCGTGCTAAAGGCGAGTGTAAGCAAGACGTGAAGTTGCAGCGTTGGTGAAGGAGAGAAGAAAAGCGTTCTGGCAGGACACATGATAACTGCACTAAAAGGGAAACTCCTCTCCTACCTGCACTTCAGGCCGCAGTTCTCTGCAGTCAATTATCTCCTTGGTGACCAGGACTCTTCATTCTACCCCGGCTGCGACAGACGCATCTGACGGCGGGTATCGTCCGTAACGGTGTCTATTCTAGCCTGTCCCCAAGGATGAAGGACAGGCTTATATGCTGAAGGGCTATACCTATCAGCGGTCCTGCATCTACCCGACTATCAAGCAGCGAAAGACCACAAACACTCCTCTGGCATGGAAACACACAGGCGCAGGCTAGCCGGAACAGGTGCAGGTTTTATTCCCCCGTTATGCATATTCGCTTCCTGGTGTACCTGTTCTCTAACGCGTTTTTCAGGGTATCAACACGTTACGCAGGCTGTTCTGCAGCATCTTCGCTACATGTGACGAAAAGCTGCCCTTTGCCATGGTTACGGCTGTCCAGCTGCATGACGAGTCCACAGGAGTCAAGATCCGACATCTTTGTTGACAGATGATGGACAAATGAGAATGGTGGTAGATATTTTATTCAACGGAGACAACTGGCCACCAGAAACAAAGTCTCGGCAACGAATCCAACTGGTCTGCCCTTCGAAACCAGCCAGTCACAACCTTTTGTCACCAACTTGCTCTTCATGAATGGATGATTAAATTACGACAAGTCCAGACATGGTACGATGATTATAGCTGATTCATTCTTGACCCTTCCTAGTCTACATATAATGGATCCAATGTTGTACGGTATACAAAATTACAACAGGAGAGAAATGAAACAGGTAGGCTATAGGTTAAGCAAAATCAAAACTCCATGGTACCATGCTCTAAATGCATCTACTGTCTAAATAGTTCGCTCTATCTGGTAATGCTTTAACGCAAAAATTGTAAAGATTTGTGATAGAAAGCCTCCGTGATAAGCCCTGGCTGGTGGCCTCAGCCACTCACCAAGGGGTCGGGGGTGATGGTTATTTTCCTCTTCTTGCCAGCGCCAGCAGCAGACTGGGGCGTATCAGTTCCGTTGCCGTTTTGCTTCTCTCCACTCTCTGCCATATCTGACATGTCTGCCTTAGCATCAGCGGGCCCGGTGTCCTCTGCAGGTCGGTCCTTTTTCTTCAGCTGTAGCGAGCCAATCTGCAAAGCTTCCTCTGGCAGCGGGCGAATGAATGGCTGGCACACCCACCAGGGCCTCTGGTACTTCTCCATCGTCGCTTTGGACTCGTCCGACTTGACTACGTCAGGCTTCGAAGGGCGGGCGACATGCTGCCAGTCTGGATTATTTTCATATTCCAGCATCCCCTGCTTGACGGCCTGGTCGACGAGTTTGACAACTTTCTCGAACTGGGCCATGTTGCCTACACCACACCGGGCAAGCGCATCGCGGATATCTGTTCGGTGCGTGATAAGGTGTCGAAGCAGCTGGAACAAATGTCCCTGCATAACAGTGAGGTTGGGCGAGGTAGGTCTCTTCGTGCGTGCCCGTTGCTTTTGTTTCTTCTTGGGTGGCTGTTCCAATTCATCCTCTTCAGCCTCTTCGTATTGATCGCTGGCTTTAGAAACAGGGTCATTGGGGTTATATAGCGGCGCTCTCTCCGGCGGCTCTTGCTCAAGCACGTACTTATACGTGAGGTCAAGGTATTGGCGAAGTATGTAGTCAAGCCTATATCCTCCCTTCCCATCCCTTCCACGCCAGTACATCGTTCCCTCACTTCCTGGAAGCGGAGGCGTCGAGAAAATAGTCGGGTCCGAGAGGTTTCCTTCAGCACTCATAACGCCATCTGCACCAGTTGATTCCAGGCAGTCGCTAATATCCTCGTGATTCAAAATGTTTCCATTTGCAAAAATCACTGTCTGAGGCGGTAGGTTATCTCTTAGATAACGAATATACTCCCAATCAGCCACGCCGGTATTATGTCCCTTCTGCTCTCTCCTCCGCCCATGAACAGATATAATACTTGCCCCTGCGGAGAGGATCATTTTCGCATATTCGAGGGTCTTCTCTTTCGTTTCGAGGATACGGAACTTCGCCGTCACGGGAATCGATAGCTCGGTGTGTAACTTGTTAATAAGCTTATATATCAACTCCTGATCCTCCTGTAGAAATGCACCGTAGTGCCCCTTCTTCGCAATTCCCTGTGGACATCCAAGATTCAAATCAACAGCATCGCAATGTTCTTCAACATGGCGTGCAGCATTGAGCAGCTCGTCGGGATCGTTTGCGCAAAACTGAACGATAAGTGGCCTATCGAATTTGGGATTCCCGTCAAGGTACGGCTCAACCTTGGTGTCTGATGACTCTCCGTCCCCTTTGACTTGGCGAGTAGGTTCAAAGTGCTGGGAACGGTATCCCGGTGACTCGTTGAAGAGCCGAGCGTGAAGCATTGGCGAATAAGCAAGTAAGGGAGATGAGGATTTCGGATCGGTAAATGAGCGGCTAAGCATACGCCATGCCTATAATGATCCAATTCATACCATTAACATCAACTCAATTTTAACTAGTCAATTGCATCATGGGAGGGGAGACGTACAAACTCCGACCTGTCTACCATGGGCGCCAAAATCATGCTAGGACTGCCTATGCTCTCGTAGAACTCGCGCCCATGTAATTTCTTCTTCGTTAACTTAGGCTTCATTTCATTGACTGCCTCCATGATCTCCTTTGGCGCCGATTGTATATCATTAGCATCCGCACCCGCCATGGTTGCTGGGGGAGTCATGTTCCTTGTGAACAGCAAGCGTCGGAATTTGGCCTCAGGCTTCTGCAGCAAAGCCCGCTGCCAGAAGCGAAAAAGAGACAGCTTCAGGTTTGCTGTTTATGAGGTAGAGGGTGAAAGGTAGAGCTTGCGCCAGATAACGCGTCGCATACGCAGTCGATTATCATTAAAATCTGATCGCAAAGAAAAAGATTGATGCCAAGGAATATAATGATTAAAGTTTTGTCAAGATAAGCTTAGATAAGGATGATTATATAAGCTCTTAAGACGAAAATTTTGAACAAGCAGAAGGAAAGGGTTCAGGAGGTGTTTAGATTTAGATGTAATAAATTGTTCACTATATAGTAGCTAAGGTAGAATGAGGGCATACAGGATCAACCCGTCGCAAGCAATGCCAACAGCACAGAAGGGAAATGAGACAGAACCATCCAAAATATTGTAGAAGGAAACTCGCAAGGCCATGACGGCCATTTTAAATGGATAGATATAAACTGGGAAGCCTTCGCCGATAGAAACAAACACCGATTGGACCATGAACAAAGGAAAATTGAAGCAGAAAGGGAATGCTATTCTATAAAAGGGACCGTGTTGGAAGATTGGGGGGGAAGAAAACAAGGTGCAAAGGACAACGTGTCTTGCGCGACTCAAGGGCAGCGCGAGAGGAGTGTGTATATAAGTGATGGTAGGTACAATTCAGAAGTGAAGAGGGGAAAGAAAATTCGTAGCACGGCATCACGAGAGAGTAATGGAGGAAAGGAGACAAGGAAATACAAGTGGAAGGTAGAAGTTTATTCAAGGTGCGCAGTAAGTTGGGAAATGTGGTGGAAGGGTGCTTCGATGCTAGCACATAGCCTCTCAAAGTCTCGTCTGGCAGCTGGGCTTACTTCTTTGGATGTGCTGTCGGTGGTAGAGCCCTCGACGACGAGGTCGAACTTGGCAGAGATGTTATCGAGCTGAACGCCCCTGAAGAGGTTGTCGGAGCTAGGCTTAGAGACGGTGGTTGGCTGGTCGATGAAGAGGGCGAAGGATGGATCGGTCTCGTCAATGTCGAGGTCAGCAGTAGAGATGGAAGAAGATTCCTTGGAAGTCTCGACTTTCTCAACACCGAATGGGACGGCATCAATGGAAGGGATGACGTCCTTGGATTCATCGGATGGGAGTGGCCCGACAAAGTTAGAGCTCTTGCCAGTGATGGCCTCCATATCAAGGGATGGTCCGGTGGGGACATCGAGGACGGGAAAGACGGACGGGTTGGCGAAGTTGAAGTCGATCCCCGAGTTCCAGCCCTGGTCACCGACGTCGATGGAGGAGAAGTCGAACCCTTGTTCAGGGACAACGGGCAAGCCAGTCTGGAGGTTTGGCAGGGAGATCTCCTGGGGAAGTTGCTCGATGCCTTCCTCCTTGGTCACGGTAGGCTGGCTGGGGAGCTGTGGGACGGCACCCTGACCTTGGCCACCGAGGTTTGGTGGGATTCCATTGGCGGTGAGTTCGTTGAGTAAGGGAGTGAAGTGGGGAGACGAGAGAAGCATGCGTGTGAAGTTGCTGAGTCTAGCATTTTCTTCGGTGAGGGCGTTGTTGCGGAGTCGCAACTCGTTGGCCTCGTTGGTCTTGGCAGCGACTTCACCTTCAAGCTGGCCAATGTATTCTATACGTCGGGTTAGCAATGTGTGGTTATATGGAAGGAAAGTAAATAAAGACATACCTTTTCGTCGTGATCGGAAAGCGCGAGCAGAGACCTTGTTACGGAGCTGTCGTCGTTCTTTGCTGCTGAGTTTCTTTCCCTCCTCACTAGCGAGTAATCGCTCGTCCTCGTCCATATCCTGTTCATCCTTTCTATACTTGGCTGGCTGGGGTAGACCGTTGGACTGTTCGCCATCGTCTTGACTGCTGACACTACTCTGTCTCATTTGTTGAAGAAGACGGGAGATTCTTTCTTGTACGACGGGGTCGGTGTTGCGGTTGGCCTTGTTCTGAGGTCGGCTGCCCTGCTGGTTACTTTCCATGGCGGCCTCCTGCTGCTGAGGTGACTGTTGATGCTGCTGTTGTTGCTGCTGTTGTTGCTGCTGCTGTTGCTGCTGTTGTTGCTGCTGCTGTTGCTGCTGCTGCTGGCGATGGAGCATCTCCTGTCTCTGCTGTAGGGCAGCCTTGGCTCTGGCGGCCTGTTGCTGATGGATACCTGGATAAACACGCCTTGCCTGGTTGGTGGTTGCTACGTGCGGCATCTCGTGGCCTCCGAGCGCACTTGGGTCCACGAACTGGGTCTTGGTAGCCTGGGAAGGCATGAGATATGTCTGAGAGTCGGCCATGCTGTCGTCGAGGTCCATCTCAGTCGAATCCTTCATTGGAAGCGCGGGAAGAGAGTGAAGCGGCTGTCCGATGCGACCATAGATTCCGTCCATGGGGTGAACCATGCCCATGTTCTCCAGTCCGAAGTTGACGTTGTTGTTGTTGTTGATGGCAATCGTGCTGGCAAGGCCACCTGGCGGCAGGCCAGTCTGCTGTGTGTAGGAGCTGTACTGGTGACTGGGTCCGCGATACTGCTCCTGCTGTGGGCTTGAGATCGCAGGCGGCAGTGTAGAGACCTGCTGCTGCTGCTGTTGCTGGTGATGGATGAAGTTGTGTTTGGCAGAGGACTTCATGTCCGAGTTTGATGGCGAGACGGAGGGAGAGGGATACATGGTCTGGTCGAGGTTGAGGAAGGAGTCCATATCAGGGTCGTAGGACTGGGTCTGGTTTGTGAGTGGTGACAATGCGGACGAAGGTAGAGGTAACTCTCCCATCGCGGCCATGGTGAAGACAGCGAGCCCGTCGCTACTTCGTCGAGTAGTGGCGTGGCGGGTGGTGATACTCTTAACAGCGATGCCGACGTTACCGGTCTAAGTGCGCCGTCAATGTCGTCGTCGTATACTCTGATCTGCTCTCTCTGTGTATTCGGGCAGCGCTTTGACCTCTGTGATCGTTGTGGTGGTGGTGTTGATGATGGGTGAGTGAGGGGATGCGATGTGAGGGAAGACGTGAAGTTGAAGATGAAGTCGAAGTTGAAGACGGAGAGTCGGCCGCCAAGACCCATCCCCTTTCGAGCAGCCCCGAGGTGGCCACGCGTCCTCCCGTTTGCCTGTGTCGAAGGGAGCGTAACGCCCGTACACCCCCATACCCAGGCTTGGCGTTACTCCGCCCCCGCCGAGCCCCGTACCGCCGCCGTATCAGGCTGCCGCATTCCTCGCTCTGTTGCCTCTTTAGGCGGCTAACCCCTGACCCACAGCCACCACCAGCCAACCACGGCGCTTCCTGCGCCCGGACCCACTGGCAAGTACCGTACGGCCCTGAACAATACAACCCTAAATATAGAATACACCAGTACCCTGTCTGTTACGCTTTCCATACTTAACAATACGTGCTTATATAATACTTACCTCTGTATATACTTCCATTACTCCATACATTGCAGCGGAGATACATGGCTGCTTACCGACAGTGCATCATGTTACAGAGGTGCGTTGGTTGGGCACACTGCAGGCCGAGTTATGATATGCCACCGGCCTCCGTCCTGACACAGGTGGGCCGCAGGATGGGGTCGGAGGCAGGGCAGTGCATCCTCTTCGGGCGTACGGGATATATCACGTGAGTGTATACTTATATAAGCATTGTTTGTCACGTGTTATCTCGACTCAGCCAGGGTTGAAAGTGGCTGAACATCACCATCACTCTTGATAGACCAGATATAGATCATGGATACAATAGCAGCATGACTTGCTATTTCTTTTACCTTACTCTTACGCTCCCTCTAGGGCTGCTCCTTGGACATACGGTACCATGACCCTCAGAGGAAGCCATCCGAGGAATCATGATCTAATATACGGAGTATAAACACGCCAATAAGGACCCGTTTATGACAGATGGATATGGACACCATCCTAGAGTTGCTATTCTGACCAATTTGGCCTCAGCTCTTCCGGTGTTATTGGTCAGCCCTTCAACCCTACAGACCTAGGAGCTTCATATATTTGAACCTTTACGACCGGATCTGTCGTCTGTGGTGGACGGCCTTTATGGTGTATCGAGGCAGGAGACCAATATTAAGGGCTATTTGCTTACATGGGAGCTTATGCTGAGTGAGGAAAGCTATACGCCTTACCAGTTACTCGCGTATATGCATATGACATTCTATACTAAATCTAGAGGTATAGACGCAATGGGCTTGTTTTGATAACGAAGCTACACCAACGCTGCCTCTTCGGTAATAGTACTAACCAACTGGCCCTTATTGTATACTCTTACCGAGGAGAAATAACCGATAAGGCTCACTGCCAACGATATCCTTTATCTGTCGTTACGGTGACCTTTGACTGGACGGCGCCTACACACCGAGAAACACACATGCACGGAAACCTATACTGGCTAACCCTTGTAGTGCTGTCAAAACCGAAATTAGTCTCTGAATGTAAGATGAGTAAGTTATTTGTTCCATCGATAACCATGCATGAATAAAGTGTCTGGCCAACCAGATGCTAGCGTCTGCGCAGAGAAACCCTAGTCCAGCTGAACGGGTGAATTATACTTACGCGGTCTTCGTCTCAGCCGGCTGATCGGTTGCAATCCAAACACCGTCGAGTCACTCTTGGCCGGCATCTTTCTCTGTTAACAAAGTCACTCGGCATGAGCTTGTCTTCGGCGTTGCCTCCCAGAGACTATCATCTAACCTTCAGTCCATACTCCTCCCTTTTTCTCTCATATTACCATCTAGTCCAGTTTACCTACCAAGTAAACATTCCACCAAGTAAGCGATTGGTGCAGGCTTTGGGGAGTTCTATCCTATTAAGCCCCTCATTCGTTGGTGCTATCCTCGCATAGCTATCCTTGCTTTTTCTATGTCTATCAATTCTAGCCCGGCCGCCAGCTTTTGGTGCCAACATACGCATATATCCCCACCATGTCCCCGAGCCTGTTTCTCATGGCGGGGAAACAGAAGAATACTCTTATCCTTAGCCTTTGTGATACCCAAATCCTACTATCCCGTCAGGTTTTTCCATATAATCCCGGAGTTTTGAGATGTCTCACCAGGCCACCGAGTCCCTCTACGACGAGATCTTTCTCGATTACGAGAACAATTATCATAATAATGCGGGACTGAGGGCGTTCGTCAGGGAGGCAGCATCCAAGCTACCTCCTCATGCACAGGTACTAGACGTAGGCTGCGGCACCGGCCGTCCCATAGCTGAAACTCTCTGCGCGGCCGAGCTCGACGTGACTGGCATCGACCTGTCCACTGAGATGGTCGAGCTGTGTCGGAAACGCTTCCCAACCGGTACATTTATAAAAGCGGACATGACCAAATACCAGCCGGAACCGCAGCAAAAGTTCGACGCAATATTTGCCGTTCTCTCTTTGTTCCATGTCTCTCACCGAGAATGCTACTCCATGCTGTTCAAGTTCTCGGAGTGGCTGCGTAAAGACGGTTTCCTATTCATCACTACCATCTATAGCCAAGACCTGGTAGAGAGAGGTGCTCGGCCTGATAGCTCCGGCATCATCGACCTTGCTGATGTCCAATTTATGTCTCGAAATGTGCCCCTGACGGCCCTGTCTGGTGAGAAATGGTCAAATTACCTGACGGCTGCTGGGTTCGTCGACATGCAGGCGACGAGATACGACTTTCAGCCTGCGGACCCAACCCTCAAAGTTGCGCATCATCATTTCATCACAGTGAAGAAGGGAGACAGCCATCCGTTAATGGGACCGTATCCTTACCCCGATAAAGTCCGTGGACCATACTCGATAAACAAGGCGGCCTACAAATCTTTTCTTGGGAAGCTAAACGATGCGGAGTCAAAGGCTCTGGCTGATGTCTTGAAAAAGAACACTAACGTTCTTAAAATCGGTAATATACGCTTTATTACCATCCTCTTATCTTTTTTAAAATGCTAAACATTAAACTAGATCCAACCACCAGCAACGAATCGTTTCTCTTTGGGCCCAAAGAAAAGCTCAGCTATCCCGATAACCACTTCGACTGTGTAGTCGTAGCCTGGGCCCTGGACGGGTTAGACAACCTCGAAGAACCGCTCCGAGAAATAGCCCGTGTGACCAACTCGGCCTCCCCGAATGCCAAAATAGTAATCATCCAGGCGGCTCCAGACAACGACTTGCTCAAACAAGTCAATGTTGTCTGCCCAGGGGTCGCTGAAAAGGCTAACAACAAAGCCCCGATGCACCACGGACTCATCCTTCATCGCGCCGCAGAGGCTCTTAAAACGAACGGATTCGCCAATATAGAGCTTACCCGGATAGCTGATAGCGCGTGTCGTTTCGCTGAGAGGGATCTGGCAGCGCGCAGCCAAAGTGCAGCCAACCTGTTTGCTAAGATGTACTATGCTGATGAAGAGGATGTGCAGAGCATGCAGGCCGTACTCGCGCCCGGGATGGACTCTATCTTGAAAGAAACGCCAAACGACATTGGAACTCAGGCTGTGATGCTGGTGGCTACGCCGAGTAGGGCTGCATAGTCGAGGAATACAGCTTTATCACATCTATACTTACCGTAGATACTAGTATGCTGCACCGTAGAGATAAACACTGCATAACTTCCATCTACTCCCGCACACTCCGTAGATTGCACCACCGACTGTGTATTCCCTGCATATCTGACCTGGTCGGATCTAAAATACTCCAGCCAGCGCGACGATCCTTCTGGTGGCGGATATTTCGTCATCTGCGGAACAAGCAACGCATTTGCTCAATAATCAGACCACAGATAAAAACAAACCTACATAGAACACCACGCCACTACTGCTCGAGTCAGGTATATATAAAGTCCAGAACATAGTATTTACTATACAAGTTACTGAAAAGTCAACTGCCTATATACGCCTTATCACTAAACATGTCTTCCGTCCCTCGTGTGCTGCTTCTAGGAGGCCATGGAAAGATCGCATTATTTCTAACCCCTCTCCTCCTTGCCCGCGGATGGGACGTTATCAGCGCCGTTCGCGATCCAAAACATGAATCTGATATCCTCAAGTTTAACAGAGACGATGGCAAGGGCGGGAAGGTGACCGTCTCCATCTCTGACCTGGAGAAGGTAAAGAGTAGCGAGGATGCGGCCAAGGTCATCACGGCGGCCAACCCAGACTATGTCGTCTGGGCAGCCGGTACGTATATACTACATCATGTATCATCCGATGTCCAACTGCTAATATGATCGATAGGAGCTGGAGGCAAAGGCCCCGTCGAGCGTACATATGCTATCGACCAAGAGGCTGCCAAACACTTCATCCACGCAGCCATGTCCAAGCCTAGCATCACCAAATTCCTGCTCATCTCACACATTGGCAGTCGTCGTAAGCCCGCTCCCTGGTGGACAGCGGCAGACTGGGAATCAGTAGACCGCATCAAAGCCGCGCTACCAGACTACTACAAGGCCAAGCTTGATGCAGACGAATACTTCTCCGTCATCACCGCCCAACGCAAGGAGAAAGGCGATACTAACTTCCAGGGAATCAATCTACGTCCCACGACTCTATCCGATGATCCCGCGACAAAGAAGGTCGAGTTCGGTCGAACTGGCACCGGAGAAAGAGCGCCGATTTCGCGTGAAGACGTGGCCATTGTGGCTGACAAGGTTCTGGCTCGATCTGATATCCGAGGGTATCAAGACTTGATCCAGGGAAATACACCCGTTGACGAGGCAATCGAGAAAACGGCCAAGACACAGCTTTGCTGTTTCGAGGGAGAGGATCTGGAGGCGATGCGCGAAAAGTTCAAGGGACAGATGCTTTAGCTGGTTCACGTCTCAGCAGCACCCGGTATATATTAGGTATTTATGCAATTTTATGGATGGATATATTGAAAATAAACACCAAGTCAGGTACGATATCTCGTAACTGTCTGTTTTAGGATAAGGAATATAACAATTAAGGCTGAATGGGATACATCAACGTTTCTACAATACGGCTTTGATGCTGTGCCTGGCATGGCGAGTATCTCTTGTCAGCCCGGTAATGGAAGCCGGTTCAAGCCCCGTAATAATTTGGATCTGTGTTTTAGGAGGCTGACTGCATCGGCGATCCACACAATCAACCAAAAATAGATATGCTGAGTGCTCTGTATCGAGCCAAATTCTTCGAAACATTGAGGATCCGGCGAAGGATCAAGAGCTCAGGAATCATCGTAAGGTTATGCTGGGCCAAGCTAAGGGCCTGGAAACAATACCAAGAGCCCCGAGAAGATTGGTATGGTGGATGTAGGGTCCACGTTATTCCGGGTATATTATCAAGCTGAAGGCGAGAGAATCAAGGCCGCATAGCCGGCCAGCTCATATATGGAGTAGATATCTGATGTAGAAGCTTTTGTGGCTTTGTGGCTTTGATTTTTCTAAGAGTAAAAATAGATCAAGCGTTGAAAGCCTCAGAGACTGTCACATACCACCCGCGATACGCGCTCTGAGGCTTTTCTTGAGAAGGTAATAATCAATGATTATTTGATGTTACGGATATATTGGAGCCCGAGAAGTAATTTGCATTGGTGATCTGACACGATGTAATAGTCGATCCATAGAGCTTTGTATGGGAATTATTATCCTGTGATGGCAGTTAAGTCAAGAGTGGTTAGAAAAGGCATATGATATGATACAGTATAGGAGGATGATAAAATCGGACATCTATGCTAAACGAAAATATACATCCTCCGGTCCTTATAACACCCCCCATAGCTATTGTATATATGTGGTGTATGCGTGTAAAATGCTGAGAAGAGATTGAGGCTGCAAATATGCAAATTCCAACTCGCCTGAGAATGTAATTAAAAAACAAAGAGAAAGAAGTGCATTTTTGCTAATCTTCTTGGGTTAATTCCAGGTATTTGCTTAAGATGGGCTGGTATGCCTCAGCGTAGACTGCATCGCCCACCCGTAATCGCATGTTGTCAAACGCTAGAACAATGGGTGGGCGATTGGAGGACGGACTTCTAGCCCTTGGACTTTTAGACCTTGGACTGGAGTTTCGCCTGGTGATTCGTGAATTCGTTTGTTCGGCAACCTTTTCAATTTGAGCTGTTTTCTCGGATAGAGTATAGTCTTCTTCGGGATCTTCAGCTGTTGGAATGTCGCGGACCACCGACGGGGCTTGACGTGGTTTCTTGTCTCCAGGGCTGGGTCTATTACCCCAAACTCTGGGTGGCTTGATGTCAACTTCCCTTGCATTATCGATATCAGACATTTTCCGATATCGCTGACTAAAGTGAGTTAGGACAACCACCTTGGCCTCCATGCGAAGGCCGACTGTCATCGCTTCGCTGATGGTTGAGTGACGTTTAGCAACTGCATCCGAGATCATGTTGTCATCGAAAGTGGCTTCATGGATCAGGAGTGTAGACCCGCGGCCGATTTCGATGAAGCGAGTAGAAGGACGGCAGTCGCCCGAGTAAGACACTTTAAATCCCGTGGGAAAGACGAAAGAGACGGCTTTTGCTCCTTGACAATGGGCGACGGGCGTTGTGAGCAGGGCCTCGAGTCCAGTACCCTCCTTCAATAGCTTGGTAAGAGGGGATGCCGCATCCTCAAACATCAGTCGAGTTCCAAGGTGTTTGCCATCTTTGTCCACAATGGTGCTGCCATTCTTTTGACGACGATAGATGGTATAAAAAAATTCTGTATTCCCATCAGGATGTTCGTATGAGGACGCCGAGAGTGGGATAACTTTATCGTAGCCATAGTTTTCGACGTTGGCATACTCTGCCATCCACTGCAGCATGTGAGGAGCTGAAATAACATAGAGTCTCTTTTCCTGAAGAATTTTGGACACTTCATCCTCGGGGATGTCTAAGTCAGCTGTTGGAGGAGGTGACTTTCCGTGAACAGCTTCATACCAGGCTCTTATCACTGACGTGGTCCCTAAGTGATGATCAGCATGTAAATGACTGATCCATATAGCTTTAAGCTCGCGGAAGACTTCTTTGAGCTCCTCTGGCCCGAAAATGCGCTTCAATTGGCCCAGGGTGCCTTCGCCCGCATCGAGCAAATAATTCCCGTGCCCAGGGACTCGCAGTAGGGTTCCAGACACATTCCTGTATTTAGAAGGACACGAGGAGCCGGTACCAAGAGAAATAACTTCAGCATCTCCGTTAGGAATACTGTCCATTAGCTCTTTAGCTTTCCCCTTGATTCTCGGGTTCTCGGACGACTCTCTAATGAGTCTTGCATAACTATTCTTCCGAGATAGCCTGGAGTTTGACTTGGATGTACCGACGGGGTTTTGCACGGAGCTTTTATCAAACTTAAGGACGGGTTCGAGGTCAACTACCAGGTTAGCCTGGGCAATAGAAACGGGTGCCTTAGAATCTGCCGGTGTAAAACTATCAAGAGTCTTTTCACTTCTGTTGTTGCAGAATGGAATTTGGTATCGATCACTATCGATGGTTGAAAAGTCAATTGTAGCAGAGGATGCCGCTGGGAAACCGTAACTGTCGGGGCAATAATCCGGCGCCGAAACGACGTGTTGGTATTTCGACATTTTCGCCACGAATTCCTGTAGGAGTGGATGTCCACCGACACCACGACCAAGGATCCAAATAAACACCTCGAGTCCCTTTATAAATTCAGGGGTCTGCCATTCCTTTCGGTCAACCAGAGCCTGAATATAATCAACAGAAGGCAGCTCGATAACAGCAAAGCCCTTGCCTGGTCTGGTATCCCCGAGGACCATGTCGGGGGTGATCGTCTTGCCGTCTATCGACTGAACATTGCCTCCGAATGCTAATATCTTGTAATCTGATTTTTGAATGTTGAGAGCTTCTGCTCGCTTCCTGTCAAACTTGCCTCTGATGTCGCGGCCACGCACAATGTATGAGATTGCACACTCCGACGGCTTAGCTGCAGGCAGGGAGTCAACCATCGCGCCGGGCCAGGGTTGCCGGACAAGGACCTTAATATCCGGGAGCGGCTGTTCGTCACCAGGCTTTGGGCCGTCGTACGGTTTTACCTCCCCCGTGTCTGCGTCACGGACAAAGAGTGTGGCAGGCAGGGACACTTCGGCTAAAGGAGTCTCAATCAGGGTATCTAGGCGCCATTGAGAGTTGAACATATCCAGGACTATCTTCTGTCTGGCCTGCATATCCTTCTCCCGAGCAGTTTTAGTCGGTGCAACTTCCACTGCCTCTTCAAATTCGTCCAAGCTTCTCTTTCGTGTGCGTGGTTTGGGAGCCGATGGGTATATCGGTAGAGGCCAGACTTGGATGTTCTCATCCGACCAGGCAGGTTTGGAAAGGTCGCTCGACGCAGTGCCCTCTTCGCTGTCAACACCACCGAACTCCCGGATTTCGATAGGTACGCCGGTTCGACAAACAAACGTTCTCGCAGTCGCCAGGGTATGCGTCAAGTTAGGCCCGCCGTATAGAGAGAGTGGCCGTTGGCCACAGAACTCTGGCACATTTGATAGGCCGTCCTTGCGCCGCTTTATCCGTGCCACCAGGTCATCGATTTCCGACTGTCGCACCGCTATTTTCAAGCGTTGCTCCAGGTTCTTGATCTTTAGCTTCTCCGCGTCTACAGCGGCTGCTGATGCCGCTGTCATGGTATCTGACACCGTTAGAAGCATACCCAGCATCCCCCCGTTGCATGACCATGATGTTGTGCCAGTCATAAAAATCTCCGACAACTTTGACATCCGAACTCCGTTGTCAATGCAGGCTCTCTGCGACCCTTCGGAAAGGTTCCCGAAAAAGTAGCGCTTGTCATCGTAGTGAAGGATGAGGGTGGTGCCTGGCGTATCGGAGGTCGGTACGACCGCGAACTGGATAAATGACTTCATCCCGATGCCGCGTGGTGTCTTTGTTTTGCCGTCTTTCACTATCAAATGCCGCGATATACGTTTATCCTCCAGGACCCAGGTATAGTTTTGTTTTATCCGGCTTCCTTGACCTTTTATTGACTGCCCGAGAACCGTCGTAGTGTGTAACTGTCGAGTAGGCGAAGTGATGCGCGTGAATGGATTAAGTACAGAGGTCCAACGCGACTTGAGCTGGCACTGATGGAGAGTTATACTAAGTATATGCGGGCTCCAGAAACGGTTTGCGGAGAGCGGAGAGAGAGTGTGGTTTAGTTTAAACACGCGACCTTGACTCACCTGTGCCAGGGCCCTTTGTAAAGCAGCCAATATGCCGGCTCAATGCTGTCATGGGTTATGAATAAAACAGAGCGCGAGGAATGGAAATACGGGGATATAACTATGACAACCAAGAGCCAGACTGTGATTTGAGGCGTTGGAGGTTTTTCTTCCTACAATTTTTCACAGTACAAATGCTTACTCAGCACTTATCGATAACAATATATAGAAGAGAAGGAGAAGAGAAGAAGTACGGGGAAATAATATATTTTATGGAGTAACTACTCTAATGTAGGTTAATCGGGAATATACACCTAGTAGCCAGCCGGCTGCTGCTCTCCCTCAGGGAACAAACCCTTGTCGAGGTTCATGCCGCACTCTTCTCGCCAGTTGGAAGGTGTAAACTTGTCGACGATCTCCTTGAATGCCTCTAACGTGCAGAATGTTTTGTCGCCAGGTAGATGGTTGGCCGGGTTAGCTGCGCAACCGGGGATAGTGACCGGCCGATCGTTATAGCGGATGCGCACGTAGTGTTTTGACAAGGCCGGGTGAGAGGCCTGGGGTACACGAGCGAGGCCGGAAGGCGATCTACCTGCCTGTTTTTTACCTGTGAGAAACGAGAAGAAAGAGGGTTTGTCTGATACGGGCTTCTGGATGGGTGGGCCAGAGAACTCCTCCAGAACCAGCCCTGCCGGTGAACCGGATATGTCCTTCTTCTCCTTCCCGGGGGCTTCTTTGAATAGCTCTACTGCGATTGAAGAGGTGTATGGCGGCCACTTCTCGTTCTCGAACGCCCCGATACTCGAGAGGATGGAGGCCAGAGTGGTATCGTGGCAGCCATTCAGCGCCAGTTTAACGACGGGCATATCTCTGGTTGAAGAGGCGGCGGCCATTGGCCTCCATCCCTTATGGGCAGCGGTATGGACCATTCTCTCGACAACGTCACCCATGAGTGCGCCAACGGCAAGCTTGCGGTACTCTCTGCTCTCCATTCCTCCCGCAAACCACTCATCGACGGCTATCTTGTCCGCGATTTCGCGGGCCTTTGGGTCATAGAACTCAGCCGGCAGACGTGTGTCGGGCCCATGCGCATAGGTCGAGGCAATCGTATCCAAGACGCCAGAGAGCCGTGGGCGGGAGTCAACGGCCAGTCGAGGAGAGTCTTCAGGCATCCACTTTGACCAGACCGCGTTGAGGTACTCCATCTCCTTCGAGTCGTTCCCTAGGCGAGAAGTTAGTAAAAGAGCCTAGCTAAACAGCGGAGTATCAATTTAATCATGGAAAAGCACTGGATTACATTTTTCTGCAGCACGCTCTGCGAATAGCCTGGCCAGTTGTCTGAATCGATGGCAGTTTCTCTCGTTGGGGAAGAGAGTCTCCTCTGCAGGCGATCTGTTGATTATAGATGGCATGACAAAGTCTGCGGTCCTGGCACTTGGCGGATACATTCCCCAGAAGGCACTCTGCAGCGATTCCAGGGCTCGTGGGATAGGAGTCGAGCGGAGATACATGTTATCCGTATTCGATATTATCTCCGGCATGAAGCCAAGGCGCTCGACGTAGAGCTGTCTGAACCTCTGGCCGAGCTCATAGGTGGTTTGGCGCCCTTTGTCGGTCAGTTCTCCAAGCTGGCTATACGTGGAGCATCAGCGGTTTGTTCGTAGAGTACATGTCAGGGTGAAAGAGCTACCAGATGCCATCGACTTCTCCCTTGGGCCCAACGGCGATGACTGGCTCGTCCGCGTCCCCAAAGCGTTCTATCCTCCTTTTCCACTGAAATGAATCCCACGTCGACAAGTCCTGCTTGGATGCCGCCATGGCAGTAAGCCGGGAAGCGACATTGCAATACGGCCAGTCTGTCAAGAGAATGTTTAGATACCGTCCGGAGAGGAAGGGTAGGGCCGAGGTTCAGTACATGGGTGTAGTCCAGCCTATCCGTCGAGTTAGTCTACTGTTGATTGACTATTAATTGAATGAGAGCAGAGGCATCCTATCCTACATTCTGGAATCTTGCAGAGACCGGCGTCCGTTCTCCTATAAGGGCGTTGTTAATGGACATTTCACGCCGTGGCACCGCAAGACCACATACCATGGCGTAGGAACTGCACAACCCGAGTTAGCTAACCGGTAACCCGTAAACTCCAGGATACAGCGCCGCCTAATGACGGATAATAGGCTGAATACTGACTATCTGCACTAATTGAAGCTCCAGCTCCCTGGGATACAGCTGCCGGAGCTCCTCGTCGGAGTTGGGAGGGCGGGGGACAAGTGTCGTCATTGTGTATAGGCAGTTCAATCAATATATGCCGCCGGTCTGCTCAGTTTAGAATAACGCCGGTAGAGGATGCCTTCGTACGTCAGAGATAACCGCTCTCTGTCTCTGTCTCTGTATCTCTCTCTATATCTGTTTATATGAAGTTGCTATCTTGAGTCGGTTTAAATATTCATCTCTAGCCCGGCTTGGCTCCTGAGTCATCTCGCTGGACAAAACAGACAGAACATCGAGCAGATGGCCTAAGTTATGGCTGACCGCATGTTCAGGACGCTCTCGGGGGACGAGGCCGAGCTGGTCGGACATGGTTGAGCCCTGCTGGCCTGCGAAACGTCTGCGAAACAGCAGCAGACGCAGCATGTAGGGGATAGAGTCGATGTAAAAGTAGCCAGATGCCGCTACGAGGTCGGCAGGACGGCCCTGAGACCTTTGATAGTCGTATTATACATGCAGGCCGTATATATGGTGCGATATGCCCGAGATGGCTGCTGGAGATGGTTCCTGGGCCGTAAATCGTAAATCCATCAAGATGCTTGTTTATTTATGCGGTGGAACAACCCTGCACTTCTGCTTCTGCATCTGCATCTTATACAGCGTCGAACGTCTCCCTTGATGCCCTTGGTCCGTCGAGGAGTACCATCTCCAGCTCGCTTGACTCGTTGACTCGTTGGCAGTACCATATATCGACGTCCAACTAGCGCAGCTCGACATAAATATCCTCAGTCTCATCGCCATCGCGCCGCCACATCTTCATCACACCCAGCACCCGCGACACACAGCGTCCAACAGCCAAATACAGGCATCCATCTCACTGGCGATCCTCTGACTGGTCATCTCGCGGGCGACATCGTCGTTTCGTGCACATACATAGACGCTGCTTCACGGCCGCAGATTCGACTCGTCTCATCCGGCTTCGTCTGGCTTCTTCCCCCAGCAACCGCTAGCTATCTAGACCGCAAGTAACCCTCAGATCGAAGCAGATTCGTCGGCCTGGATAGCTTCAGCGCCACCAAGTCCTGTCCTGTCTGTATACCGGAGTACCGGAGCCGCTTTTCTGTGCTTCGGAGAAGGCCATATCTCATCCAGGGACGTCGTATCCACGGCCAATATACGCCCCCTCCCCCCCCCCAAAAAAAAATAAAATAAATAAATCGCCGTCTAATCACAATCCTGAAGCTTATCGGAAGTCGATATATTGGCTGTTCAGCTGCTGTCTAACTAGGTATGTCCCTGGCGTCCTGGTGTCACTCAAGCTTTCCCTACGATCTGGATATATCCGCATACATACATATATGCGGTTGATAGAAGACGAGGTTAAGGTCCACGATGATGAACGGCCGTTGATAGGACTCTTTCTTCTCTGTAGCTAGGCAACTTCCCGGGGCATCTCAGCCGCCGCCGCAGCAGCTCATCCTCGCGAGTCTCAGCTCCCCTCGTCTCGTTACTGGACGAGAAGGAGGAACAGGCTCAATTCCTCGATCTTGCGGTCAGCAGGTAAAAAACGCGAAAGAGTCCGCCAAACCACTAGCCATGGAGGTAAGACACCGCTTCTTCCTCTCTCCTGCCTTGTCCTTTTTCTTTCATCGCTTTTTTTTCCCCTTTCGTTCCTTTTTCCTCAGGTCGATGGGGACATATTTAGCCTCCCCCGGCGTTTCTTGACCCGCCAAATATGAAATGCACATCCTTACATCCTGTCCTGCCGTTGCCTCCCGGAATTAAGGCCCAAGCCAGCCAGCGTGGTACCGTACCTCCGACGCAGATAATAGACCGACCCCCTTGACATGGATCAGGATTGGCGACCCTTTCATCTTTGGCGGCTCTGGGAGACGCCATCGGCCTTATTGCGATGCTACTATAGCCTGACTGGTTTATATATTAATATTCCCTGGGCCCAGCCGCTTCTTATTTCCTTCAGCCCTGGTCTATCACCGTCATCTCTACTGGTTTCCTCTCCGCTGCTATTCCCTTCCTACCACCTACCTCACTGTCAAGGTGTCCATCAAGTGGAATGAATGCATCTAATACCCTCTATACCCTAACGCTACCTGGCTATTCTCACGCTTTGATCCATGGTAATATCAACATGTCTTTTGTTTGATATATGGAACATGATAGCTGTGAACATGCTGCGGTGTTATGGAGTCGTACACTGCATATCCCCATATAGACGCCCTTCTATGCTATAAAAGCTTTCGGGCCTTACACAATAGCCATATTCATCTCGTTTGCACGCATTTCATCCCCATCTGGCTTGAGGTCACCTTATAATGTCAATCACTCTACCCTGTCGGTCACGTTCGTCCGTCGACCAGGGCGGGGAGCGTCTTATCTATTCAAACACCTCTCTTCTCCACGGTCAGCCACCAGTTATCAAAACTAGAGCGCAGCTAAGTCTCGAGGAAAATTTACAGGGCAATACTTCCCACAATCAAGCCGTGGCTCGATCCGCGCAGATATCCAACCCCAAATTCCGTGAAACACGGCCACGTCTCCTGTTAATGGGTCTACGCAGGTATGTAGCCGCCATGGTTCATCAGATGCAGAAAAAGATTTGTATTTGCCTATGCTAATATTCCTTTTAGGAGCGGGAAATCCTCCATTCAGAGCGTAGTATTTCATAAAATGCCCCCAACGGAAACTCTGTTTCTTGAATCTACAACCCGCATTCAAAAGGATGCTATCCAGTAAGCAGAGCCTGAAAAAGCAATGCACTTCTGATGCCTTCTTTTTTAACGCGAACACGTCTAGCTCCTTTATGGACTTTCAAATCTGGGATTTTCCCGGTCAGCTAGAGTATCTGGAACCGTCGTTTGACCAAGAGGAGCTATTTAGCAACCTGGGGGCACTGGTCTGGGTGATAGACGCCCAAGACGATTACTTGGAAGCTGTGTCGCGGTTGAACAAAACCATACTTATGATCCAGCAGTACTACCCGCACATCAATATCGAGGTTTTCATCCACAAGGTAGACGGACTTTCGGAAGAATACCGCTCTGACACGTTCCAAGACATCGTCCAGCGCATCTCGGACGAGCTAAGCGACGCTGGCTACGAAAATGCGCCTATACATTACTACCTCACCTCAATTTATGACTATTCAGTCTTCGAGGCCTTCAGCAAGGTAATTCAAAAGCTAATCCCTCAACTTTCAACGCTGGAGAACCTTATCAATATCCTCTCCAACAACTCTGGCATGGAGAAAACCTATCTCTTCGACGTGCTTAGCAAGATCTACATTGCCTCCGACACGAGGCCTGTGGATATGGCGTGCTACGAGATGTGCTCCGATTATATCGACGTGATTGTCGATATCAGCGAGCTGTACTCGTGGGATCATCCGGACCGAAAACCCAAGGGGCCTCAGGTCTCCGAGGCAGAGAGCCACGTTATCCTCCACGACAAGTGCATGATTCACTTGATGGAAATGAACAAGTAAGCATATTATCTTAAGCATATTATCTTTACGGACCTGATAACATAGCTGACCTGAAACTTTAGATACCTTTGCCTGGTTTCTGTCATCAAAAACCCAGATGCTAAAGAAAAGAAGGGACTGATTGATATGAACTGTCGGACGTTTCAAGATGCTCTCAACGAGGTGTTTAGTAGAACATGGGACCAGGAGTAACCAGTAGAGAGAGGCATTGGGCGGCTATTTCGGATTTGGAGCACCAATAAAACTACAAAAAGAAATGATAAACTAAGGAGTTTATCGTCCAGGACCGTATTCGTCATGGGGATGGACATAGGTATCATTATACATACAAGAGCCTAAAGAAACGTTTCTCGGTGATAATTTCAGTATAACTCTAGTTGAACAAAAAGAAATCCAACTATATTACGCTTATTCTCTCAACCTACGGAGTATTTATTTTTACTCTTAGACGGTTACGAAGTTGTTCATGCGTGTCATCACAACCAATCTACATGTGACTTGGGGAGAGCTCAAAATAAATACTTTATCAACATGCACTGATAGGAACATCCTCCAACATAAATAACCACAACCTAAAGATTTTATGATCCCCCATTGTTTGTTTATGAAATTATTGCCACGAGGCTATTAAAGATTGTATAGCAGCGTTTGAAAATAGCCGTTTTTGTTTACAATGTCCAACATACGATATAGGGCGAAGGTAACATCGTCGGCTTTGACTACAAGCGATATCACCACAAGCTAAAACGTTTCAAGGGCGAAAATTATCCTCGAGCAGGACAACCGCAGTTCGATGACACCGTATACCCCGGCCGCAGAACAGCAGTCGTGGAAGAATTGGACACGAGCGATGACGAGGCGGAAGAAGTCAACGAAGTCAAAGAAGAGATAGTGGACGACAGCTCAAACAGAATAGGAGTTGTCGATATACTACGATTTATATTTCTGGTTATTCTCATTTCATCCGGTCTATCCTACTATATCACCTCCGATTCAATAATATGGGGATATAAGCGGCCGTGGTTCACGCGGCTACCTGTGCTTCTGAGATATATCGTACGTATTTGATCTCCAGCTTCCTTACAATGGTTTGCGTGAAAAGTAAAAATGCTGATATTGTCTACTACTTTAGAATGGCCCTCTCGTCCTTTCACGTTCCGAATTGTCCCTATACAATGGCACAGATCCTACTCTACCGGTGTACGTCTCCGTCAACTACACAATATACGACGTATCAGCCAACCGACGCATGTACGGTCCAGGAGGGGGATACGGTTTCTTTGCCGGTCGAGATGCAACACGCGCATTCGTGTCGGGCTGTTTCAAGGAAGACCTGACGTCCGACTTACGCGGTCTGGAGGAGATGTATTTACCCATTGATGATATACCGGAGGAGGGACTGACCAACGCTGCAAAGAAGATTCGGCGAGAAAAAGAGCTAAGAGAAGCTCGGGCAAACGTTCAAAAACAAGTTGCGCATTGGCAGAACTTTTTCGCTGAGAGTGGGAAGTATTTTGAGGTTGGAAAGCTGATACGTGACGGTCAAGATGAACAGGGCGAGAAGAGAGAGCTCTGTGCGGGAGCTCAGGGAGGGAGGCCGAAGCGATCAGAGCTGAAGAAGGGTGCAGCTGCTAAGAGTGAACCTACATATCCTCCAGGGGTGAAGAAAGGAGGCCGCCATTGAGCGTGATATCCCTGGGACGTCATTTTAAGGAGGGGCGGCCCATCAAGTAATTATACATGTTCACCATGTAGAAAGCATCGAACCACGATCGATTGCGCTATGTCCAGTGTTGGGTAATGTCAACCCGGAAGCAGTCTCAATTGCTTGACTCATATATCAGAAGCGGCCTTCCTTTTTCTAATTCCGTTTCATTTTCGGGTGGCTAAATATAAAATGACATTAAGCCTCATTTGTACCATGCCATGCATCAAAGGTTCTTTTCCCACTTTTCGTTCCACCCAATGGAGAAAAAAGAACAGGTACTATGGAAGAGGAAAAGACGAGAAAGTCTTATATTCTCGTCATCGCTACATGAGATGATGAACCGTGTCAAGTAAACGTAAGGTAACGCCAGAGGAATACAGAAGGAGGGCAGAAAAGAAATCCTAATGTTTTTTCTTTACTCGGCGGCAACGGCACGGGCTAAATTGAAAACGTCATAATTAGCATGGTCTTCAATCTCAAAAACCCTTCTAGGGATAAAGTAATAATGCTGGAAAAATAAGGACGCACTGTAGATGTTCATCTTGGAGTGTCCAACGACCTTCTTGATTTGACCCTTCTCCTCGAGATCGGCGAGCGCTTGACGGGCCAAAGAACCGTTGACCTTTAGTCTGTCGACGAGGGTTGCGACGGTGATCAATCGGTAGGACTGGACATCCTTATAGAGCTTCTCGGAGGTAGTCTTGTCGAGAATGACGGCGTGGTTGGCCTTGTCCTTGACTATTCCGGTGAATTAGCGGTGTTATATTCCCATGTGTACGATTCACCCTTGATGCCTTCGCCGCTTCTCGACCGACCATCGCCTGACAACTCGGATGGGTAGACGCGTTATGGAATGCTGATGAGGACCCGCTTACCCTTTCCCTTGGACCACTTCTTCTTTTGCTTCTTGCCTCCGGCGGATGCTGATGGTGCCTGTAGTAAAGACGGTTAGCATGCTGCCAGGATGCTAGCCAAAAGCGCTAAACGGCATAGCGAGAATGCGCAAAGCAGTAGGAGCCCGTAGGCTAGCTACCGGGCGAAGAAATGCGATAGTACTGACCATTTTGGATGAGCTTGCGGATCGTTGTCGACGAGGAGAATCAGCGACAGGGAGAAAGTCGTCTTTGTCGCCAAAAAACAGTTTGCCAAAATTCAAGTGGGGTATGACTAAGCGTATTAGCCCTAAGCCCTAATTATTCCCAAACAGGATCATTATTGGCACGTGACTTATTTCTCGCCGCCTTAGTGATTAGTCAGTAACTAGGCGGTTGCCGCTTTTACAGTTCGTGGTTTGCTTATCTAAGCCATATTTTTCTCTATTTCGTCGGAGGGAAGTCGTCCTCACTTAGAGCAGGATGCGGTGCATCTATGCTGGCTACTTTATACATCTGGGTCAACTGTCCTGTGCCGACAAGATATCCCATCTCGTATCCCCTCTGGCCGCCAACCCAGAAAAGCCCGCTCATTTCCCTATCCGTCTTGATCCAAGCTGCTTCGGACCGTCCACGCAGGCTACGGAGTATGGCTCCTCGAGGGCTGCGTCCACATAACCATTGATGCACCGCTAACGATGTATCGTCTCCGCTTACGGTCATAAGGAGATCCGGGATTTCACTATTCCAGCACAGCTGTTTGATGCTGAAACTGTGAACTAAAGCTCCTAACAATGTCGGCTTGCTTCCTTGGACTGACCACATCCAGGCGATGTTCGGCATGCTTTCGTCAATCGTTGCAACCGTCCCACTCGTAGGGTTGAATGATATATTTGACACGATGCGGTCCTCGGTAGATGAATTATAAGTATATGGAAACACCGGTGACTCTGGGGCCAGCATATATTCTGTTATATCTGGCGTGCTGGACTCGTGTTCGACATAAACATCACGCCCGATTGGTTCTGTTGTTGGATCTCCGAGCACTGCTAATAGTACGAACTGTTTGGGGCGGTAGAGTAAGCGTTCTGCTCAAAACACCATGAACTGAATTAACGTACCGTTGTTCCGGTTATCAACTCGATAGTTCCATCATGTCGGCCGATGGCGAGCACCTGAGAATCAGGGCTCCATTCGACGGTTTTCACGCCAAAATCTTGGTTGTCATCCCCTATTTTAGAGCCTTCAAAACTTCTGAATTGCTGACCATCCGCCGTATAAATCACCACCATAGTTCCTTGACTAGCGGTGTCCCAAACCGCAATCCAATGCCCGTCAGGACTCCATTTTAATCCCTTCACATCTGTAGTCGTAAGGTTCACAGCTGTAATAGTCTCATAGGTCTCAGCTTCATGTATTGATAGAACATCGCCTGATTGACCCTTTGACAGAACAGCAAGATGCCCTGAATTAGGTCGAAAGGCGTAAGTCGCTGGCCCAGCGAATTTTGGAGCCTTGATAACCCGCTGTTGGCCTGTGAGTAGGGAGAATATTGCTAGATGCGTGTTGAATTCAGGTATAGCAATGACTTCATCTGGTGATGGAGAGAAGTTCACGTGTACGAAGGTGACACTCTCTCCAGCATCTATTTTGGCGGACCAGGACTCGTCTTTGGCATCATAAACAAAGATTTGATTTCCGCCGGCGCATAAAACGCGTTGCATGTTGGTATTGTCATCGCTTCGCCCAAGCGAAAGTGACTTGACAGAATCCAGGCTTGCCCATTGTAAGAATTTCACAGGTCCAGTTAAGTCCTGTAGAGAAATTGGCCGAACATCTCCGTCTCCCTGAAGAGAATGGATTCTTAACTCCTTTTCTGTGGTGATGGCAGCATACCGGCCGTCGTTAGAAAGAGCAGGTGGCATCCCTGCTTTATCTCTTGTTGTAAAGAGAATAGACAAGGAATGCGGGGTACTGAGGATAAAATAATACTTGAGAGCGATGATGCAACTCTTGTTCAAGACTGTATGGTCGTTTGGTTGTTTATTTATTTCCGTAAAGGCACCAAGAGAGGAGAAAGTCAAAATTTAGAGATTTCTAATTTGTGACCAAGGGATCCTCTTTACTGGATGGACGGACAATATGTATATATTGAGTAAATGCAACTCCCCTCAAAAAAACGAAGAAAGGTAGATGTATAAAGATCAAATGGAACAGAACGTAGAGCGAGATACGGATTGAGATGTAGAAAATAAACAAAATGAACCAAATTCGTTACGGTGGGAAGGCAGTCACCAAATCGCGTGTAAACTATTTGGTCAGATCAATCACCTCGATCTCCCGGCCGCTTCGGTTCTCCGTGCGGTTTAATTCAGAAGTTGCAGCTCGTTTTCTTCCACCAATCTCTTCATTTCCGATATAGTCACTCACAGAACCACCCTTGACCACAATATCGAGATCTATTAGCGATTTATATGCGCTAGATCCGAGGTAGGCCTCCATTTCGGCGGCAGAACCAATGCGGTTGATATTCCTTACGGCTATAACAGCCCTGTTCTTCCATAGAGTGGCAGGATTCCCTATCTTGGTCACCACCAATGTATACGGGCTGCCCTGTCGTCGAGTTTCATGACTGATACTTGCATCCCCGTCGAGTTTCGAGTGTATATGTGCGCGACGCGGCTTGGCCATTGGAAAATCTGCTGATTGTTGAACTGGGCTTTTGAGGAAGGCGTTCAAATCATTGCAGTCCTTGCATCCGCAACTCGACTTTACTGGGCGTTCCCAACTTGCCGCTGCTCGAGCTCTTGGTTGAACATACATCAAAACATATTCCAATAGCAACTTAAGAACGAACCTAGTCTCAGGAGCTTGGCCTTCATCGATTAGTGGATGTGACACTATATCTCGGAGAAAAGGAACCAATATTGAGGTAAAGGCTACGTTGATTGCCTGGCAATCCACTAAGGACTTGTGGATACCAGCATAAAGTCTAGCAGGGGGAATGCCGAGAGTTTGGCACTGCCTGTAGATTTTGATCAAATCACTGCTATCAACGACCAAAGGCCCTAGATCGAGGTTTTTTCTGAGCGGCCTGGAGGATACGTCGTAATTCTCCAAGGTACTTTGGGCCAGCTCAAAGTCTGTCATTAGGTTTGCAAGAGCTGATTCGTAGAAGGCAGGGAAGCCCTCGATGGCAAGTTTTCCTGTTGTGAAAGATTCACCCAATTGGGCGAGATAGGATGCAATGACACCAGAAACTCTTCCCATTCTCCTCGACTCCATTGTTCTGTGAGAATCATTAGAAGAAGAAATTTATGATTAAAAACGGAATAGTAAAGAGAAAAACCTTACTTTTCCAGGATTTCCATCTCCGGGTATAACTCAGCGATGCGGATAAGACATTCTCCCCCAGATTTATCACCGCCATGAAACCACGGTAGAATAGAAAGCAATCTTGCCTTTCTCCATTTCATTAAATCATCCCATTCGACTGGTCGCTTATCATCTGGAAGAGCCAGACAGGCTGAAACAAGCCCATCGACTGTAATAACTTGTTTACTTGGCCGTGGCTCAGTTTTAGCCAAAATTGCCTCAATTCTGAAAGATGGACGTTAGAAACCTATTGGCCTAAGGGCTTTATAAATGTACTTACGCCTTCTTGACGGCTGGATATTCGCGATCAGCCAAAGCTTCTGCAATGCAAGGGTAGAGGACCGGGTCTACAAAGCTTGAATGTAGTCGGATTGATTCCTCAAACATTTTCAGGTCTTTAATCGTGTAGAGGCCCTTGGCAATAAGACTGATAATGGAGTCGGAGAATTTATCCCAATACTGTCTGGGCCGCGACCATCCCTTAATCGCTTCATACTTCTTGTAAACCTCATTGTGGTTGAAAGTGAGTTTCGCGATCCTCGTAAAGTCTTCCCGTGATTTTGAATCCTCAGGATCACTTATCAGAGGAAGCAATTTGTTCAACCAGGCTGCTAGGTCGGCCTCATTTCGAGGGGTCATGCCACGAAAACGAAAATCAACATCTAAGCTCCCGGGCACAATAACAGCAACCTAGGCCTAGGTTAGTCGCAAGGTCACTCGTTGTAGCAAAAGGCAAAAAGGCATCAACCTACTGTTTTTCGATAGAAATGAGTCACCGAGGTTCCCTCATTCCCTGTATAGCCCGAGTAGTCCTCTTCTGTGGGCTTACCATCTAATACGCGACGTTGAACAAAATCGAGAGGCTCAATCGTGAGTCCGGTACCAACGATATTTCCTTCAGCGTCAACCACCTTTTTTAAACTCGAGTCATCATCGCAAAGGTCTTCAATTTCGTAGTACCCGTTATTGCCGGGATAGTCATCGCAGCCGCCATAAACCCTCCGTTCAACGTTTCCTAAATAAAGGGCGAAGTCCGAGTCTTGGCATATCATCTGGAGTTCAACCATACGTTGATGGTCTCTCCCCTTCAACCGCTGGAAGCTGAGGCTAGAGTCAGTGTACATATGAGAAAGTTTGTACAGGAGGAGGCTCGGGCCAGCGTCTTTTTCAATCCTGGATTTCCATAGTTGCATCGCGATTGATAAAGGCGTAGCCTTCGAAGTCGGCGCTGTCGGTACATTACTTGTGCCGTCGTGTATCAAGTTGTAGGTAAGGACTAGGCGATGTCCTGCCGTGATAGGCCTAATCTCGTGGAAGACATCTGAATACCACACCGCATATGAGAAACCCGCCCTTGATGTTGTGGAGGACTTGAAAATGAGGCTTCTGCTATCATGGTTGAGGACTATTTCACCTCCTTCGTGTTCTGTCGGCAGACACACGATCAAGGTTGCGAACATACCATCGGTCTTTGGAGAGTCCTGATGCGATAGAAAGAATGCCCCTTCTTCATAGAGAAGAAGTTTATAAGGATCTGCCCTGATGGAACTCGCCTTGTCGGCAATCCCAAGCCCCTTACTGACATCGGCAATTACTTTCTTCATATAGTTACCCCAACCCGGAGCTTTGAGCTCAAAATCAGCAGCATTTAACTCCCAGCATTTTCGAACAGAGGTATCCACTAGAGTTTCCGTGCCCTTTCCAAATGGGCTTCTGTGGCAAACATCGATAATTGATTTAGCATCCTCAGGGGATAACGGAAGATTGACAACACGGCCGAGTCCATTGATATGAAGATTTGGATTTAATTCTCGATTTATGGAGTGAAAGGAAGCAAAATCCCCTTTGGAATCGATGGAATGTAGCGCCTTGTCGATTTTCTTTTTAATTTCTGTATCTTCGGGGTAGTCTACCTGGCTTTCTTCGCCTTCTTCGCTTTCCAAGTTGCTGGTCCATTCATCGCTGCTCTGGATAGTGACGGCCATGCTAGCGTGTACGCTGTAGAACTTCGAGGGTCAAAACAACAACAACAAGAAATGAAAAGATCTATGAGCTAAGCCGGGCCTCGGTTCATGATTCCCTAAATCTCCAATGGCTCTCTATATCGTGGACTTGAAGTCAACAAACGTCGCTCCTTTTTCGCGTTTTAAGGTATACAGTCACGTGATATAATTAAGCTCAAAAAACGGTTGACCAAACTTTAACTCTACGTCAAACATCAACGTCAACATCAGCCTTCAAGATGCAGTTCATACGGTTACAGCTGCGTTATCAGATAAATGGTGCCATCACTCCTCGGCTGCATTGAAGTAATCACTTTCATCCTTATTACCATGATTGGCCTTAATACCCTCATCTTCTTGCTGCATTGTCTCAAGATATAGGCACCGAAGGAACCAACCTGTGAACAGAGATTCAAAAATCCTGAATCTTCTAAATAAATTTATAGGTATGATCTGCATATTTACCGGAGACAGATCAGCCGAGAGGATTATTCTTGCCACTTGTGTTTTGATACACCGTAGCGAATATCGTCGGAGCAAAGTTGAGCGTGTCGGATTCACCCACGAAGACAAGCTCGTCATAAATGTGATTCTTGAGGACCGGTGCATATATCTTGCCTGCGAATATGTAAACTGGGGGCAGCAATGAACGGCCGACCGGTTCTTCGTCCAACCCCAATTTCTAACCGTGTGTGTCGGGGACAACGATTTTTAGGCCAAGTTTGGTATAGTGATAGAAGCCCTCTCTGGCTATGAGGTTGAACTCCCCTCTAATAATGTCGGTGTTAGTGTTGTGCGAAGAAGGTAGGCGTGAGTTGTGGGAATATACCTGGCGGCCCTATTAAATATCCGCTAACTTCGGCCACATTATACTTGGAAGGGGTGCATCATTATGGAGTGGTATTAGATAATGGACATGGGTGACCTTGTCCTCTCTATATTGGTGTGGTTTAGAGCCCCCATTGCACTAATTGAGGAGCCAGTCCTATGACCTAGTTTGTTTATCTCTAGCCCGGCAAACATCCAGAGTACTGTCAACCTTTCCACGGTAACTCCCACTACAGTTATTTTCTTTTTGCTAATCAAAACAAACATCACAGCGCGCGACATAACCTAGATGACAGTGGTCTAGCTACACATCTTCATCCAAGATCGGACATTTACTTGATCCTTGGATAGTCCATGGGCTGTTGGGTGTCTATCGGTACCGACCATCATGGGCTCAGAGGCAGACGCGTACTTGTCGCAATATGAGTTCGATCCACAAAGCAAATTAGTGCTGGTACTCAAGATGGAAAACCTCCCCCTTCGAGTACGGCGCGGCTCCCTTACACCAGGATATCTGCCTGGTTGCATGAAGGTGGACGTGAACACGGATTCAGGTCCCAAATCAAACTCTTCTGGTTTAACCTACGGATTCGAACTTCGGCCAATATTACTTCCACACTCGAGAATCAAGGATAACCCTCATTCACCTAAAGCTTCAGGTTTATTTAGTGGCATGCCTAGAACCTCAGGATTATTTGACGATCTTTCTAGAATTCCAGATTCGGTATTTGATGAAACACCGCCTCCTAGTTTAAGAGCGTCGCTCAATGAGAACTCCAATAATATAAAAGGTACCTGCTATACCAATTTTTTTGATCACTCCGACTACTAGTATGCTGACTGGAGGATTTTCCAGATGACTGCCCGAAAATCCGGTTCCGTGTTTCGCCTCAGCATCTCAAATTTGCATCCACTGTTTTTGAGAAAATGCTAGGCTCAAAGTGGAAAGAAGGAGATGCACTTTTCAATCAAACGGAGACAGAGATAACTGTGACCGGTCACGGCAAGAGAGCCTTGCAAATCCTTTTGTGCGTTATCCATGGTCGAATGCGGCTGGTACCCAGGGCGGTACCTTTGGACGTCCTCACCGAACTCGCGATTTTGACCGATTATTACGCTTGCCATGAAAGCACGGAGATACTGTCTAACATCTGGGTTGAAAATTTGAAGTCGAGCATACCGACTTCTCTCTGTAAAGATGTTATAAATTGGATATGTATTTCTCGGGCCTTCAATAAGGAGGGTATATTTGCGAATATGTCGCGGATAGTAGAGCGTGAAAGTGCCCATCCACTTGTTTCCTCTATAATTCCAGCACATGTGATATGTAAGGCTAGCTCGTTCACAACAAGACCATACCGATGCTAATAAGGTATACTGTTCTAGGCGAAATCAACGAAGCTCGAGCGACTAAGATAAACCTGATTATTGGGCGGCTTTACGAACTTCTTCATGATCTGCAAGGCTGCAGCTTTGCGTGCTCATCTATGTTGCGAGGGGCTCTGATGAACCATATGACCTACCGCAGGCTTCTTGATCCGCGTCCAACTGCGCCATTTCATGGGTTCAGCGTGGAACGGCTCCGCCAAAGCATAAGCAGCATCGATAGCCCGTCCTGGACCGTGGTCATGTCCAAATCTTCCAGTGCCAGCGAGCCCCATATATGCAGACTTAAAACGGAAATTGACAAGATCTTCAATGATGTGTATTACTATTGAAGGATTCGGAGGAGCCGTTGAACTGTCAATACACCATGCCCGATGGGTTGCCTTTTTAGTACTGTCTTCGGCCGCAAATACTAATGCCCGTGGTATTTTTTCTATTAATCTCCCAATATGGTTAGAACAAGAAGGGGGAAGGGGTTTAAGGTCTGTATACTCTTAATAAAAAGAACCTAGAATGTTGGTATGAAGAATCTTGGTTATACTATGCAGGTAGCAGAATGCGAAGTTTACGATTCTAGATGTATAGAGAAAGGGAAAAAATATGAAATACAGAACTCAAATTCATGTTCAGTATAAGATACTCCATACCATCAAGCCATGCAAAGGGGTTTTCCTCAGTTTTCTATGTATCGCAACTTGTGTTTGATTTGTAGTGTATCCACAACATTATTAGCGAGTCACGAAGTACCAGTTAGTTACATATACCACGTATGTCATCGTCATAGGCAAAGAGATTATCACAGAGGCGCATCCTGTACTCTGGTCGTCGAGTCATCCAAATGAGGTTCTGCTCTAGAAATATTTAATGACGAATTGAGGCTGAGAATGCGATTTTTCTGCATAAACCCAATCGGGTGTCCGCCCTCGCCAGATACAATATATTAAGAGCCGATTTTTTGCGAAGCTCATTTATCATCCAAACCTATTTCATGAAGAGAGTATTTCTCATGGCTTCCAGTAAACAGGATCCCGTCATCTTAGCGACGTGCAAGCAAACCCGGTTCCACTTGGCCGAAGGGAAGGGTTCAGGCGAGGTATGGCATCACAACTATATCTACATAGCTATACCTTTAACATGCTATCGTTTTTCGATATGCTGACATTATATCTAGATCGATATACAAGGCCTAGATATACAAATCGCCTCACGCTCTTCCCAAGGCCAAGATGCTGAGGCCTCAGGCACTGGAAAGTCCAAGGCGCGTAAGAAGGATAAATCCGGTTCAGGACTGGAGATACTTAACGGTGCTACTCTTCGACTGAAGGCCGGAGTACACTATGGCCTTGTTGGTCGAAATGGAACGGGGAAGTCAAGTGAGAAGAGCCTATATATGATACAATAACAGTGATTGAATAGGTGACGGCTAACGTTTATTTTAGCCCTACTACGCGCCATGGCGGATAGGTTAATACCTGGCTTACCCGAGTCTGTCGGAATTGCAATTCTTCAACAAACAGATATCGACGTTGACCCTCTCACTTTAGTGACTAGGAATGCTGCGGCATTGGAGGTAGGCGAGGTGCTCGCAAAAAAAGAACCAAGAACAGTCCTACAGCAGGTCGTGCAAAGCGATAAAGCCCGGAACGAGATCACTCGCAAACTCAAGAGTATGCTCCCTCCCAGGTTGCTTGGGTAGAAACTAAATTTGTTGGATCTTATAGTCTTATCACAGGCCCTGGAGGGACATGAAGATTCTCTGGCCCCAGTGAAAGCCATTCGGCATCTACGCCATGAAGCTCGTCAGCATGAGCTATTTCTGGCCCAAAAGAATGCAAGTCTAAGAAGTGGCGCTCGTGGTTTGCAGGCTAGAAAGGACTTGAAAATGGCGGAGAGTAAGGTTGAGGAGTCAGCTGTGTGGTAAGTCAGTTTCTGAACTGGAGTCGAAACGGCAGCTAATGATGAATAGCCTCGAGGAAGATCTTACAGCGTTGGACAATTCTAAGATCCAGGAGGAAACCCAGGCGGCTGTTGAATTACTTGCTGATGTTGAGGCTCAGTTTGAAAGCGTACGTTCCATTTGCAAATGATAGGGAGCGCGAAAGTCTAACGCCGCCCTTAGATCAACGTCCTGGACCTGGATCAGGAGGCTCGAAAGGTCCTCTTAGGCCTGGGGTTTAAAGAAGCGGACCTCGACCAGCCATTTTTCTCCCTTTCGGGCGGCTGGCGCATGCGATGCATGTTAGCCGGCGCCCTGATCCAAAGTGCTGATATCATGATTTTGGATGAACCGACCAACTTCCTCGACATGCTAGGAGTAATCTGGCTTGAAACGTATCTCACGCGAATGCGGGAACTATCCGATAAAACGGTCGTAGTCGTTTCCCATGACCGGGAATTCCTCAACAACATCTGTGAGGAGATTATAATTCTCAAGGACAAGACTCTCACGTACTTTAAAGGTAATGTTTCTGCGTACGAGCAGGACCAAGAATCTCAGAAGCTCTATTGGGGGAGGATGAAGGAAGCGCAAGAGCGACAGGTTGCGCATATGGAGAACACCATCAAGACAAACACAAAAATCGGCAAGAAGACGGGAGACGACAATAAGTTGCGGATGGCAAAGTCTCGTCAAAAGAAGCTTGATGACAGGATGGGAGTGGAAGTCAGTGCGTCCGGGGGGAGGTTCAAGCTAAGCCGCGATCGAGCTGGGTGGCACGATTCGCTGCGAGCTGAAATAGAGGTGCCAGCCGACGAGAAGGGGGTTTCGATCTACATCCCGGATGCCCCCGATCTGAGGTTTCCAGGTCCTCTGCTCTCCCTCGAAGGCGTGGCATTCCAATATAAACGTGGTGGTGCGGTGGTACTCAAGTCTATTGACTTGGTGATGCATATGGGGGACCGTGTAGGCATTCTGGGCCTCAATGGTTGTGGGAAGTCGACGCTTTTGAAGCTTTTCGTGGGCTCCGAGGAGCCAACTCAGGGGAAGATATCACGGCACCCACGACTGAAGCTCGGCTACTACTCGCAGCATTCGGTGGAAGAGCTCCAGGAGCTCGGGCAGTCGGCACCAGCGGAAACCGGGCTCAGCCTCTTGTGCAAGGAGACAGAAGGTGTTCTCGAAGAGGGAGAGGTTCGAGGCCTGCTGAGTTCCCTGGGATTGCCGGGACGGACAGCATCAGACGTCCCTGTCTGCCAGTTGTCAGGAGGACAACTGGTTCGGCTTGCACTAGCCCGGATATTATGGCAGATGCCACATATCTTAGTTCTGGATGAAATAACAACGCATCTCGATTTCCACACCGTCCTTGCATTGGCTGCAGCGCTTTCGTCATACAACGGCGCACTCCTGCTCGTCTCCCACGACCGATACCTGGTTCGGAAGGTGATTGAAGGCAAACAGAACCTAGACGACGACGATGGAGCAGAGCTTGAAGCCAAGACGCATGACGAGGGAGACGAGTCAAAGCGCCGAGACGTTGTTGTGCTGAAGGCTGGTAGACTGCAGCTGCAAGAGGACGGGGTTGACCAGTTTGAGGCCAGTCTCCAGAAACGGGTCCGAAAGATGATAGCTTAACGCTATTGCAACGGATATTGGGCATGCGGAGATGGAGGAGAGAGATTGAATTCCCCGGGAATTACGGAGTGCCCATCTCTACTGACAAAGATTTAGTGCTTCTCTTTTCGAAGCACTTTTTGGGTCAGTTCTCCAGCTCTCCATGCAATACCCGCTGATAGGGCGGAACTCAGGGTATTTCCTTAACCAAAACGTCTTCGTACAGCTGTAAAGTCCATATTTTTGAGTTAATAGGGCGCCATATCGTCGACATAGAATTACTAAGACATCGCAATTTTCGGGGCCTCCACTGTCCAGTCCGTTTTGATATACGAAGTATCTTGAGGAGGGCGAATGCTGATTTCAAAGGCCATCGGTGGTCCAGCTCAACCTCGGCGAAATGCCCGAATATCAACCTAATCCCGGTTCTTACACTCCGTACGGAGTATAAGCTACTTACTTGTTCAGGGTGTTAGGGCGCTCGCAGAGTAGAAGTTCCCTTGGGCCGAGTAGATACAGCTACGACCATAATATCAAAACACCTTTGACTATCCATCAACGTCCAGAAGGCCCAGCAGGAGAAGTCGACAGAGAGTAGCTAGAAAAAACCCAAAAAAAGATATGGTTCACCGTCCGCTTCTTCTGGAAAATGCTAGCTCTGCCAACCCCTGAAGAGCAGAGAGACAAAGAAGTCAGCGCTGGATGATCAGTGGAGAGTCTCGCACCGTGATTATGGAGTGCAGCATGACGCAGAAGAAGGAATTCTTCGTCCAGTGAGATGGAGAATTAATAATTAACAGACATCCGCGATGACTTTGACCTCCTGCGGGAACAGCGATTGGCCCGACGAGCGGTTATACGGATGATAAACCTTCGCGCATCTCGTAACCGTGGCTCTGAGCGCGCAGAGTTTCAACGAGAATCCAGACATCTGGTCGAACAAAGCTTCTATGACGGCGGTGGCTACGAAAGAAGAGCATTCGAAACTGGCCTGGCGAGGGGGGAAGAAGGTCGCCAGGGGGGGTTGGCGCATCATCGCTAAAACACCCAGTACTATTCACCAACATCGCGAGCCTGTAACAACATCTTGAAGCCTGTGACCGCAGGCCTCTCCACAATCCCAGGCCGAGCAAGCAAGGATGAGACGCCACCAGCGACGGCGCAGACTCCACCATGCAGCGAGATTTGAGGGCTGGACAGGCTCACCATCACGCCCTTCAACGATGTTTGACTTCCGCTATCCCAGACCCGCCAGCGAGATCCATCTCCATCCCACGATCAAGAGACCGAGGGCGGGAGGAGCACGATGGAGGAGATGAGAGGATGCTCCATCTGCTGCCTGAGCGCTCGCATCTTCCTGTTGACGCTTACGTCCGGGAGTTCCCTGTTGTCTATATATATGCAAGAGGGAGACATCCTCGACCGGGGCCATAACCTCTGGATTCCCAAAGTCGCATTGTAGCCGGGAGCAGAGCGGAAGAGGAAGCTAAAGAGAAATAGATCCCTGGCCATTGGCTGGCTATATCATCCTTGCTATCGACCCCCGGGCTAAACGCTCCCCGCGCTCGGATAGGACTTGTGTCATAATTATCCATTGATAAAGGGCCTGCATATTCTTCCCTGCGACCCGGATCTCGGGCGGTCAAGCTCGCGCATCCAGCACTTTCATCGTCTCGGGCAGTGGCTATCTGTTCGTGGACGGTGAGGTCCAGCTATTATCAAAGTCGGCGCCTCAACTGCTTCGTTTTCATCTCTACGTTGAGCTTTGCGAAAAACCGACACACGACGCACACGACGCACACGACGCACACGACAGGCAGAGCCTGAAGGCGAAGATGGCAGGGGATCAGTACGAGTTGAACGAGGCCGATGAAGGGAAATTCGGGATCTCAGAGCACGCAAACAGCATCTCTCTTGAAGACGAACCGCGCAAGAATTCAGTCGCTACCTTTAGAACTCGCTTCATCGACAGCTTTAGACGAGATCCAAATGCATACTTTTCAAGACCAGCGGGTTCAGAGGGCGGGTTTGATGCAGAACAGGCCGCCGCTGCCACTGCTGCATCGCCCTTGAGACGGGCGTTGAAGTCTAGACATCTTCAGATGATCGCAATAGGAGGATCTATCGGTAAGTCTTGCGACTCGCACCGCCAGCCTGCCTTTAAAAATATTACATCGACTAACCGGGGATTCTAAATAGGAACTGGTCTGTTTGTCGGCTCCGGAAAGGCTCTCGCGACTGGCGGGCCTGCATCGGTGGTGATATCCTTCTTCCTCGTCGGAATAATGCTCTACGCAACCATACACGCTCTCGGTGAACTCGCTGTCTGTTTCCCCGTCGCCGGTTCCTTCTCGCACTACTCTACTCGTTTTATCGATCCTGCTTGGGGGTTCGCCATGGGATGGAATTACGCTATCATGTGGTTGACATTACTCCCGCTCGAAATCGTCTCTGCGGCAATCACTGTTGGATACTGGCATTCCGGCATATCTCCTGCTGCCTGGGTCGCTATCTTCTACACCCTCATCGTCTGCATCAACATGTTCGGAGTAAGAGGATACGGCGAGGCGGAGTTTGTATTCTCTATAATAAAGGTCGTTGCGATCATTGGATTCATGTACGCATTTCCGCTCCTCGAGGACGTTTTTCTTCTATGACACACAGGCTAACCGACATCTATAGAATTCTCGGAATCACCATCAATTGTGGTGGTGGCCCGAACGGAGAGTACATTGGAGGAAAGTTCTGGAGAGAACCCGGTGCTTTCAACAATGGATTCAAAGGCCTGTGCAGCGTCTTTGTTACAGCAGCCTTCACCTTTGGCGGAGGAGAGCTCGTTGGCCTGGCAGCCGCAGAGACAAGCAACCCGCGCAAGTCTATCCCAACCGCAGTGAAGCAGGTCTTCTGGCGTATTGTTTTGTTCTATATCGTCTCAATGACCATTGTTGGCCTCCTCGTACCATATACTGACCCACGGTTGCTCAACGGGTCTGGGAGCTCCGATATCAAAGCCTCCCCATTTGTCATTGCCATCCAGGATGCAGGCATCATTGGTCTCGACTCCGTTATGAATGTCGTTATCATGATCTCAGTGCTGTCCGTTGGCAACGCCGCCATTTATGGCTCTTCTCGAACCCTTGCCGCCCTAGCGGAGCAACGGCAAGCTCCAAGGTTCCTCTCATATATTGACCGTAAAGGTCGCCCATTACTCGCCATCATTGCTGCCTCAACTTGCGGACTGCTTGGATTCCTAGCTGCCTCCGACAAGCAGCAAGACGCATTCACATGGATGTTGGCTATATCTGGACTTTCCTCCATCTTCACATGGGGTTCTATTTGTTTAGCACACATCCGATTCCGTCAAGGTCTCAAGGCGCAAGGACGAAGCGTCGAAGACCTTCCATTCCAAGCTCAGGGAGGAATAATTGGTTCCTGCATTGGCTTTTCCATCAACTGTATAGTCCTAATAGCTCAGTTCTGGACTGGATTCGCACCTATTGGCTACGCTGAGATGTCGAATGCTGCACGCGTGAAAAACTGGTTCTCAACCTACCTCGCCGCACCCGTTGTAATAACATTTTACATCGTCTATAAGGTGTGGCACCGTACATCCATTGTCCGCGCAAAGGATATGGATCTAGTCACTGGCCGTCGCGATCTCAACCTGGCTCATCTGATAGCGGAAGAGAGGGCCGAAAGGCTTTCCTGGCCGACGTGGAAAAAGGTTTACAAGTTTTTCTGTTAAATTAGTTACCTGACGAATCTCTGTCGTATATATTTTACATATTTGGTGTATATGTATGGCGCAAAAGTGGGAGAGTAGTGGAAGCCTGGATACCCTATTGCTTGTACATAATAACATAATTTTTATCTATTCATCGTGAATGCCTATTTTTAACTAAGTGGTATGATGTTTGCTATAGAAAAGCATGGTAATAACAGTAAGATATTGGAAGCTATTGGCTATTGCTTGTATAAGCGGGATGGTATGCCCTAAGGTGATACTACAGGTAGAGATATGAGGAGCTTAAAGAGGATATCTATATCTATCTTCTTAACTTAGCCATGAGAAAATGACTTTAGAAGTGCTCCTTAGCAATAGGGATGGCCTTTTAGGGTCTACCTTTGGTCGGGATACCTGTAACTAGGCCTTGATAAATCTACTCAGACCCCGATTAAGTCGTCTTCTCCCCGCTAGGTTTCAAGTTTGCTGGAATCTGGTTGCTTAAAACTGCAGCTTTTGCAGCTAAGCCCGTAAGCCCTGCGATAGGCATGCTGCTCATGATATCCAACAACGGAACATCGGCACCGACGACTTTCGCAAGCCATACCCGGAACTCCACGGCCACAAGGCTGTCAACGCCATTGCTACTCACACTCTTGTTTGAGTCGATATTTTCAACTGAAATGCTCAGTAGTTTCGATAATTTATCGCGGATAGCATCCGAAATAACTGTGATAACATCCGCCGAAGAGGTGGCAGATGCCAATGCCCCAGCTATATTCAGACCATCTTGATCTTGCTCAACCCCAAGAGTACCATGATGAACTGAACTCTTCGACGATAGGTGAGTGAACAATGGCATATACATCCAGGAGGGCGCAGGCATTCCGCGAACCACATACTCCTGCGCAGTTGATATAGCAGATGCAATTTGAGTAGGCCGATCATTGTATTCTTGAGGCTCAAGATTTCGTTCAATCATGCTGTGAATCTCATCTTCGCGGACTGACCCTAGGAGTCCAGCAACCGTTTGCCCAGAAGTTAACCTCTCGCGGTTCTGCGCAACATATCCAACGGACAAAAGAGCCCCCAGGTCCAGGGATGTGCCAGGTAGGCCAAGAGAGACTCGATGTGCTGCCAGAGCGTCTTGGAACGTATTCCCTGCTGCATAGTTGGCTTGACCACGATTTCCTACCAGTCCATTGACAGAAGACAGCATAATAAAGAAGTCCATATCCCGTGGGAGATGGCGGTGCAAATTCCAGGATCCTTGAACTTTGGGGCGAGTTCCTGTTTGGAACTTCTTAAGGGTCATGTTTTCAAAAATTTTGTCTGCGATAACCATGGCTCCCTGAACACAACCTTTAATTGGCGGAAGCGTTTCTTCGCATTGCTTCAGGACCGCGGCCACGCGATCCTTATCCGTGACATCGCACGCGAATACCTGGACCTTGACTCCGCGACCTTTTAGGGTTTCAATGGTCTTTTGCGCATCAGGACTTGCTTCACCAGAACGAGAGAGGAATATCAGGCTTTTCGCGCCCCGTGATGACATCCATAGGGCAACACTGCGTCCAATACCACCAAGTCCACCAGAAAGCACATATGACGCATCACCACTTAGCGTTGGCAACACAAGTGGCTGTGGGACAACTGGGACAATGTCATCGGGGCTCGGGACGAGAACTGTCTTTCCCATTCCCTTGCCAGATTGCATCACTCTGAAAGCCTCCTCAAGCTGCGAATAGCTAAACAAATTAAGCGGATATGGCTCTTTGATTTTCCCTTCGGACCATAGGTTGATGATTTTGGCGAACAGTCTCTTAGCGGTTAGAGGCCGGTAGCGGTTGATTGTTGGTAGCTCAACACTGGCCATGACAACATTACGAAGAAGGGGGTGCTATACATATGTAGTGTCAGTCAAGATAATGTCTTTTATTTCTCCCAGAAACGGATTAAATGCCACACTTACTAGCGAAACCCGGCCATGATTCTGTGCATCTTTCTTTCCTATCTCAATGAATCTGCCAAACGGTGCTATGCAGTCCCATGATCGACGAAGGAACTCGCCAGCAAGGGAGTTTAGTATAACATCGACACCCTGGCCGTTTGTCATCCTCATAATACCCTGAGCAAAGGACAGATCTCTACTGGAGAATATATGATCTTTTTTGACCCCATATTGATTCATGAGCACCTCTGCCTTCTCAGCAGTCGATACCGTAGCAAACACTTCTGCACCGACAATGTTTGCTAGCATGATGGCGGCCTGGCCAACTCCTCCTGCAGCACTATGAATTAGAATAGTATCCCCTTTGCTAAGCTTAGCCACCTCATATAACCCGTAGATAGAGGTTATATAAATAGACGGTAAGGATGCTGCTACTTCAAAGCTCATATTGTCTGGCATGAGTGCAGCCAAATTTTGGAGAGACCTGCCATATGTCTGGAAGGCACCAGTCTTTGTGTGCCCGTCCATATATATAACACGATCGCCGGGCTTGAATCCCTGAACTCGAGCGCCAACTCGGGTTACAACTCCTGAGCCCTCACTACCAAGTGTTATCGCATCGTGTTGGCCCATTGCAATCATAATGTCTCGAAAATTGAGCCCAACTGCTTTAACTTGGATTTCTAGCTGATCCTCGCCAAGTGATTCAAAATACGTTGAATCGCTTTCGAACTGAAGTTTGTTTAGCATACCAGGGGCCTCGGTTGTAAGCCTCAGAGGCCTTTGTGCTTCTGCTTCATGCAGCCTCGTCATTTGAGCTTTAGGTTTCGATGATTTGGTAACTAGATAGTCATTCATTTCCGTGGCATTGGTAAGCCGATTCGTGAGGATCATATTATCCTGGAGGCGGTATTCTGCATTACTCTTGCGCTCGTGTGCTTTCACATATTGGTGGTCAATAATGTCCGTAATAGCTTGCAGTATAGAGCTCTGTGGCGGCAGAGGATTCATAACCCCAAGCGAGACCAAGTTAGGTTTCTCAAGGTCTCTTTCCCATCGCACCGAGCGCATGAGACCTGCAATCAAATTGAGGTGGGGATTAGCTGTTGGGTCCCCTGTAATCCAGAGCACTTTTTTGCAGACGGACAAAAGGTTGCGGACGCTGTCATACTCCTGCTCCGTTGGATCTGAAAGTATTGGGATATTTAACTCCACCAGGGAAATGCAGAGTGCACTAGAGAGCTTAAATTGGCTCAAATTTGATAGTTTGGCAATTTGGTAGTTCAAGTTGCTGTATTCCTTTGATAGCTTAGCTTTGAGTGAGGTTGAAAAGTCGTCTTGTGATCCATCGGCCGTGATAATCAGTATATCTCTAGGAATCGGATCCTCGTGAGTTTCAGTATCAACGGCGGATGTTATAAATGTGCTGATCCCATTCAAGTCTTCATCATCCCAATCCTGGAGATTTATCTGGATGTCTGAGAAACTAGTGTCTTGCAGAGCTTTTTTCCATTCCTCTTGACTAACAAAAGGGCATGATTGTCGAACCTCCTCCACACTGAGCCACCAGCCTTCCAGGAAGCCGAAAGCGACAGGTACAAACAGAAAATCTTGCCTTATACCTTCTTGTATGATCAACCGACCGTCAGGCTTAAGTAGGCGCCAAACATTACCCAACGTCTTTCGAAGATCTTTGGTTGCATGCAAAACATTCCCTGCGACGATGATATCATATTCCCGTAGTGTAAATCCTTGATCCTTTAGATCTTCCTCTATATTCAATGGGATAAAGTTGAGAATGTTGGCCCAAGCCTTGAAGCGTTCCTTGGACTTCTCGAAGAAGCTGGCAGAGATATCAGTGAAGTCATATTTTGCAATTTTTGACCCTTTTCCGGAACTGTGCTCACTTGAAATAGGGCTTAACGTCTCGAGAAGGATTGCTGTCAAGCTTCCTGTCCCAGCGCCTATTTCAAGTATCTTGAGATCTGTGTAGCTATGTGCAATTAGGTCCATGCATGCCCTTAGTAAGCGACCGGTATTACCAGCCTCAATCGATCCAGCGTAGACTCTATCGAGTAGATCATCAATCCCGAACAATAGATGAAGTGGATCAACTTCCTTTCGAAGGACTTGCGCAATGTTCAATCCAGCCCTGATACAGAGTTCGCCCTCCGCGCTCCTTGCAGCAACTCTGTTGTAGAGACATGATTTGAATTCGGTGTCATCTTTATGTTTCAGCCACCTAGCAAAAGGCAAATGAATCATCGTGTTTGATTTCAAAATCCTGGCTTGAAGTGTTAACCAGTTATAATATTTTTGGAGGTGACCTTCAAGTGGTTCAAACGGGAAACTATGAAGTTGGTCGAGAGCATCCATGATCAACAACATAGTTGCTAGTTGAAGCTCCTGCACTTCTTGTCGCCTGCGGTCAATTTTATCTTGGGTCACGGGCACTAAATTTGGCATTTTCTGCGATTTGTAAAGGGTAATATCTGGCTTCCATTTAAGAGTATGGCAGAGCCCGCTGACGCGGGATTCAGCGACATCGGTATTTGAAACTGGCGCGGCTTTTAGACCTTTAATTATGACTCTTGGTTCATTTAGGTCTGCATCCCATACAGTAATGTCAGTTTCATATTTCTGCGCGGCAACTGATGTTGATTTTCCATGCCCAAAAAATGCGTGACCGGGGCAGCTTTCAGTGGCAGCTGAAACCCATACCTCCCGCATGAAAGTTGGCAACATAGCCACGGGCAGGGAATCAGTTTTCAAGCTATCCAGAATGGACATCATGGATAAGTGTAGCATGCTATCGAGGGTACAAGGGTGGATGACATGAGGATGCATGAAGTTTTTTGGCATCGACTCTGCTATATCTGGGATAGTCACAACTCCAGTGGCTTCTCCAGACCCCTTAGCCATTTTAACATCCGAAAGATTCCGGAATAACGGCCCGAAGATGAGACCTTTATCTGACAAGTTTTCGTAAAATTGGGTGATGTCAAGCGGACACTGGCACTGCCGGATGGATTTCCCAAGTTTTTGCTGCAAAATCATTGACTCCTGCTGGACTTCAAACCTATTGCCAATGAAATTGGCCTTTGGGTCCGCCTCGACTGATATGTAGCCTGTGCAATGTTCAATCCAGTCGCTCTCTGTGCTGTTCCACGACATAATTCTGAAACTGAACCACACCTTTGAGCGCTCTGTGCTTGATTCATCCATACGTGACATGTATACCATGACTTCAATACCATCTCTGGTGTCTGGCACATGCAATACTGCTTTGATAGAAATGTCTCGAAGGCGGAACCCGGAGAGTGCTAAATTGGACCCTGAGAGCTGTTTAACAGCTTCTATTGCCATGACGATGTATCCAACTCCAGGATAAATGTAACTGCCAGTCATTATATGTTCTTTAAGCCACGGATTCTCCCGGGCCCTAATCACATTTCGCCATCGTGGCTCATTGGCATTCCAATCGTCCACAGGCGCCCCAAAAAGGTCGTGAATGGGATACTCGCGCAGGCGAAAATTTTTTGTGAGCCGTGATTCAAACCAAATCCTCGACGTATGATTAAAAACGTAAGGTGGGAGGTTAACGAGGACCTGGGGACGTGAAGGTCCGGTTGATAAATTAGAGCCATGCAAATTAACGTCATAACCTCTGCTCCATAACGCAGCAGGTATCGCCAAGGTAGTCGTGAGGCCAGGATTGTTGCGGTTTAAAATAGATATATATTCAATCGATGCTGCATTGGTGTGCGCGCTGATAGATTGTTTGATCGAGGTTTTCAGAGCGCCATGAGGACCAATCTCTAAGATATCGTGGAGAAAAATGTTTTCTGCTGTGTTGTTGATGCTCACTGGTTTTTGGCCCTTCTTCACATTTTGGAAGCACGCTGCAGTGAGACTCTTGGTGAAATTCACGGGCGAGACTAGGTTATCGACCCAGTATTGCGCCGATTCCAGTTCATTCGAGTTCACTGTCTGGCCGGTGATGGAAGAAAACATGGAAATCTCCCCTCGGGGTATTAATTTGTCACTGGATTTAAGATCTCCAAGCAATATGAGGTATACGTTGGCTGCAACTTTCATATGGCTAGAATGATAGGCATTTCCAACTGCTAGTTTGCGCGTAAAGATGTTATTCGTATCTAGCAATGCCTTTAGGGCATCCACCTTAGACTCGTCTCCAGATATGGTACTGTTCATTGGGCTGTTGTAGCATGCTATGATGAGTTCTCCTGGCAGGATGCGATGGATTTGCTCCACATATGGTGCTAAATCATGTTGCGAAGCCCCCACGGCTAGCATAGCACCTTTCGTAGGATATTTGATGGAAGAGACAATACCACGGTAGTAGGCAACCCTCCATGCAGCTTCACGGCCAATCTTACCAGCGCAGTATGCAGCGGCAATCTCCCCTGAGGAGTGTCCTACTACCCGAGAGGGTTGAATGTTCCAGCTGTAGAGGAGGTCAACACTAGCTATTTGCAGTGCAGCACAAGCAACATGTGAAATGGCTGCTTCATTAATTCTTGTGCTAGTCTTGTCTCGGTGGAATTCCTCTATGATGGTCGTTAATTTTATAGCCAGTTTGAAATCTTGAAACCAAACAAAAATACTGATAATTTCACATACCAAGTAAGGACCATGAACTGCCTAAACTCCTCAGATAAGTATCCGCTGCTTCAATACTTGCTCTGAAGACTGGATAGGAAAACAGCTCGCGCCCCATTGCATACCATTGAGCGCCTTGCCCAGTAAAGACAAAGCCCAGAGCTCGAGTCTTGCTTGCTCTGGCGGGCTTATGGAGGCCGGTTCTAATTCCGACCACGAGCTCCGAAATGGTGGAAGCAATGCAATAGCTCTTCCATGCAAACTCGGAGCGTGACTTGCAAAGGGTATAAGCTAGGTCTGATAAATACTTACCCTCTATTTCCTTGTTCATGGGGGGTAAACCTTTTAGATGGCTGGAAAGTGACTCTGCATTTCGCGTCACACCACCTTCATCAAAGGCTGATAAAGGGAAAATAAGGGGGCATGATACTTCAGCTACCACCGCAGCACATGTTTCCGCGTTGACTTTTGTTCCATTAGCCTGCAATGTTGAACACCCATTCAGGGTGCCATTGTTTAGCTTTCGATCGCTTTGTAGATCTCCACTGATGGCATGGTGACCCCCCTGCATCGGTAGATTAAGCTGAATCAGTAAATTTTCGATATCGCTTGTGGTTGGCCGAACATCTACGGTTCTGTGAATACCACGCAGGTTATAAAACTCTAGATAGGAATAAGCATCTTCCAGAATTGCATGAGCGTTTGTACCGCCGAACCCTGTGCTATTCACGGAAATCCTTCTTCTCCCAGCCGTCGGCCAGTGGGTGGCTTGAGTAGGGAAATGAAGGTTCCACGAGGCTAAGATTTTCGGGTTTGCCCGTTCAAAGTTGACATTAGGGACCACGATACCAGACTCGAGCATCATAACAGCTTTCATCACACTTGCAACGCCGGATGCTCCCTCGAGATGACCAATCCCGGACTTCATTGCGCCAATGTATAAAGGAATATTTCTCGTGCTAGTTTTGAATGCATGCGCGATAGCCCGTGCTTCGATTGGGTCTCCAGCTGCGGTACCAGTGCCATGGGCCTCAACAAACATGGTACCCTCTGGATCAAGTCTAGCCCTGGCATAAACGTCGCGCATGAGTTCGATTTGTGCAGTGGCGTTTGGCAAAGTGATTCCAGGAGTTCGACCATCCTGGTTTATAGCCGACCCCCGCACAATTGCCCTAATAGTATCTCCATCTTTGATGGCGTCAGAGACACGCTTGAGAAGCAGTGTTCCAACCCCTTCTCCACGCGAATACCCATTTGCACGATGATCAAAGCTGTAGCATTTTCCATCAGGAGAAAGGAAACCGTGATGTGACATAGCCATATAGTCATTAGGCCAGGATAATAGATTCACTCCACAAACTACAGCCATGCGGCTTTCCATAGTCCTAAGGCTCTGACAGCCGAGGTGTAGGGCTACCATGCTACTGGAGCAGGCTGAATCGACAGTGACGGATGCGGATTTGAAGTCAAAAAACCAGCTTACTCGGTTAGCTAAGATTGAATTTGCTGACCCGGTTGGTTTATATTTAGCCGTTGCTTGTGGGTCATGGTTCAGTCTTTGGAGGTGGTCATGATTGAAGCCGCTCACGAAAACTGACGCATTCGAAGACATTGCTTTATCCAAAGGTATACCGGCTATGATAACAATCAGTCAAGGGTCTTTACTAAATGAACTTTCGTTGACAGGAGAAACAAACCATTCTCTAAGGCATGATACACATTCTCCAGCAGAATACGTTGCTGTGGATCCATTGTCATGACCTCACTTTTAGTTAAGCCAAAGAAATGGGAGTCAAAGCTGATGGTATCCCCTGTGATGAAATGGCCACCTTTCTAGGTTTTAGCCAGGGAACGTTAAGGAAAGGTTGTGGGCACGAGATACCTTTAGAATGGAACTGATTATTGACATATTAACGCTGGCTATAAATATTAGGCGGCACCTTACTCACAGTTGCTGCATGTTCAGAGTCAGGGTGATAGTGAGCTTCATGATTGACCCTGTCGCTAGGGAAAGGGGTTGATGAATTCCGGCCTTACAAGAGAAATTTTCAGAGGTTCTCGTTTGTATTTGCATCCTGAGGAAGCCGGGCAGCCATCCCAATGATGGCAATTGGTTCTCCATAGCCGGTGCAGCCGGCCGCATCCGCCTTTTCACCAGAATCATTCATGAAATGTGGCATTTTTGCCGTTGATATGAGATTGACTCAGCAACTTGTAGTTGGAGAAATAATTGCAGATCGCAAAGATAAGCCCTCTTCGTGAAGGTAAAGCAAACAATTTTGGTTGCCGAACTCGAAATACCGGCAATCCATGGGGTATATATACCACTGACTAGTCCATCCGAGGATACAATCTTCTATTGATATGCCGCAAGAATTCGAACTGACGAAAACATACAAAGGACATGTCCCATGACTCTAAACAGGGCGGCATCATTCGTCTCAATGCTTTCCCAACGTCGGTCTTCGAGTCCAACAAAAAGCATATATGTCGCCAACCGGACCGCATGCCAACAGCCATCAATGGCGGCACCTCGTATTCTCGCCCTTCCCACGAAAAGTAATGATGCTCAACAATAGGTTTATGTAAACTCGCTAGATATTCTCTCATCATGCACGAATCCCTGTTACACGCGTAGATGAGCGAGAATTATAGTAGTTATCTCGCGACTTGAAAGGTATATGGGTGATGCTGTGATGTCGATTAGGTATTGATGTGAACCATAGGTCACAGTCGCGAAGCGCGAGCGTAGCAAAATAGGGCAGTCCATAGCTCACAAGTAATAAGCCCCCATTTATTATAGTTCTGGCAGTCCTTATGCCAATTATATACCTGGGAATAAATATAAGCACAGATATAAACGTCAATATAAATATTGGTATTGGTATTGGTGAAGTGAAGGTGAAAGCGTCGATATAAGCTCGGATATGCTTATATAATCATTCGCTATTCTTAGTGATTATGTCATCAGTCGGGCAACTTCAAACTTCAAACTTCTATCAACATAGATTTCACCATACCCGAGTATGGACAGACGAATCACCTTGGAGAAGTATAAAATACCCACGATAGTATCTCTTGGTACTGCATGATGTTCCCATTCTGCCGTCGTGCATCAAGTTATCGACCATGCTGCCTGCGAACAGTAGTGCCGCATGCGCGTGTCGTCGAGTGAGACAACTTCTCCCCTGAGACACACAGAATACCCATGAGCTGCAGGTAGAGCTATACTGTTGCATCTCACCGTCAGTGTCCGCCACACTCTCACTGATCCTCCAACACCCGATGAAATCTGCCAAGGAGTTCTTTGTGCAAAGCCTGCAGTACCTGGTACTGTGATACCAACAAGTTGACCAGGTAGCTGGCATTGAATGAATATTCACACCCCACGCGGGACTATCTGCCCGGACGGCAGGCTAGGGCCTACTAGACGATAGGTTGGAGGACTTAGTCCCGGCTGGTTCCCGAAAGCTTGATGAAATCTGCAGGTGTATTCCATGCTGCGTTTGACAAGTCAAATAGTTGGACCCGTCACATTGACAGCCACAGGTTATATTTCGCAGCATGCATTATCGGCAATTCTCATGTGCTTGGATTCGTTTGTTACTCCCCAAACAGAAAATAACATGGTCAAGTTTGCCGACACCTCCATAGCCATTCCCAGAACTACATGCGGACTATAACCGCAGATCAGCGCTCTACCACCCCAGGTACCTCAACAAAGGTATCTACTAGCTATAACCGCTTATGATGAAACATATCGTTAATTCAATGACGCAATAGGCTGTGATCATTCTAAGCCTTTCTAACATTGCATTTTCTCATTAACCGGCTCGCCATCAATACCCACGGCGCAGTATTATACACCGGCTACTCCGTACTACGGTGCAGCTCCTGCAGTTTCCTACACCTGATAAAGAAAATACCGTTCTTTGGAAAATTCTCCGTAGGTATTTGAATAATTATTTATTTTGCAACTCCACAATCCTGGCTGATCAATCAGGATTACCATGCAAAATGCAACTAAAATCCATACTGCCTCCCTTTAGCTAGCCATTTCTGCTACCTCTCGTATAAGGCTCGCAACCTTCTTCATATCGGCATAACCTCGGGGGAAGTCGTGGCCATGCGCGTGGAGAAATTCTTTCCTCATTTCAGGCTCACACAACTCCATCAGCCCCAAGCCCCAGTGTCGATTGGTAGCCGTCGGGCTTCGAACGTGCAGTGTGGCAATATCAATCAACGCTCCCTGAATAATCCCGTCATACCTCGCTATTCCTGTGACTCCGTTTGTCATAAATGGCCTGGAATCAGCAAGCTGCCTAGTTTTCAGGGTTTCTAACTGCTCTTTTATTTGTCTTGGGTCGTAGTCTGGATGCCTCCTTGCTTCCTCCTCGCGGACTCGGATATTTGACGGCCGTAGAAGGATTTGATACGCCTCCTTTGGCGCGGATTCTTCCACCACACCGTCTAGCACCTCGGCGTCTAAGATATTAAAGACGTCAAGTGGCGTCCCACCATTAATAAAAACTGCCCAGCGAAATATACGTTCGTGTGGAAGTTTGGAAGGGTTCTCCCGGCGATCCCTAATCAGTAGTTGCGCGGCAATGGCCGCACCCCCTGAGTACCCGAGAACTCCATCAAATGGCCCTTGATCTTCGATCAATCTGAGCAGCTCATCTTCTACTTGCGTGATGGACGATCCAGATATAGGGTTGTAATAGTTATACAACGGGAGCTCGGAAAATGCAGTGGTAAACAACGACCAATTTCCTATTCAATGTTAACTCCCGTAGAATCAGTGTTTTGCCAATCCGTACCTTCGGTATGAGCAACAGTTCCTTGGACAAACATAAATGAGAAGTCAGGCAGATCTGCCCTGAACGAGGCTAACAATGTGTCATTAGGGTGCAATTGACTAGACAACTATTGAGTATACCTGTCTGTAATTTGAATATCTGGCATGAAATAATGTTAGTATCTCAAAACTTCCTAGGAGTTATGGCGTCTACCCCCTCATCTCATTATTTGAACCTCTACCATGAAGACAGAGTACCTTCATTGTGGCTTTGTATGTTTGACGGTTCAACAAGTTCCCGAGAATCGCGTGGCCGTCCAGTTCAGGCTATTTACCTATTGACAGGGCTCCGGTGGTAATTAGATCCAGCCGGGTTGAGTTCAGCTTATAATTTATCAACGTAGTCAGTCAATGCCCTAATGCAAGGTCGATCATGATCTGCAGAACCAACTTGCTAACCCCTATGAACTAGTATGACAATTCGCGAATTTTGATGCGATTCTCTAGCATGGGACTTCCGCATAACAAATACAAACCCTGCATATCTTATTAACCGTTGCCGGAATTTTATAATTTCGTTTTTGGGTTGGTATAAAAAACCCAGATTGTTACTCCGCATACTGGGAGCCTGTGGAGAGAGATTGAGCCATACAAATTCATGCATGATACATCAATGTTCGTGTAATGCAACATAGCCACATACCTAAACATTGCCATGTTTGGTGACTAACCAGCCGGAAGTTGCCTCACTATAGCCAAATTTCCAACTACAAGCAACAACCCCGCTACCTCGCTCTGAACCTCGCTAATTCCAGTGTCTGGCCTAGTAATAGGACATTCTTCCTTGAATTTTTTTTTTTTTTTGGTTTGGTGATAGCTAAATACCCTCACTAGGATTTGATTGTATGCGAGATACTTTTGCATACCACCATCAATAACCTATGAAACATGCAGCTCAAGCGGATGCTTCCCCCAGATCATGATATGAACTCCATTTCCACGCTACCAGGGCTAAATTCCCCTAATGACGCGCCCAAATTAGGCATCGTCCACGGAGAAGACAGTACCATGGGCAATGAGAGCGAAGGAGTAGGCCAAAGAGGCGGTCTTCAACCTATTACCAAGATCCAATTCATCATGCTCAACATTGCACTATGCGTGGGAATATTTATTGTCACTTTAGACGTCATCATCTTAGGTTAGAACTCTAACCCCCAAAATAACGCTGTTTAGGCCCCTAGCTCACGGACAGGAAAGCAACCGCGATTCCCACGATAACTCATACCTTTCATTCCCTCGAAGATGTCGGCTGGTATGGAGCAGCCTATCTCCTCACCCAGACAGCGTTCCAGCCAACCTTTGGAAAGGCTTATAACTATTTCAACACCAAGCGGACGATCTTATTTGGAATCTTAGTTTTTGAAATCGGCTCGGTTCTTTGCGCTACTGCAAACTCGTCACCAATGTTAATATGCGGCCGCGCGGTGGCAGGGTTTGGGGCAGCAGCGATTTTGTCTGGAGGGGTCAATATTATAACGATGATGTTTCCTTTAAGGCACAGAGCTCCCTTCCTAGGTCTGATGGGAGCTATGATTGGTTTGGCTATGATTGTTGCACCACCCCTTGGGGGAATATTGACAGATCGCCTCAGCTGGCGGTGGTGGTATGTTATCCTCTTCTACTCAGGGCAACGTGGTGACCGCTATAGTAACTAAACAATACCTTATAGCTTCTGGATTAATTTGCCATGTGGAGGGCTCATGATAATAATTATTACAATTTTTTTAAAGCAAACGGCGCATCTTTCCTACGACGTGAGTTTGAAGAAATCTGTTTTAGCATTGGATCCCGTTAGCGCATTAGTCCTCATTTCCGGCATGACTGTCCTCCTGATAAGCGTACAATGGGGAGGAGAACGATACAAATGGTCAAACCCCAAAGTATGGGCCTCCATGATGAGCGCAGCCATCCTATTCGCAATATTCTGTGTGCTGCAGTGGAGGAGAGGCGAGAGAGCAACGATCCCTCCTAGATTGTTAAGACAAAGAACTATACTCGGATCATCACTCTCTGCTTGTTTCCTCTCAATGGCTTTCCATGTGTATGCTGACCCCTAAATCTCCCTGGAGTTCGATAATATTTTAACAATACTTCCAAGGCACTCTTACTTTCTACCCATATACTTCCAGGCGGTAAAGGGGCTAAGTGCAGAAAGATCGGGGATACAAATCCTTCCATATCAAGTCACCAATACCATCTGCTCAATCGGCGCAGGTGTCTTGGTCGGAGTAGTTGGATGGTATCCGCCGTTCATGTGGGTAGGGACCCTTGCCTTTGTAGTAGGCTCAGTGCTGTTCTACACCCTGGGGGTCAACAGTGGCATCGCTGTCCTAATTGGCTATCAGATCATTGCAGGAGCTGGAGTTGGAACCGCGATTAACATTCCGCACATAGCAGCACAGGCTGTCTCGAATAAAAATGATGTCTCCTCTGCGAGTAAGTTGGCCAGTGACGATAATTTAGCTAATATAGAGATGCTAACCTTGAAATGATCCAGATGCTATTGTTTTCTTCTTCCATGCCTTAGGTGGAGCCATTGGCATAGCAATCGGGCAAAACATTTTCTCAAGTACACTCCATCGAGAACTTCCCCTCGCTGTTCCGCATGTTGACACATCTGCTGTTATCGATGATAGCTCAGCAAATATCCGCACACTGATACCAGCCAAAGATTTAGACTCCGTACTGCGCATATACAGCTCATCAGTGTCCAGTGCCTTCATATGCCCAATTATTACTGCATGTCTAGCGTTTCTGTCATCTTTATTACTGGAGTGGAACTCCGTCAAGTCTCAAGGCCCAGAAAATGCATGAGTGTGGAGGCCTCTACCAAAAAGCCATAAGAGCCTCCGCCATTTATGCAGGATCGGATAAAGGGGGTACCCTAGTAGAAGGAAGATTATAAGTATAGGAGTACTAACGATGAATACAAGGAGGTCGCAACCAATCTGGATGGGCCATAAACTAGGAAGTTGGCGTTCACATATAAGTAAAAAGCGTTTATATGAAAAATAAGGAGATAGAAATTTAGCACGGCTATACGGAATACGTAAAAAAAGAGTAGATGATAGTTATTATCTAGACATGCTGAGCGCCAATCTTCCTCTTTGTCTATTTCGCCTTTCTCCTCGTCGTTAAAAGGGTGAAATAAGGTTATTTATGCTTAGATAATCTGATAACCTTAAATCTGGCCGTTTTTATCAGATCTTCAAGCTTCGATCGGAGCATGGTTGACGGAACATGATCGACGATAAATCCCAGGTCAAACACCCCTGATTTCCTCCGAGGTTACTCCAGTCACTTTCTCGTCCACCTGTTGCTCAGAACTGGGATTATCGGACGTTGAAAAGCCGCTCAAGGCCTTCTCTCGTTTCTGGAAGGGCCAGTGACCTCTCCTTTCGTAATATATCATAAGAAGGAAGCCAGTGATAACCGCAATCCAGTAGAAGTTATATGCCAACACCGTACCGATAGACGCCGAGTTGGTCCAGCCGAGAAGGGCGTTGAAGATACCCCATCCTCCGCCCCCATTTAACAGCGGGCTGCAGCACTGTAGAGTTTGGACGCCCAAGTTAGCTAGGTCACTTTATCTCCGTTCATCGTTCCTGAAAACATACGTTAACGTGCCACACGCTTTCCCGGATGTCGTATGATCCGGGGCCAACGCCTGTTTCGGCTGCGTCACCGCCGACTATCATGTTCCACTATGCGAATGTTAGTATGTGGTATAAAGCCGCCTGATGACCTTTGCTGCTATTGTCTCACTTTATACTGTTCGAAGAACCCCACACCCCTAGAAAACAGTCCCCCCGCTACCAAATATAAGAAGCAGGTCGATATGATGAGGAATATCTGGATGGGAACGAAATTTCCGCCCCTAGAGATAGAAATCAGTATTCGTAGTCAACTCAGCTGGCGAACAGACACACCCTCTTGGGAACATACTTGTAGATCATGTATCCGATTGCAGAGCCTGCAATGACCCCAGCTATGGTGGGTATTGGAATCGAAGAAGCCGATGCGCCCAAGCTTACGCCTCCGATAAACACAACCGCCTCTAGCCCTTCGCGCAGGACGGTAACGAAGGGCAGGATGAACATAGCATATTTTTCACACCATCTCTTGAATCTCCCCCACGATGACCCCCGTCTTCGATCCTCCGTCTTTGCCTCTAACACTTTCGTCAACTTAATACGCCACTTTGCCTGAAGCTTTGAAATCCGAAGCAGGGCGGCGCCCATTAAGGTGATAATCAGAGAAGCGACAACGGCAAAAACACCTTCCCACAGGGCTTCAGCTTTTGACCATTTGTTTCTTCCGAGTGAATAAAACACGCCAATCAAGGCGCATCCGATGACAACGCAGATGGCTACGCCCAAGGCAGTGCCTAGCCAGACCTACGCGATATCGATTAGAAAAACTTGTGCCGGTCTCTTTTTATCGTGGACATGGACTGCCTTACCTGCTTCCTCAATTTTCTGTATACCTGAGCATCTTCCTGGGGCCCAAGCTGATTCTTCAAGAACGCGAGAAGAATTGACACCACAATGCTTGTTTCCAGTGTCTCCCGAAACACTATGAAAAAGACTTCATGTCGAACGAGAGGTTAAAAAAAAAACACCATTCCTTTGTCTGAATTGAGAACAGGAGGATCAAGTACCTGGAACATAGAATACATTCACCATTGCGGCTTTGTGGTTTGAAGTTGCAGGTCCTAAATTCCGACCTTTCACTGAGGGCGATTCACTGGCACGACTTACTTTTCCTCTTCGTATATGACGAGAAGAAGGGGAGACGGGAGATGATATCAGCTCACCATCAGATAAGACAACAGATCTGGGCTGTGGCTCATGTGGACTCCCTCGGATCAGATAAAAGAAAAATTAAGCGACAGAGCTGATGCTAAATAACGAAATAACGAAATTCACTCGGGACAAAACGGCAATGTCGATGGCTTATTTACGGACTAAAGGTCACGCCAACGGGAGACTACGTAGCGTAGTCCATCTACCAGTAAAGCTAAATTAATTAACTTCACACAGGATTGCATGAGGGGAGAAACTGCATACCGAAGCTCTAAGATATATTAACGTCGATCATGTCATTCTCCCACCGTGTGCATAGTTCTATACCTTGCCCTTGCCCGCTCCTAGCAAGTCATCTGTCGATGCATCGGACAGCTCGCTGTGAGAAGCTTTTCCAAGCATCGATTGGCTTTCCTCGGCAAGGGCTTTTTCACGATATTGCGGGGCTTTAGGACAGGGGGGGCACGCGTTGACGGTATCCCACGGAGGAAATGAAACACGAGACAACTGGTTTAAGCGGCAATGCTGGGCTAGGTAATGCCTCAGACCAATGCCGCCGTGGTGATGAGGCGTCCGTCGTTTTTCCTTTCTCTCCTGAAAAATCAAAAGGCCAGCAGCCCCGTTGTCAAGCGAAGCAAATTATCGCAACGAAAACTCAAAGTGGCACGATACTTTTTTTTCCTCTGTCTCCCCGGTAGTTAAACCCTGGACTAACTAACAAAACGCACCCCGTATCGTATCAGCCAAAGCTAGCCAATCGAAACGACTTGACCCGGTGAAGCGCGTTGCATCCGGCTCTTGCACACTTCAAAACAGCATTAATATAGGTGCCCGCCCCCATAACTAGTGGGAGAGATATATTTTTTTTTCTTCTCGCTATGCAGAGGACTAAGCGATAGGTGGTTTTCCCCCTTATCTTGCCCTGCTGATTGATAAGATTAACTAGTGGGGCTGGGCATCTTATCTGATCTTTTCGCATCCAAAATCGATGCTAGTTAACCTTTCCTCTACCCGAGAGAAAAATTTCCGCGTGATTCTTCGGTTCCTACGAGAGAGAGCCTCTTCTTCAGTGGAGACGTATATGTTTCGTTGTCTCAAGCCCTCGCGCAACAATTTCTGCCCGTTTCTCCCTTCTGCGTTCGTCAATTCGAATAAGGATCCCAGCCAACGCCCACCGGGTATGCAGTAGAATCATTGAGATACCCTTGTCCTTGCTTGTTTCTTAGAAAGAGCACCCTTCAGACCTCACTATGGGTCTCTCAGCGTCATATCTCTTTTCTGTTTGTGTTTCTCTGTTGCCTTATCTCATACATGCTGCCACTGTCACATATGATTTCAATATCACCTGGGTAACTAGTAACCCGGACGGGGCTTTTGACAGGCCAACAATTGGAATTAACAACAAATGGCCCATTCCAGAGATCAGATCTAATGTTGGTGACCAAGTTGTCGTCCATGTCAATAATCAGCTTGGAAACCAGTCTACATCGCTTCATTTCCATGGGCTATTCATGAACGGGACTACCGAGATGGATGGCGCTACAGGTGTCACTCAATGCCGGATCCCACCTGGTGGCTCATTCACATATAACTTTACGGTATGTCCCACCTAACGGTACATATACTTGTTTACCTCATCTCCTCTCTAACCTTCCATACAGACAGACCAACCTGGAACATACTGGTATCACTCTCACGGCTATGGCCAATATCCAGATGGCCTGCGCGGTCCCCTAATAATTGACGATCCAAAGTCACCGCATGTTGATAAATGGGATGAAGAGATCATCCTTACCCTCTCGGACTGGTACCATGACCAAATGCCATCGTTGATCAAGCACTTTATCAGCTATGCAAACCCCACTGGTGCCGAACCTGTCCCTCAATCGGCGTTGATGGGTGACACACAAAATTTGACGATACCTGTAAAGCCAAACAAGACCTACTTCATTCGCACTGTTAATATGGCAGCGCTGGCAGCACAGTATTTGTGGTTCGAGGGCCATCCAATACGTATTATTGAAATTGACGGAGTGTGGACTGAGGAGCACGAGACGGATATGCTGTATATCACTGCCGCCCAGAGATACGGGTTCCTCCTGACCACAAAAAGTGATACAACAGATAATTTTGCCATAGTTGGTAGCATGGATACGGTGAGTGCCTTGCCGCGCGTACTCCAAAGACGTTATCAGTGTAACCACTAACACGCACTTCTAGGATCTCTTTGATAAGGTTCCTCCGGGATTAAACCCGAATGTCACGTCATGGCTCGTATACGACGAGGATAAACCGCTGCCACAGCCTAAAGCCATTGATGAATTCAAACCTTTAGACGACTACGTCCTGAGGCCGAGTGATAAGATGGGGCTATTAGATCAGGTTGACCACAGCCTGACGCTTGACCTGAAAATGGACAATCTAGGAGACGGTGCAAATTAGTAAGGCCCTTCGATATTAACCTTCGTTATGATCAAGATATACATGCTCATGCTCTATGTTAGTGCTTGGTTCAACAACATCACATACGTTAGCCCAAAGGTCCCATCGTTGTATACTGCCCTCGACGCCCCCCGAGACGTAGCCATGAATCCAGTAATATACGGCGAAAACACCAACCCATTTGTGCTCGAGCATAACGAGGTAGTCGAGATCATCCTAAACAACAATGACCCGGGAAAACACCCCTTCCATCTCCATGGACATAACTTCCAGTTAGTCTACCGCTCGGAGGAAAAGGGTGGCCCGTATAGAGCAGACCAAATGACAGATTTACCCCAAGTTCCCATGCGACGGGACACTGTTCTTGTCAAACCAAACGGCAACATGGTCTTGAGATTCCGCGCCGATAACCCTGGAGTTTGGCTGTTCCATTGTCATATTGAGTGGCATATGGACAGCGGGTTGGTAGCGACCATGGTTGAAGCGCCATTGGCTCTTCAGGATCAACGGAAGGATGGGATTAAAGCAATCCCTACAGATCATATTGGCGTTTGCCAGTCCTCGCAGACTCCATATCGTGGTAACGCGGGAGCAAACACGGCTGATTTCTTGGATGTATCTAATATGAACGGGCCGCCAGCCCCTGAGCTCCCCGCTGGATTTACCGCTAAAGGTATCGTAGCGTTGGTTTTTAGCTCTATTGCTGCCGCGTTGGGTATATCAGTCATCATCTGGTATGGACTGGGGGAGATTAAATCGCCTGGGGCAATTGGAGCGGGAACTGCTGGAGTACTCCGTACTGCAGAGTGAAAGGCGGTAATCTCATGGGCCATTGACTCTATATCTCGCTTTCGACCCATGTTGTGTGGGTTTGCTTTCCTTTTGTGATATTTGTCACTTCGAATTTTTGATATTTTCTGTGGAAAGACTAAAAATTGACACAGCCCTGTCTGACATATCAGAATGGTCAGATCGCGTTTCACTCTTGACGAATAGGAACTCCGGGGTGCCTGCGTTGTTAGCTTACTAGTTATTAATCCAACGAAGTGTCCGTGTCCTGCGGAGTAAAATATAATAATGACATGGACTCAACCCTTACTCTGGTCTCCGGATATAAAGGGTAATTTGCCAAAGCAAAGTACGAGCTGAGCAGGGCGACTTGGGCAGTATGATATAGGATACTTCATATACGTATGAGGTACAAAGTATGAATAGCTAATTAAATATTGTACCTCACAATCTTCATCATGCCCTGCCCTTGGGAAGAAACATTAAAAAGGAACGAAACAGCTGTGCTTAGAAAAGCTATTATCATAAGATGGGTGTGTGTGTGATATGGATAGGGTACATCAGCGGCGGGAAGTGCTAGCAGCGTGAGGGAAGTAAATGGCCATGGATAGAAAAATATATATGGAAGAAATAAGTGGCTAGAAGGAAATGCACCACCAGCGCCTTGTTTGGCAGATAGATACGAAAGTAGACTCGTAGCAATACTTGCTAATGAAACGAAAATAGAATGCCGACATTGTTTCCAAGGCGGCCATATATCAGAAATCAAGCCCAAAAAGAGGAACGTCGCGAACCACACGACGAAATATGCATAAAATGATATATAAATAATGTAATATGGCCTAAGAATACCAAAATGAGCAAGGGAAGAGGCACCTCATATGTTCATGGTGACCACGGGGATAAACATCACATCGAATCCTCCATAGCGCGCTTGCACGCCCGGCGCCAATCCTGACTCAGGAGTTATCCGAGAGTTTCTAATTGCAACAGCGCTAGCAATTAACTGATGTAATCCTGTGACCTGTTGTGATTCTCTCCTTGAGCGAGAGTTATTCATCGCAGTAGCGTTTATATCTAGCTGGGGACTCCGCGGCGTAGCACCGTTCGTCAGGGTGGTAGGGCTAGCATGGCCGTGGTGAGGACCATCCTCCTTGCTACAGCGCGTAAGGTGATCGGTTTCCAAGGGGTTGAAAATAGCAAATGTTCTCCGTTCTTCCTCTACTGCGGATTCGGTCTCTTCTTTGAACCGATTTTCATTCTCGTCGTCTGTGCTGCTTGCGCGGGCAGCCGCAGTTGCAGCTGCTAGCTCGGCCGCGGCTTCAGAGCATAACGAGCGAGTGCAAATTTCTATCCACGGTTCGTCAGTTGAAAAGCCAACGACGAAATCAGCGTTAGCTTTTGCACTTTCGAACGCTGCCACGCGGTATTCAAGGGTAAACCGTTCGTCATCGTCCCGGGGAGCAGATATAATGAGTCCTCGCGAAAGGAGAGGAGGCTCAGGTAGTGATGCGGTGGGCGTGGACCGTTCGTCTTCGTCTGCTGGCTCCTCTTCTGTTTCCGAGAAGGGGTTGTCATCGGCTCCGGTGGCAGAAGGAGTGGAAGGTTCTGTACTCTGGGTTATTGTTTGTGTAAGTGATATGACGGAGGCTTTTCGTGGGGAGGGTGATGTCTCTAATCCTTCGTTGGCAGAAGCTTGAAGGACCTCGTCGAGTTCCATTGAATATTCATGCTCCTCGTCTGGGTTCTCGCTCGAAGGCATGCTCGCGCCACTACTACTGATCTCTGTGCGGACAGAATTTGTCATGAACGCAACAGTTTCCCTGGCAGCGCGGCGAAGGGTGGGAATCAACCGATCAGCTCCATTCCCTTGCTGAGGTGAATCGATCATCCAAGTACTCGCCAACCCCGCCCATGCAGCAACGCTCACGACGCCCTTTGTGTATCGTTTTCTCGACATGTCTATATCTCGCGACACTTCATCTGGAGTTAGGTATCGGTTGCTCAGTCGCTGCTGCGTGTTTAGTACCCTTCCCCCTTCCCAGATAAGAAACGCATATTTTTTCGCTAGACGAGCCAGTCTGCGCACGCCCTCCAGAGACCAGTCGTCGATAATGTCGGCGTGGACCTGTAGCACACCGATGTATGGGCCAACCGTTCGTGCAAGGCGGAGGAGCGAACTCATGGTGCTTATGTTCGGGGAAGCGGAGACGCAGACGAGTTCGCCGTAGGGAAGAGTGGGTTTGCATTGCCGTAGCAGTCGTAGATAGGTAGTGAGTGTGTTCGTCTCTGGGCACGACCTCGAGGAGGTGCCAGTAGTGTCCATGATGGGCATGGCTGGAATATCAGGGCCACTGCCGTAGAGGATGTCCCCTTCTTCCTCGATATACCGTCGATAAAACATCCAACGCTATCGTTTGAGCTCCTTTTATTTCTTTATTATCTTCTTTCTCTGTTTACCTCTGTTGGTAAGGAGGAGTTGGGTTGGGGATTTTTTCCGTTCTCGACGCTCCAGGGCCTGCCAAAATACTTCGCTGAGGCGGCTATATAATACGGCAATACTATGCGTATGCAGTAGGGATTACAGCTGGTTCACACCTGCCGGCCAGCAGAGTTCGGAGGAGGGAGGACAAGCCAGTGGCTCAGTTCAATTCCAGATCGAAATCGCCGCCTGGAAAGCTAACCGATAGTAAAACGTATGGAGGGATGCGTGAACGGCGGCGAATAAAAGTTCCGTAGTCACAAGAGTATAATGACGGAGGTGCTGGAGGAATTCCGGGGTAGTTATAGATGACAGAGTTTCAGCGATGCAGCGAGAGGTGGCGCAACACAGCAACGCACGAAGTAGGAGAGACAAGGGAGAGAAGAGAGCAAGAGGGAGATCGAGCACACTGGTAGAAAAGGACGAAGCCTTTTAGCTCGCAAGTGCCCTACCGGGGCCTTGGTAAGGGTTGCGGTTGCACTACCTCCTTTGTTTCAAGCTTATCGTAGGCTCTATTTCGTGCTATTTTTGCTTCTTACGAGGAAGCGATACGGCCCCTCGCCTCAACGCCTTCGTCGTTTACATGATCTTACTGTACTTGCGTGTATGCGTAGCGGAGTATGTAGATGTGTCCAGTCGCCTGTCTGTCTGTCTGGCTGGTTCAACAGGGTGGATCATACTTTTTTCGTTGCTTTTTACCGTGAACCTCACGTTTCTTTTTGTCCGTCCCCTTTTAGGCACCGAGCCCGGCTCTGGATGGGCCAAAAATAGTCGGACATGCTGGAAGATGCTGCAGTATATCAAGTGCTCCTGGACAGATCAGGTAACGCGCCCCGGTTGCGGTTGCGTTGGTCTAGGGTGTGTGGTTCTGGGATGCGCCAGCGGCGCGGTGGGACGGGGAGGAGGATCCCCTAGAGTGTGGGAACTTGCAAGTCGCCGGCCCTCACTTTAAACTCGGGGCGCTGGGCCGTCCGCGATCTGATCTAGCCAGCGACGATGATGGCGGTACGGAGTAGACTGGTGGTGGAAGTGGTGTTAAGAAGTGATGATGCACGGCGGACGTTGTGGATGGCGGTCGTAATTACCTTAATATGTTGGAAGTGCATCCCGCCTAGAGGTGCAGGCTGGTGCTGGCGATGAGATCATTTGAACGACCGGGCTAGAGGAAAAAGCAAAGGAAAAAGGCGAGAAGGCAGAAAGTCAGGCCAATGGAGCCGCCGAGGGTTTGGAGAACAGGCAGGATCACCCCCCTAATGGGGTCGACATGCAGGAGGGAAATGATCATGAGCAGGGAGCAGCGTCGTTCACATGCACGCTGCAGTCCAGAGTCCTCGACAAAGTGCTGCTTTTTTGCTTTTCTCCCTTCTGTGCCTTTGGCTGCTGTACGGAGTAGCCAAGTCATATATAAGTGCTCCGTACTCTCCGCCGGCGTGCATGTAGTAGTAACAATAATATTCCGTGCTGATCTGACGATGATTCCTTTTTTGCTTTCACTGGCAACATTCGGTTAACGCCGATCCGCCATTGGCCCTGTGGAGGATGCAACCCTTGGATCTGGATCGTCTGAACGCTGATGGTTGGTGGACGAAGCCAGTAGTGATGCCCAGGATGCCTGCTCGGAGCTCTAATCTCTGTACTATTGGCCCCATCGGACAGGCTATGGGGAGATCATATCCGTGCTAAGACTGACGGCCCTTGCTTTGCCCCAGATTGACGTTGCGAGCGAGCGAGCGAATGGTGCTCTATTCCATATAAGTACTTAAGATGCTCGTATATACATAATACACGGGAGGCGACATGCTGCGAGTTAGCTAGTGTTAGACGCATTTGAAGGCCGTTCGTTTCCAGCGATAAACAAGGATTGCCCCTACTGAGCGAGTGCAAGCAAGCGTTGAGGGTGTGTGGTCCTCGACAGGCGAAAACTGTCGTGAAGAGGAGGGACTGGGAACGCCTTGGGCCTGTGTGGTTATTGATTGGTGTTTACCCCTTGCTCTGCAAACACCCCCAGTGGTGCATCCGGCACGGAGTACGGAGTCGTCCTGGGTTAACGGTGTGCACAAGCATTATGATCTGGCAATCCCGTAGCGGTGATGGCCGAACTGACTGGGCCTGACGGACCGTGCTACCGACATATTTCCGTGCTTTGGAGTAAGACTAAAAAGCGGATTAGATGTTCGCAGGCCAGCCAGCCAGTCAGCCTTGTCGTGCAGCAACGTAAGCGTAACCCAGCCAGATCATCGATTGACCGCCGTTGAGCATGAAGATCAGGTTAAGATTGGCCCATGTCGGCTTGATCTGTATACTTACTGTACAGGGTTGGCGCACTATTTTTCACCACCGGCCGGTTGCGATATTCAGTCATCCGATGGCTGCGAGGAAAAAGGAACCACCAGATGCCGCTTATAGTCGTCAAGTCATGCTCCGTATCTGGCTATTGATTTGTATGTAGCAGCAATGATGCGCAACCACCGCAGCGTTGCATATTACACTGCATAAAGCTTGGATGGATAACCCTGCCGAACAAGGGACGCAGCAAGGAGCGACAGCAAGCTGCACGGACAGAGATAGACGCTGTGTCTCTCTGGTCACCGCCGGGCACCGCTCCTGTCTGTATATTCCGAGTGCGTAAGACCTTTCGAGCTGTCATCCGTCATCCTTCATCTCGAGTCTCAATGGCTTACCTTCGAGCAATTGCCCCTTTGAGATGGCTGTCCTACGCAGGGCAGCCTGTACTCCCCTACCCTAGACCAAACACCGGCCGATGTCTCTTCTTGTCATGGTCCTTTCGTTGAAGTTTTCGTCGTCGTCGTCAGATGAAGTTGTCGTCGTTGAGGTGAAGTTGAAGTATGGAAGTTTTGTTCTTTTATGACGGACGAAAAGCGGGTGCTGACTAAGCAAACCCCCTGACGACGAAGGAAAAAAAAGGTCAAAACATCAACGCAAAAAAGAAGACGAAGACGACGAAAAGGAGAGACAACCGACGCAAAAAGGGACGAGAAGACAAGACGTGAGGTTATCCAACAGACGAGGCGGCAAAGGGACGAACAAAAGGCCGTTGCGGGATTCACAATATAGCTTGAATAGCTCCCCCCTGGCCCGCGACTAGCGCTTCGCCTTGCAGATAATCTATCTCGACCAGCCTCAGCTGTTCTCCTGAGAAATCAGGCCATCGCGGACAGTTTCATATCTCCGGCTTGCCCGGAATCCGTTCATTACTTCAAGCTCGACCTCGCCGAGTGCGGCCAGCGACCATCGACCGTTCTTCTCTCCTTGCGCCGGTGCATTAACGCTGCTTCATTGCCCTGCCCCTGTTATTACGATGCCTGCCCGGACACTCCCAGTCTTCACCCCGGAGGAGATCAAGCAGCACACCTCCGCTAAGTCGTGTTTCGTGCTGCGTGGCTCAAAGGTGTACGATGTCACCTCCTTTGTCGGTGACCATCCCGGGGGTGGCGACGTGATACTCGACTACGCAGGACAGGATGTCGGGGAGATCATGGGCGACATCGTCTCGCATCACCACAGCGAGGCGGCATACGAGATCCTGGAGGAATGCCATGTCGGCTTTCTCGAGCAATCGCACGCCGACGGATCGACGAAGGCTGCCACGAACGGCTGGTGTGCCAAAGACACCAAGCCCGTCTACAAATCTACCGGCCTCTCCACGGCAGAGGACCTCAGCGTCGAAACGGACATCACCTCTGACTACAAGACACACAAGTTCCTTAACCTCAGTAAACCGCTGCTGATGCAACTATGGAACGGTGGCTTCTCCAAGGAGTTCTATCTCGAACAAGTCCACCGTCCACGACATTATATGGGTGGTGACTCCGCGCCTCTTTTTGGAAACTTCTTGGAGCCTCTCAGCAAGACGGCTTGGTGGGTGGTGCCGACAATATGGCTGCCATGTGTGGCATTTGGAGTAGCGATGGGCATAATCGGCATTGGGAGCGTTGGTGTCGGCGCCATGTACTGGCTAGGCGGCCTTTTTCTGTGGTCACTGATTGAATATGGCATGCACCGATGTCTCTTCCACATTGACGAGTAAGCCGCATCTCTTTCCCGTGCCCTCTGTCATTTCAACCAACTAACTTGTTATAGCTACCTCCCGGATAACAGAGTTGCCATATGCCTTCACTTCCTCCTCCACGGCATCCACCACTATCTTCCAATGGACAAATATCGCCTCGTCATGCCACCTACCCTGTTCATTGTCCTTGCCACGCCATACTGGAAGCTCTCGCACACCGTATTTTACTATAATTCGCATGCTGCAAACTTGGTGTTTTGTGGTGGTGTGTTTGGATATATCTGCTATGACTTGACCCATTACTTCCTCCACCACCGCAAGTACGTATCCTGCTCCTATCAAATCCGTCTCGCTGCTTTTGTGTGTGATGTTGAACGCTAATATCATACTTAGTCTACCCTATTACTATAACGAACTGAAGAAGTACCATCTCCAGCACCATTTTGCCGACTACGAGAACGGATTTGGCGTCACCAGCCGATTCTGGGATAAGGTGTTTGGCACCGAGCTCCCACCACTCGGTCCTGCAAAGGTCGAGTAGATACCCGTATATACTTCTCTTCACTGGCCGTATAAGCTGCCGTCTTCGCGTCTTGCTACTCCCTCACAGGTCATTTAATTCTCCATTCTTGCCTTTTATTTTATTTCTCTGCCCAGAAATACCCTATCACAGTGTAATGCCTCATTGTTTCCATACCCATGTCCTTTCAAAAGAAAATAATTGCTCCCCTTTCTTCCGCGTACCCTCGCTCTTCATTTCTTCTCCCCTCCCTTTCATTTTTTGTTTCATTGTTTCGAAGCAAGAGATACCTACCCATTTAATGTATGAATTCCCCTCTATTTTATTGTCAAGAGAAATGAAGACGCTAGTGTCACGGCTTCGTCAATGTTAATATTTTAATACGACACATAATCCACGAACAATATTGCTCTATTTCTATTATCCTCATGCATCGAACGCCCCTTCAGACTTGAGGATCTTTTCAAATGCCTCCTGTAATCGTTGGCCAGTGGCATAAATCTGAAAGGTATTTAGCATTATCCTAGTAGTGGCATTTGCAGGTGGAAAGGATACATACCGCTGGTATACACATTATCGTTTCATGGTCTCCTTCAACAACATAGCAGTCCATGTCGCCCACAAGCCTGTCCCAGCCGTTAGGCCCAAATGAATCGCGTGGCTTGACTCGCCAATCTGTGCTCACTATGGGTCTATTTGGATCTTTCAGGTAATTTTTTACGTTCCCGCCATATCCTGAGAGAATCTCGGTCGCTTCGCTGACTTTGGCTGAAAATTTGTCATACTCGCCCTGGGTAGCCCAAATTTTAAAGACGTGTTTTGGTCTGTTGTGCGGCTTCATTGGAACTGGCCTGTACATCTGGATAGCCCGGAGTGAGCCAAGGGTGTGTTGCTTGAGGCTCAGGGGCATTGGTGCATCCGGTTTACCCTCTCGTTTGATTGGAGTATACATGCCCGTCAGCTCGATCGCTTCAACAGATGGCTCGGGCATGCCTGGCATTCCATTAGGACATGGGCTATCAATCATGATAAGGCCAATCACGTTTTCGCCCTGTTCAAGAAGCTGACGAGCCACCTCATACCCGTGCATCCCTCCGATTGACCAACCCCCTATAATATATGGGCCGTGGGGTCGTATTTTGCGGATTTCATTAATATAAATAGAGGCAGCAAACTCCATTGTCCACTTACGATTAGGGTCAGTGTTCAAAAATGGGGACTCAAGGGTATAGACAGGTAGTGCAGGCCGGAACTGGGGAAGATTGATATATGATCCAGGGTATCCGGATCCAGGGGCGATAAGAAATGCCGGTGGTAGATTGGAGGCAGTTTCCCCTTGAAGGAGTCGGACGATATGAGAATAGTCTTGCAGTATATTCTCACTGCCGGGCTTGGACAATGGTATCTCTGGGTTCCCAAATCTGGCTCTTATGTCCCCTACGGTTGGGTAGTCGTCAAATAGGCCTGTTGAAAGCACGTTGCCAGTAGTGTCTTTAATGGCTGCCAAAATAGCGATAGCCATGAGGGAATCAAGGCCCAGCTCCTCAAATCGAGACTTGTAGCCTAGTTCAGCTACATCCATACCCATTTCAGCCGCCACTGCCAAGATTATCTGGTCAGCTAAGTCGATCTCATTACTGGAATCAACTGTTGCTGGTGTAGGAGCATAGTTTGAATTTGTGTTGCTGGCAACTCGAGAAGAGGGAGGCGACGGTGATGACAATGGCTGTGGAGATGTTGTGTTCACATAGGCACGAAGACTGGCAACGGTACCGTGGGATTGAAATATCGTACTCGGCAACTGAACACCTGCAGCCTGCTGGACATTTCCAATAATTGAAATGGATAGGATAGAATCTACGCCGAGGCTCTCGAAATCCACTTCATCAGTAAGCTCACTGACACTCACTGATATCTCTTGCGCAATGATTTCAAGGATTCTCTGGAAAGATGGAGTGGATGCCGTAGGGCTTTTTCCAAATGTGATCCGGCTTTCCTCCTTGCTATTATTCTGGTTCACCACTGGGCGCGTTGCCTCGGGGCGAGGTGGTGTCACCTTCGATGTATCTTGAATTTGTTGTCTGGAAGCTTGCGGGTTTGGAAGAAGCCGCCGAAGTAGGCTGAGCTTCATTCTCTTGAATTTCAAACCAGAGCATACTGCTACTGCACTTTCACCATCAAACACATAAACGTCCCCGGCAAAGACTCCGCTATCCCATTCCTGCATTCGGACGTACGTCGTGTACTCTGTGTCTGGAAGTAGTTCGCGTGCCATTCGAAGACCTTCCCACCCATGGGATATGTATGCACAATCTTTAGTTGCCCCCAGACTATTATTTAAGACAAAGCCAGCAAAATGGATGATGCCATCTATCCAATATGGATTGTGGGTGAACTGCCCATGGAGCTTTGCAGAGGAAAATCTTAAGGCACCACAGGCCTCGTTAAAGTCACAGTCGAGGAATACTTCTTTGAGCGTATGGTATTTCTCGTCGTATTCCACGATGGCTGAAAATAGTCGATATAGGATCTTGCTCGGGATTCGACAAATGGTATCATTTCCAGGGTTCTTAAGCTGCTCCATCCTGGAATGGATGAGGTATGAGTTTTTTGCCCATTCTTTAGCCCATTGCTTGCTGTCGCCAAATATTACCTGGCAGGTTGCATGGTCTTGTTTTTCAGTGCTTTGTTGGGAAGCCACAGATATCCTCGCAGAATTCCCTCCATGTGACATAGAGCAGTATACTCTGACTAGCAGCTTTTCACTATCTGGGTTAACAATTAATGGGCGAAATATCTCCATATCAATGAGCTCCATCGGCGGAGTTGCATTTGAGGACTTGGTCCTTGAGAAGAGATACATGGCTGCAGTGAAAGCCATGTCAGAATAAACTGAGCTTGGGCATAAGCCGACACCATTAACCAGGTGACCCCGTATGGCAGCGAAGAGCATTTCCTCCTTTGGATCTGCAGCGAATGTTACGGATACCTCATCCTCGTTCCAGGCATCTTCTTCCACCCACTGCAAACATGTCTTAGAGAGCATCGTCCGTGGAGCTTGGATAGGTTGGGCCGCCTCGTCCTTAGAGTTGGTTCGATCTTCATAAGTTATCCAATAATCCTTGGTATCGAACGCGTACGTTGGCAACCGCAGGAGTTGAAGCTTGTATTCATTTTCTTTATGGACATCTGACCATTGGATGTCAACACCAGCATTATAAATTGCAGCACACGCAGTTGTTAACGTCTTCCAGCAATCTTCATTACAATTGAGGCTAGCTATTCTTCTTGAAGGCGGTGTGCTGATGGTTCCATGTACCATTTTGAGGCATCCCTGGCCTGGTCCACATTCAACCCAGACTGTAGAAGGCTCATTGAAGTGGCTTGACTGGAAAGCATCCAAAGCCCCAACTAGATTGACGGCTTGGCGTGCATGTTGAACTAAATACTGACGGTCAAATGTGTCGCTTTCTCCCACGAGTTTAGCTAAGAGTGTGGAAACAACGGGTATCTTAGGGTTGGCGAAAGGAATGGTTTCGGTGAGCTTTCCAAACTCGGATAAAATGCCATCCATCTGGGCGGAATGGAATGCATAAGGAACTTTGAGATATGTTGCTTTGATATTCTCAGAAGATAGCAATGTTTGCATTGCAGAAACCTCACCTATCAACCCACTAACAACGGTAGAATTGAAAGTGTTGATACAAGAAATTTCGCATGACTGAAACGCATCAGAGGAAAGATACCGTTGGATAGACTCTCGGGAAAGTGAAACCGCCAACATGGCATGCGTATCCTTAGTGCACATTTCCTCCATTAGTTGTGCTCGTTTGCCCACAAGAAGGAGCGTGTCCATGACCGATAAGGCTCCAGCAACACATAGAGCAGAGTATTCGCCGAGGCTGTGGCCAATGACTACATCTGGTGTGACTCCCCAGGCGCGCCATAGATTCGCAACTGCAATTTCGAGGGAAATTAATGCAAGCTGGGTTTGGGCTGGAGGTAGATTCTCCGGATCGAGATTGGCATTTAGGAGGGCATCCAAGAATGACGGCAAACCTAGCTTTCTGCAAACTCCGTCTAATTCAACAATGTTGTCGCGGAACGAGGAACAAGTTTTGAACAACTGTCGTGAAATACCCTGAGATTTGAATCCCTGGCCGGCAAAGGTGAACACAACTGGCGGTTTGTTATCCACATAGTGAGAGTCCTCCGGGCTAGCAAGACTATCTAAAAATTTTTTCCTGAGATCATCTTCGCTGGCAACTGAATAGGCAACCCTGAGTTTGTGATGCAGCCGGCGGGCCGTGGTTGAATATGATAAATCACATACCCGTAGGTTAGTGTGTTCAGTTAGATAATTTAACATCCGGTCCAAGTTGCCCCTGAAGGAATGCTTTGTCCGACCAGATATAACAACGTTATGATAAGCCCGAGGATCAGCCCCTTCCCTAGCTCGCGGGTGGTAATTTTCTAATAGTAAACTAGTATTTCCCCCCTATCTTAACATTAGTATGTTCGGCCTCATGATATAGTTATGACTGACATACCGCTGCGTTGAAGTTGTTAATCAAGATACGCCTTACTCCATTGTTACTGAAATGGGACTTAAACGGCCGTGGAGAATCGGCAATATGAATGTTCATTTCTCCGAGGTGGGGAAATGCGGAGTTTATGCGCGTTTTTATGCCCGCGTGTGGAGGAATGACACCCTTTTCCATCATCAAAAGCGCCTTTATAACGGACGTAATTCCTGCTCCCTACGTAACTTGTTAGCCAAGGGTGTTTGTTTGCAAAGGCGAGGATATATTACTGCTTCAGAGTGTCCCATATTCGCTTTGACTGATCCAACATGTAACGGGGCCGTCGGTGTGCGATTGATTCCGAATACATTCGTCACTGAAGCCATCTCCATTTTGTCTCCAGTTTGGGTTCCAGTGCCATGCATTTCAATATAATCAATAGCCTGTGGATCAACGCAAGCTTGCTCCAGAACAGCGTGGTAAAGCCTTTCCTGGGTAGGGACATGGGGTTGGGTAATCGAGGCAGCCTCCGCCGAGTGGTTTGTTGATATACTTCGAATAACACTTAATATGTTGTCATTGTCTGAGATAGCGTCTGGTAGACGCTTCAAAACAACCACCCCAACGGCCTCTCCGCGACAGTAGCCGTCTGCTTCTTCATCAAATGTTTTACAAGAGCCAGAAGGTGAAAGAAACCCCCCTTTACTCAATCCGATAAGCATATTGGGGCTCGTCAACACATTCCCTCCACCAGCAACAGCAGTGTCACAATCACCACTCAAGAGAGCGTTGCAAGCTAATTCAATAGAGGTGAGGCTGGATGAGCAGGCTGTGTCGACGCTGTAGGACGGCCCATCCCATTTGAAGTGATAGTTGAGGCGAGCAGGCCCGAAAGCCCGAATCCCCCCAGGTACATAATAAACGTCAATGTCCTGACCACCATTAGCTTCTCTCCAATCGTCTGTAGTCTGCCCAAAGTATGTTCCCACACGTCCACCACGGCCATTCGTATAACCTGCAAGCTCAAGGGCTTCATACCCTGCCATAAGAAGTAGCCGCTGGGTTGGATCCATTTGCTTCGCTTCGCGTGGTGATATGTGGAAAAGGCCGGCATCAAAATGACCTAGGTGCTCGATAAAACACCCATAAGGGGTTTTAGTAGAATTTTTCTTTGTCCCTGATGAATCCAAGTATTTAGATATATCAAACCGATCTGCGGGTACCTAGGAACTAGTCAGTAGAAATCCTTTCATCCATGCTGCACCACGCACCGGTTTATGGAGGTCTTTCCCCAGTCGTATTGTCTCCCACAATTCCTCTAGAGTTTCAGCGCCTGGAAATCTCCCAGCCATGCCGACAACTGCAATGCTCTCTGGGACGTCAAGATAAGATGACCCTCTTGGTTCCATGGGCGATTCAACTAATTCTACTCCCTTTGCTGTCAGGTCGCGACAAAATGACTTCATCCCGCTACTAGGTCCGATGGCCACGAGTTTAACCTGCTGCTGGCTAATGCCGCTCACAAATCCTTCCATCATTTGTTCCCATAATATTGGCCGCTGCAAGATATCCTCAATAGATTCTGCGAGAATAGCGAAGAGGGATGTGCCTCGATATTCATTTCCGCTAGCAGTCGATATGATACGTCTATTTGGCTGGACGTTTCGTTTTAGTGTCTGAGAAACTCCAACGATCTTCTCGACGTCTGGCAGCTTCAAGTGACTCGCATGAAACGCCGCAGCAATTGGAAGAGACCTTCTTGATACGCTTGACAAGGACTCGGAGCTTGAGAATAATCGGGCTAGCGTGGATGGCGGTCCGCTAATAGTACTGGAGCATTTTCCTACTGCACTAATATATGCATGTCTGTGGGTAGGAGTATTCTGTGAGGGAATATTATTATAGGTTTCAAACTAGAACACCTTCTGTAGAAAAGAAAATACCTCTTGTTTGTGGAAACTGTCCAGAAGATCGTGTAACCTCGATGGTGGAATTCCGAGCACTGCACTTGCCCAATCACCACCTCCATGTTCGATCTGATTAGACCGTACGTCCGCTGCAATCCCTAGACGCAAAGCAACGCAGGTGAGCTCGGGTGCAATCTCTATTAATTCCTTGCTGCTTCTACAAACTGCAGCAGCAGCAGCGGGAAGTAGCCCAGTGCATACCCCCAGCAAATGCAACTTAGGGAATGTATCTGCATAGTCGTCGATATGATTCTCAAAATAACTAATAATTTGCGAGCCTCTGATTAGAGGCCATCCACTCCGGCTAGAAAAGAGGGCAAGCATACATAATTAAAGACGCCAGCTGTGCGGCACATAGTAAGATCGTAGAAATCGCAATATTTTTCTTGTCATCCTGCCCGTATAGCCTGGCGAGATCTAGAATAGAGTGAAACGGGCCGAAGATCCGTCGTTCATTGGGGCCAAGGGATTTGATTTCGCAACGAAGAGTTGCTGTTATAGTCTGGAATAATGGCGTTAAAATTTTCGCATACGATGGTTCGTACAACAACTGCTTCAAGTGCGTTACAGCATCAGCTGTTTGTCCCGCAAAAATGAGGAGGCTTGGAGGCTCCATAGCCACGGGTATGTAGACCGGAAGAAAATAATGGATGTTATGTTTCCATAGGAGGCTGTGGGCCGTTCACATCCATCACCAGGGATAATGGGCTCCCACGGAGTCTTATATATAGCATGGTGGATATATTTCAATTTGACAAAGAGAATACTAGGACTCAGCGTTGCCTAGACTGTAACCCCGGTCTCGTTGATATCCCATGCATAACAATGAAATACACCGGGCACTCCCCACCAATGAAGATGATTTGATGCCAGGTGCATGTGGGCAAAGATGGCATGCAGAGAGTATCAAATCGTAAGTGTTTTAATAACACCCCATACATAAGACGAGTGGGGCCGGAAGTCGTATCATCCATCGCTCGGGACAAGTATTCCTAACGCGCGATTTTTCGAAGTTTTCCCTGGCTTGCAATATATTTACGGGTTGCTGTGCGCTGGGGTACAGGGTAACGTCACTGCTAATCCTAGTGACCGACAGACGTAATATTCTGTAGGATCAACTGCATTCACTGGCCGCGCAATGCGAAAATCAGTTCTGGGTGGTTTTCAATGAGAGGCTCGGCGTTCCTGGTTGCAAGTTCATGATATGGCACTCCATATGGAACAAAATATAGGTCTATAATGAGCAGTAACAGAGAGCGCGTCGACGTTTTACTACCCATCAGGTGTAAAATGTTAGTCTCTGTGCTGCAAGGAAGCCTTAGTGGTGAGGATGCAAGAGAGATCCACTATTACGGAGGATTAGCTGTCCAGCCCGCGGTTGCCCGGTATTTAGATGCCATCTTGGGCAGCTTGAGAGTTAGATCGGCCTTCACGAAAAAGAAGGCAGTGCTCCCATTACTTCGGACCTCTCTGTGTTCTGGGTTGATGAGATGATGCTGGAGTGAGTGAGAGCTTTGCGGTCCTATACCGAGTAAGAAATATGCTGAATGCTGATTCAGCTTAATCCAAGCGGTAAAGCCTGCAACTCCATACAGCCAGGACAGCTTTGAAAGGTGATCAAGCGGCAAGGACGAATTCTTCGTGCAGCTTCATAGCGTTTCGAGGTCATTGGCAACATGGTGAGTATTATTTTTCATCCAACGCCTGTTAGAACGAACACCATGCTGCTTTAATGGGGCTTCCGGGATCGTATCGATACAGGCTGTCTCAAGGATTAGGACAAAAGGCCTGGATGTCCATGCTAAACCCCCCGCTGCATGTCAAGCCATGAGGTCCAGGATAGTCAAATCCCCGGAGTTAGTCTAACGGAAGAGCAAGTGGTATAGATTGGAACCCACCAGCCCATATTATAACGCCGAAGATCATGTAGGCAGCTTCGACGGAACGGCGTAAATCCAAAGGACTAATCAACCATGAGCAAATTCAATGGTAATATTCGGGCGATATATGCAATCCTCCGCCGGCCAAGCTTCCACGCCTGCAATTCTGGATACACGCGGCGCTGGCAGGGAAAATGAGCCGGTGAAGGATCAGTGCAGCTCGTTGTCTTTACGAACTAAAAAGGATCCCCATGGAGGTTGAAACTGGAGGGGATGGTATTAGGTAATCAATATGCGGGATATAGTTTATCCGCTGCGATATCAAACTGTCTTTTACACTTCGCCCTTAACTCTAGGAACATAACTCAAATAGAGTAGTAAACGCTATCAAAGACACTGAGAAATGATAACCATTCTATTGTAGTATCTAAAGTTGTTGTTAAAGTAAATAATATAGCCTACATCCTGACCATTCACCTTGCGTTTGGTATATGGACCTACCATTAACCCCGCCATCTCGAGCTCGGATAGTTTCTCCCTGTCTTACACCTGATGACACCCAAGCTCGTTGACCAAACCTCCAAAATGATAGTTCTCACCGCTGCCTGCAAGGCAAATCATGCTCTTGTGCTCCCGGCTGTATTACTTGCCGAATATGCAAGTCAAGTCGGCTCCGGGACTCCAATATCGATCATATATGAAGAGGCGGCTGAGTCACTGGGCCCGGCCAAAGAGTACCTCAAACTCGCTGTGGAAGAGGGAGTATACCTTTATGATCATGCTGCCTTTGATTACCTGCGGGATAATCTCCCGTCTTCTAAAGTCGGCAACCAGGATCAGGTATGAGCCTTTTCTCGTCTATTTCTGTGAATCATATCACCCAAACTCGGCATTTTGATATCATTTTCTGACTCGAATTAGGTATCCGAGTGGATTTCCCGGTCTCTAGATTTGACAGTGGGTGACTTCAAGTCCATAGAGCAACCCCTCAGAGAACTCGATAGTCACCTTACGCTTCGCTCCTTTGTTGTCGGATACTCGCTTACTCTCGCCGACCTCGTGGTATGGGGAACTATACGTGGAAACAAAGTATCAATGTCTACAATTAAACGGCAAGGTGGGAACATACTTCGATGGTTTTCTCTCATCGAGCTGGCAAATCCCTGGATCAATCAGGTTGTCCTCGACTTGGAGGCTCCTGCTCGCAAGAAACGAGCTGCTGGTAGCGCTGCTGGTGCAAGCTACGACATTGGATTAGGCGAGGGAAGCATCGTCACCAGATTCCCGCCAGAACCTTCTGGGTATCTTCATATTGGTCATGCGAAAGCCGCCTTACTTAACGACTTTTTTGCCCATAAACAGGCTGGTGGGGTTTTGATATGTCGTTTTGATGACACGAACCCGTCAAAGGAAACAGCTGAATTCCAGGATTCCATTCTCCGCGACCTTGAATTGCTCGGTATCATACCGGATAGAGTATCATACTCTAGCGACCACTTTGATCTTATGTTTGAACTATGTACCAAACTAATTTCCCGTGGCGGAGCATACGCTGATAATACCGAGAAAGAATCTATGAACCAGGAGAGATGGAATGGAATATCCAGTAAGTGCCGAGAGCTTAGTGTGGACGAGAGCCTTGCACGTCTCGCACAAATGAAGTCAGGCTCTCCGGAAGGGCTGGAGTGGTGTATCCGAGCGAAAATCTCAGTGGATGATCCCAATAAAGCACTTCGTGACCCAGTTATATATCGATGCAACCCCCAACCACACCATAGGACTGGTGATACCTGGAAGGTGTACCCTACCTACGACTTCTGTGCGCCAGTCCTGGATTCTGTTGAGGGGATAACTTACGCCCTTCGAACCAACGAGTATAGGGATAGGAACCCTCAGTATACATGGATACAGCAGGCGCTAGGTCTTCGTGAAGTTACCATCTGGGACTTTGCTCGAATGAATTTTATACGAACAGTTCTATCAAAGAGAAAGCTTGCATTGTTGGTTGAGAAGAAGGTGGTCTGGGGCTGGGATGACCCGAGGATGCCAACCATCCGCGGCATTAGGAGAAGAGGGATGACAATCCCTGCTCTCCGTGAATTTATTCTAAAGCAAGGGCCAAGCAGAAACATTATCAATCTTGATTGGACATCGATATGGGCAATCAACAAGAGATTTATCGATCCTATTGCCCCTCGCTTCACGGCAGTGATGAAGGAGAATATGGTCCTCGCCAAAATCCATGGTGCTAAGGCTGAAATTCAAGTTGAGCAGAAGCCGAGACACCCGAAGAACCCTGAGCTCGGGATGAAGAGTATTACCTACAGTAGTAATATTTACCTTGATCAGGAAGATGCAGAGTCATTCTTACCCAACGAGGAAATCACTCTGATGACATGGGGTAATGCGGTTGTTCGTGAGATTGTCAAAGATGATGAAACACAGCAAATCGCTCACATTGAGCTAGACCTTCATTTGGCTGGAGATGTCAAGAAGACGAGCAAGAAGATATCCTGGCTATCCAAAGATCAAGACCTTGTGCCTGTTGAGTTGGTCGACTTTGATCACCTCATTACGAAAGATAAGTTGGAGAAGGAAGATGATATCATGTCATTTGTTAATTGGAAATCCGAGTTCCGCTCATATGCCTGGGCCGATGCCGCCGCAAACGAGCTCCGAGAGCACGACATTATTCAGCTTGAGCGCAAGGGGTATTATCGGGTTGACCGTGGATTCTCCGGCGAGCAGCCTCTCATCCTTTTCTCCATTCCAACTGGAAAGACTCTCTGATGCCTTCCCCTCATCTCAGATCCGTTGTCTTCCTTTTGCTCATGTATTGGAGTTTAGCATAGCAATCGTTGGACATGATGAGCTAGCAACTTCGTCTCGTTAAGTAGGAATTAGAGAGATGTTTATGTTCATTTGTCCCGCTATTTTTCCACAAAATCACTCCAGAAAGAGCCATCTAATACGCTAAGAAGCGTTAATCCTATAGATGTTCGTGGTTTGGTGTAGCAGATAGGGGTTGGTCCCAGCTATCCTTGTTTTGTCGGAAGGTTTTCAATATCAGGGGAATTGTAGGCCATTTCGACACGATTTACGTATGCTGGACGCTTTCTGGTTCGTAAAGTTCCCTCTCCGGCACTTTGTGTCCTTTCAATCCATTGAAGGGTGCTGCGGTGGTGAGGCGAAAGAGTATTCCGCGCCCTGATTCCTGTCTCCACAAAATTAGTCTTCAAGAATTTAAATATGCGGACGTTGATATGTAAGGGCGAGTACTGTAGAAAAGTCTTGGAGAGGGTGTTTTGTTCTGGTCGAACTTTCATCTTTCCACATCTCCTCCCATACTCCTATCTATATTCATGATCACTAACCGCAAAACAGTCCACCATCGAACGAGGAGTCCATTCACATTATAAACTGCCCGCCTATTTTTCAGTATATCAGCTCGTGGAACGGAGTACGAGGAGCGCATGCAGGGTTACACATGAATAACAATACGGAAAAGGTTGTTGAACGAGAAAACCGAGATCACCGAGCAGTTCCCCCAACGCCATACGTTTGACAAATGGCCTCGAGTAGGGTTGCATCCCAGTCTCCAAGGGCGAGATCCTGATTTTAGTTTCAAGAGACAATACCACTCTGATGCGGCGAGGGATAGTCTGCCCGACTAAACTAATCGCAACCTAACGCATACACCGAATGCATACAAGAAGGCGTCAGCTCGGAAGCCTCAATATGATACTCCGGACAAGCATCCCGCCTCTCCAAGAAGAAGAAACGAACGGATGCCTGGCCGTCGACCTTCGCCTGGATCTGCAGCAGCCTACTCCACCTCCAACGCGCATCGGCCGCACCCGACGCTGTGTGTCGACATCAACCGGGATCATATCCAAGGCCATAAAAAGACCTTGTTATTATCCATGGATGTTTCTGCATGATGACGCACGTGAGTTGAAAGTTCTATACGGAATCAGCCGGTGCTCTGGCAGTTTGCAAAAAGACGCAGGGGGTTACAGAGCACAGAAGCGATATAGAGGGCGTCCATACTGAGCCTGAATGGAACAGTTGCTGCTGGGGCAGGCTATCTTCCACAACTTGCGTATCACTCATCAACTGCTCGCGTGAGGCAACATTTTGAGACGCAATACTACAAAACTCGATGTGGAGGCGAACGAAGAATTGAGCGCTTACGCAACTCTATTTACGAGGCCACAAGCGCAAATTCAGCATCGGCCAACATACATTGGCTTCTTGACGTAAACCCTTGCATAAAGAAGGCCAGCTCGCATATCTTTAAAGGAAGAAGGTTTCTGCGACCCTGGCGAATGCATGCTACCCAAGAGTCGGTACATTTAACCTAGTTTGACCAGTCCCCTCAAAGGGAGAAAGACAGTACGCCGTACGGAGTACAGGTCGAAGTGGCGGTGGGCTTGCGGATGTTCCCGCGTTCCCCCCAGTGAAGCGGCCGTGGAGATCAAAAAGTGCAGGTAGCCTTCTACAACGGAGATCTCGATGTGAAGAATCAAACCAATCGTCTAGGATCCTTCTGGATACAGGGAATGTTTCGATAGCTAATCTATATGAGAGCGATCATGCAACAAATTCAAAGCGTCAGCAAATGAAAAATGTCTGTACTTTAAGCTAGTGAGCGCCACTAGATGTTTGATGGAGAGAGCTAGGCACAGACGACCCGTCAGTGCTCTGCTAAGATATCAAATGGCTAACCATAAATCTTTTAGTCGTCGTTTTTACAGGTCCGGGATGAACCCCCCCTGAGTCCTATCACTGTCCCGTATAGCCGGTTGACCCCGAGGGTGGGACAATTAAAACCTACCATAAAAGCCATGAAAGCCATTATTACGATGTATATACGGGGATCCCGGTCAAGCGGTCTAATTGGGGCGTATAGTTGGTCCAAATTTGAGCATCGGTATTTTCAGCCCACCGGAACGCCACTGCCGTGCAGCTGGAATGGAGCTATACGCAAAGTATGGGAGTTGATAGGTGACGGCCTCTTTTAAACGATCGACACCTGCCCCAAAATTGGTGGTGCTACACGCATGATGGTTTTTTTTCTTATATTTGCTTTTGCTGGTCCAGAACTGGTGGCCAGCCTGTGGCCATTTATCAATGGTTTATCTTCTCGTGGAGGGTGCGAAATTCTCCCGTACCCTTACCCAGAGCAGTGTCAATTGATGCTTGGATATCGCTATTCATCATGACGGCCGCACCCACAGAGAGAACCAGCTTGCTCCCACGAGAGGACGTCGCCAAACAGACCTCCACAAATGATAAACCCGTTAACAAAGGTTTATCATGGCGAAGTTTACTCGGAATTGTTGGGGCCTTGATCGGTATTTTGAACACTTCACTTTTTCCTTTTCACCAAATCGCACTTTCTAACATAGAACAGGTGTTTTTCTTGCGGGTGCGGACGAGTCCATGGTATTAGTGACATATCAGTCGATTGCATCACATTTTCAGCGTCTGGGTGATAGTCCGTGGGTGCTTGCAGGATACAATTTGGGTTATTGTGTGGCTCTACCAGTGGTAATTCGCTCTTTACTAAAATATAACTTATGGATCTCATCGTTTCTAATCACCTAAATCTAGTATGGGAAATTGAGCGATACATATGGTCGACAGATACCCTTGGTCGTCTCCTACTGCCTTTTCAGTGGTGGCTGCGTCTTGTCGTATGTATCTCTACACCCCTAGGAAGCTCAAAAATGAACCCACTCTAACAGTTCGATAGGGGTGCTGCAACAGCGTTATGGCATGTCATTGCTGGGAGGGTAATAACTGGAATTGGAGCAGCGGGCATGGTTGCTCTAGTATGCGTTCTTATTACAGGTAACCAACAATACAAAATTCAACCCTTTCGAGCAGCAAGAAAAAGAAAGAGACGCTGACGATAGACAGATAACGTGCTGCCTAGCCAGGTAGCGATCACACGAAGCTATGTGAATATGGTCAGTGTATTTGGTCGTGTACTCGGAGGCCCAATGGGCGCATTCATCACAGATAGCATGGGCTGGAAACTGTAAGGCCTTATTTCTCATTATCGGCATATACCAATTACGCAAAGCTTTATTGACTGTTGTTAGGGCCTTCATTGTTCAGGCTCCTACCGCACTCATTTGCTGCATCATTTCCGTGGCTCTGCTACCACCCGCCAAACCAAAGGATACTCGCACGAAGAAGGCTACTCTCCGCAAAAAGATCGACTTCCTGGGAATCGGCATGTTCGCTGTTTCTATAACTACATTTTTGGTTGCGATCAGGCTTCTAGGAGACCATGAAGCTTCGACTGGAATAACCGCCCTCTTCGGGGTTGTTTCCCTCGTATTCGGAGGCTTCTTCCTCGTAGTAGAGGCATACTATGCGAAGGAACCAGTGATCCCTCTTGATTTGCTCAGAAAGATGGCGGGCCCCTACGCCGTACAGGTGCTGCTACAGGTCGGAGCATTTGCGGTAATTCACCTCCAAGCCCTCTCATATCCATGATTAGAGACTTGTGCTTACTTCTTAACAGAACTTGACCAACATCGCACCCTACTTCATTCGCACCACCGGCGCGAGCAATACACATGCCGCGTTTTACCTTGCCCCCGTATTCGTCGGATTTACGACAGGATCTATCACTTCTGGTTATATTATCAGGAAGTAAGTTTTACCATTTGTCTGCTGGACGATGTAGAGGGAGAGAGGCGAGATGGTAGAGCTAACCTGTGACTTTTACTCGGAAATAGGACTCATAGATATAAGACATTATCGCTTATATCTGTGCTTCTCGGGCTCATATTCTTCACCCTCATTGCAGTAAGGTGGCGATACGGGGTAACCAACTGGGAATCACTCTATGTGCTTCCAGCTTTCCTAAGCTTTGGGCTCCTTCTTTCTACCACTTTCACGGGGCTGATAGCCTGTACTCCAAAATCCATCCATGCGACGGCTATCTGTGTCTACTATCTCTGCCAACAGGTCGGCACCATGCTCGGAACCGTCTTTTCCTCCTTGACCATCGAGACAATACTGCGTGAAGTACTCAATATTCGTTTGGAGGATATACCAAATAAGAATGGCGTAAGTTACCTCCTTTGACCTGACCAACCCATATCCTCACCCAGGAGCATGGCTAACTCTAATATTTTACTTAGATTATTGAAAAAATTCTACACGATGCCAGCCCCGAAATAGTCCCGGAGGCACTACGAGGCATTGTTCGCAGCAGCTATCTATATAGTTTTCAGTTTGCCGCATGTAAGTTAGCTCGTCCGGGATCTACCTCCGCTTAATGATGCTTACGATAATTGAACAGTCATACCCGTGGTTACCACTGCCATCGTCCTGCCACTGATAGCCGTAGATATGGAGGTGGAAGTGGAGTAAGGCTACCTGGATCAACCAGCCTTGGTTTCTTACCAGTTGTTATTTGAAATCCAACCCATATATCTGGCGGGCTACTAAAAAGTACAGCTATTGTACACATCCAACTTTCAATTTTTGCTGCCACTTTTGCGTTCTGCATATCACGTTCCGCGTTCTGCGATTTGCCTTCTGCGTTAATTACCCTCTGGTTGGCATTTGTTGGCATTTGTTGGCTTTTTGCTGGCTTTTCGAGGGGATACCTCTGTTTATGTACAGGAGAAATGTCATGTCGCAGCTATGAAGGAGTTAGGGCTCATTACATGCAAGAATATATTGTCAATATAAGTTATAATAACCAAACCCATTGATCCATAGGAGGAATTTCTGAGATACGAGATATTTGATTGATTTGATTGGTCAGGTGGGTCTGGAGCAATCTATGAGATTTCAATCTATCAAGCACTGATCATCTAAATACACGATATTGAGCTCCTATTTATGTTCCTCATACGGCCATGTATCTTGCCATCGCGGAGATGCCAGCTACAGCTGAAACAGGCGTTAAAACGCCGGGCGTAGCATTTGTTCGATGATGGAGAGCTGACACTGATATTTAATGAAACGGCGTAGTTGACTAACGTGTTTCGTACGATCAGGCAGTATTACACCGAATCTCCGTTCAACAGAATTGCACCAGAGAGCCCTGTGTCAGAAATGGTAGGCAAAAGACCGGTCTTTATATTGAGAAAGGGAGAAAGGGGGAGGCCTGCTTACTAATGAGCCTTGCTTCCACGTGACCATGTGACCTCGAGTTTTCCTGCCCAACATCGATCGATTCATCAGCCACCAGATATATACCGTCACCACGACTCGGACAGCAACGTCGCCGACCGGTTACATACAACAAGCTCGGGGGTAGAATAACAATAAGACGTCAGGGACAGACTGCTTGCGAGAGACAGCTCTTGGGGTACTGTTACAAGTTAGGCAAAAGCAAAGGGTTCGATCGACTCGCGGTCCTTTTTTCATCTCCTCTCGCTCTAACGGAAGCAAAAGTGATCTTTACTCCCATCCATCCGCGTGCTTCTCCTTCTACTTTCACATACCTTGGTTGCATCGGAAACATGTCAGGCATCGACGTCGAAGCGCTGCTCGAATCAACAGCGGACCCTGGTTCCAACGCCACCAAAACACCGGAGACCTCGGACCAGAAAGGCAACGACATCGAGAAGAAGAAGGACCGTGACGGGCGCCGTGATCGAGATGGCTCTCGGGACCGTGACAGGGACAGGGATCGTAGACGCCGCGATCGAAGCCGAGACCGACGCCGCGAGAAAGATGTGGATGGAGACGAGGAGATGAAAAGCCCAAAAAGCGATCGCGCAAGTGCTAACGGGAGCCATAGAAGCCGAAAGAGAAGCAGAAGCCGCGACAGCGAGAGGAAACGCTCCCGCCGCGATCGTGACCGTGGTGGTGATGACGCCTACCGTTCTTCGGGCGGTGGTGGGGACTTTTACCGTGGAGGTGGCCGTACTCGATCCCGATCCAGATCCCCGCTCGACGATAGATATTATAGACCGACCGGGAGACCACGTCGCGACGGCGAGGATCGGGAGGATGACAAGCGTCGCTCTCGGCGTGATAGGGAAGGCCGACGACGTTCACCCAGCAATAGTCGTCGCCCCAGCAAAACCCCTGAACCACAACTGACTGAAGATGAACGCGACAGACGTACCGTTTTTGTACAGCAGCTTGCTGCTCGCCTAAGAACGAAAGAGCTCATTGCTTTTTTCGAGAAGATTGGTCCAGTTAAGGAGGCCCAGATCGTGAAGGACAGGGTTAGCGGAAGATCCAAAGGGTAAGCCAGGCCTCAATTAACACCTACTTTTTACACTTTTCTCAGGGACTAACATATATTTTTTAGTGTTGGTTATGTCGAGTTCAAAAACGAAGACTCAGTCCCACTTGCCATCCAGCTTACTGGACAAAAACTTCTAGGGATCCCGATCATCGCACAACTAACAGAAGCCGAAAAGAACCGTCAGGCCCGTAATCCCGACGCCAATTCCAACAGCAATCAGCAATCTATCCCCTTCCACAGGTTGTATGTTGGTAATATTCATTTCAGTATCACTGAGAGCGATCTGCAGAATGTTTTCGAGCCGTTTGGTGAACTCGACTTTGTGCAACTTCAGAGAGAAGAAGCGGGACGCAGTAAAGGATATGGCTTTGTACAGTACGTTATTCTCTCCAGCTTCATCATACTAGAAACTGACATCGTCACAGATTCCGCGATCCCAACCAAGCCCGTGAAGCTCTCGAGAAGATGAACGGCTTCGACCTAGCCGGCCGTCCCATCCGTGTTGGCCTAGGCAACGACAAATTTAGCCATGATCCAGCCCAGCTGATGCAACGACTTCAACAACAGGGCCAGAACCAAGGTTCATCGTTTGCGAACCATGGCGGCCGTGCAGCTAATTCAGGAGGCGGCTCCGGCGGCAACTTTGATCGTGCGGGTGGTCGTGACAACGACAAGGGAGCTGGCGGAGCAAGCGCATTAGATGACACAGATGTCGCTGGTGTGAACTTTAACAATTATAGCAGAGATGCATTGATGAGGAAACTCGCAAGAACAGATGAACCCGCCACTGAACCCACCCCTGACGAGAAACGTAAAGTCCCCAAAGCTCGTACCGAAGCTAAGCCGCTCCCCGTCACCGTCAACATGGCAAGTCGCTGCGTCCTGCTACGGAATATGTTTGATCCAGCGCAGTAAGTTGACCTAATACATCTCCCCCCCCCCCCTTTTTTTTCACATCTGCATCCATGTACTAACTACGTATCAGAGAGGAGGGTGAATCCTGGGTCAAAGAGCTCGAGGATGATGTCCGCGCTGAATGCGAAGAAAAGTATGGCCATGTTGTTCACATTTCGTTAGATCCCAACACCCAGGGCGACATCTACCTCAAATTCGATCGTGTCCAGGGCGGTGAAAATGCCATCAAAGGCCTGAATGGCCGATTCTTTGGCGGACGACAGATCAGCGCCCAACCCGTCGTTGATGCCGTTTACAGCAGCTTATTCTCTAGAACCAAAGCCATATAAGACCGATCAGCCCCGCCGACATATTTAAATTCGAAATCCAATCGCAGACGGTAGGTATCATCTACACGGCCATTCTGACGTGCGAACTTTGGAAAGCCTCTTCCGCACACTGTTTTTACTACTACCTCATCCCTTGACTACTTAGGAGTGCGTGGCCGTTACCCAGGCCCATTTTGGGCTTCAGGGGAACTTCTCGATGATGGCACTTGACTTCAATGGTACGTGCTAGCAAACAGCCTTTTCCGATACCATCCTCCTAAGCATAGCTAGTCTATCTAGTTTTGTTTTATTCTACATAACCACAATTTGTATAGCCGCTTGGGATTAGTTTATAGCTTAATCCTATCTTACCATTTAATATTGTTGATTATACTTATGATGATTGCTATCACCCTTTACTATATCTCGTAGTCAACGTTATAGTCCCTTTTATACGCCCCTATTATTGCCTTAAATCCCCTCCAGACAAGAAGTGAGGTAACAGTTATGGCTTAGTAAACGTCCACTTGAGAGCGATTGCCATATAATCTGTAGAGTATATATATAGCTCTGACCCCTTCTTAGATGTTATACAGGCCAGAAGTAGACATTGATATATTCTAAGCTATATATACACCCGAGGCAGCTCTTGATCTTTTATTATATCTAGTACATGAAGCTGGGGCATGGATGACCCATATCTACCCTGCTAGCTAGGTTAAGCTACCGACTTGTAAAATATTTCCTCACCCTGTCCCCTACTCAATGTGCAGCAGGTGTCTAGCGCACTTTGGCTTCTCTCACTTGGAGTCACCTCGCTAGCGCCTAGCCTTGTGTGTTCTGATATCTCCTTTATATCTGCTTTGTTTTGCAAAAACCGTGTTCCTCTAGAAACTATCTCACCTTCTTTGCCAAAGGCTGGCAACTCCCTTCTCTTAAGCAGTGAAATACCGGGATAAGAACCAGTGCAGCCTATCTGCTTAACTAGGACCTCCTTTCATACAGATATCTGGCTCCTGTAAGAACCGTCCTGTCTTTGGCGTCATCTGAAGCACTGTCCTGTGATTATTTTGACTGTTTATGAGTTCACTGTTTGACGCAAGTGGGATCCAGCTAACCTGTTTGCAGTAAAGAACCAGCCATGTCTGACTATCGTGGAACTGCGATGCCTGGTTCCAGTGGCAGGCAGTATCAGCCTGTCTATCTGCCACCAGCTGGTCCAGTCTCTGTCCCGCAGCCACGGCCACAGCTCGACAACCACGAAGACATTGTGGCTCTAGAGCATGAGGTAGAGTACTACAAAGAACAGCTTGAACACTCTGAGATCCAGCGAGAGTGTATCCAGAACCAACTGGACACGGCAAGGGCCCAGGCACGTCACGACGGCGACATGATTGCAGGTTTGCAGGCGCGTATCAAAGAGCTAGAGGAGATGCTTCGGCGTCATGGCATCGAAGGAGACGCCAAAACATCTTCGATGCCTCTTATTGACGCGAACCCCGATGCTGAGGAGTACGTGGACCCGAACTCGGGCAACGGGAACGGGTCATCGTTGAGGAGAATGTCGACACAGGGGAGTTCCGACGTGTCACCGACTACGCGATACTTGAACGTCTTCGGCCAGCCACCGCCACGGTTTAACTTGCAAGTTGCTGCTGCAAGAGCGGGCGATAGTGAGGTCGATGGAGCATCGCAGGCTCACTTTAGCCTACACTCGAACGCAACCTCTGGTGCAGGTACGGGAACGGGAACGGGCAGCGGGTCTCGAGCAACTCCTTCTTCGCCCGAAGAACAAATCGCCTCCTTTGTATCATTGATTGGCAGGGAGCCTCAGCAAGTTATCCACATGCAAGACCCTCCATTTAGTCCCACTGACTTTGCGAATCGACTGATCGGGCTGTGGACGACCTCGAAATGCTTTGCGATGAAGTACACCAACACGACCTTTATGTATGATGAGAACGCAGTGGGACAGAACGTGCGTGTGTTCCTGAACCTGGCCTCGGATAGGTCCACGGAGTTGCTTAGCGACGTATCGACCCGATTCTTGATGGTTTCAAAGGCGATCAACTGGTTCATTGCAAAGACAGTTCTGAAGACGTCCGTTGTCAGCGGGTTCGATCCAAACGTTGACTCCGAAATCAAGCAGATGGCTACTCATCTCAATTCCTGTGAGTGACATCCTCCCTCTAAGCATTGAAGTGACGGACATACTGACATGATGAAGCTACGCCTCATACCGTGAAAAATGCCATGATCCGGGGAATCGGACAACACGTCCTCGTGCTCCGCAACCGCCCACTGTTCGACAACTTCTACAACAAACGCACCCACGAGCACACCCAGCATCTCTTCCAGCTGCTCTCTCCCTTGATCTTCTCTCGTGACCCAGAAGCGTGGTGCGAGTTGGGAGAGCTCATGGTCGATGCACACGGCCTGGCACTAGCCATGTACTCTGGTCCATACGAGTTCAAATTCGTCCATCCGTTGAGCCACCACTACTTCGACCCGAAGTACATGACCGACCATAATGCCGGAACTGACGAAGACTGGGGGATGCAGCAGGCGAAGAGAAAGTACACCGTAAAGCTTGCCATTACACCAGTCCCGTTCTTCAGGAATGCCATTCTGCAGCCTGAGGCGCCACTTCAGGTCCTGCATCTTGGAGACGTGATCTTAGGCCCTGAGGTCGGACATGAATAGGATGGCGATCTCTATTCAGAACGTTGAGCCGCCACAGCGAAATCTTTAGGATGGTCTTCTTGCTGCCATGTCTTCTGGTATCTTTTGCATGTCTTTGGGGGGACTCTCAGGGGTAATTTCAAGTCCAACACTCTGGCTTTCAGCATCGCTCAAGCGCAGGTTCTCCTGTATTTCCTTTTGTCATCATTGTTTTTACAGACCTTTCTGCCACACTCATGCTTAATTTTCCTGCACATCTAGTGCTCGCATGATATAATTTTCAGATAGACTCTCACAGTACTTGTTTATGCAATCATAATATGAACCCTGGCGTTTCCACCTTGTCCTGTCTTCACATCGTAAGAAATGCACTTTAGTAGCAGAAGTTGAAAGCGTTGAAGTTGGAGTTTCCTCTTTGAGACATCGTAACTAAATTACCATAATTACGATGCTTTTACGGAAGTTTATGTATCATATATGTATTGATATGTATGGACATGAGTAAGCGTATTAGTGATGGGAGCTAGTCCTAATACAGTAATAATAACGTTAGTCATCCATAAATATCACGGGACTACGTTATAATATTTAATATATCATGTGATATACTTAGTCATATAAAGCTGTATATTACCTAAGCCTGACCGAAAAGGGAAATTTCTTTGTCTCCTGTTGAACTTCACTGGAACTTCAACCTCAACTTTCTCACTTCTTCACCTTCTTCGCCTTGCCATTTCTCTTTACCACGGTGATTATACAGCGTTTGAGCTGCTTGCTGTAGATATATACTATTTTACCTAGGTTTTATCAGGGGGTCGCGACACTGGACCTTTGTATCTCAACGTTTACGATACTTCGATACTTCGATACTAACCACCCGATGTATAACTCGCACCGGCTGCATTAACTCAAGCTGCATGCGAGGGAGCCGACATAATATGAGGTTCAATCCTGCTTATGCGGTTCCATTTTCATTGTCTCCCTCCCTGTTCTAATTGTGGTGAAATATGACTAGAAACTGGATGTACTGTCCAATCTTGCATCTCGATCACTCCAACTAGACTGGCGCCAACGCCTGGAGACAAGCCCGCTGTCAGAGTCTGCAGAATGCGCCGTGCTTAGCCATCTTATCTCATCTGATACGAGCGAGATAACGAGATCCACCGTGATGCAACGCTGAGGGTGGCACCGGGAATCAAGGCCGTGAGATCGTTCACCGCAGAGCACTCAAACCTCGATATCTTCACGCTATCATGGCACCAGATGATAGCTAGATGTACGCTACTGGCCTCTTACCGCATGCTAGTCGAATCAACGTTATCAGATCTACCTAGAAGCGGTTTGTTGATCTAGATGGACCGAGTTCACGCAAGGATTAAAATAACTCCGGCGAGCTACAACTCAACATGTAACATGTAACCTCGCGTCGTCGGAATTGTTGGGACCCTTATCAACTTCATATACAACGCCCAAGGACGGACAAGGAAGACATCAGAGAGTGAGGGACTACATAATCTACTCACGATGCCTCTTCTCCCCCTCCTCGCCTGACCCTCGTCACTGCTGGCTAGCGCACACGTGGAGAAGTGCAGGACGGCCTCTCGTTGCTGAATTTCTTGTCCTTGTCTCGTCGTTGCAAGGATCTATCAACCCAGCCTTCTTGCTGGTTCGTGAGGCCAGGTATCGCTCTCCTCCGTCTTTGACTATTGACAGCCGACTCTGATATCACCACCTTCGTTACCACCAACTACCAAGCTGTTAAGACCGGACGTCTCGATGAGCTCAGTGCCTATCAAGCGGGTGCGCATCCAGGGCTGGACCCTTGCTGACAGCTATTGTATGAAATATTCTCCTTCTAGAAACTACACTATCTACCGACTAACCGCCTTGCAGCCTTCATCTCGGTCTTTCTACGCCAGTATGCCACTGCCGCCACTAAAGACACCGCTCACCACCCATCGCATACCGCAGCAGCAGCGTCAACCTCGCGCACCCCTCGCCGCCATTTCCACGACTACTTCGTCACCCATCTACCCACCTCCTCACTACACCCGGACTCCCGCGTGTCCGTCGGCCCTCAACACCATCTTCCACGCTCTGCATCCGTTCCGCACGCCTCCTCTTCTACCGTCGCTGGTACCGGGACAGGAACCGACCCGCCGAAGCGCGATGCATCCCCTGCTACAGTCTCGCCCTCATCCGGCCTAGCCGTAGGCCGGGAGACAACCGTGGTTCGCATCCCCCTACGAAGCGCAAAACACCACTTTGGCGTCTCGTTTGCGCGTGGCATGCGCCCTACAAACGAGGACACATACCAGGCTGGCGTTATTGAGCTGCCAGCTTTTGCACGCCGGGCTCCGCTTTCTATCACTGTCGGTCAGCGTACGGCTGCTTCGGGGGAGAATAAAGTTGCCGACAGCGCTACGGGTGATCCGCAAGTGTTTTACTTTGGTATCTTTGATGGCCACGGAGGAGCGGAATGTAGCCAGTTCCTGCGTGATAAGTTGCACGGATACATCCAGGAGGCAGCAACGGATTTTAAGATGGAGTCCGCACTGTCAAAGTGTGTAGAGAGCCAGAAGCTGACAAACCGAGCGATACGCCATCGCGAGCGCGTCGGTGAGGTCAAGTATGGTGTTTCCCCTACTTCCTCCGCTGATCAGAAGCAAAGGAGCCATGCGGTGCAGGGCGATTTACCGATTCTGCAAAAAGCGGATAGAGAGTATATCGGGGATATGGAGAAGAAGCTGGTTGCGGACTGGCGAGATCTGGTGGGCGGATACTTTCGACGATTCCAACCGCTACATTTTTCATATTGTGGCGCCGAACCAGCGGGTGAGGGAGACGAACATGGCACCGCCATAAAGGACGCAGACGCAGACGGAGAGGATGTCCGTGTCAGCGTGAAGTCTGGCGTCTCGATCGAGGAAGTAGTCGAATACGCATTTCTCCGTGCCGACCTGGACTTTGTCTCTGCCCAAGTCTCGAAGGGAGAGGCCTCCTCACCCCCGGCCAGCCCGGACAAACCGCTGAACGAGCACGATATCTTGCACCACCCAAACAGATACCGCGATATGCCTGTCGGCGGCTCGCGCAACACCTTCAAGGGCGGCAGCACAGGCAGCATCGCCATGATCTCCACCCCAACCCCGATGCCCTTCTGGAACCCGTCTGCCCCGTCCTCCCTCCTCGTCTCGCACATAGGCGATACCCGCATCCTCCTCTGCTCGACCGCTACCGGCCACCCGATCCCGCTAACTACAGACCACCACCCGTCCTCTCCCGTCGAAAGTGCCCGCCTACAACGCTACGCAGCCACTTTTGTAACCGACTCCTTTGGCGAAGAACGCATGAGCGGCCTTGCCAACACCCGCGCCTTTGGAGACATCACGAGCAAACGCATCGGCGTCTCCGCCGAGCCTGAGCTACGCCGCATCGACATGGCTCCGGCCGAGTATTCCTTCCTCGTTCTCATGAGTGATGGCGTGAGCGGGACTCTGAGCGATCAGGAAGTCGTCGATATCATCAAGGAAGCCAAGACGCCGGACCAGGGTGCGCGAGACGTTGTCTCCTTTGCTACAGAGGTGTCTACGGACGGAGATAATGCGACGTGCCTCGTAGTAAGGCTGGGAGGATGGGAGAGGCGACAGGAGGGCGGACTAGGCAGCATGGCCACCAAGGAGTCGAGGGAATGGAGGAGTAGAGACGCCGCAGACCCCAGGGGGCGGAGGAGATGATTTATGGGCGTCTTCTCATCTGTCTTTGCATCTTCATCTTTCATTATACCACGATACACTACATACATTATTGCATACTCATATCTAGATCTCTATCCTTTTCTTATATCCTCCGTATAATCAGTAAACCCAGCAGATCCTTCCATCGCCTCCTTGCTAGCTGTATCCTCAGCCCCTTGCCTGTAAGGAGTAAACAGTTCATCCGAGCCCGGTTCCATCCTATCCCCTTTCTCATATTCTCTTCCTCATATTCTTTTCCTCATAATCACTTCGCTTCCATAGAACCTCTGCTCTCGTCCTTAATATCTCCAACTCGATCTGTCCGATCCGTCCGCTCTAACACTGTAACTCCCTTCAGCTCGCGGGGCGCCCAGCGCATAGATTCAACTAGTTTGCTCGCACAAACCGCATACCACGAACATACGAGAACACATTTCGCCCATCGCACAGCCAGACAGCCTTCGTTGCGCTCTTCTCCTATTTCTGACGTGGGATCTGCCTTATTCCTTGCAGGTTCGGATCTTGCAAGTTCGCCAAGTTGCTCGTCCGATCGTGCCGTACATAAATAAATACATAAAAACCCCAAGCCTGCCACCACCAAACCACCAAACCACCAGCACACACACTCTGTATTTGCTCCGGCTTCGGTTTCTGCGCCTCAATTCTCCCGTGGACTCCTGAGAACCGCATCTGGTCCGTCGACGAGCTGAATACCGCCGTCTCACCACCGACTCTCACGCACGCGACATGTCTGGACGGACGAGAAGGCAGAAGGCTGCCCAGCAGGCCCACGTCGAGGACGAGAACTCCGACTCGGCCTCGCACTCGCATTCGAACCTGAACGGGAACTCGAACAAGGCCGTCGAGAAGGTGAATGGGACTACAGAGAAGCGCAGTGCCCGGCGCAAGCGGACGCCGTCGCGGGACGAAGAGCCCAGAGAGAACATCTTCCTCTTCTGGCCCAATATCATCGGTATGCAACTCGCAGGATATATATATATGGCTATAGTACTGACCGGCTCTAGGATACGTACGCATCGTCCTTGCAACTGCATCGCTCTACTACATGCCCCTACACCCTCGGACATGCTCGATCCTGTACAGCGTCTCATGTCTCCTGGACGCCCTCGACGGCTACGCTGCCCGGGTCTATAACCAGTCTACTACCTTTGGCGCAGTGCTCGATATGGTCACTGACCGCTGCACGACCGCTTGCTTGCTGGTGTTTCTCAGCTCTGCCTGGCCCCGATGGGCTATCTTGTTCCAGGGCTTGATCAGTCTCGATCTGACGAGCCACTATATGCACATGTACGCCACATTGACCATGGGCGGGTCAAACCAGAGCCATAAGAAGATTGATTCTAGCAGGAGCTGGATCTTGTATCAGTACTATAACAACAAGGTAGACGCCTCTCTTACTCGTCGCTGCGGACTTGAACTGACTTATCTGTTTAGGCCGTGCTGTTTACATTCTGCTGTATGAACGAACTGTTCTTCATCGGCCTATACCTGCTCTCCTTCTCGTCGCCAACCCTCTCTCCATCCCTGCTCCAGCCGAGCGCGATCCCCGTTGCCCAGCCGGGCACTCTCTTCGGTAACCCGTGGAGTGCCGGTGCCCTCGAGCTCGCCCGCGCTAATAAGATGGACAGCTTCTGGCCGTGGGTCCTCACGGGTATTTCCGCACCTGTCATGGCAGGCAAGCAGTTCATCAACATCGTCCAGATGGTCAAGGCCAGTCGATGGCTGGCAGAGGGCGATATTGCTCGACGACGGAAGTTGGGCATCGCAAAGTGAACCCTCGGAGTTACATTTACTAACAACAAACACGAAGTCTTCTTACTATCTTTTTAAGCATAAACCCGATACGTGTTATGGCTGTGCTAATGGTCAGTGGTGATAGCTACATATACTTTATCTTTTCCTTTCTTCCCCTTCATGTTTCATTTATTACCCTTCACAAGCTGTTCTTAATCATTTCATGGAGTTTTCTTGCTGGTCGGAAAAATGCCCTCCCTATCTATATTACCTATAACCCTTCAAGCCCTGTGTTCTGTTACTTGTCTACTTCTTCACCCATTACCTACCTAAGTATTTCTTTTAAACCATTCTTTGTGTTATCTTACTACCCCCTTGCTGCCCCTTGGTGTGCTTTGACATGATTCACAATCACTTGTTTCCTCTCTTCATGATTTTTGTATTAATAGCATAGAACCCTTAGGATAGGGTGAGGACTAGGAATCGGTGCTGATGTGTTTATGTATCACGTTTTACATTCATAATCTATCACTGTTTTATTGATCTATCATTGTTAATAGGCCAGCACTCTCTAGTTAGAAATGGTACAGAGATATATATTAGTAGTAGCTATGATATGAGTAGACCTTGCTAGATATGTCAATTAAGTATTATCTATCCAAACAAATGACAATAACGCCTCCGTGTCTTGCATATATATGGCCGTAACAATTATATAAAAAGGTTAGTTTCGTTAAGCGTCGTTACTTCTTCTGGCTTTTTTCTGGCTTCCTGCCATATACAAAGTACCTGCATTGTATTGTTAGTTGTCAACATAGATGAGGATGAGGAGAGAAAACTCACATCGGCCAATAAACATGCATTTTCCTATCCTTCACGTTTGCCCGTACGTCCACCAAGAACGTCTCAACCTCTTCTATCGACCACCCCAACCCTCTCGTAAACGGCCCTACGGTCAACGCCTGCAGGCCCTCTAACATATTAATCATCGTCCAGTTCCCGATCTCCTTTAGCTTGGGATCCTTCGCCCACGAGTTCTGAGGCCATTTATATACCACTTCGACGACGTCCACGAAACCAGCTGCTTCCATGCGTTTTTTATGGCTTTTCGCGACATCTAGGGGGCGCTCGAGCTTCACGCATGCCTCCAGCATCAACATGGACCATTTATCGAGCGCGTGGTCAGACGTCAGCGTGCCATCATCGGACCTTAGGGGGAGACAGATGTCTTGCATCTCCACGTAGCCACCCGGAGCGAGGTTTCTGTACATTTCTCAGTCGTTACTCTCTTTCCGCTAGTGACCCAAACAGGGGAAGGAGGGAGACAGAGCCCTACTCGTAGCATTGGCTATAGAAACGGTCCCAGTCTTTGAGAGAACCGGTCAGCATCCTGGAGTGAATCAGATCGAATTTCTGATGATATTGCCATTCTGCTTCGGCGTCGTCAATCAAGAAGCTGAGATTCGGAGGGACACTAATGTCGCGGGTCAATACCGGTGGAAGGGTGCCCGGGGAGACGCATATACATACAGACTCGGTTGGATTGGCGATAAGTCGGTACCGATGACCTGGTGGAAAAGAGGATGAGCTGCTGCTATGTTCGCGCTGTTCGAACAATATATTTGACCGTACAGACCTGTGCTGAGGGATGTTCATCCGCTGGATGTCTTTGACTTAGCATTCGCCGCCCGAAACATGGCTATTTCGTGTTCAACCTACCAAAATCAAGCGCCCAAAGGCCAGTGCCAGTGCCTAGCGATCTAGTATCAGTCACAACTCCCGCGAGATCGAACTGGTCAACCCGACTGCTTGTACGTACCGATATCGATCGCATTTTGGATATCGTCACTAATCGGAGATAAGCAAAGTTTGCCGTCTAACGACCGAAGAAAGACTGCATGCTGCATATCTAGGGCATCATATATATTAGCGGCAGTCGAAGTCGAATATGAGGGATCGATGTTCAGGGTCGCGAATAAAGTACCTAGGCGGTCATTCTCTATCTACAGCGCAAAATGACGATTAGCACATCCCGTCAAGACATGATAGGAATCACACGGAACACACTTCGTCGTTTGGATATGGATAGCCTGGTGTGCGAGATATCGTCAGTCTCAACTCTTCGTGTCCCAAGTCCTCCGGAGTGAAGATAAAAGATCTTACTGCCTGCTTTGTATGCGTGGTACCTTCTTCCATTCTCCATCCGATAAGCCAGGATGCTGGACGACAGCGAGGTAGAGAGCGTGGTTCTGCAAAGGCCATGGAAATGCGATCAGAAATTTGTCGTTATAAGAGCCTACTCCGTACATTTCGGGGCTGGGCTGAGCTGAGCTGGGCTGGTGCTGGTGCTGGTGGTGAGATATACTCATCGTTGTCACCGTAGGCTTCATCGTCCATGTCTGTGGCCTATACACAACGCATTAGTAACGAAGACAAGCGACACATTTCGGTTAGACGAACCTCGTCTACTTCTATTTGCTGGTTATTGTCCTCCTGTGCCATTATAACTACGAAGAAGGGTACTCGGCCGTTAAATCAATGCGGGATTGCGCTGGCTGGCATCAAAAACGCAAACCATAGCAGCTAGCCCGCGGTATATATAAGCCATGGCGGCGCGGAAGCGACTAGTTAGCCAAGTCCGCGCTCAGTTCCCATCGCAGGGACGGGCTTCGCTATCCCATTCGCCATCCTGCTGGCCAGGAAAATCCAGTGTTACTTTAGCGCGCTGAAGCTTCTTGTCTCTTTGACCAGTGACACTCGCAGCGTTTGCGTTGGAAGACGGGGTTGGAGGCTCCCCCTGAAGCCCGTGGCCTTTGTCGCTACATCTCGCTCTCGCAGGCTGCGTTCGACCAGCAGCAGTTCGCTCGCTCTTGCGTCAGGCTTTGCCACGTATTCTAAGGGCGTCAGGTTTGCGTTCAACCCCGGGGTTCGACAGCCATGAAGTATATCTACCGGGGCCAGATCACACGATGAGCAGCGCCTTACATCTCTTGCAGTGTAGGGGGGTGGGCCAACGGTCGCTAGTGACCAACGACGATGCACAGCCAGGCAGGTTGGGCTTCACTCGAGGGCCCTGCGAGGTTGATATCTCGCTGCGACTTGATAGTTATGCGTGCGGACGACGGGTCGCGGTCCGTGGCTCAACCTTGATACGGGCCGCCCTACCACTAAGATCCTTCAGCGATTTCTTACCCCGGCAGTTGTTCTCCATCTGGAATATGGAGTACGGAGAATGGAGTGAGGAACTCTCCACCTGAGTTGTGATGGCGTTTCTTTTGGCCTTGGCCCAGCCGGGGAACGAAACAGCCTGTCGTTCGTCACTCCACCTAGGAGTTATCGACCTGGACGGCTATCTTGCGCGGAAGGAGTTTCTCAACTAGGTATACGGAGTACAGTTGAACACTTCAAGGACAGCACTGAATATGGGACCCAAGGCAACGCCCTACTCCTTACTGAGGATCTAGAGCAAGCATTTGAAAGCTGCTGGAGTTCGCTGCAGTATGACCATGGGAAGCTGCATTGTGCGTCGTACGGACAACCCCGTACGTAGCACCGGGGTTTCTAGAACTCGCATAGCTACGTGACTAATGCCGGGGATGTATGCAGTATATTTCGGATGATATATCCTGTTTGCAGGAGATGTGTCCTATAATATGTGAGTACCCTAACGAACCTCAAATCTCCCGCCATGTCGTCCCGTCCTCGTTTAGGCAGCACGATGCACAGGTCAATCTAGACGCAAGGTCCAAGTCTATATCCTTGACGGCAGCAAATGAAGCTTTTGACAGGAACGGGGATGGCTGGAGGTCACCTAACGTAACGGACGGCAGCCCAAGACCACCAGGTTGCCTCTTTGATGATTATACATACTATGCTTACTGATAGTGGGTAGGCTGACCGGAGTATATACTTATTCCAAAAGCAGTCATTGTGTCTTGGGGTCTTAATGGACCTAGATATCCAAAGTTAGTCCTGGTGGCTTTGACCAGCTCGGCATGCAAGCAAATACCGGGCTTAGAACCCGTCACAGTACTCCGTACATGCGCCTATTGTGGTGATAGTCGACTACCAGGACTCGGCCTTGGTGGAAAAGACCGTGGAAGCCGTTCATCTTGTCATATCAGAAGCGAGAGGGTTAGCATGGACAATGAGCCAAGCTATCGAGCAAGGCATGCATATGTAGAGGAGAGGTTGAAATGACGCAATGTTCTGCTGCACACGCAAGGATAGCCCGACATATTCATCAAGGACGGCTGTTGTGTAGAAGCCGCGGAAAGCGGCTCCGGCAGTAGCGTAGAAATGCATGCTGGGGGGATGAAGCCAAGGAGGAGATTCATAATACGCTATCTCATTTTTAATTTATGCGGCAGATGGAGTATAGAATAAAAGCGGAATTATATACGGAATAAACGGGTGCCAGGGAGCCAGTATTTAACTTGCGAGCTGGGTGTCGCCTTCACCCTTTCGAGTATCGCCATATTTTGGATATATTTGAATTCTGACTGATCAGCAAGATTCTAATAGCCTGGTTAGGTGGCGGGAAGTTTTGGGTGGTGGTGGTGGGTGGCCTGGAGGAATATTGACCAAGACAGCCATAAATCCCTTGCACGCCTGGTCTCTCGGGGGTTGAAAGGCGCCAGGCTGCACCTTCTTTTGCTTTTTGTTTTCCGTGTATTGTATACGGAGAATTCTAGCCACCTTTCGCGCTTAGGTTGTAATTCAGGCTAGAAGTTGCTGCATCTTGACTCTTGACTGCATATTTCGTACGGAGTAGTTTAGTTTTCTCTCGGACGAGGCAACATATATACTGACTAAGCACTGCACGTGGTATGACATACAGAATATACAAGTCAGGTGTTAGGCGGTGGGTGACTAAGCATAATATTTCCCGATTAGGAAGTTTACACTTGATGACCCTGTGTATACACAAATGTCACCATGAGTAAGCAGTTAGACCAATGATAGTTTAAGTTCTGATACCATATCATACGTAGTGGTATTAAAAGACCGGAAGAATATAACTGCGGAGGTCTATTATTAATCTCTCTCCGCCGATGGTCGGACCTGAAGACGCCGAAGTCGGGCCGAGGTGGGCAGGCCAAAGGCGGCAAAGAGCTTCGAGGGCAGAAAACACCCGCAGGTATATAAAGAGCTAACCACCAGGCTTCTGCTATACCGTCGACTACCCTGCGTTTTACCTGCAAGACCTATCCCTGAGCTCCTCTCTCTATCTCGCCATGGGCAAATATAACATCGTCGTTTTCGCTGGGGACTGTTGCGGGCCAGAGGTTGGTTCCCCGCCATACAAGCTACAATCGATGGAGCTAGTACTAATGCACTTTACTTAGGTCACAGCAGAAGGTATCAAGGTATGCTACTCCAGGCAAATACCTGAAATAGAGGACGGCCAGTCGCTAAGGGTGGATAGGTTCTGAAAGCTATTGAGAAGAAGAGGCCCGAGATACAGTTTACCTTCCAGGACCATTTGCTAGGCGGGGTTAGTCCTGATACAATGAAACCCATGAGCTAGCCGGATATTCGCTAACAGCTTATCCTCCCCCGCCAACAGGCCTCAATTGACGCGACTGGGTCAGCCCTTACAGACCAGGCTCTCGCGGCTGCTAAAAGTGCGGATGCGGTGCTTCTTGGAGCAGTTGGAGGTCCCAAATGGGGTACCGGAGCAGTTCGTCCAGAGCAGGGAATTCTCCGACTACGAAAAGAGATGGGGACCTTTGGAAACCTTCGCCCATGCAACTTTGCTGCTCCTTCGTTGGTCGACATCTCCCCTCTCAAGGCCGAGGTATGTCGCGATGTCGACTTCAACATCATCCGCGAACTCACGGGTGGCATCTACTTTGGCGAGCGACGAGAAGACAACGGCGACGGAACAGCTTACGACACGGAGCCCTATTCACGTCCTGAGATTGAGCGGATAGTTCGCCTCGCCGCGCATCTTGCACTGCAGCATAATCCTCCTTTGCCGGTGTGGAGTTTGGACAAGGCGAACGTGCTGGCCACAAGCCGCCTGTGGAGAAAGGTTGTGACAGAGGTCATGGATAAGGAGTTCCCGCAGGTTAAGTACGGCCATCATCTAATCGATAGCGCGGCCATGTTGATGGTGAAAAACCCTCGTGCCCTTAACGGAATCGTGGTCACTAGCAACCTGTTCGGTGATATCATTAGTGACGAGGCCAGTGTCATTCCCGGCTCGCTAGGGCTACTACCAAGTGCCAGTTTGAATGGCATTCCAGATGGCAAGGCCAAGGTTAACGGAATATATGAGCCTATTCATGGTATGCATGCTCCCCCATGGTGATGTTTCAGTTGGGTCCCTGCTGATTGATGTCTCGTTGTAGGCTCCGCTCCCGATATCGCTGGAAAGGGAATTGTAAACCCAGTCGCTACAATCCTTTCCGTGGCGATGATGTTGCAGTATTCTCTCAATCTCCCCACCGAGGCTAAAGTAATTGAAACTGCGGTGCGGAATATAATTGAATCCGGACTCAAAACTGGTGATATTGGCGGGAAAGCCACGACAAAGGAGGTTGGAGACGCAGTTGCGGCAGAGGTTGAGAAGCTTCTCTCATAGAACTCAGGTCTCGTGGGCGTTCGAAATAGAGTAGGGAGTCAGCGGAGACATGAAAATAATGAAGACAACGGAGTAGGTGGGCATGATCATGGGTATTTCGCACATTTTATGCAGGACGAACACTGTGAATAGATGAATGTCGATGTCAAGAGACGAAAGGAACATACATATATCTTAATCAGCTCGCTAGGCTATGCATTTAGCGCTAATGGAAAAGGGGGTATCAATATAATAACATTGTCATCAAAGCGTAAAGCTTCATCGCAGCTCCGGCTCCATCATCCAGTCGTCCTCGTCGAATCTCGAGACATTCTCACCCTCCAGCTCTCCGTCATCGGAATGCAACATGCCCACCCCAAGGTCGTGGTGGAGCAGCTTCTGCCCGTTATCTGCCCTGCCCATACGGGTATAGTATTTATCATCTCGAGCGAAGACCTGAAATCCACGGACATGCGTGTCCTTGCCGTTCTGATGATTCTCGCAGACCTTCACTTGGAGCACCATTACTTTTAAAACGTTGCCTGCAGATGGGTCGTCGTCGTCGTCATCGTCGTCATCGTCAACTTCATCAACCTCGTCGAGGTCATAGTCATCACTATCCTCTTCTGATTCCGATTCGATTTTTGGCTTGCCTGGAGGATCCATCCTCGAAGTACCATTGGGCTGCTTCGGCTGGTTCTTGTTGACAGGTTTAGCACGAGACTCGGGTGTCCGTGACCGTCGTCTCCGCTGACGTTCCTCGTCCCTTCGAGTCAGTTTATCTATCTTCTGATGCCTGCCTCCGACCCCGTCGAGCTTGATATCGACCCAGCCACAAGGCGTGTCTCCCTGCCATGTAGCAAATTCAACGAGGTCATTCCCTCCCATGCCAGCCAGGAATATCATCTTTGTAGGCGTATAGCTCTCGTCGAGCTCAAAGTCCAAATAGACGCGTATCCGCACTATGGCGACGCGTTTGAAGAAGTGTAATGCCAGGGTATGTGGCTGTGGTCCGTCAGACTGCCAGAACTGGTTCGGAGACGGGTTACGCAGGGCTGCCACGCCACTTCCGGGTTTATATGTTGAGACCGTCCATGACGCGAGAGACGATATCTCGCGGAGATTGGGCGGTATGGGAGCCGAAGAGTCCTTTTCATCCTCCAGGTCGTCTATCGGTAAAATAGCTTCTTAGCACGGTGTAATTTTTTTCAATATAGTGGAGGGGTCATACCATCCTCGTAGCTGTGCCCCTCGACGGCATCTAGGTCCTCTGCACGATCTCCGTCATCTTCGTCTTCGTCTTCGTCCTCCTCATCACCTTCGCCCTCTTCCTCGTCGTCCTGTTCTTCGTCCTCGTCGTCGAGCTCGTCTTCGCGGTCAGAGGATTGTTCTTGCCCGGGCGTCACCTGCTGCTGGCCCTGAGATCTCTGCCGGGGGGTATACGACGGTAAGAGCTGGGGAACCCTTGCTGTCGACATCGAGGCGCCATCCCCAGACTGAAACGCCGCTGACGGTGTGCGGTGCGGGCTCTGTCTAGGCATGGGTGAGGGCCGAACGCGGGTATTAGAGTAAAGAGACAGCTATATCGAGTGAATGTCAGGTCATGCAGCGTGGCTTCTCATGGTTCCGGCGACCGTCTCTCTGCGACTCCTCAAGACGAGAGCACAATGGTGTATGTAGCATCTCATCTGTAGAGTATTCCATAGTGGTGTAGTTAGCAGTAGTGTATGTCTCCTGGTGCTCAAAAAGAAGTCAAGGGTTTCCTCCTACATCAAACAAGCCTGGCTAGCTCAATCGGTAGAGCGTGTGACTCTTACTTCTAGCAAGTTGGTCGTCCATCACAAGGCTGCGGGTTCGAGCCCCGCGTCGGGCTTCTTTTTTTTTTTCTTTTTTCACCCACCATAATAATATAATTGTGACAATAATAATAGACGATGATGGTAATATATATGTATGTATGATGATGATACTCGAAATTGGTTTTTATGGTGTTGGTTGGATCTATCTACAGGATAGCTAGTGGAAACAGAATGACATTCATCTAACTATCATTATACGAAGATATCCTCAAAGCAGTTTAGAAGCAGTTCTTACCACTCGAGTATCGCTTTTATACTACTATTACCTTACCTGGTCCTCTAGCATCAATATACAGCTAAATATCAAACGTGGCTCTCACCATCCTATACTTCCACCACTGATGGCAACTGTTATTCCCCCCCAGCGTTAATCGCCTGGAAACGAGGCGTTTCAGACTTGGAAGCCATAGACCGTGCCTGGCGACGGAAGAACACTCGCTTCCCCCACTTCCACGCCTCGACTCCCAGGAAGAAGAGGGCAGACTCGACAAAGACGATGCCCCATTCCCAGGAGATGCCGGTGTGGCGGAAGACCTTGTGGTTGATGACCGGGATATAGAGCAGCGGGAAGATGGTGATGAAGCCTGCCATGATCGCCCAGAAGAGGAACTGGTTGCGCCAGACGTCGTGCATCCACTGGGTGAAATACTTCTTGGAGCCGGGCTGCATGCGGAAGAAACTGCGCCGGAGGTTGACCATCTCCCAGGCGAGGAAGAGCGCGAACCAGGTCAGACAGACGAAAGTGGTGGCGCGAGCACGGAAGACGGTATCACATTCTGGAGTATAGTCGCGGTTGCAATGAGTGCCTAGGTCGCCGTCGCCAAACCCGAACATGACCAGCGAGAAGGCCGACAGGCACAGTGCAGACATCCAGAGACCATAGGCCAGGATGTCGACGATGATCTCCCAGGTGAAGATTCCTTGTTTCTAGCCGGCTGTTAGTTCTGCAACTTATGATACGGATAGGAGCAACTTACGCTTTGTGGTGGCCTGTCCATAATATCAGGGGCGGCAATCTCCATTCCAAGGCCCATGTCAGGCATGCCGGATGTGATCATGATGATCCATAAGATCTCGACGGGAGCCAGCGGGAACACAGACTGGTTATCATTGTCCTTGAATGCCAGCCCGATAAGCAACGTACAGGCTTGAGCAATGTTCTCAGCCAACAAATGCAGCACAAATTTCTGAATGTTATCAAAGATACGACGGCCCTCTTCGACGGCATTCAGAATAGATGCAAAGTTATCATCCGTTAGAACGATATCAGACGCATCCTTGGCGACATCGGAACCACTCTGGCCCATGGCAATGCCAACATCGGCATGTTTCAACGACGGAGAGTCATTGACTCCGTCGCCTGTCATGGCAGCGAACTTGCCACGCCGATGAAGAGCTTTGATCATACGGACTTTGGTGTGCGGAGCACATCTGGCAATGACTAGCGGAAGCGTTGGTAGATGGTCAATTTCGTCGTCGGATAGCTTGTCAAACTGGCTGGCCGTCATGACCATGGCATCGGCTACATCGCGTGCAACCGTACTTAGGTCCGCGGGGATGATACCAACTTGAGCTGCAATAGCACGGGCAGTCCCAGGGTGATCGCCAGTAACCATGTGGACTGATATTCCGGCTTTATAGCACTCTTCAATGGAGCCGGCAGTCTCAGGGCGAGGAGGGTCATACAGCCCAATCAGACCACAGAATTGCAGCTCCTTTTCAACGTCTTCACGATTGACATCCGTGTCTTCTAATGTATTGGGGGTAGCATCATATGGCCGACTAGCAAGTGCGAGAATACGAAGACCGAGTCCGGCCAGCGCTTCCATATTCTCGAGGATGTCATGGCGGATGGCATCAGTCATGGGAACTGGACCCTCAGCTACATCCATAACAACGGTCGTGCATGAATCAATGATACGTTCAACTGCGCCTTTGGTGAAGACCATCTGCTTATCTTCCGATTCGGTGAGTTTCCGAAAGATTACAGACATCTTCTTCACGTCAGAATCAAAGGGGAATTCAGCTTTCTGGTGCCAGATCGCCCCCTGCCCTTGTACCCAGCGGTCCCTATTCCAATTGAATCTTGACGCAAATACCTGGATTGCGATCTCCGTGGGCTCGCCTCTGGCGCGCCATTCATTCCCATCGCTCTCAGATCGATAAACATGCGCAAGGTTCGCCATGGATGCAATGTTCAGGAATTCTTCAAGCTGGGGGTTGTCCCTGATAAGCTCATCAGCATCGGTGGGTTCGGCAACCTTCTCGTCAGTCATTTTGACGGGAGGAAGGGTATCAAGGCTAATGTCTCCAACTTCAGGGTTGAATGGCTCGTTGGAGGTGCCTACTGAATACGTTCCTAACGATGGAATCCAAGCCTTCTTCGCCACCATTTTACCCTGAGTGAGCGTTCCGGTCTTATCAGAGCAGATGTTCGTGACGGCACCGAGGGCCTCGAGTGAATCCAGCTTTCGTACAATAACGTTTCGTTCAACCATTCGTTTGGTGCCAACGGCCATGGTGATGGTCAAGACGACCACGAGGCAGGCGGGGATCATACTTAGGCCAGTAGCAACCGCGTAGATGATAACTTCGTTATTGCTGCTCCATTTGTTGGCACTCATGACAACGATAGCGAATAGAACAGCAACGCCGAAGAGGATAAGGGCCAGCTTGGATAGCTTTCGCTGAAGCGGAGTTCCGACGTTGACACCAAGGAATCTTCCCACGGCATCAGTGCCAGTTAGAGTCCAGGCTTGGACATACCATCGCTTCTTCGTCTCACCGCTGGGTCCACGCTTTACCGGCCGGCGTTTGCTATCTGAGGCTCTGAGAGCAGCGGCAATTGAACCAATCTCGGTGTTCATACCGGTGGCAATGACAACGCCACGGGCACGTCCACGGGTGACGGTGGAGGAACTATAGGCAATGTTCAACCTGTCGCCAGGGCCAACATCCTCCTTGAAGGTCGTATCGCAGTCCTTCTGGACAGGAAGTGATTCTCCAGTAAGAAGGGCCTCGTCGGTTTCGAAATTAACTGCTTCAACAAGTCTATTATGGAGAACAGAGCAACGTTAGCCCTTGGGACAATAAAACCACAGCCCTGAGAAGAAAAAGGATAGCATACCGAAGATCAGCGGGAACGGTATCACCGGTTTTTAACTCGACCATATCACCAGGGACGATATCAATAGACGGAATGACAATAGTTTGTCCGTCTCTCGAAACAGTCCCGGTTGGGGAACTCAGCGAGCGGAGAGAGTCCATCGTCTTCTCCGCAGCATATTCTTGAAAGAATCCAACGATGATATTAAGAGCGATGACAGCAGCAATAACGCCACCTTCAATCCAAGATTGAATTCCAAAACTCACGGCCATTGCCATGATCAGGACCTACGCCAGCAATTGGATCAGACCAACAAAGTTCTCATATAGAAGGGGGGGTAGAAGGGGTAGAATGAAATGGGCCGCTTAACTAGCATCATAGCATTTGCCATCTGGCGGATGAGGATCTTGACGACGGAAACACCTTCACCTTCCTCGAGCTTGTTCTGGCCGTATGTGTTGAGACGGGCGTTTGCCTCCTGGGTGGTAAGTCCATCGTCTGCGTGGGTAGCCAACTCTCTGGTGGCCGCTTCCGCTGTAAGGCAGTGGGCTGGGCGGGAGAGGGGCCCCTTGACAGGCTCGGAGCCTGGGGCAGCTTTCTTTTCTCCCATGGCCGGAATGAATGATATTGTGGTTGAGCAACAGGGGAGTCAATATAATGTGATTCCTTGGATCCTATCTAGGCTATCTCTAATGAGCTGCAGCCAGAAAGTTCCGAACTGCTTCCGCTCAACAAATAAGTGAGGCAGTAGGAAGAAACGGGGGAAAGAGTGATTGATGCCAAATGGAAGATATAGATGAGACAGGAAAGATCCGCCTCTTTTAAGTGAGAAGGGAGTCAGTCCGGCTAACGTGCCTCGGAGAAGAACGCCTTGCCACCTCAGGTCTACCCGCTCTCCCCCGAATTCTCTTGGGAGTTGAAGTACCTTGCTTGGGAGCAGAGGGTGATGCAACTGCGCAGCCAATCACCCAAGGTCCAAACTGCCGAGCGTCCGCCGGTTTTTCGCTAAAGCCTCTCCATGGCCCATGATCCCATTCGCCCTATGACTTTCCGCCTTCCCCACCATTCCGCCGGCCGGCGAAACAGCATCGAGCCTGGTGGCAACTCGGTCCATGGCGAAGGATAACGCCAAGGGATCCCTTGGCCACCGTAATGAATATTCCTTGGCAATCGGATCGAGAAACAAATTAGATCTCGCTCTGAAATCTCCCAGTGGGTTCAGGAGCAATTGACTCTTGGAAAAAAAAGGACGTTGCATTGTTGTCAGAAGACGGAAAACTGGGCTGCATGAAAGTCCGTATACCGGTGTCAACCGGCCTGTAAGGTTTTCGATCCTATACGATGATATTCCATATTCTAGCCTGGGACCGCGATATGCGAACAGGCATACATGCTAAAGCGAGTGCAGAGGTCTAGGAGGGACCTCCCTTTGAGAGTCCCCATCTGAGAGCTGCTGTCCAGGACCGTGGACTTCTCAGATAATGTATATTTTCACAATGCTCTTGTATAGATATAACCAGCAAACCCAAATGAGCTGGTTGCACAGGAACCCACGGAGATACGAAACGTCTTCCACCGTCGTTCATGGTTCATCGAAGATTTCTTGATATCGGGAAGAACGCCAAGACCAGGGGATCCGTGGGTCAACAGTGCGTCATGATGACTAAAGCGCCAAGGTAAGAATGGCTTGGCACAGATATTTTGGTTCTTGGCATGGGTCTGGGCCACGTGATATCTTGGTCGGGACGACGATGGGGGAGAAGATAGAAGGACGGAAGCGAAGAAGAGCAGGAAGAGCAAGAAGAAGGCTATTCTACATGGTTCGCACGGTCAAGCTAGTAAAGAAGACTCCGCCGCCAAATTCCTGATATCATACACATGTCCGATACAACATCCCCCCAAAAAGAAGAAAAAATATGGTCAATGATGAGCTAGACGACTCCAAGGGTTCAGTCCTCTACAACCTCCCCCAACGCCTCGCCTTGCTTTATTCTTTGTCCCTTTTTGATGTGCCATTGCCATCCGCCCTTTCGCTCACCTGTCCAAGAAACATCAAAGCTCTGGCGGTTGCCCATGGGCGCCTCGAAGACTAGAACTATCGAGCTGCCCAGCTGGAAGCCACCCATCTCTTCTCCTCGCTGTAAAGCATGGCCCCCGAGCGTCTTACTGGCGTGTCCATATGTTGCCTCCGTGTAGCCGGAATAGGGCTCACCTCGCTGGGCAGCAAGGGCGGCCTGACGATCGGCAGCAGTGTCGGTGGTTAGGCTGTTCGTTCGAAGTTCGGCATCAAAGTTGATCTTTATTGATCCCACATTGGTTGCACCGACGGGCGTATAACTGAAGAAGCCCCAACGCCAACGGCCTAACAGGACGACCCGTTCATTAAGTGTGAAGAGTCCTGCCAATGTGCGTTGCAAGTAAGGAGAGACCGAGTAGAGTTCCCCGGCAAAATGTCGCCGACTTTCGACGACCCAGGAGGCTGGTGAGTGGAACCTATGATAGTCTCCCGGTGCAAGGTATATCACCACATAGTACAGTGCCCGATTCGAGGTTGGCCTCGGCGAATACCATGCTGGCTCTCCCTTCGCGAGATCGGCTTTCACTTTCTCTTCAGAAGTCAAGCTAGATTCCATCGATGCGTCCATTGAGCCGTTCTTGTCAGCGATGTGCTTTGTAGTTCCGGAGAGTAGCGTAGGTAGTGTGTAGCTCAGGCCATTCATTTTGGCAAACTCCTGGTCTGCGGCGAGATTTTCAGGGTCGGTATCGTCGTCCACCTTGTGCATAGGTCGGGTGGTGGGATGCACGGGTTCTGAATCCGGGCTTACGGTCCCGAGCCCAAGCAGTGCTTCAAGACTGTAGGTCATCCCCTTCACCTGTTCCACCTCTCCACGCTCAATCATTCCAAATTGAAGAATACGTCCGTCAGAAGGTGAAAGCAGTGCAGACGGGTTGGGGTCCAGGGGTCGCACTCCTGGCTTCAGCTTCCGGTAAAAAAATGAAGCTAGATTGGGGTATACGTGGAGATCGGGCTCATCGACCTCGTCCAGGTTCACTCCGAATATCCAGGAGTAGAGCTTAAAGCCTGGGACGCGGAGAGGATAGGGCAAGACCAGCTCGTTGAATCGGCCCCATATGCGAGATACGAGCTTCAGCGGCAACGTAGACATGACCTGGACCTGCCATGGCCCGGTTGGACGTACCCGTTGCCTGGGAACAACCTCCTGAGGCCGGTCCCCCCGTTCAGCTTCCATCAGCATCCTCTGCTTCTCGGCCTGCTGGGACTTGTAGAACTGGGCAAGTCCGAGAAACGCAATTCCCAGCCCGACTGGAATAGGGTACCATTCGATTTTGGTTTTTCCGAGTGCAGCTCTCAGTCTCGATCCGAATGATTCCTTCTCATCATCCCCGGATTTTTGCTTGCCACCTTGGGACTCCTGGTTGCTCCGGTATTTTCTAGATGACGAGAACTGCCTGCTTGAAATTATCTGACATCTTCCATTGCATCTGCCCGGTGCCAGCCCACCAGAAAAGCCGTCCCAGGAGCCCTGCCGGAGACTGGCTCTGGCCTTGGAATAATGCCTAAGCATCAGGCGCGACATCGTCCCTCCACCGCCAGCTCTTCAGATGATGCCAATCCCCATAAACCTCCTCGAGCACAAACGCAAACGTGCACCTAGCTGCTAACTTTCCTATCCCCGTCTAGCTGTATATATTTTCTTTTCTTTCTTTCCTTTGGCCGTCAACATGCAAGTTTGTTGTCTGTTTGCTAGAGAGAGAAAAAGCAGCTTGGGAAGACATGTCCGGAACAATGTTCTTCCACTACCGCGACTTCCTGCTCCCAATGCGGTAATCAGGGCTACGCATCAAAGAAACCGCGACGTCTTTTTGATATTCTCAACTTCATCTTCGTTTTTATCACTTGGGAGTTTTCCAGGGAAGACGAGAGTGCCTGTCTACTTGAAATCACGGCCCGTTTGCTCGTCGAGTGACCGTCGTTTGTGAGAAACCAGCCAAGCACATGAGCGTTTGGTGAACTGTCCAATAGCGGCTGTCTGAGGTTGGCTATATATAAACCGGCGGCTGCAACGGCTTCCGACAGTACAAACTCCATGCGTTTGGAGAGTGCCATATTTAACACCTGTGTCTAGATATTTCCTTGGGAGACCATGCTATAACAGTCACTCACATACCATCATGCGCCTATCTTGACCTTCTGCGGGGTTGCGCTGTTCTGGCTGTGACATCACACCGAGGCGACGAACACAGTCCATCCGCTCATTCAATTCCACGACAAAAGACCAAAGCAGCCTCGATCGGAAGAGAATGGCATCGAGTTCCTCTATCTCGGGATTGAATCCCAAGTCTCACCCGGCGGAAGTGGATGCTCAGCCTATTGTTCTCCATGTCGTTTCGCCCTCGTTCGACGCTCGACGTCGCATTACCTTTAACGACCTGCCTCTATCCACCACAGTCTCAGAGGTGAAGGCCAAAATCACCCAAGAGCTGCCGAGCCGACCACCGCCTGAAAGCCAACGGCTGATATATAGGGGGAAACCATTGTCAGACAATGACGAAGTTTTGAGGCGTATAGTTGAGCCATCAGATGTATATCTGTCCTTTTTTCCAAATACCACCAACAGACATAGTTTGGCTGACCTTTAGCTTGCTTAACCCAGACTCTTGTTTATTCAATGCACCTTGTCCTACCTCCTTCTACCGCTTCGGTTTCGTCTTCTTCTCTTGAATCAAAAGTTCCCTCATCATCTTCCGGCGTACCCTACGATCACGATGCACGGTCGAACGTATTACGGTATCGAGGCTCACAGGGAAGCAACGACAACTCGGTTCGAGGGCGACCTGCTGGGCATGCCACTCCGCCGGAAGATGACCCCGGACTCAGTACTATAAACGAACAAGGACTTACTCAAAACCAGGACCGAACAGCGAATAACACATCTCCTCTATCACATCGATTCAATCCCACCACAGGTATATGGGAAAGACTAGGCCAGGCCAATCGCTCACAGAACCCTCGCACACCCCATGAGTCGCGCTCCTCTACAGCCTTTTCGTCGCCACAAAATCCAGTATTAGCGCCTCCGACTGGGAGTCCCCCCGTGCTCCCTCGGCAGCAGAGCCAGCAGCCGCAACCTTTACTAGAACAACAGCAGCAACCCTTTCAGCCTCGTCTTTCACGCAGTGACGTACCGGAACCTCCTCAGCCCCTTCCCGCACATCGCACCGCGAGTTACCTACCTAACCAGGCTGGCTCAAACCATCATGGATCAACTTCACCCCAGGGTTCAGAAAGTAGGAGATATCGATTAAGCCTCGTAGTACGAAGTATCATCACCATGGAGAGCCAGTTACATGGTGGTGTTATTCCTAGGGTTGATGAAATATCAGCTGCTCGTAGCCAGCTATACCAGCACCTTGACGAGCAACATCGCAGCCCTCTGGAGCCTCGAGACGTACCAATAGAGGGATGGATTACACGAGTGTCAAACCTGGCTACCCGTGCGGATCATCTCCGACTTATGAGAGCTAGAAATCAGAGCTCTGCTTCGTCCCAACGGGCATCGTCCAATCCCTCAGTCATGCCCAACGGTTGGCGGAACACACCGTACCTGGTGGTATCTCCATCAGGGTATCAGGGCATTATACTACCCCCGTCCAATTCGCTTCCCGCATCTGTTAGCAGAGCTACTACCACCCACTTCCTCCCTCCCGCTATACCCTTTAATCCAAATGGCGGAGTACGACACATCAACCCTTATAACCCGCCAATAAACCAAGGCCAATTTCGACCACAAAATCGAAATGGTGTAATCATAAGAGGAACAACCCTTTTCAGAGTGGTAAGAGCGATCTGGCTGTTCATACGACTTTACTTCTTTTGTTACATTCTGAGCGACTCCGGAAGCTGGCTCCGCATTTTCCTTGTTACCCTCGCTGTTGTGTGGGCCTGCCTTTCAGAAACCGACATTCCCCAACAAATACGACGAGCTGTCTTGACTCCCATTCGACATCACGTCGAAGGGCTTTTCCCGGTACCGCATGGTCCAGCCCAACCGCCACGCGGAGGGCGAGATGCGAATGATGAACAAGGAAGCGCTTCACGAAGGTCTACCGGTAACCGCCAGCCCACAAACGAACAGGAGGCTCCTCAAGGCCGTGACGCGAACGTTGGATTTTGGCAGAGAAACCGGGGCATTGAGAGAGGCATTGCTCTTTTCCTTGCATCCCTCATACCTGGAATCAGTGAACGGCAGATAGAAGCCATGAACTTTGTGAATGCTGCTCGAGAAAATGCAGAGCGTTCCAGACAGGAACGGGAAAATCGAGCGGCTCAACAGGATAGAGATGCTGCGGCACAGCAGGAGCCCAATGTACATGGTGAACAGGCGGATGATCATCAAAATAGAGACGGCCAACACCACGAGGTATAGTAACAGCGGAAAATAACAAGCCCTCTCCTCGGCTACTTGATTCCTCGTTTTGTGCCTGTTGCATTTATCACTCGGCTTTTTATTGAACCACTAATTGACTTTTCTAACGTTTTCTTTCATGCGACTTGTTATGTGTATACCCTTCGACAGCGTTTTGGCATCGTCTTTCAGCTTGTAATATACTCCGCCGAACTGAATTCAAAATTGTATTTTGTCCATTCATATACGACCAGGTAGTTGTAACGAGGGCTCATACTACTAATATTTATATCCTCCGTATCCTAACTGTGTATTAACTATTAAGTTAACTTTGGAAACTCTGGGGAACCTCGGCACTAGCGATGGGAGTTAAATATTAAATCCTTTTTATATATCGTTCCCTCAATCCCAACACAACTATTATTCCCACTAAGCGGTATAACTATATTATAGACGATACAGGGACTCTGTGCAGGGAATATCTGGCTTCAAATGCCCCTTGATACCATCTACCTGACCAGGCATGGCGTAAGTCCTTGACTCCTATTCCCTGCTGCTATATATCCCCCGCGATGTCCAGGCCCGGTCTACTATATTGACAGCCCAAATAACCAATTCAGCTTCGTCTAAACTGGTCCATAGATCTCTCTACGGGGACTTACCATGCTAATTACCCGACTCCGACCGGCATTCCCGTCGACCCAACCCTGACTGGGCCTGGGGTAAAGCAGTCGCATGAACTGGCGGCTCATGTTAGCAGCGCGGAGTTCAAACCGAAACCCTGCCGGGTATACTGTAGCCCATTCTACCGCTGTCTACAAACTATACAGCCGACAGTGGAATTGCTGAGAGAGCTTCAAGGGCGTGAGAAGAAGGAAAATGTTGACCTGAATGTCCGGGTCGAGAACGGACTTGGGTAAGCTCTTGGGTTTATAGACGAGAAACTTCGTCCTCTCCTTTTCAATTTTATGGCTTTTATCAGCTAGCTAATTTGTTATAGGGAATGGTTCGGGTCCTCGTCTTTCTTCACGCATCCGTCGCCTGCATCATTCGATGTTCTCGATCCTTTGTTTCCGGCACTGATCTCCCCCTCATACACCGCACACGTTTACCCAAGCCCGAGTGGAGAGACAATAGCCCAACTCCATGATCGTGTCGCAACAACTCTGGAAGTTATCATTGCCGATGTAGATGACGAGATTCACGAATATGAACGCACGCATCCAGAGGCTGCTCGGGAGAGTTATTCCCTGATCATATGTGCACACGCTGCACCATTGATAGCCATGGGCCGGGCTTTGACGGGGCAGATGCCAGACGACTCATCCACAAAAGATTTCAAGGTCTTTACAGCGGGATTAAGTACGTTTAGGAGGCGTAACCAGAGACCGGTGTCATCCCAGGAGAATGAGACACACGGGGAGGGCAGCCAAATGGTTTCTGGCAAAAGAATACCTTCGTGGCGTAGTGGGAGAGGTGTTGGTGGTGGATGGGATTGCATTGTGAATGGAGAATGTGGATTTCTGAGCAATGGAGCAGAAAGGGGTTGGTACGTAACTCGATACTCTCACGCCTGAAAATTTTATCTACTGACTGATGTTCACTACCTTATTAGGCACTTCCATGGAGAAGAGGACTTCAATTCAATGCCCGCGCCGGTAGTGGCAGCAGAAGCCGGGTCGAAGGAAGACTCCTCCCGGACAACTACCAAGCTCTGACACTCATAGACGCTTCCTTGCTATTTTTGCCCTTATATTTAGAGTCTGGCTTGAGATACACTAACGATATCCAATATATAGATTTACGAAGAATTGTGCAGATTTAAGACAACGGTTAGATTAAAACAACAATATGGGCTATTTATTGGACCAGGTCCAGATAAAAATCATACAAAGAGCCTAGATTGTCATCTCTAACAGAGCGTAGCAGCTATAGCCTCTTCCTCCCTCCCTACAAAAGACTAGATGTAGCATGGCCCTCGAGACGGTTAAGAGTATAACAACACTACACGGATCAAACTTCATGGTGGCTAGCGAATGTGACGGAACATCATAAATACAGACTAATGCTAATATCAAACAAGAACAGCTACTCGAGGGCCGGTAAAGCGATACGGCGAGAATGTTACGGGCTAACATTAGATGTGCGACCGAGCAAACGAAAGACGAAGAGGTGAATACTCGACAAGGGATAACCATAGCATTCAAGGATCTAGATGAGTGCATAAAAGTTGCCTCTCACTATCTAAAAAAGCACTGATGCTTCGATTGAATGTCGTGAAGAATTGGATACATCGTTAAATCATAAAATGTATTGCGCCCGCTCAGTCATAGGGAAAAAACGCCATGGTATCCCCCGTTCCATTAATTGAACACTTTTGTTTTTGCAGGGGCTGGGAAAAGAATCAGAATCTAGTAGAAGAAACCAATGACCTTTCCGGCAACGTGCTTGCGACGGGCCTCCTCATGGTCCATGATACCAGCAGAGGTGGTGAGGACGATGTAGCCGAACTGACGAGATGGGAGGAGACGGACGACCCACTTCTCGAGCTCACGGAGCTGAACGTTGTAGCGGGGAGAGATGACACCGGTCTTGTTCAGGCTATATTGGGGAAAGACGAATGATTAGCAAGGTACCCAATTGGACAGTTGAACAGAAGGAAGATTGGATACACACCGGCCGTTGAGCTGGATGACGATCTTGCCGGATCGGTGGTCATCGACTTCCTCGAATTCACCAATGTAGCCTGTAGACGGATGTCGTGTCAGTAAAATATAGATGTGGCGATGAATTAAACGTTGCAAATCATAAAACATCAAAAAAAAAAAGCTTTGATAAGACAAGAAACTTGTAAGATCGTCGCCAATATGAAATATTTTAATCTATCGAACACTTAAAGGGCGGACGTTGTAGAGTGGGTTAAATTCGAAACAACCGCCTAGTTATCAGCCCGACGCGGTGGGAGGAAAGAGGAGATATACATCGTTGGGAGACAAGATCAAACGAAAGTTGAAAGCAAGAAATCAAAGTTCATTCGTTACTTACCGTGCTTCTGCATGACGGACAAGAACTTGACGATGACCTTGGAGCTGGGTCTGATGAGGACCTGACGCTTGCCAGCCTTCTCGGCGTTGTTGATGGCGTTAAGCGCATCGTTCAGAACACTAGTCTTGACCATCTTGGCGGTATTGTGGAATTGAGATTCTCAAATCGAAAACGATTCTGTTTTGGAGATGAGGTATCTATTGTAGAAAATCCTCAATCTTTTTTATTTTCTCTCGCTCCTTTTTATCCGATCCCAGAGGGTGACTCAAAAAGAAGGCGAGAAAAAATAAAAAGAAGCAGGATTGATCGAGTTAGCCTTCAGCAGCCTTTCCGAGCGCAAAGAGTGCCCTTTTTCATTATTTCCACTCGCCAAACCTCTCTTTCGAGAGTAATTGATGGAGGGAATAGGGTTCTTCAGCCCGTGCCGTGTGCAGAGGGAATGCGTATCATCGCGTCCTGGCATAGGCACGCAGCCTGCATTCGGCGATGATTGCTTCCCCCAGGCTAACTAAAGGGCATCGAAATGAGGAGCAGCGCAGGGTTATCACATACCTCGATTGATAGACTGGTGAAGAGCGGGTGTTTGTAGCTTGCGGTTGACGAAGAAGAAGAAATTCGCGGTCGTTGAAGTCGAAGTTGAAGTTTTGAAGTTGCGAGTGTGTGCCAAGACTTAGGGCTTAGGGCTTTATTTGGTGTCTTAGCTAATATATCACGTGATAGCATCATCTTCCCGTTTGGACGAAGAGTAAAGAGAATAAATAGGAGGAAAGATAGAAGATGATGATGAGGAGAGAGATATGTAAGTGGCATCATTGCTGTCGTCATTATGTCAAGTTAGGGTGTTATCGTCTTTCGAACATTGAACTCGTGGAGGCTACTCCTGAACAGCTTCATCCAGTTTGAAGACTCGTCCTTGGGCTTAACCGTATAGCCACGTTGGTTGCTCACAAGTCTGACGCCAGCCTTGATGAAGCTAGTCGTGTAATGCGTATGCCCAAAGACCCAGTGCTGCACTTGCGAGAAGATGGCGTTGGCGGGAGAAACAGCCTGGTCAAGTAGTTCTGTTGCAAACGAGCATGTCCATGGATTCTGTACATGTTCCGGCCGGCTGCTCTCGTTGATGCAAGGCGCATGATGGGTGATGACGATAATGCTCCTCTGTCCTTCCAGGTTGGATGCTCTATCTCCGTCTCTCAGACTGGTAATCTGATCCCTCAGCCATTCGACGTCCTCTCTATGTTCGGCGTTATGGTCTTCGATGGACCAGTCCTTAATACGATGAAAGTCCTTAACACGGCCGCTAACTGCTTCCACCGATTCAGGGGGTATTCTAGACTGCAGCGTGCATCCCAACAGCGTTATGTTGGGGAATCCAGGAAGCTCGACTCGTGTTCGGTTCAGGATGGACAGCTTACCCCGTACTTCTGGTTCCTGTTCTAGAGATGCCGCAAGTTTTAGTCCCTCGTGTCGAGAGACTCCGTAGAACTCATGGTTCCCAAGGACCAAGTACACTCGCTCGAACTGGCGGCATTGGTTGCTGAGGAACTGTAGATAGCCACGATAGTCGCTTAGCTGGCCGATGTCGCCCGCAAGGATCAGGAACGGCGCAGCAGCGGGTATTTGAAAGGAGCTATATTGGTTCCTGACCTCTAAGTGAAGGTCAGACAGTATTTGAATCCGTGGAGGCATGGTTACTGTTCGTTGGCCTTACTGGAATGCGATGGTCAACATGATCCTGATATTGTTTTGTTGGAAGCCAAGCCCCCCGAAGGTCGAATTACGATGAAACAGCCTCCCATCTAGGATGCCGCTACAAGGTCATATTCTAGGATATACAGTATCGAGGGATACAGCATCGAGGAAAATGCGATCGTCACGAATAATTAACTTTGCAACCATGAATCAGATCAAGTGTGTTATTACTGATGGTCGATTAAGGCGATAGGGTTAAATATGGGTGGGAAGGACATGACATAGGAACCGATAAATGAATAGTTAAATAGATGTGGTGCTGGGGAATGTGGATAAGGAAAGGGACATGAATGTGTCTAATCAATGGGGCGTAAAAGCGGTGGGATGGAAGAATAAAACCAGTCAAGGGGGGAAATTGGGGGAGTAATGATAGGAAACGGGTAGAAAACATTAAAGGGAAAGGTCCTCTCTTCTTTTTCTCCATACACTCCCCTGAAAAGGTACAAAACAAGACATTCATATCACTTCTGGCCCATGCTCGCTTGTGCATAACGAGGAAATAGAATAACGAAAAAACAAGGGAGAAAGGAATGGAAGGGACAATGCTATTTCCAAATCAAACCCTTTCTCTACAATATAGCGGGTCTAATTTTTAATAAAATGGATACATGATTTTGGGGGCATACATGATTTTTGGGGGCAAGGTTGGGGGGACGGAAACCTTTTCAGTTAACAAGCTTCGAGGGATAGTGTTGGATGCGAACGGGGGTAAGGGTAGTGGGCAGGCATGGGGGGGATGGGTTAGGGGGGGACGATGCGATGCGATGCGATTCGATTCATATGGGCTTGGTGGAACGACAAGCAGTTAACATCAACTAGGACGGGTTAGTGGTGATGGTGTGCTGTGCTCGGTGCATTGGGAGGGCTGTCGGATAGGCCTTCTGTATAACCGTTCCAGTATACGCTATTTCGGTGGCAGCGGCCAACTCTGACTGCGACTTTACTGCACTGTGCCGATGCAAGTTGAAGTGAGCCTGTCATACGACAACATCCGTCTTACAGGGGTACCTTAGGACATCGATGCAGCAGTAGCAAGGCCGATTTGGCGCTTGACTTGTCCCCTTGCCCAACGAGCAGTCTCGATAGTCTGTGGTCCGTACTCGCGGCTTGTTCGGGCTTCTCTTATCAACGAGGATATGAAATCATTGCGGAAGAACGATGCGTATTCACCATTGGGGAACGCCTCGGCCAGATCACCGATGACACCCATACTGGCGCGTAGCAAGCCTTCACTGCGAGAGTGTTCTTGTGCCACGAGGTGGAGGAGCTGGAAGATCGATTCGACATACGGCTGAAGAACATTGACATTGGGGGCACCCTTGTACGCAAGTAGGATGCCACCCCAAGCGTCCATGATTCCTTCGCGCAGGGACACGATGTAGTCGATCATGTCGTAGGAAACATCGCTACTAGCAGTGACGGCAGAGGCCTGTTGAAGGACCTGTGCAACGACTGAGAGGTAGGTTTCAAAGTGTGAGCCAATGGCCTGTGCGATGTCGCCGAATGTTTCGAGGATGGCGGGCTTAAGCTGGTTGGACAAGCTGTTGCTCCGGAGGTTGTTGAGGAGGTGGTTCATGAACGCGTCACAGAATGGCTGGACTTTGTCTCCTAGAGAGCGGGTGATGTCGCTCACTAGACCGATGGCCATGGCGCAGAGACCGGGCTCTTCCTGGTTTGCGAGAGCGTTGTAGAGGAATGGGCTGAATGGCTCCATGTACTTGATAAAGTCGGCCTCCAGAGAGCTGGCAAGGGAACCAACAGTTGCGAAAACGGTATCAGGCACACTGGACTTCGGTGGGATGGTAGTCAGCACCTGAAGGAGGACAGTCATGATGCGGTCAGCTTGTGGTTTGATTTCAGCTTCCAAGCGTTGGACGATGGCCTATACATTTGTGTTAGTTATGTGCGTCTTGCAAAGTGAGAGAGTTAGCACGTACCAAGAGGACACTGGTCAAGCTGGTCTGCAGCTCTTCCAAGGTGATACGATCTTCGACGCTGACAACTTGCTGTTGCATTGGCACAGTCTGCTCTAATCTCCGAATGACAACATCGGACAGGGTAGCGATTATTGGTAGCGAGTCATTAGCTGCGTTGGTCACAAAGGAGTTTAGCACTTCATATGCAGCGGTACGTAGTTGATTGTCCGCATCGGCTCTATGAAAATTATTAGCATAAGAATCCTACAATATTCACAACAAAGGGGGCAACCGACCTCTCAGTAACGGATAAAAGCGAAGTAACGCTATCCTGGAAATGCTTGCTCAGGGGGTTAGTCTGCGCACCAGCGTCACCGGCAAACCGATCCGCAAGGTTCATCAAAGCCCAGCAGCAAGATCCGGCAATCTTGGGGCTGCTAGCCAGACCGTTAAAGAGGCATGAAATTAGAGGGTGCAAGTGCACGTTAACCTCGATGGCGCCGGAGCAGTAGTCGCAAATCCGACCAAGGGCATAAGCAGTCGAGTCCCTAACGTGAACGACCTTATCTTCCATCATGGTGATCATAACTGGCAGCGCTTGGCGGACAAGGGGGACGAGAGTTTCATGCTCTGGGCCGTCCATTATGGCACCGAAGGCAGAGACGGCAGCGTCACGGTGATGCCAGTCTTCGCTGCGCAGGTTTTGCTCGACGAACTCAAGAACAGGCCCGACGAGCTCGGCCTGCACGGTCTGGGCATACAGCTGCAGAGCCTGGTAGGCGGCGCGGGAAACGTCGTAGTCATCGTCACTGGCATCTTCATCTTGGGTGGTCATTAGCTGCAAGAGGACGGGGACGACCTCTCGGCAGGCGATGCGGGCGAAACTGAAGAATGGCCGGACCTCTGTCGATCCTTCGGCTTGTGCCTGGAGTGGGATGTTAGCACGGCTATAGCCAAAGTATAGGGGAGGGAACGGAACATACCACATTATTATCATCATCAATGGAAAGCTCCTCCTCGCAAACGGTACACCAGAATTCAATAGCGAGCTTGGCCACGTCTTCTTCGTCACTCTTCATACCCATAATCGTTAATCCAAACAGCGCCTTCTCCATGTAAAAGCGCATCTTATCATAATAAATGCCCATAATCCTATTCAAGCAGCCGAAAGCACCGGCCTGTATCCGTGTATCCTCCGCCTGTGTAGCCTCGCAGACAACCTGCATGATATAGTTCCGTTCGCCTTCATTCTCGAAATTCGTGCGCACGAACTCGATAGCATCACTGAGCGCAGAGATGGCAGCATTTCGGACGTCCGGGTTCTGTTCTTCCCGTCGCGCTCCCTGCACGACGGCCGTGAGGATGGCGTTGGAGTGTGCGTTGAGGCTCTCACGGAGATCGGGCTCTTCGGACTCGCAGATGAAGCCGATCGTGGTCAGGGACGCCTGTTTGAGATGATCTGATCCTGTGCTGATGTTCTGGACGAGCAGGTTCATAAGGTCCTGCCATTCATTGCGGGGCAGCTCTATCGCCGCGATGGAGGCTATGAACTGACCGGCCGACTGGCCGGCTCGGGCATCAGATGCGCCCAGCGTCTTCAAAGCCAGCTCCTTGACGTTCTTCTTGACCTGCTGGTCGACGCCGTGTGCCCATCGCCCCTGTACCTCTCTCAGACGGGCAATATCTCGGAAGGAAAAGGCGTTCTTCAGTGCGAGACCGGCGGCTGTTCGGATCGACGAGGCTGCATTTTCGTTGGCAAGCTCACCAGCTAAGGTTGTAAGGTATCCGGCCTGCCATAGTAGAACGTATACACGGTTAGTCTTATAGCGACTTGGAGGTGAGTTTTTGGGGGGTTGTAGGGGGTGGGACGCACAAAGTCGACCTCTGCGGCGTGAAGTAGCTGCTGCTCTGCATTTTGACGAGTAGCGGCATCTATGGAACACGGAGAACGAGGGCACCGGATCAGTCAAGTTCTTGAGGGTCTTGGGGTTGTTTTCCCACCAGCGGTGACTGGGGGAGGATGGAGGGAGGAGGTCGAGATAGCAGCCTACGTACCGGCAGAGAGGGTGCTGGCCAACACCTGATTGACATCCATGATGGGAGAGCACAGCTGGAGCGTTCACGGAGAGTAGCAGACGGAGAACGTAGTAGAAAGGAGTGTAAGAAGGAGAAAGAAAAGAGGTATTGAGAGCTCGTAAAGGAGGAGTTTTTGCCCCTGCGCGTGCTGTATCTGGCTATCTGGGGGTCCCTACGCCGCAAAGGAAAAAAAGGACGACGGCGAGCAGAAGGCGAGCAGGACGAGACGAGTGCGAGAACCGTCCTGGCAGCGAGGAACAGGAGTCAGGCGATGCAGCGAGGAGTAATTGGGCGTGAGATGGAGGAGCGAGCGAGGATGAAAAAAATAGGAAGAAAAACAGTTTGTTGACAACAATAAATAAAAATGGGCGAGGGTGGGCTCTTTAGCTCTGCGGATTCCCAAGTGCCCCGCGACCAGGAGAACGAGCAGCCGCAAACACCACGGTAGACAGTAAGGAAATATGAAGGAGATATAGCTGATGCAGTCTACGGGCTGCTTGTGCAGGTTGCAGGTTGCAGCGTGAGGTTGGAGGTTGGAGTTGCGGGAGTTGCTGGTTACGGCTATATCAGATATCTAGTCTACACTATCTAGTCCAGGGCGCTGTCCAGGTCGAGGACAGAGTACCGTTGTCCGTCTGCATACAAAACGCACACGACTCGCCGTCCCCTGCGCCCGTTGACCTCGAGATGCGCTGGTTCTCGCTCGGCTGTCTGGGAGAATGCGTGGCAAACCAGCCGGTCCGGGACATCGAGGCTCGTAACCAGGCCTCCGTCGACGGATGCGAAGTCTATCTCGAGCCTGGCCTGCTTGCTGGCAAGATAGGGAACGCTGACGAGGTGCCAGGATGCTTGTAACAGGGTCAGTTGGCGTTTCATATAAGAACGGAGGTCTAGTCTCTGCATACCTTTCGAACTCCAGAGCAGCATCAAGGTGCCGTCCTCCACGAACTTGAGGTCGCGGATGCTTCCTGAGCCAAGGTCGACCGTCGCCAGGTGGCTGGCCTTGGTCGAACTAACGCCGTTTACGACGGTGAGAATGTTCCGGTAGATATAAACTGTCAACCGGTCAGCCAGCTTCCTCCACGGCGGCGGACAGGAGGACCTACATCTATGCGGGATGGTCCGCGATTTCGACGCAATATAGACGGACGATAGACTCTCACCCTCATACTCCTGTAATGGCCTGCCTGTTAGCTTCTTCGGTGCAAAATATAGGTACCAAGGTGCAACTAAAGTACGCACCTCAAAGTTCATTGCCATGTCAAGGACGACATTGTCACAGTCTTCGCTCAGCTGGAGCGTAGACCGAAACAGCGTCCCCCTTCGCTGCGTCTCTGCAATCTGTTTGAACACCCTGTCACACTGCGCTGCCAGTCGAGCCGTCAGGTCGCCTAGCATAGGTATCGACAGCCCTTCAACCGTCCCCTGAGACTCATAGCGAGAGACTGCCTTTTTATATTCCTCGTAGAAGGTCCCGTCGTGCACATCAATATCCCATCGCTTCTCACCGTCCGGATCGGGCACCTGGATGAACCCTTGTAGTGCACTAGATGTCAGCGCCCCCTTCACATACCGCAACGTCATTCCGTAGTCGACCGCATCTGCCTTTTCCATCAGCTCATCCACGGTTGAGGACGACGGATCCGCAGCCTGCAGCTTAATCTCATGTTGCATCCAATCTGCAAACGCATGGAACTCCTTTAGCTCTACGCCGCTATGGAGCACGACCTTGTGTGCCAACAGGCTCAGGCAGTCTAGAGTCGCAACGCATTCCTTTAGGAACGTCGTTTCGAGGCCTAAGATAGGGCTTATGCGGTGATATTTTGAGAGTCCCATGAGCCTACTCAGGAGTACGCCACAGCGTTCCAGGGCTGGCATCAGACATTCATAGGTAAGCCGTCGGAGAGATTCATAACCGCCAGTCACAACCTTTTCCCAGCGTTTATGGCCCTAGCATAATGGTTAGCTGGCGGATTGCAGTCAATCAAGGAATGAGACATACCCTCTCCCCAATCACTATTGAAAGGAACTCCTTCAGGGGTGGGAAACAATCCCCCGTAACGATTAGATGATATGTAGCGGTGACAAAATCACAATTGCACTGCTCCTGTAATTCCTCGCTCACTACGCGTAGGTACCGAATAGGTACTTCCCGTGCAGTCTTCCACTCTAGGTGGATCTGTGTTTGAACTTGCTTGATGTACCGTAGTAGGTTCTGCAGCTGTGTCACCTTCGATGCAAGCAAGGGTAGGTATCGGCCTGCCTTGGTGATGAACCGTAAGTCCAGGTCTAGGAGTTTCATTCCGTCGTCGTTCTGGAAGAGAAGCGCATGGGTCGAACTCATCGGATGGGAGGCGTGAGCCAGAGCTTTGTAGTTGCTCGTGCTGCTGTTACTGCTGTTATCATTCCCCGGGCCATTCAATGAGTTGGAAACATTTATTGAACCGATCTCGAAACTCTCGAATATTCTCATATGGATTGACCCATCGTCCAGCCCGGCGAGCAACACATCCACAGAATCCCCTGGGTTCTTCACAGGGGAGTGGAAAATAGAATCAAGCGATACTCTACTACTAAAGACATCGTCGCTGTAAAACAGAATTAGCATTTAAATTCGACGAATAGAGAGAGGTCCAACATACTCGTCACCTGTGGATGGTAAAGTGCTGAGCTTCGGCAGCGACCCTTCAATATCCAACAACGATAGTTCACGGGGCAAATCTGCCTTGAGAAAACCTAGGTGGGAGGATAGCTTCGCATCAGACATCAAAAGGTCGTCCAGGGATAGCTTTCCTTCTGGATCCTTCAAGTTTTTCAATAGACTCCCCGTCTCCGCGAAGCTGACCCCCCATCCAATGCAGGAAACGGTTCCAGGAGGCCGCTGCGGCAAGGAGAACGGTATAGGCGGTGATTGTGCCTTGAGTATATGCACCATCTTCCCACTATACGAGCTCAGCAGGCGTATATTATTATCTGAGCATGCAACGGCCAGCACGCGTCCTATCCAAGCATTAGCAACCAGCACACAGCACTACCGTAAAGACAGGCGTAGGAGTAACTGAATCATCAACCTACCATTCTCCTTCCATTTCAGCCCAATTGCTCTCACCAGCCCTCCCTCTCCGTCGTCTTCTCCCAGCCCATACGCCCCGCCAAACACTCGCTGCCCGTTCAGCCGATAGACGTTCACCTGCTCGTCCTCAGTCACGACGGCGACCAGGTCCATGTTCGGACAGTACGCAAACGCATGCGGCTTGCATCTTGCAGAGAGCTCCTTTTCGGCCACAGAGTTGAGGGTTGGAGGATCTGTGTCGGCCGCGATGGCGGGTGTGCTCTCGCGCCCTATGGTGGTTGTCGCTGGTGAAGCCATCTCGGGCACCAGGTAAACCACTCCGTCGCGCACCTGATGGTATCGGGGGTATATATTATTATCCTCACAGTTAGTTAAAGTAACTGGTTCATCTTTATCGTTTACGCATAGACGTTGAGATGTTTTTTTAATGTATCTCGGTGATCTCGAGTTGGTGCGTGAGAGTTGGAGATGGAATGAAGCTTTGTTTCTTACTTGAAGCAGCGACTTCCTGGTCACCAAATATATTTTATTTACTCCTAGTCTACACTCTTCACTAGCGACTAAGATCTCCTTAATATCAATAGATCTAATACGCTCGATTTTTACCATTTAAAAGTTTTTGTTGACGTTTAACTCAAATAGTGGCCAGATTACAAGGTTTACGCGCTGAGATGAAGTATTGACACGGTCTTTGTAGATAGTATATATTGAGTGAACAAGGGCTATAGCCTTGACGTCTATATCTTTCGAACAACGAAGATTTTACACCAGATCGAACAAAGAAACAAACAAAAGAGCCCTCAAACGCCTGTTCTGCCAGATATGTGCACCGAAATTGCAGCAGAAATGCACCTAAAATGAAACTGTAGACGGCTAAGGTGGAAAACGAGAGTGTAAAGGTTAGAACTGATCGGGGCTAGCATCGATCATATCCCCGAGATAGCTCATTTCATCAATCAGTTCTTGCATCATGTTATGGATAGTAACATCAGGATGGTCTTCATTATGATTGAACCCCTGCGTTCGAGGACTGAGTACGGCGAACGATGATTTGCCAGATGCGACGCGGCTGGGGTTCTCATCGCTGAAAGGGTCCGACGTCATCCACGAAAACGGAGGTTCATCTTTGACTCCGTCTATGGACTGATGATCGATATGAAGGTCAGAAATCCCAAAACAATCTGTATAGTTCTTGGAGATCGGTTCGTCTTTGTTGTGCTCGGAACCAATACTTGACAGGTTACTATCCAGCGACGTGCTTGTGGAGAAGTTATAGTTGTCCGGAGAATTCGTCTCATTATTGAATGTCGACGAGGACGTCATGGAGCACGGAGACACTATTTCTGTGTCTGTGCTGCATTCAGAGAATCGGCTGCCGCCTGGGAGTAATGGAGAGTCGGGGCGTGAGGCCACCGTAGATTTTGAGAAGTGACTGTGTAGGTGCTCGAGGTCTAGGGGCGGGTAGTTGGAGGTCCACATGGAGCCGTATGATTCATCTAAGACGGAGGAAGGGCTGTTGGGAAGCGTAGGGAGACGTTTGGAGTACAGGTCCGTGGGAGAGGGAGCGACGTCAAGCTTACAGGGGACCTCTAACGTTCGGCTGCTCGTGTCTGAAGATTTGGGGCTGGCATCATAATTTATAGAATTCCTAAGAGGCGTATGGGCTGGACTCTTGGACCTGGAACGGCTCTGGCCATGGCTGGTAGGGTATGACGGGCCCGAACTGTTATCATTGCTATAATCGAAACCAGGAGCAGCAAGGAGCCTGTCGTCGATGACAAGGTCGGCCGGTGAGCCGCACGGAGACGGCAGAGCGGAAGATGAGGACGAGTATGTGCCGGGATACTCTGGCCGTAGATAATAGCTCTTGGACTGATTATTGGGGACAGCAGGGCTGGCAACGGGCGTGCTCCTGGTCAAGCCTATCTCAGGCATTGGTGTTCCCTGCTTCGTATACTTCTCTGGATTCTCATGGCTCGCGGAACGAGGCGACACACGGTTTAAAAATGCAGTGCGAAGACCAGAGGATTTGGGAGCCAGACTGCTCATGGGCAGTTTCAGATCGAGAGACAGCTTCCCACCGACTCGAAACTTACGACTGGCCGCGCGAGGTTGGGAGAAGCTTCTGCCGTGCGTGGGATGTGCGCCCGCCGGTGATATGGGAGAACCACGGGCTTCATGCGGTGCAAGAGCAGCTGGAGAAGTGGCCAGACGCGGGAGTTGAGGGCGCGGCGGCGGCCTTGGGTTGATATACTTATCCTCCGGGTTCATGGTTTGCTGGACAGACAGCTGAGAGCTCGTGCTATCGTTGCGGCCATGGGAAGTAATTGAGGGAGGCAGGTATATAGGGACATTAAGCACGTTGAGTGGCTGTCCGGGAAGTAAAGGACAAGAAGTAGTCCAGGCCTCAGACTCATTGTAGAAGTCAAAGTCACCGTCCAAAATGTACTGTTGAGCAGGTCAGTCAACGGATATCTATCTCTGTATAGACGGTAGGACTCCATACATAGTACCAATATGTTCCCCCCATCTTCAAGCCGCCATCCCGGCCTGGATAGATCGGGTTCCCGTGGCCGTCACATATTATATTGGTAAAAGTGTGGCATCCTCTCCAGTGGCCTCTGCCGGTGCGCGAGTCTTTCTCCATGCGGTATCCTTTGGCAAAGTTGTCCCAGGACCCAAACAGACTGACGGACCGGGTGGTTGGAGGCGTGCGTCTGGCATCTATCAGCTTTATCCGTGACGGCAGATTCAAGGAAGACTTACACGAGGAAGGTCATTAAGGTGGTGGTAGCTGATGGAGCAGCCATTTTGACGGAGAATGCGAGTAGATAGGAAATAGTTGGCCGGAACCAGCCAGCGACGCAATGAATGAATGAATGAATAAATAAAGAAAAGAAAGGACGGATGAAATATAGACGAGACTTAAATCGGAGAGGTCAAAGGAAGAGACGAAGCTCCTCTGCCTGCGAGCTCTTCATAGCTAGAACCAGGAGCTGTTCTTATGCACTCGCAGTCTGCCCGTCGGCCGTCTGGTCGCAGCTGTGTTAATGCGATGATTCTATAATTGAACCTCGTTTTGAAACCGCCTTCTGGACGACCAGCTCTCGTTTCAGGAGCTCTTGAAGATGCGGACGTCTAATATAACAAGACCAATGGGCTTGGGCCGGGACAAAGGTGGACTTGTCTGGGTTCGACTTTTCTCTTCGTCATCTCCCCTGCGGTCCCTTGATGCCGGCCAGGGGAGACGGCCACTCAGCGAGCTTCTTCACCCCCAGCTCGACGCCGCGAAATTGGCTGTGGGTTGCTATATTTACCCAACTCGCCCAGTCAGCCAGCGTCGTTTGCCCGTTTCCCGCAGGGATTCAGCAGACTAGCAGTTCTTAACTTCGAGAAGGGCCACTATCGAGGCCTGCTAGCGACCTTGGGCTGCGGATCTCGTTCAGCCACTGAGCGGCGAGCGCCATGATTGCAGGATCCCGAGTTCTTCATACTCAGTTCGTCGCACAGGAGGCGTTGCGGACGCCGTCGGGGCCGTCTTGATTGGATTCTTTGGCCAGCGCCATGAGGATCTCCCTGCAGGTCAAGGAATATGCGCATCAAGGGCGAACAATGCACTGTCTCATGTTCGGTGGTGCCAGGCATGAAACTCTGGCATCGGTTGGCTGTGCGGCGTCCACGGTCGTTAAGCGCCCGGCCCTGGGGGCATTTTCTTCGCGGGACGGATGTTTGATTAGTCGCCAATTCGTTCCATCGTGTCGCTGCTATTTGCAGGTGTTGGCCTGCATGTTGAAATTATCCGATCTATTCAGGGCAGAGTCAAGGGCGTAGACTCCTAGCCGCCGACGCAAATGTTGGGAGCATGGGCTTGCCGTGCTGATATATCAATGTGCAGTCAGAGACAAGGGGACGAAGTTTCAAATACTCTGCTTTAATTTCTCTCTATCATTAGATTTAGGATACAGGGCTCCCGGAATAGTTCAACTAGACCACCAGCCCCTTTGCAACAATGAAGAAATGAAGCATGTCTGCCAATCCGTCGCCGACGTGACAGTGTAACACAGGGGGGAAACTATCAAGAGAAATAGTCGTATAACCGAAGCCAATAAAGAAAAATGTCTATCGTTGTCGTCCTCCGGCGGCGCTTTTTCGGTCGTACTTCTTGTGTACGGCACCAAGCACCACCTTCAACACTCCGTCAGCCGTAAGGCCACCGCCGCTCTGTGTAGCATCCCATGGTACGGTATCGACCATATCCCGGATGTTATTCTGTCCCGCCAGCGCGTCGTCCAACTCCTTCAAATCCTCTGCAGCGTCAGGGTCATCTCCGACTTGGAAGAATTGAATACCCACCTGCCACGGTAACGCATTGCATTTATCCAGCTTCTTCGCAGCCAGTATTATTACGCTCTCGACGTCATCCGTCGGGACGCCGTCGGTGATGACGATGATGTTTAGTGGCCGTATAGCTTCATCTCGTTCATCCGGCGTCATGCTCTTGGACGCTTCTTCAAACCTCTTCAGGTACGGTTTCAGGATATGCATCAGCCTTGCACCTGTCGGAGTGCCGCCCCGCGGAGCCACGGTGGTGAACACCTCACGCACATGTCCAGTGTCCTTGATGTTGGAATAAGCTCCATCCGGTGCTTCGGAGCGGTGGTTTAGGAAATATATCTCAACTCCGTCCTTGTCCTGAGCCGTGCATATCGGGGCGACCTTGGCCAGGGCGCTCTCTGTGGCCTGCCAGTTTGCGCCGCGCATGCTCGCGCTATCATCTATGAGAAACACGGTATCAAACTGAGAGAGGAACGAGTCGGCCTTGTCCGTAGACGCAGCCGGGGAGTTCATCGGGGCGGGGAAGCTTGGTGCTATTGACGAAGTAGTAGATGTTGAAGTTGGAGTGTAAGCTGGCGGAGGGTCAAGATGAGGGTATCCCGCCGTAGTAGAGACCACTGGTGGATTGGGAGAGCTCTTTTTCTGTCGGCTTAAGAATGATAGAGGCGATTTTGACCTCGATGATGATGATGATCCAAAGAGCGGCATCTTTGCTGGTTGTAGCCAACTGAGAGTAATGTGAAGATGCCGTGATGTCAATGGTCTAGAGAACTTCTAGAGCTATATGTTGTTGATATTGAAAGAAACCAGATAGTCCATGGCGCGGCTGCTTGCATTTAAATAGTAAGCAGTGGTAGCTTTATTCAATCCGAAACAGTGAATGAAGCTCTAAACAAGGCAGACCCCGCGATCGGTCATAGACATCCACGAGATGTTTCCTCGCCTAACCCAGAGGCATGTTAACCTGGATGGGAGTACGGGCTACGCCCCCCATGATCTATAGTCTGTAGTCAACTATACGTGAGCGTGGAGTCCTGCGGCCGGGACGGTCAACAGGCGGATGAGCAGCAAACCATGCAGGTTGCTAGTGAGATACCCTTCCACCGGAGTCCGCCCAGAGTTTGCCTGCGTTCGGCTGTTTTCTCGTTGGCTGATTGCATGAAACTTCTCGTCGCTTGCAAGGGTTGGAAGAAGTTGAGGCTGAGGTAAAAAAAAAAGAGGCTGAGTAGTTGGCTATAACTCGTGGTTAGAGGGTTATGGCCGATGGCTCCCATTGGACTACACTTCTAACTGACCACACACCAAATGCAGCAATTTATATCAACTGCATAATTCTGGGGCGATGACGGTACATATATTGTGGCAGTATGATGCCGGCACTGAAGGAAGCCTTATCTGATCCAGGTTTATATCCTACAGGATGCATCTCGTTGCATCCATCCTGGCTTTTAGATATGAACTAGAAGTGTACCACCTATACGATCATATTGTGGGACGAGAAAGCAATCTCGGAACTCAAACAAACAGGATGGCACCATCACATTCCCCGGCCTTGCTACTGGCATAGCCAGCTTCTGGGGTTCGCGCTATCTCCCCCGGTATATGTGTTGCGGAGTGGATATCTGCATCAGTCTCATCAGCCTAGCCTAGGGACGGTGGATGTACGAGAGAGGATATCAAAGTGTCCTTAGGAGGAGAGAATTAACAAACCTGCAATGTCTACGGCGAAATACAACTCCAGAAGCTACATCGTCATCCACGAATTTCACTCCTTCCATCGTGTCTGGTGCAATTCCTTTCTCGACCCAGTCAACGACGGCTGCTAGAATATTGTTCTCTCTCTTGAATTCGATGCCTTCTGAAGCTGCTCCGCCTCCCTGTCCTAGAGCCCATGCACCCGGACCCCCATTGCAATGAAACATGCCGGATATGCGGAAGAAACGGAGAAAGTGGTCTAGTTGCCCAGCACCGCCTGCCGGACCCGTTTGTATCAAACGGTTATAGAACCTCTCCGTGTTGAAGCTCGTGATCTGGTTATCCTGACAGCCATGGTGGACGAGTATCTTGCCGTTTCTATTTTTGAACTCGGCCAGGTCTTCGTATGTTGGCCATGTTCTGACATCCCCTGGGTTGAGAGCATCTGCAACCGCAGCATCGTGGGCAGTGAATGTCGATGCGTCCCATGATGGGTCGTATACGGCGTATTTGAACCATTCGTCTGAATAGCTGAAGGGTTTCCCTGCATAGAGTTTTGTGGTAGCTAGCTCTTCGCTGCCAGGCTGCATGGCGGAATATATTACCTTGCCATCCTCGTCGATCAGAGGGGTGAATATCCGTCGCACAATATCAACTTGAGTCTGCGTTAGGCAATCTGTCTTTTGGCCTTCCTTGCACAGCAGCGCATCGGCGTTGAAATGGCAGAGTGAAGGGTTTTCGATAATTCCGTCCACGACGCCGTCAATGCCGTCACATTGTCGAAGCACTTCACCATGAATATACGTCTTCCAAGCACTCGCTGGTATGAAATCGGGAGAATCTGACCTGCCAGTCAACGGGAAGAAACTTGCTCTCCATGATACCAAGTTATTAAAGTCTACCCCTGGAGCTCCGGCGACGATTCCATCAAAGTCACGGGGGAATTTCAGCGCTGATTGAAATCCCTGGCGCCCACCGAGGGAGCATCCGATGTAGTAAGATTTCAAATGAGGCTTTCTGTAGAACTGGGCCACGATTTCCTTCCCACTAACTACACTCGTATGAAGCCTTTATACCAACAAATAGCATAAGAATATTTCTTGCAATAAATGTCAATAGACAATGGAGAAAGGCTTATTTCACTCACGCTCTCCACGCAAAGTCGATCTGAACATCTAAATTTCGATACATCGAAATGGCCGTGGTGCCATTATGTCCGTTGTTTGAGCCAACTACGGCAAACCCATTTTTCACCCCATAGGCAAGGTCTTCATACTTGATGCCTGAATTAATAGAAAAGAAGATATTTAATTAACCTAATACACCCAACAGTTGGTAACATGATAGCCATGCTCGACAATTTTGATCATATCCGAGAATTGTCAACTTACATCCATCGATGCCTCCGTTCCCCGTGGCTAGGAATCTCTGTCTCTGCCAATTCATCGGTAACCAAACTTCAAAATGAACGCCGGATCTACTAGAAGTGGAAGCGTGTAGTGCCACCCGGCAGATATCTACAGCCACTACCTGGCTAGGCCTGTTGCATGAAGGGTCATTGGAAGGGAAGGTCAGATTTGTCCCTGCTGGTATGAATTCGATCGCCCTAGCACCCGGAAGTTTGAGTATCTCTGCGTTACATCTTTCTTCCACCGGTAATGAGGCAGCAAGTAGTGAGGTAGATAGGAGGAGGAGGAGAACTTTGGCTAGAGTAAAGAGCGGCATGGACGTGAAGGGGGTCGTTGGACTTTTAGAATCGATAGAGCAATAGGAGTTGTTTCTATCTCCACTTACTATCAGTAACACCGAGCCGGCTATCTTACCCGTGGAATGGAAGACAAAGTGAGTTGGCGGTGGACTGCAGTAACTGCAGGAAAAAGAAATTATTGCAAGCCACCATCTCATCCTTCAGACATGGGTTATGGTAAATGTGGGGTGGAAGGATGCAGGTGAGTTTGTCACCTTGATAGAGACAGTTTGGATCTCAAGGTTGATGATAGGAGTGATTTCTAGCATTAAGATATTTCTATATGTGAGTGGACAGGTTTATTGCTACAAAATCGGTTTTTGAACATAGTTCGAGATCAATCATATCGTCAGTCTTCTTCACTAATCCGCAAGGTTGTCAACAGAAAACGCATGCCACCTCTCCTTAAAAGGGCAGCCATCCAAATTGCCTGTTTGATCCCAAGCCCTCGTCCAATATACTCAAACCGATTAACAGCCCAATCTCGTAGTGAATTCGGCGCATACGGTAAATCTCCAGCAAGACACAACGGCCAGAGTAATAGGTACCCGCCGATGGCCCTGCCACTTCGGCGAGTGTCCCAGCCACCTGTTATATCTTTACTGACGTCTCCTAATTGGAAAGGAACACTGTAGCAAATGTCTATCGCCGCTTGCAGTGCGGCAATTCGACTTTGCTCCACGAGAATCGGCAGATCGCCAAATTGAGAATATAGAGGTGAGGTTGGGGAGAGTTGAGGGAACGCCTCTTCGATGACCTCGCTAAGGAGGATACGGGCACTACGGTAGGCGTAGTATACATTCGGAATAAAGTAATCTGCATAGATATGGTAGCAACCTCCATAGATTTCGTCTGATGGTGATGGGGGAGTGTCCTGGTCGAGAACTTCATGAAGCGTATAAGGGTAATGTTCCCAGAGCACTGTATAAAATGATATAAGTTCAGCCTCTAGAGCGTATGCTTGGGATATGATCAAATCCGGTGAACTGAGCGTCTTATCCTCGATTTCAGCACGTAGGTTGCATAGTTTGACAAGTAATGTCGCGGCATCTTCGAGCAGGGCTTCTGATTTTGGAAGACTTCCTTGTTTTTCTGGCGGCAGGCCGGAGAGATATGGAGGCGCCCGTGAAGATGTCAACAGGCAACTGGAGAGCTAGAGGCGGTAGTCGTTAGCCAGAGTGATTCGTACAATAATTTGGCAAGGCGGAGGCGAAGCATGGGCTTACTATTTGGCCACGGGCTTGGGCAAACATTCTGAAATTCGTCATATCATCTGGTGACGGCGAGGGGCGTAGTCGAAGGAGAGCAAGTGCTCCCTCATGATGATTTCTCCAGCTACTTAAGGATCGGTTGCTTCGGCAGGTAATGACCTATGGCTGAGTCAGTAACCAACAAAATTCCAAGAGTGGTATATTTTTTTTTCTGGGGCGGAAAACACCTCAAACATCCCCAATAACATGACGGTATCGAGGGCCATCGGCTTCCTCGCCTGTACAGGGTCCCGGAGCATTGCATTCGTTAACGAAAGTGCGTGGGCATACTGCTCCCTCGCCGCGATGCGCATTTCGGGAGAATGCGTTATATTTGCGAGTGTCGCTATGCCCACTGAAGCCATGCATGCAGACATCACCTCAGTGCCTGAGGACGTGACGCTATGCATATAGCCAATCCTCCCAGGAGCAGGACCAGTGGGAATAACATAGTTATATACAAAGAAGCAAATAGCCCGCTGGTTCAGGTCTACCGGGAGGCTCCGTGAGAGCTCTCCCGGTGTATTCGAAGAGCACAGAGATACAAGGCTGGTCGAAGGAGTTTCCTGGGCGGAGGCCTTATTGGCACTGGTACTTTTGATGCCTCTCTGCTTTTGCGCTCTTGTAGAAGCGTTGTGTGCAGTCTTCCGCGTCTCGTCGCGGAACATCAAGTCCAGCTGGTTTCGATAACCGGTGCATGTCCGGCCACCTTTCGTGCATTGCATGCACGTTGGCTCCGTTTGGTCACACTATAAATAAAATTAGAACTTTTGCATCTTGTTCAAGAGGGATGGGCATATTTTAGGAGATGATATCTTAAGAGCCTAGTATCAAATCCAGGCAGCAGAGCATAGATGCATACCTTAATTTTGCGGCGCCTACATTCATTGCAGCCCTTGCTTGGTTTACCACAATACACCATTCTCGCCAAATTAAGTATATATCGAGAGAGGGAGTCTTGGACTTGCGTCGAAACCTCGATTGGGTGAGGAGAACGGCGGCCTACCCAAGATATAGGTTCAAAATCCCTTCATGATTCCCCTTGACTAAAGTGCAAGGGCTGAAAAGTTACATCAAGGAGGCTGAATGGTATCACAACCCGCCTGCCCACCCGCGAGTCGGATCGAAGGGTCTAGGGCCCTGCAGAATAAGCAAGGGGCTGACCATCTCGTATTTGATGCATCTTGACTCTCTGACTATTGGTTAAAGTTCGCGCTGCGCCCTAGTTGAAGTGGATTACATAAGCTATCCTACTTGGACGACATTTGGACTTCATGCCATTTTGATACATGTTGATACATGTTGATGCGCCTCGATGGCGGTTAGGATACTCGACGCTGGCCCAAGAACGGGATATTTCATTGTCAGACGACATGGAGGTGTGAGGTAACTAGCTAAATGGAATAAGGGATGCCGCGACCTTAAAGAAACAAGTGAAACACGAAGCTCCAGATTTGCAGCCACAGCCAACGACACCATTTATAATATTCCAAGGAGAAATAACCGTGTCCAGAAATCAATTGCCGCAAGATTATCTGCAGCTGACATGTTAACTAGCGGCGGTTTGCCTTATGAGTGCCGGTGACTGGAGTTGTATCTTGTACCGGAGCCACTGCTGACGGTCCATGTGCAGGAACAAACTCGGGTGCGTCTCCTCGAAGGCGAGAGTGCTCATTAACAGGATATGGCTGCCTAGAGTCGCGTCTTGGGGGCATGTGTTGCGGTTGATTGTTACCCCCCCAACTGGTCGCCCTTTGTGTACGAGTCTATATCACGAGGTTAGCGGCATGACTTTAACGGGCTTATCTGGAGAGAAAGGACTGAACGCACGCTTCCGACCCAGGGGATGTTGTTCACTGGGGGGCCATGGCCTGGTGAAGCATAAGTTGGGTATGTGTTTGGAGCTGGAGACCAGTACGCTTGGTTGAAATGAGGCGCCGACTGTGGGGGATATGCCATATTGCTTGGGTTGCTGAGCCACTGGGGATTGCTGTTGGGTCCTTGTGCTTGGACTGATGGAGGATAAGTCTGGAGGCTACGGGCAGGGCCATGGTAGCCTTGATAGCTATGCCCAAAGCCAGGGCCTATGGCGCTCGGTTCATAATAGGTAGGAGTCCCTCCGTTGAAATGGTCCAAGGTGCTATCACTCTGCGACTTATTCTGTAGTTCGATATGGTCAGCTTATGGTTGAAGTTGAACAGGGATGGATATCGAGGGCTTACTTTAAACTTGCTAATCCTCTTGTACAGTTTTCGGTCCATGTACCACTCCTCGTTCTTCTGGTTTTTACCCGGCTTCGATCTGCCGGCCATAATGAATGAAGGGAGCAATAACTCTGAATATGCCCAAATAATGGCGGAGCTACTCGCTCGAATGTAGAAAAAGGAAAAAAAATTCTAGATAGATGTAAAGCAAAGTAAGTGAGGCTGGTGAATATTGAGTGTGCTAAGGTGGCAACCGCAGATATGATAGCTAAGGCAGGCTACGCTAAACCTACGCCTAGGGAAAAAGTGTTATGGTGGTTATCTGTGGTATATCCCGTCCTCCGTGGGTGGGAATCAGGTGTTGCTCGGAAAGCTACGCGAAAGGGATATATTGGGCTGTGGTAGTAGACTCTTTGCAGAACCGCAAGAGGACCATCTTATATATCCTGGCGTTTCCTGGAATGAGGATTCATTTGATGTAAGGTGCCAAATATTTAGAATGGGACTGGATCAAACGGCATGGAGTGAGGTCAAGTTTCTCAGATTAGCCCTTGCTTTTTGGTTGATAGTTTTCATTAACAGAGAAATGAAGCCTTTTGGCTACAACAAAGCACTAACTATGTATTTTATTATCCTCTAGGAAATCCCCATTGCTCTGACACTGGTACAGAGCACAAACTCCTAAAATGATGTATAAGACGCACCCCTTAATAATGATTGAGCCTCAGAGAATATGGCTATAACTACGATAAAGCTACAGAATACAGAAATTGGTAGCCTATCCCCGTAGTATAACCACCCACTGGATCAGGGTATGTCCTAACTGTACTGGGAGGCCGTCCTGGAATATTTCTGATGATACAGAAACCCTAGCCAATAGGTTCTGAATGGAAAATCAGCGCCAAGGTGTTTTCTGGTCCCTGGCAGTAGACAATGCATGGTGCTGGCTAAAGAACTTGTTAATCGGTCCTATCAGCCTGGAATTAGTCCGTAGTTAACCATGGAGGCACTAAGTCCATTGCATTCAATATATAGTTCCGTAAAGGTATATTTCCATGTCCATGACAGAGTTGGAAATGATAGCACCGAGAACAGATCGAGGGGGGAAGGGGCAGGGATATGGCCCCTGCAGCTGGTAAAGAATGGTCAGGAATGACATGGAAATGAAAATAGACGTTCAAATATTAGTAAAAAAACCAGCATATCTATATTCTTACTCTGAGCCTTAAAGTTGTTCTATTCTAGTTAGATCTTATGCCAATTATCGCGTCGTCATATCTCATCAAATTGTTGCTCTTCCGGCGTGTGCGTCTATACTTGCGGCACCCAGCCCCATACTGACCACCAGCAAGGCACTTCCACCGGCGAACCATCTTTGGCCGCCCAGTCATCATAACCTATCTCTTCTCCTTCTTCGAGAATGCCTAGCCCTGTCTTGTGTAGTCGTTTCTTGAGTTCATTTACTTGTGGAAGATATACTTCTCGTAGAGGTAGCTCGAGTATAACCCTCGATCGACCATTCGAAGAGAGATGTGTCTCTATAGCTTGAGCTAGCCATCTAGGATGATCGGGGGAGTATAGCGGATCGGCAATGAGGATAATATCGTACTTATCAGCGCTATGCAGCGAGACGCCTGATTGAAGTGACCAGTCTAGTACTCCGGTGGTAATGCTCGATCCAGCCTTGGAAATAAGGCCATCGTTTAGAGACCCATTATGTGTAAGGTTAGGTACGATTGGGGGCAGATCAGTAAGATGGACTGTTGTAGCAGCACCCCATATTGCTGCGAAAGAAATGCCCACAAGTCCGGTTCCTGCGCCTAGCTCAAGGCTGCGTAAGGGGGAGCTTGAGTTCCCTGAAGAAGGTACTAAGCCTGAGGAATGGAATATATGTAGTCGTTTCGAAAGCATAAACGAAGCGACCCACGTCTTATTTCCGAGGTTGTCAGACGTGAGGGAGGGCTCGTGTAGAGTGACCGAGAAGCCAGAATCGTTAGTCATTGGAATCCTGAACTCCCGGGACATGGAGGGCATGGCTGCATAACGACTTATCAGCTTCGAGTTATAAAATCAGACAGGACAAGCACAGTACCATTCCTACCCGCCCTTTCACAAAGTCTGGAACTTGCAGCATCCCATATATTTTCTCTCAACAGGTCTGAGTCAATCCACGCTAAAGGGCTACCAATTATTGAAGTGAGGTATCTGCAAATGTCAACTGACTGCAATTGGTGTACGGGTTCACCGGAGGATTCATCAGTGAACGTGTGAGGGCGAAGTGTAAGCTGATCCAGGACCTGGAGTATGTCGCATGCAGGTGGTTTGGTATGAAGTTGAGGAAGGTCGAAGGCTGGCAAAGTTATCTCAACTGGTTAGCCTGCTGATATGTACCTAGTTAAAGCGGTGGATTTTCTCCGGGGGTAGGGAGTTGCAATACCATGAGTGGGGTTCTCCGGGCCTCTCATATTCAAGGGATCGATGATTAATTGGGCGTATAGATATATAGACCCGGACACAGCAAACACACCCTCGGAATCTATACGCCAGGCTCGTGTCGTTCTCAATGTTGCACGACTACTTCCTGATGTCACTGAAAAAAAAAAAAAAAAAAAAAAAAAGGAACTTTGGCTCGTCCGTGCACAATCTTATCAGATTGCTTAGTAAGCATCTTGATAATGGCGGGGAGGTCAGGGACAATAACCATGGAGGTGATTCTGTTCGTGGACTGACTTATGCTTATGGCCTGGGATCCGTCAGAAGACATAAGGAAGATGCCACCGCATAATTTTCGAGCAGGGACGAGATCAATTCAAGGTTGCCTTGAAGCCTTGATATGCCTGCTCCATTTCGAATGCCAACTCTCTAGCTTGATCTTCACCTAGTTCCTCCGTCGCTCTCATCTGGTTTAAGGTGATAAGCCACTGGATTATTTTCCCCCTATTTTCAAAATCTTGCTCCGTGACCTTATTCACGGACTGGATGACTTCTGATAAAAGTGGGTGGAGCGCATCCTTCGAGAGCATGTTGAGCTTTAGAGCGTCGAGGAAGGTTATAAAGTTTTCTGTAGCAGCGAGTATAAGGCTCCCTGAAGCTGAAGGTCCCGCCGTAGAATTCTGGGAGGGTGCATGAGAGGGTTGTTCGACAGTAGCGGGAAGGCCGATGCGTAGTCGTTCCGTGGCGCGTGGACACTCCATCTAGATAGCCTTGTTAGTCTATGGTACGTGACTTGAGCTCGAAGTAATGCATACCTCCCAGGCACGCTTGAACGTGTCTAGATCGACAAACTCAGCTGCGACGGCATCATCACTTAAAATCGACCGGTACTGTTTTAGCAGCCTGGCGCACGTCTCCGTATACTCTGATTCTGTTATCGCATCCTTGATGTATGCTTTCTCTAGCCCGTCTAACGTAATGATGATACTATATATCTCCGCCAGTGACTCGTAAAGGTCTCTCTCGCCGGGGGAAGAGAACGGTTTGACCTCCTAAGCCTCCAGTTAGCAAAGGACCGCTGCCAACTCCCGCAGAGACCAGACCCTTACCTCGTCTAAATTGATGGTTGCAGATAGCGCCGTGTTGGGAGTATAGCTGTAAGGCGTAGGCGCATATGACAGAGGCCGCTGTGAATACATCATGCCTTTCTCTGATATTCTCTCTCTCTCTCTCTCTTTGCTGTTGCTGATGATGTTCATACTGTGAAGCAGGGAAGCTTTGGTAGCGTGACTTTCTTGGCCGCGAAGACTTGGCGCTTTTGCAGCTAAGAAACCAAAAATTTCTGTTCGAAGCCAAATTCTATAAATTTACGCTCCGCACGAAACGACATCCAACAACCCTCGCGCGCGCAAGGACCGCTGGCTATCGACGATGGGGACCAAAAAAGCCACCAAGAAGTTCGAAAAGAACCACCTCCGAGACACAATTGACCGGCGACGAGAGTTCTCGAAGGTTAAACAGCGCCACCAGGTCAGAGATAAGAAGAAGGCCAAAAGCGCCGCGAAGCTCGAGGAGGAGGCCAAAGATGGCAATGTCACAAAATCTACCTCCGATGATTCATCAGATACCCCGTTTGCGGATATGGCCGTGGACGACTTTTTCGCGGGCGGATTTGAAATCGCAGACGCTCCAGCTACCACGAAGCTCTCCAAGAAGGAAAAGAAGAATGTGACGCCAAAGACAGGCAAGAGGAAGCGAGTGGAGGAGAAGGAAAACACAGATGCGCAAGATGGCAGTGACGATGAGAGTGCTGGAGCCATTTCGGGCGAAGAATCAGACGGGAGCGACTCGGACAACTTGGAAGCGCATAAGGATCAATTGGAGGCCCTGAAGGAGAACGACCCTGAATTCTATAAGTATCTGAAAGAAAACGATGCTGAGCTTCTTGAATTTGGGGATCACGGCGACCTTGCGGAGGTCGATGAGCTTAGCGAGGCTGAAGAAGAGGACGCCGCACCGGCGAAAAAGGCCAAAAAATCCAAGAAGCGCGACCAAGCTATGGACTTGATGCCTGAAAAGACCCTCAAGCTGTCGTTGGTAAAGCAGTGGCAAAAGTCGATGTCGACACAGCACTCATTGCGTGCGACGAGGCAGGCAGTATTGGCATTTCGCATCGCCGCTTATGTCGACGAGGAGGACAACGAAGACCGAAAATACACCATATCCGATCCTGATGTATACCACCAGGTTTTGATAACTGCGCTCGAAGAAGTTCCCAAAGTTTTAAACCATCATCTCCCCATAAAAGAGACGGCTGGCGGGAAGATCAGGGTCACCCTCGACTCAAAGAAATTCAAAACCTTGACGCCTCTCATAAAATCTCACACCTCCTCCATACATCAGCTGCTCACCACACTCTCCGACGCTGCAGCATTAAAACTAACAATATCTTCTATCGAACCCATGCTTCCATACATTTTACAGTTCCGAAAATTACTAAAGGTGCTTATAAAGACAGTTGTCGGCCACTGGTCCGAGGCCTCGAATTCGGAGGCTACACGTATTACTGCCTTTTTGGTACTTCGCAGACTGCTAGTTATCGGAGACGCTGGAATCCGCGAAACGGTGCTGAAAGCGAGCTATGAAGGCGTTGTCAAGGGTAGCCGTAATACCTCGGTCCACACTCTCCCAGGGATCAATCTTATGAAAAACTCTGCTGCTGAGCTTTGGGGCATCGATCAAAATATTGCATACACCACTGGATTTACATTCATTCGGCAACTTGCGATCCATTTGAGGGGTAGCATCACCAACCCAACCAAGAATTCCTACAAAGCCGTCTACAACTGGCAGTATATACACTCACTTGATTTTTGGTCGAGAACTTTGGCAGCCCACTGTGACCCTCTGGTTGAGGCCAAGGCGGGAAAACAGTGTGCCCTCCGCCCTTTGATATACCCCGTTGTTCAAATCATACTCGGAGCCATGCGTCTGATACCCACCGCGCAATACTTCCCCCTTCGTTTTCAACTCACCCGCTCTCTCCTCCGTCTATCGCTTTCCACTGGAACATACATTCCTCTATCCTCCGCCCTTTTAGAGGTCTTGAACTCCGCAGAGATGAAGAAACCTCCAAAGGCGAGCACGCTGAAGCCTCTGGACTTTTCGACCACCATCCGGACCCCCAAGGCCTACCTTCGAACTCGAGTATACCAGGATGGCGTGGCTGAAGAGGTTTCAGAGCTTGTCTCGGAGTTCTTCACGCTATGGACTAAAAATATCGCTTTCCCTGAACTCGCCCTCCCTATCATCGTGATGCTCAAACGTTGGCTTAAAGAAATTTCATCGCGTTCATCCGGAAATAAGAACCCGAAGATTTCGCAGATCTTCATGCTTCTAATACAGAAGATCGAGGCAAACAGCCGCTGGATCGAAGAGCGAAGAGCTAAGGTTACGTTTGCCCCAAGGAATCGTGCAGAGGTAGAAGGGTTCTTGAAGGAGGTTGAATGGGATGTAACGCCTCTAGGTGCATTTGTGAAGACCCAGCGAGTGCAGCGGGCGGAGCGAGCGAAGCTTCTTGACAGCAGTCGAGCACAAGAGAGGGAAAATAAGCGAAAGAACAATGACGACGACGACGACGACGATGAAGATGCAATGCAAGGTGTGGCTGATGATGGCTCAAGTGATGGAGAGTAATCTGTCATTGGTGTATAAAATTCCTTTTTAGCAAATCGATACCTTAGACTATCTTTTTGAACATATCTAAAAAAGTCATATCTTGTAGAACCGAAACCCAAGTAGATACCAATATCTGTAGTGGAACGAGAAATGGGCTTTCAGGCCAGATGCAGTGCATAACATTTACTCGTATGCTTGTGAGCGTTCGTTCTCGTATTCGGTGGTGTTGAAAACCCCCAGCCGTGGATTTGCTCGACGCAACCAGGAACTAAATGGCGGAATTCGCAGTACGCGACGAAACTATTGAGGAATAGGTAGCATCGCCTATAAACTGACGCACAATGAGCGCGTTTTCTGAGCCTACGAGGCGTTAAATGATGAAAGTGATAGCTCGGATGCATTGGCTGCTTTCCAGTCTGTTGCGTTGAAGATTCCTGATGGGACAACACCTTTTTGGTTATTTGCAGACTCCTGTTTGCGAACAGAACAGCAATACATAATGAGTTTGCCATGAGTCTGGCTCTCAGTTACTTCTCTTCGTCCCCCGAAACCTCATTCAACAATATTGCTATTTGGCTTGGTAATTATGCGCAGACAGAGCTGTTTGTGGACTCCCATCAACAGGAACATATCGGATACTACGGACGATATGTTGTCTACAGCTCCTAAGCAATCTCGGTCGGTTTAATCATTCCGGATGTAGGATGATACACTTACGGACCTACCGTCATTCGCTTCTCAAATGCAGAACTTGGTCCAGGGAGCTGTTTGTTGTTTGAACATAGCTGATACACAGGTGTTTGTTCATGGAATGACGAACCTATAGACAAACAATATATATTGTGCAATGTTAATATAAAATTACTGTGCATCCCCAAAGCTCTCTGTTAGCCAAACCCGTAACGACAATTTACTGGTCAACGTCCCTTTCAGTGTTGATCAAAATGAACCACGGAGATTGGCGAAAACGCCCAGACGGAAATAGGGGAAACTTTCAACATGAGCGGTCATTCCCTAGCACGGGCGGAACTAGAGGCCGCAGTTCTTCTCGCGGGAGAGGGGACTGGAGAGGAAGAGGGCAATCGTTCACCCCCCCAGGTGGACGGGCCTGGGGTGGTACATCCCCATCCCCAGGTAGAAGCCTGGCGGTCAGAACACACGAGTAAGTTTTACTCTTGCTAATAGATTCTGGTTGCTAAACGCGTCGTATAGTGGAGGGGAACATGTGCCTTCAGAAACAGTGAAGAGGCTAGAGGATAGGGTAGTTGCTGGGAACATAAGCCTTGATTCGAAACTTACGAACCTATCTATGAGAGATTCAGTGGAACCTGTAACCCGACCGGGCTACGGTGGAACAGATAAAAATGAGGTCAAACTTTGGGCTAATTATTTTGAAATCCAGGGGCTTGAATCGATCACTCTCTATCAATATCAATATTCCCTTGCTCCTGGGGTAGAGCTGGGCCGTCGCCAAACTCGTCGACTTCTATCACTATTCATGAAGCACGACTTACTAACATCTTACCCCCTTGCAACAAACTACAGAGACAAGATAATAAGCACAAAGGAGCTGCCCATCAAAAAATTTGTGGTACAATACTACGAACCAGAAGAACTACCGTCGCGAGGTTCTCCCTCATACGAAATAACCCTTCAATTGCAGAGGGTATTTAAAATGGCCGAAGTATTGAACGACTTACAAACGTCTAAAAAGACATATAACCCCGATGAGAGGAATGAGGCCATCCAAGCCCTCGACGTGATACTAGCCCATTTCCCGAATGAATCATCGAATACTCAGTCCCTTGGCCAAAGCAAACACTTTCAGCTGGACGATGAGAAAAATAAAAAGGAAATAGGAGCCGGACTGGATGCAATTCGCGGATTTTTTCATTCTGCGAGGCCGTCTACGGGACGCCTCCTCTTAAACCTGAACGTCTCTACAGGGGCTTTTTATCTTGACACAACACTCCATGCCTTGGTTTGTAAATTTGACCAAGTGACGAGGCTGTCTGGCCCTCAACGGGCTATTAAACTTGATATACTCCTCCGAAAGATCCGAGTGAAACCTGATTACGGGAAAGAAAGCAATTGCCGCCCTGGGAGAGTGAAAACGATCCGATCAGTTGCAAGACTAAATCATGTTGCAGGTTCAATTGATAACATACGCGTTGAATGGTCTGGAGATGGGAGGACAAGAGAAGTCAGTATCAGAGAGTATTATTTACTAGGTCCGTTATATCTCGAGTGTGACTGTTGCCCCTTTACCTACTGTGAGTTAACATTTTATTTTAGCCCACGATATTCATCTCACCCAAGACGATCAGATCGTGGTTGATGTAGGAAAGAATGAATACCTACCCTCAGAAATATGCCATATTATTCCTGGCCAGACCGCACGTCAACGACTATCGCCTAAACAAACCAGCGAAATGATTAGGGTCGCGTGCCGTTACCCTTCCGAGAATGCTGACGACATAGTAAGAAGAGGCCTTCCGCTTATTGGGGCAATATCTGGAACGAGCGGTGTTCGCAAGCCGGTAAGTAAATGCCTTCATGTCATGGATCTTACTGTTCATAGCTCTTGATATTTTGGGAATCAATCTTCTAATAAAATATCTATAGGAAGATTTTGGTATTCGAGTGGCAGGAAGAATGCTTGCCATCACCGGGACAGTACTACCGCCACCGAAACTTGTGTATAAATCTCCAATGCAAGTGATCAATCCAGGAGTTTGGAATCTCTCGAGTAACGTTGCATTTAATCGACCGGGTTTGCTCCGCACGAATGGAGACGTAGGGTGTTTGGTTATTACATTTCATCAAAGTCGAAGTACTCCTGAAACTACACAGTTTATGGAAGAACTCGGTAAGTACTTGATCAAATACGGTATTAACTGGCCAAAGAGGCATAAACCCGCAAGCACTCTGACCCTAACAAAAAACTCGAACGATAACCATGCACTGCTCGATGAAAACTTCTTGCGCATCAAGAAGTCAGGAGTGGCATTTACCATTATAGTCCTTCCTGGATACGATGCAGAACTGTATTCCCAGGTGAAATACTTTGCTGACATGAAATATGGCTGCCATACCCTTTGTGTCGTTCCGAAACCTCCAAAGAACGCTGGCCAAGGAGCGCCCTTGGAAATCAACAAGCAGCCTTCCTACCTAGCAAACCTGGCTCTTAAGATTAATCTAAAACTGGGAGGCGTCAACCACCAGCTTGAAGTTGCGCAGACCTCTCGGTCATCACCCCGGATTATGTATCTGGGGATTGATGTGACCCATCCAACGGGGACTGAATCTGTGCCGCAGGCTCCAAGTATTGCGGGAGTTGTTGCGAATTGCAATTCTATGCTGGGTCAGTGGCCAGCGAGCATAAGAACTCAAAGCCATCGTGTTGAGATAGTGGAAGCTTTGAGTGATATGGTAACCGAAAGGCTGAAAAGCTGGAAAGACCAGGAGTGTCTACCGGAGAAGGTCATCGTGTATCGTGATGGGGTTTCAGAGTCTCAGTACAAGCAGGTACTGGAAACGGAATTGAGGGCTATTAACCATTCAATAGAAAGTTATTATCGTTCTCGCAAACTACCAAAGGTGACTCTTATAATTGTTGGGAAGAGGCACCATACAAGGCAAGTATACGAGCGCTTCCTTGAAGTTTACCCCTGATCCGATTATATACATTTTATGAAGTTGATAAGCTAATTATATAACCTACCAGATTCTACCCCGTTTCGAATGAACAGTTAGATGAAAGGTCTGGCAATGTTCTCCCAGGAACAGTCGTAGACCGCGGTTGCACCATGGCCCGGGAGTTCGACTTCTTCATGGTTGCTCACGCAGGGATCCAGGGGACATGTCGGCCTGCTCACTATGTTGTATTGAAGGATGAAAGCAATTTTACTGCTAATGAGCTGCAAAATATGGTGTGTTCCTCCCACTCTTCCTTCCTTCTCATGTTCTCTTCACTGATATTCTTGCAGACACATAACCTGTCATACGTCTTTGGGAGGGCTACGCTGTCAGTCTCCATTGCCACTCCAGTATACTATGCTGATATTCTGTGTGAGAGAGGACGGTGTTATCTTTACGACACTTTCCACCGTAAAGACCATGAGGCTGCCGTGCCATATAACGAGTCACAGTCCAAGTGGCTCTGGGGAGTGCACAAGGATTTGGCAGAGAGCATGTTTTACATCTAGTCCCGTCGAACGGGGACAGGTTAACGCTGGATTGGGATTTTTTCGTTTCTTCGGGCTATGCTCTCTTTGATTCATTAGTTTAAGTACAATCCCTAGGCGGGTCTAGATCTTTTTATCTTTTTATAATAGAATCGGTGGTTAATCGCTGTTACCCTGAGCATTGCTGACACGGATTCCCTCCTCCCAGTCACCACTTTTGCCTCCGCGTTTTCGAACAACCCTCGCTTCTCCTATCACCATGCCCTTGTCCACAGCTTTACACATATCATATACCGTGAGGGCAGCTCCAAGTACAGCCATCATTGCTTCCATCTCCACCCCTGTTCTTCCGTGGCAGCTAACACTTGAGGTAACGAGGACACTCCCATGTAGACCATGGCTCGGCTTGCAATCACTCTGGTTGACCGAGTTTGTGTCCTTGGGGTACGGTGGGCAAACACTAACGTCCACTTCTACACCCGTTATTCCTAGGCCAGGATGAGCAAGAGGTATGATATCCGCTGCTTTCTTAGCTGCCATGATGCCAGCTATACGTGCAACGGAAAGAACATCGCCTTTCTTCATAAGCCCGTCTCCAGTTGTAAGAAGGGAAAACGCTGTTGGGTTAGAGAATGTAATGCGACACACTGCTGTAGCTAGACGGCTGGTTTCTGGCTTGTTGTATATGGATGTCATATGGACTGTTTCCCTGGGGGTAAGATGGGGAAGCTTTGCATTGGATGCGGTGGGAAGATCCGAGAAAGGGGAAGTTTCAGCGCGCTCTGGTTTCTGAGAGGTTGGAGGTGACTGTGATCTGGCCGATTGCTGAGAAGTAGAGTAAGGACGACATGTTTGGTGTAGAAAATTGTGATGAGCGAGCATATGTAACGGGATAGACCGTGACTGAATAAGAGAGCTGGGTCGCCTTGATGCCCAATTCGACGTCTTTGCTGTCGGTTCTAGGGAGGTATTTAGATCGTTTGCGTCGAAAATGGGGTCATCTATAAAAAAAAAAGTCAAACTTAGCATGTACAATTCAATTCGGAGGCAAACGTATAAGATGTATATTGAAATATATACAATATGTGATTCACTCGTAATATTGTCATGGTATCATAATCAAAAGTATATATAAACAGCGGTGTATCGTAAAAACCCCAAATCAGAATTGAAAAATGATCCTACCCACCAATCAGTATCATAGGACGGTTCTTCATATTTTCCAATATGCCTATGCCCGCATGCTTTGCCTTCTTGCGCTTGACAGCGGCACCAATTATATTCAAAAGCTCCCTTTCTCGCTCGTTGACTGGATGACCTTCGTCCTCGGCTCGGGCAGCCTGCCTAGCAGACTCCAGTAGATTCAACGATTGCAGGGCATCATCGTAAATAGGCTGGTTGTTGTTTTCCTTTCGAATCATGTCTCGCAGAGACACTTCTGTGTTGCCGAAAAGACACACTTTCAGGTTTCCATCACTCGTTATCCGTAGACGATTGCATGTCCCGCAGAAATTATGGGTCATGCTGGTAATGAATCCCACTCTTCCCTTGAAGCCGGGGACTTGGTAGGTTTTGCTCGTGTTATTCTTGTGATCAGGTACTTTCTCAAAGCTCGGATACTTCTCTTTGATGACATCCAGCATTTCCTGATAGGAGAACATCTTCCCTTTGCTCCATTTGTTCCCGTCAAATGGCATATACTCTATAAATCGCACTTCAACCGCTTTATCGCGGCCCAGCTCGACAAACGGGAGTATTTCGCGGTCGTTCATGCCCCGCATGACCACACAGTTTATCTTCAGCTTGATCCCGGCGTTGTGTCGTTCGTTCAAGTCCAAAATCTTTTCGATGCTTTTCATCACGGCTTCAAAGCCCTTGCGTCTTGTCATAATTTGAAACTGAAATGGGTCAAGGGTATCTAGGCTCAAGTTGACTCCAGTCAACCCTGCTTCAACCATGCTGTCAAGCTTACGGTGGAGCGATATGCCATTTGTCGTGAGACATAACTCTTTTAGACCATCACGGCGTAGCTTGCCAATCTCCTGCATCATCGGCAGTATATCTTTCCGCACGGTGGGTTCGCCTCCTGTGAGCCGTATCTTTGTCACGCCTTGCGACACGAATAGGGTTGATAGGTAGACGATTTCCGGAGTGGTGAGGAGATGTGTTGACGGGGAGAGAGGGACGCCTTCTTCTGGCATACAGTAGAGGCACCGTAGGTTACAGCGTTCCGTGATACTAATACGAAGATAGTCATGCTGCCGGCTAAATGTGTCCGTTAAGAAAGACGAGAACGGTTTGGCATCCTTCAGGGAGTTGAGACGGGGATGTCGAGACAGCGCTTCGGGCGACGCCGAGGGTTGCTGAGGAAATGGGTGTGACCTATACGGCAACTCTGACGGTGCTGCCTCGCTGGAGCTGGTTGAGTATCGGGTCAGTCGCCTGCGAATATACCGATGATTCAACGAGATGCTTGATGGCCGAACTCGCCGCATGGCGTGGCTGCAGTGAACAGACATGGCGGGCTGGAGCTCACGGAGCAACGTAATATAACTGCTATGGCATGGTATATATACGCACAGCAACTGGCTCTCGATATACCGATATCTGGCCTATTTACCATCTGCTTGTCTCTCTTTATCTCGTCCTCGTCTTTCTCCACGGAATTGTTACGTGGACATCAATTGATCACGTGGATGATCGAATTGCCGGTTGCCGACGCCCTGTATAAAAAACTACGGACTTCCAACGCGCCATGCTGTGTACACGAAGTACTCAAGATGATTTCCTATCAATAGGGCTCTGGGAACTAGAGGTGCCCGATTTGCCTAAGTCAGTTACCCGGGATGGATGCCGATATCTGTTACGTATATTCCTATCAAATTCAAGAATCTACATATTAGATTTAGGTAAGGGGAAATAGTAAGAAAGTAAATAGGAGAAAGAAAAAACAATGGAAGATTAAGCATAATGCTTCGCCGTGCTATACATAAGACTGTCCACGACGCAAGCTTTAGACCGTAGGACTGCGTATAGTCTATCTGCCGAATAATAGCGAAGTAGGTTAGATTGTCTAAGGACCATCAGGGTATCTGGTATATATTTTATAAGATCACGGTATACTGGTAGTGACTTTATAACTCTGCCTTGTCGAGAAGCGCGTGAAAGGCAAAATAGAGACCAAAGATCTAATAGATGCAAGACTTTATATAAAATCTCGAAAGGTAGCCGGTCGAGAAGCCCTAGGGATGATGGATCAGGACGGTGCCTGAGAGTTGATATTGTTGCCAGTTTATCGACTGTGATTTGCTCATCTGCTGGAAAGTCGAGGGGGAGAATATGTCTTCATCGTATGGCGTCGTGGACATGGCTGTATCGCGGGTCTATGTCAATGATGGAAGCAAGAGGGTTTTCACGGTAAGAAAACGGCGATGGGAGTGCTAGACTTTGGTTGTTTTTGCCATGGTACATAGCTCAAGCCAAATGAAGCCATTTCGCCGCTTGTGGACTACTGTAGCCTGTAGAGAGACAAGGCGCATATTATTTTCTCTAGAACTAAAATCTACCCATTTGGGTCGGTACCATAAAAGACATAAATACTTGTGCACGTCAGAGGACATTAACTTAAACTACCTCCTAGGGGTAGCCAAGAGCGTCAAGGCGAAGGAGGAATGATAAAATGTGTGTAGACTGAAAAAGAGGTATGATATATGGAGTGTTATACCAAGAACTCTTTACTCAATAGTATACCCATCAGCAACACACTTGATATCCTGGGTGAAGCCAACGCTTTCTCCCTCCATATCCAGCAACGAGACCGAGAGAACGTCTACATCTGCGAATGGCGTTGTCTTACTGAATCGGACATTCATAGGGAAAAACTCGTTCTCGTCGCTTTCGGGATCGGATGACTCGAACTCGAAGCTACCGGACGAATTCGATGCATCAACATTTCCAATGTTCCAATCTAGAGTGTCGCCTGTCACTTCGTAATTCGCGTCAAAGCTCGTAATGGTTGGTTCTACTGTCTGGAAAGGGATAGTGACGGTAACATCTTGCAAGTTGTCTGACCCAGTCAGTTCGTATTCCACTGTTACGGTGGTCGAATCAGACCCCTTATTAACCCACACTGTGAAAGTGAGAGGTAGTAGATCTGTATCGCCGTTGCTGGCAATACGCCATCGAAGTACACCGATCGCATTGTTTGCAGGAAATCTCTTGGATGTGTCTTTCAGCTGAATGATTTTTTGGTTTGAGAAGAGTGCTTTGTCGACATTGGGATGGGTACGGTATTGGGCGCCGTGGGTTGCGTTCGCGGTTAAATCAAGTTTAGCCTTGGTGAAAGAAGGATCGGAGATGCGAAGTTGGAGATCACCCTTGACTTCAAATGATTTTAAGGCGCCGTCTCTAGATAGCTTCGCTGACATGCTCTCGGCAACTGTGATATGAATTGGGTCGCGGTCTGCAGATAAGGATGCTCTTGTTGAAGGAGCTTCTGCTGCTGCTGCTGCCGGGCTGGGTGAAACGAGTGGCATCTCTTCGGCTTCAGGTCCAAGTTCACTTCGTACTTTTTCGTAAATATCAGTGTTCTTGGACTTCTTTCCAAGTTGCATTCCTTTGCCTCTGGTGACGAGGGGCCTATTTATAGTTAGCAAGGGTACAAATCATAATTTTGTCTTGCCTTGAAAGCGGAAACATGGTATCATACTTGGAGAATGCTTTCTTTTTCTCAGCCTCATACGAGTCCATCGCATCTGGAACGCTCGATCGAACAGGTGGTGTGTAGGTTGGGTAGGATGGAGCTCGAGGAGCCATAGTTCTTCCACTTCGGGCAGCTTCTTTGCGTTGCATCTCGAGCTGCTTTGCTTTTCGTTTCCGCTCTTCGGTTGCTTCCAGCTCTTTGTTCTAGACAGGCAGGCATTAGGAACAATCTCACCCACGTCGATAAAAATAAAAGTAGAAGGGCTTACCCGGTCAATTATTTCCTGGACTCGTTCCTCATGACTCTCCATCTCGAGGAATGTCTTTATCTGTGACAAGGACAGGTTCTCCCGGTATCCCAAGGTAACAATTTCATCAAAGGCACTGAGAAGTTCAAACGCATTGCGCACGATCTCTCTCTCATCCAGACTCTTGCAGATGCTAGATACAACCTGGGCAAATATGTGTAAACTATCGATGTCCTGGAGAATGTTCGATTGACGGTTCGTGATGAGGACTATGTATAGCTCATCGAGGGGCTGATAGACGAATCGGACGCTGTCCTGCTCGACGATAGTGTGCTGCGTTCCAGAATCTGCTAGTTTAGGGAACGAGGCCAGCAACGCCTCTATCCTCGTGCGCGCCATCTCGCGGAACTGCCGTGAAAGGACAGCCTTCCCTCCTCGGGTGCATATTGAAGCCGCGAGTACAACCTGTCATTATGCCGTCAGTATCAGGGGTGTGTCCAGAGCGTGGCTGGCCGAACCACCTACCATTGCGTCTATCGGTGACAAACAAGAGCAAACCCGCTGTAGTATAGCTGTCTCTCTCTCTGGAAAAGTCGGCGTTGCTGGCGGTTGGATGTTTGGAGTTTGATGCTCGCGAGTTTCCCAAGTGGCCTCAAGAGGGAAGAGAGGGTGGTCCGTGCACATGAAGTCGCTTAGGTGGCGAAAGGGGAAATTTACTTCAGCTCTTCAAACAAGAAGAACATCGCCCAGTTCAACGACCACAAACATCACTGCACGCCGTCTGGAGCTTGTATCTGGCGCGGAGTACTCACAAACCTGGTTATCACGTCCTTAAAGCCCTCCGCCATGCCACTAGGCGCAGCATCTTGAACCTTTCACAACCCTCCTGGTTGTTCGTGAGATAAGCCAAACGCGACGATTTACAGCTATACGCGATGGAGGCCACTATTTTTGACGAGAGTATGGAGATGGCGCCTGATACGACCGGATACTTTGACACCCATGATGATATAGAGATTGAGCTGGATGGCCTAAGAGACCCCAACCACGACGAAGATGTCATCGTTGACGATGCTTCCATGGTTGGATCCGAACATCCAGGGATGATAGGAGACACCCACGAGCCGGTCAAAGACGCAGATATGATGGATGACGAGTTCCACGAGGAGAGTGGCAGTCTTAAAGAGGCCGAGGAAGACTACCAGTTTATCGATGATGCGTTGGATATGGACCACCAATCCTACGAGATGGAGGAGGATTATGAAGAAGACATAGATGCTCCGATCCCAGGCACGAGTGTTATGGAAACCGGTGTGCCTGCAGACAAGGTACTTCCAGACGAAATGCCCGAGGAGTATCCGGCCCCAGAGAACCATAAAGAAGAGGATGTCGAAACCGATATCCAGGTTGAACCTCTTGAAGAGAACGTGTCATCGGCGCCAAAAGAAGAAAACGAAGAAGTACACACGTCCGCAGACATAGAACAACCCGAAATTTTGGCACAAGACGGCAGCAACGAACCCGAACAGTTTGACAATGAGGTAGATCAGGCTTCAACGAAAGAGTCCTTCGAACATGAGGAGCCAAGTCATGAGATCGAAGTACAGGCCGATGCCTCTACTATAGAGACCCTTGATGAAGCCGATCAGGAGGCCGCAAAGGAGCGGCCCAGCAACGGGCAGAAAGAAAAGGAGAGTGATGAGAGCGAGCTTTCCGCACTACATAACGTACAAGTCTTGTACCAGGACAGTGAAATCTCACTATTCCCTCCAAAGGAAGATGATCTATCTGAAACATACTTCCTCGAAGATGAAGCACTTGCACACGAGCCGATCGGGGATCTGCTAAACGCTTGTCGGTCAGTCTTGGGAGATCATATGGGAAAGGACGAGGAGCTATTCATAGAGATAGAGTGTCTTGGACTTCACGTAACTGAGGTAAGAGGCAATGTTATATTTCTTTACCACGTCAAATACATGGCTAACATTGACTTCTAGGCTACTCGATCCTCTATATCGTTATCACAAATAGTTCAAGTATATCTTGACCTTTCCCGCAATGACGGCGACACTAATCCAGGCCCTCTGTACATCTCACTTGCAACACAGCCAACCTTTACCCAGAACTTCGCCTCTATCTTAGAAGCAGCACAGGCTGGGAAAGGTTTATCGCATGTTGGTAAATGGGATGAATACGAAGACCAGATTGTTTTTGAAGAGCATGAAAATGCCAGAGACAGCTCGCAAGAAGACGGCCAAGCAGAGCCCACAGAAGATGTTGAAAATACAGCAAACAAACCAGAAGCCTCTCTTGGTGAACTGGAAAACGAGCACGAGAAAGTGGGCGAAGAGGCAACTGGGGTGAATGAAGGTATAGAACTTAATTCAAAGGAAAACGAAGTGCATCATGCGCCTACCTCCCCCCCTACCCCAGCTGCCGAGGATTTTGAGGCTACAAATCTTGAGACAAATAACCCAGAGCCAGAGCTAGAGGAGGTCGTGGATGGCCAAGCTGGCAATGATGAAGGTACTGAGCAAAAAATAACAGATCAGAATACAGACCTAGGACAAATCGAAGAGCCAACCGACGAGGACGTACGAGGAGAAGATGAAGTTACGCAGCCCCCAATCGCTGCCAACGAAGAGGCAGAGCCTCCGGTCCCCGATCCTTCTCAGGATACTAACACCGAGCCCACCAGCCAAGTTGCCGCTGCGCCTGATATGGGCGAGGAGTTTATCCAAATTGACTTGGAGACATTCGAAGACGAATTGCACGATGGCGAGAGCCTTGCGGATGGAAACTCTACCTTGCCTGCTTATGAACAACCCGCTGAACCCAGCACTCCAGAACCTACCTATAACCCACTGGAGATTGATGAAGATATTTTTAAGAGCCCCACCGCCCCTCCCGCGGGCTCACCCCATAAATCTCTCGAAGATCTGGATGGAGGGCCATCAGAGGAAGTTGCTCCTCCAGCAGAAATACATGACGAATACAAGCGAGAGCCTAGCATTCCTGAATCGCAAAATGGCGAGGATGCATCCACGGCCGGTGCCTCCCCGGTGGGAGATCGAACCCAGGACTTTATCCCGGAGCAGGATGTAGATTCTGCAAACGGAGATGATCAATTGGAAATCCAACCCGAATTTAAGCTGGACCCCAGAGGCCCAATGGAGAAAGATGGAGAAAACATCTTCGCGGAGTCGGCCGTGTTAGAAGCAGGCTGGCCGCAAGACAACCCCGATGGCCAAGGCGTGGTCGACCTAGAAGAGATGCCTCAGACAGAGATACTCCATGGTTACGACTTAGATGCCAGTGACTTAGCAGATAATAATGGTGAAACCGCAGGATCAGCCACATTGGAGGACGGATCCAATGAGACATTCCAAAATGGCTCGGCCTCCAAGGAACAGAGCCCAAAGGCAGCCAAGAGGCCTTGTCCAGACGAAGAGCTGAACATTTTATCGAACCCAGTGCCAGTTTTAAAGAAACATCGCTCTGAGTAAGGTCGCAGTCGTGGATCCGACCTGCCTCAACCGAAATCAAACTCAGACAGAAGGAATATCACGTCCTCATACGATTATCGAACCCTGCAGTCAGAGATGTAGATACACTAACCTCGTACGATCAGTTTCGCGCCAATATGGCAGTGCTAACTTACACAGGGACAGCACGCCACAGCCATCGCTGAAACACCCTCTAGCTGGCTTTTACTCATGAGGTACGTAACTATCCCAAACACTAACCACAGATCCCTAGTTTTTCCCCAACACTACTCTTGAATTTTCCTAAGCATCTCGGCGACGTTGCCTATTTTTTTCTGTGGACGTCATGATTAATGAGCAACTCGACACCAACATGTCCAATTACCGGGTGATTTGAATCAAATTCTGCGGAACTGGACACCTTGCACTCGTTGGTTACCATCGACGTTGTCACCTTCACAGGCCGTCCATTTGAAGAGAATGTCCAAATGGAACGGTTCACAGCAACGTTGTCCGATACTATACCCTTTGTTGGGGGAAGGTCCAGCTGGGGCCATCGTGTTCCTGGGATAAATACTTCTGGTACACTGACCCGGCTACTTTTCATCTGCCCGGTAGCTTTCCACTTCCATACCCAACGAAACACCTCTTCTTCTTCTTCTTCTTCCTCTTCTTCCTCTTCTTCCTCCTCTTCCTCTTTTTCCTCCTCTTCCTCTTCTTTTTTCGATCTTTCTCGATCTTCTTTTTTGTCTATATCCTCGCACTGACCGTATTTGTGGCTTGGGATGGCGTTATGCACGGATGGAAAAGGGACTCATATTTTGCGTTTGGAAGCTTCTCTTTTATTCTTCTCTTGCTATGTTAACTAGATCTTCCTGTACTGCCTGCTGTGTTGTCGTCTCCTTTGTTTTTCTCGCGGAGACGTAGGCTGATCGTTGCCTCTGTATGATAACTGTTCGTCCGTTAGTCTGCCTAAACATAATTTTAATCGCCTACCTCCATCTCCATCTCCATGCTCCGTACGTTGTCACGGTGGACTCTACCCCTGGCCGTCCTGTTTACACCCTGGTGCATGTCTCATCTCCGATCTGTAACCCCTGAAACATCCCCGATATATATATATAAATGTCGTTGAGCCTCTAGCAACATGTGACCTGGCTCTCCGCGCATCTCAAGGCCGTCTTCCATCTACTCTTCTACTCTTCTATTTACCTATTCTATCTATTATCTACTCTACTATTCTATCTATTCTACCTATTCTATCTATTATCTATTCTATCTATTATCTATTCTATCTTTATCGAGTACGTTCTTGTGCCTGACGATCCCGGAAGAACGCGCAAGGAGCCGCTTAGCTAAGCACCTGACTTGGTCGTTCATGAAACACCAAAGCTGGCCTGAAATCACAACTTGCTTCATCGCGCGTTTAGTTCAACGAGGAACTTCCGACAAAGCAGACCAGCAGCTGGAATATCCGTGTCTGCTATACCGCCAGCATCCAGGACTGTGCCCGGCCGTCTCTTCCTTGCCCTGCTGTCTCCCTTCTATGGCCATCCTCCACCTCGGTCTCCACGGACCACGACTTACGATCTCTCGGGACCACGATCGCATCTAATACTTTTTTCCTTTTGAGGCTGACCTGGCAGTTTTCACAGAGAGCTGCCGTCTGCGATCCTAGCTCGGTTCTCCTGTGCGGTTGCTATAGCCAGCTCACGCCTTGCCGTCGCTCGTTTTTCGTCTTCCGCCACACGCTCTACCATCCTCAGCCCTTTCAGACTCGCTGCGGCAAACACGCAAACCTGCGCCCGAAAGTTGCTGGCCCGATTTTCGCTCACGGGGATAATATTAATATTAACTGGCTGGTTGCGCTGCTCCGCCAGTGCACACGAACGATATATACCTTTTGCGCAGTGTTGTAAGAGGCGGGGAAGAGGTGAAAGATTATAATAAACGGCAAGATGGTTTCAGACAAGTACGTCTTTCGAGAGTGTCCCTTAGCGATCTGAGAGGTCGAGTTGGAGTGTTGACGTGGGAGCTAGGTACATCGGGCTATGTCTTGCCATAGTGTCGACAATGGCCATTGGTAAGTCACGACCCAACGGGCTCTTTTGCAAGTCGTTCCATCTAATATGTTTTGACAGGCACAAGTTTCGTTATTACTAAAAAGGTTGGTGCCGACTGGCCTCCTAGAATCTGATCGCGTACTCATACCGCCTCGCAGGGTTTAATACAAGCGTCAGAAAGACACGGGTTCGAAGGCGATGGATTTTCATACTTAAAAAGCCCCATGTGGTGGGGAGGAATCGTTACACGTTCGTTCTATCATCTTGCTCCTGGTGCAAGAATGCCATAGCTGATCCATATGGTTAGTAATTCTCGGGGAGGTTGCCAATTTTGCAGCATATGCTTTTGCTCCTGCAATTCTAGTGACTCCCCTCGGTGCTCTGAGTGTCCTCATCGGGTAAGTAGAAAAAAGACATCTCCCGACTACGCATCCAGCACGCGCTAACTCTTGAGCAGCGCTGTTTTGGGGGCTTATTTCCTCGATGAGCGGCTTGGGGTTCTAGGGAAACTTGGGTGCGCTATGTCGCTCCTCGGTTCAGTTATAATCGTGCTCCATGCGCCCCCAGACGAAGAAATTGGAACTATAGATGAAATCTTGCATTATGCTGTTCAACCTGGTAACTACTTACCGCCCAACTGATCAATTCGCTGTTCTAACTGGCCTCACAGGATTCCTCATTTACTGTACCTTCGTTGCCGTCTTCTCTACTGTCATGATATATCGAGTCTCGCCAAAATACGGCAAGAAGAACCCGTTGGTTTATATCTCTATTTGCTCCACCGTTGGGTCTGTTTCGGTCATGTCTGTCAAGGCATTCGGAATCGCCGTGAAGCTTACTCTGGACGGACACAACCAATTTACACATCCCTCAACCTATGTGTTCGCCATCGTCGTTGTCTGCTGCATTCTGACGCAGATGAACTACTTCAACAAGGCACTTAGCCAGTTTTCCACCTCGATGTTAGTTGATGGCCCTATTCCCTAGCCTACTAGACCTTACCGTTAACATCATTGCAGTGTAAATCCTCTATACTACGTTACCTTCACGACCGCCACCCTGTGCGCCTCTTTCGTCCTCTTCCGTGGATTCAACACCACCGACAAGGTCGCCACCATTTCTCTACTTTGCGGCTTCCTCATCATCTTCTCCGGCGTTTACCTGCTCAACCTTTCCCGAACCGATCCCGACGGCCGTGCCAACGGTAGACCCAACGATGACGACGCTATCCCGACCGATGGAATCGCCGGCATCCAAACTCGCCGGTCCCTCCAAGCTCGACGAAGCATCGACCCACACCGCCGCAGCTCTTCGAGTATCGCATATTTCAACGGCTCCGGCGATCGAGAAGGGCTAATGCGATCCTACGACCTCGAGAGCGGTGCCACGTTTGGCCTTGAAGACCTGACCGAGGAGCCTGATGATAGCAGCGACCACAGCCCCTCGCAGAAGAGGAACGGCACCGCAGAACATCATCCCGACGACCCGATCCCCGGCGCAAATGGCGCAAAGCCTTAGAGAGACTCCTTTTACCTTCTTTCCCCCTTGTTTACCCCTGTTCATCCTTGTTCATCCTTGATATACCTCCATACATACCTCCCCAGCACGGAATGGGTGCGTTTACAACTCTAGGCGCCATCCTTTCCCATAATTGGCGGGATAATAACCAATATGAAACCGATCACGAAAATAGCGAGACGGGGATATTAATGACTCTTTTCTATTTCTTTTTTTTTTCTCTTGGATTTCTCTTCTGAACTGGCCTGCGCGGATAAGAAAAGGGTTTACGCCTGTCCATCTATTGTCCATCTATTGTTGGGATTCGGTATTCCTGGAGGCCGTGTTCTAGGGTTCATATATATGAGGGCCTTCTTTTCCTTCCCGAGATTCTCGTTCTCGGGCCCCCTTCGGTCTCTGTTGTTTCTTTTTGTTGCATGTAGACATGGCGTTCAGGAGTAGGATATGTATGCTGAAGGGGGATTTACCTTGTCTGTTACTATCACTTGTGGCTTTACTCATAGATCTGGTTAGAGGATCTATTAAATCTCACTTCCCTCGAGACTGTATTATTACTTTACTCCGCATGTAGACCTCCTAGACTTCCTCCTCTTCTACAGTGAGGATATTACTCCTAGACTTCCTCTTCTATAGACCCTGGATAATGTACAGGGATACAGCAGGGTAGCTCGTCAGGTGACGGGGATGGGTGGTCGATTCGATGAGCTTGCTCCTCCGTCAGTTAGCTAAAGTTGGACGGTATGCTGGCCATCAGGCGGATCCCCGGTCTTCGCGGACACCTCCCAGCGATGTCTCTGCGACTCTCCATGTCCGCACGCCAGAACCGACCGAGAAGATGCCTGGCCTGGCGAAAAAGCTGCTCGTCATCGCGGCTGTGGACGGCTTGATCCTCCAGCCGTACCATAACAACACCCGCTCGTCCGCCAATCTAGTGCAGGTCGACTACAAGACGCATCATATACACTCGCCGGCGAGGGTCTCAAACTACCAGTACAAGAATGACGCCTGTCTGGAGTCGCATGGCCTGATCGGTGAGGAATTCTCCTATTTCCTTCCTGGACTAGGGCCAGCGCATTGCTAACCAGTGTCATCGTAGGACTGCTGTCAATCGCATCGTATTCATTCCTAATATCCATCACCCAGCGCCAACAGGTAGCCACTATCCTGGGGAAACCGGTATTTGTGATTACCGGGGTTTCTATCATCCCCCTCTCATGTCAGGCCGAAGCATCAAAGGCTATCAGCCAGGCACAGCGGGCGTTGGAGAACAGTCCGGACGCCTACGAGCTGTCTGACAGCGAATCTGACAACTCCGAGGACTTCCTGGCCGATGAGCACAATAACTTTGATGCTATATGCCCAGATGGAGACTTGTATCCTCCCGTCGATGAGCCCAGCAACGAAACCAGCATAGCAGAGGATGTCATCAAAAAGCGGGGGCGGTATGGCAGGTTCACTGCGGAGTGGTTTGCAAGGAAAGGATGGGGGAGTATCGGACTATCTGACTCCAGAAGACGGTCACCGATCTCCTCGAATGATGGCTCTACGCACGCAGAGTCCATGGAACTGAAGATTCTCGGGGCTGGCGCGGCGGATGGCCAGGATACGAAAGATACCAGCGAGACAGCCGCTATAGCAGACGCTAGAACTCATGACTTGATGCCAAAGTTGTTGAGATACACCAAGATGATGTTTGGATCGCGGAGTTTCTACTATTCATATGATCATGACATTACGAGACGGTTTGGTCCAATAGATCCTGCTTCAACGCATGTTCCGCTATGTCACCAGGCCAACCCATTGGTATTATTCCCTTCTTTCGCCTTTCCCCCTTGCCTAAATACTTGCACGGACTAATCATGCCCGATTTTTTATTAGTATTTCTGGAATAAACACTTGATGGAGCCTTTTATAGATAGTGGACGATTCACGTTTACGCTCCCGATAATGCAGGGTTTTATCGGACAGCAAGAATTCACCGCCGACAAGTTTTCTTCATCCACCCCCGAAGGTGACGGTCAAGCTGGGCTTGCAAAGGAAGAAGAGAAGGCAGAAGCCGAAGAGACAGGTAAAAGTGGCTCGGCCGAAGATAGTCGGACGTTTCTTCTCACACTGATATCCCGCCGTTCTGTCATGCGCTCTGGAGTCCGCTATCTGCGCCGCGGAGTTGACGATGACGGTAATACAGCGAACTCAGTGGAGACAGAGCAGATACTGTCAAGTCCCTCTTGGAGTACGACGGAGAAGGTCTATTCCCTCCTTCAGCTCCGAGGGTCTATCCCCCTTTACTTCTCTCAGTCTCCATACTATTTCAAACCAGTCCCCATCATGCACCATTCCGCACAGACAAACCAGACCTCGTTTACCAAGCATTTCCATGACATCCAGAGAAGATATGGGAAAGTCCATGCCGTCTGTCTGGTAGACAGGCATGGCGTGGAAGTCAACATCGCAGAAATGTACGGGCGTTATCTGGAAGCCTTTAACAAGGCTGAAACATGTGATGAAAAAAGGGTACAGTACCAGTGGTTCGATTTCCATGCAGAATGTCGAGGGATGAAGTTTGAGAATGTCAGTCGGCTGGTTGACAGGATGGCGGAAACTCTGGATGAGTTTGGGGACACCGTGATCCAGAATAATACCGTTGTTCGTAGCCAGTCGGGGATCGTGAGGACGAACTGTATGGACTGCTTGGATCGTACGGGTGTTTCACAGTGCGCATTCGGTCAGCGGGCATTGGAGCAGCAGCTCAAAGAGGAAGGACACTATATTGACCTCCAGGCAAGCTCGGCTACACAGTGGTTTAATGTCCTGTGGGCGGATAATGGCGATGCCATCTCGAAGCAGTACTCGTCTACCGCGGCGCTGAAGGGAGACTATACAAGGACGCGGAAGCGTGACTACCGCGGCGCCCTCAATGACCTAGGCCTGACACTGACGAGATACTACACGAACATATTCATCGACTACTTCTCCCAGGCCTGCATCGACTATCTGCTGGGAAACGTGACCACGCGGGTATTCGATGAGTTCGAAACGAACCTGCAGAGCGCCGACCCCGGCATCTCCATGGAGAAAGCACGCCAGAGTGCAATTGAGACTAGCTGCCAGATCGTGATCAGCGACGAGAACGAGGAGTTTATCGGAGGCTGGACCATGCTGAGCCCTCGTCAGCCAAACACCCTGAGGACTCTACCGTTCGAGCAGACCGTTCTCCTGCTCACCAATGTGGCGGTCTATTCATGCCGGCTTGACTGCAACACGGAGAAGGTCACCTCCTTTGAACGCATCGACCTGACCTCGATCACCGGCATCAAGTACGGAACATACATCAGCTCCACGCTGACCGAAGCCCAGATGGACGAGAAGCGTAACGTGGGCCTAGCAATTGCCTACCGGCCCAGCACCAGCAACACGCTGCGAGTCAACACCACCTCGCTACACAGTCTCTTTGCAGAGAAGCCCGATCCCGCCGAGAATCAAGACATCATCGACTGGGACCTGTCCACGCTCTTCAAGGGGTCGGACCGGGCCTCGACGCATTTCCTCGCCTTCAAGCTGCCCAACACCTCGTCCGTGGTAGTCAGAGGTCCCAAGAGCGCCGAGGTCAGCGAGCTCGACGCCGTGCGGGCTGTCTGCGAGGAGATTGAGGGCATGGTGAGCCGGGCAAGCGAGTCTACGCTCCATCCGCAGCGGCCGTCTATTGTCGAGCAGACACAGATCATCTCGCTGGAGAACGCCCGGAGGCAGACGGGGTACTTTGAGCATCTCTTCTTCGACATCAAGAAGCTCGTCTGGGCCTGACTCGATACTGCAACACGTCTATTATATATCTATTATATATCTAATATATATCTAATATAAATAAAATAATAAAATAATAAAATAATATAAATATAGAATTTCCTCTTTCGGAGGCGGGGGACTTTCTGCCGCCTCCTCCCGCCTTTCCCTTTTCGTCGCAATTTTTGCCCAAAATAGAAAAAAAAACGAAAATAAACAGAAAAAGAAGAAGAAGAAAAGATCGCAACGTCGAGAAGAACATATTAATATCTCATACGCAACGGCGCGGCCAACATCACCCTGGGCCGTCTCCTCCAATCGCATATACCGACCGCACCATACCCGCTGCTGCGGTGAGGCTATCTTCCTCTCAGGGATCCAGGTGAGGGCTTGGCGCGTTGCGGGTTGTTTTGGCCGTGATTCAATGGGCCTGGGACTACTTTTTTTTTGTTCATATGGAGTACCTGGACTAACCAGCTTCTTTGACAGACCTGTTGGCTCCAGCTGCCACTGTCTTTCAGCCGGAAAACATATTTTTCCCTTCGTTTGTTCGTCTCACTTCGCCTCGAGCTGTCTCGAAGTCGCCTCGCACAACGGTCCGTCGTCGGCGGGGGTTGGTTGCTTTGCCTCTGTCCGTCTCCTGACTGCAGAGTCCATCTTTGGTCTATCACCTCTTACACCCCCCTTTTGCGCCGAGATCTAGTATAAGGGGCAATTCACGATGGCGTGGCAAGCGGAGGAGGGCACATTGAGGCAGTTGGCGGGGTATCTGAACGATACCCTGAATGCGCGAGACCAGGCAGTGCGCAAAAATGCAGAGCAGGTGAGATTCGGCTCTACATGCTACTCTTTTGGGCGTCTATTCGCCTGCTAGGATGAGACTCGGGTTTTAACCTTCTGTGACGGCAGATGCTCACACAAGCTACCGCCTCCCCAGACTTTGTCAACTACTTGTCATTCCTCATACGCACCCCCCAGCCACCTGCGGCCGTTGGCTTCGATGTCAAGGGGTACAATGTTGTCCGAGTCGCGGCGGCAATGAACTTGAAAACTAAGCTCAAGGTAGCTTATCAATCGATACCTCCGGATGCTTTGGCGTACCTTCAATCAGCGAGCTTGGTGGCACTGCAGGATGAATCTAATGCTGTCGCAAACTCCGCAGGTACTATCATGGCCGAGATGATCAAACAAGGCGGGATATTAGGATGGCCAACTTTGCTCGAGGAGCTGGTGTCGTTGGTGGGGAATGCGTCAGCGTCCATCCCGAGTCGCTCTCAGGAAGCAGCAATGACCGCGTTGCAAAGAATATGTGAAGACAACCGCCGGCTTCTACAAAAGGAGATCCAGGGCCAGCAGCCAATTCACGCCATCCTACCCAAGCTGATGGAGTTCACAACCAGCTCTGTACCAAAAGTCAGGACCATGGCCTTGTCAACGGTCCAGATGTTCATCGCGCACAAGTCACCCGCTCTCATGGAATCTCTCGATACCTTCCTTCAGTATCTATTCAAAGTTGCAGAGGACCAGAATACAGATGTTCGGAGGGCAGTCTGCCTGGCGTTCAATCAATTGGCAGAGGTTGCTCCTGAAAAACTTATTCCTCATATGGATGGGCTTGTTAACTACGTGTTGATGCAGGAGCATAGCCAGGAAGACCCAGAGCTGGTATTAGACGCTTCTGAATTCTGGATTGTTGCTGGAGAAGAGAAACAGCTCAGAGCGGCGATGATTCCATACCTACCAAAAATTATTCCGGTTTTGCTTCAGAACATGGTTTACGACGAGGAAGAGGCTGCTATTATCGCTGGAAAGGCAGATGATGCTGATGAGCAAGACAGACCCGAGGACCTCAAACCCCAATTTGCCAAAACAAAAGCTGCACGGTTGACTGGGACCAAAGACGCCGAGGAAGGGGGTGCTAACGGTGACAAGAAAGCCCCTGAGGTAGAAGACTCAGATGACGATGACCTGAGTGATGGTGAGATCGAGGATGATCCCGAAGAAGAGTGGACAATAAGAAAAAGTTCTGCTACTGCATTGGATATATTCGCCACGGTCTATCATCAACCCGTCTTCGAAATCGTCCTTCCTTATCTTAGGGAGAACCTGAAGAATCCCAGCTGGGCTCACCGGGAAGCATCAGTACTGGCGTTGGGCGCCATTGCCGATGGGTGTATGCACACTGTCCAGCCTCACCTACCAGAATTGATTCCCTACTTAATCTCACTTCTAACAGACCCAGAACCGATCGTGAGAATGATCACCTGTTGGTGTCTGGGTAGATATTCAGGTTGGGCAGCACACCTTGAGCCGGCTGAGAAGGCTCGCTTCTTTGAGCCGATGATGGAAGGTATGCTCCACCGCATGCTGGATAACAACAAAAAGGTCCAGGAGGCTGCTGCGTCTGGTTTCAGAAGCCTAGAGGAGAAATCAGGGCCACACATCATCCCATACTGCGAGCCCATACTGCGACAATTTGTGCTCTGTTTTGATAAGTATAAGGATCGAAACTTAGATGTCCTTTATGATTGTGTGCAGACTCTCGCCGAATATACCATGTCTGAACTAGCAAAACCTGCGCTGGTATCAATTCTCATGCCATGCATCATTGGCAGATGGAATAAAGTCTCAGATGAATCCAGAGAGATTTTCCCGCTCTTGGAGTGCCTTGGTTACATAGCTAGCGCCTATGGACATGCCTTTACTCCCTTCGCACCGCCAATATTCAGCAGATGCACGAAGCTGATATATGACACGATCGTTGCATGCAACGCACTAGCCAATGGTCATACTGTTGAAGAACCTAACAAGGATTATTTCATCACCTGTTTGGACCTCCTGAGCGCCATCATCCAAGCAATTGACCGTCAAAAGAGCGAGGAGCTCGTGGGGAATACCCAGCCACCATTTTTCCAGCTCCTAGCCTACTGCCTGCAGGATCCGTACTACGACGTAGGAATGTCCGCCTATGCTGTCCTCGGTGACTGTGCGATGGTCCTCTTTGATCAGCTGCAGGCTTTCTTACCTACTATAATGCCAGTACTCGTTAAGCAGCTTGATCTGGATCAACTGGCAGATGAAGATTCGTCAACCGGTCTAAGTGTAGTAAACAATGCTTGCTGGGCCTGTGGAGAGATTTCCATGAATGCCAAGTCTTCCATGGCTCCCTACACAGAAAGCCTTTACACATCGCTCTTTGCTATCATGACTAATGAGGAAATCCGCGACTCTGTGACTGAGAATGCTGCCATCGCTCTAGGACGTCTCGGAATAGGGTGTGCTGAACAGCTGGCTCCACGCTTAGCACAATTCGCACAGACCTTCTTGCAAATTATGGACAAGGTCGAATTCTCACGGGAGAAAGTTGGCGCATTCGTGGGCTTCAACCAAGTTGTCAGGCAAAACCCCCAGGCATTGGAATCTTGTCTACCAGATTATTTCAACGCGGTCTCTACAATGACGGATAAACCTTTCCATGCCCCTGAATTTGATGATCTAGACCAGTCCACCAGGCAGGTACGTAATTTCACTCTGCTCTAAACATCCCCAACCCCTGCTTATTTGAACTGGCCATGCTAATCTCCCAATTTTAAATACAGGTTCTTCAAGGGTATAAAGAATTAATCCCCGACTTTGGCGCATTCCTAGGAACCCTACCGCCAGACGTTGCCTGGAGACTTCAATCGGCCTATCAGATATAAACGCAGACCATTTAATCTGCCCTTCTATTTTACCATGATCATGTTGCATATTCTTACGGCCAAATCATCTTATAGGTTATTTATTGTTTTTCTCCCATAATTCCCAAATCTAGTCAATAGTTCATTCATCGGCCAGGTGTTATTTCCATTCTACTCTTTTATATTATTCTTGTCCACTTTCGTCGTTAGACGCAATTTCTGAAGAATATCAGTACATAAATCCTTTCATTTTATTGAGGCGTCAAAGAAGATGAGGGAGGGAAGAACAGTAACTATATGTATGTCCTTTAAAGGAAGTTTGAAAAGTGGGAGAGACTGGCAAATATGAAATCAATTTATTCAATGTTTTGAAAATAATAACTACTTACGTCCAAGGGGTACCGTGACATAAACTAGTTAGGGGGGTCGAGAGTGAACAAATGGCACAGGTACAACATATCACTAGTAAATAACTATGGTGTATAGGTGGCATACCGATTCGTACGTAGAAAGCATGGAAATGGATAAAATAAGGGAGGCCATCAGCTAGAACGATGCATTAACCATTAACCTCGACAAAATCCTCAAAGGGGGGAATATTATTGTTGAAAAGACTGTGGTCAAGCTTGGTGAAGATTCCAATATCGATATCTAGACAAGAAACGACGGATTTTCAAACGTTGTTCAAATTTAATACTGATCTCAGGCGTATCTATCCCCTTTCACCGCTAAAATGTATCCTACTTCAGAAACCGCTGGCTTCATTGAATGGCCTACAAGGTTACCTTTGCTTCTATTTAAATGCAACCCCAGACCTTCTGGTTCTTCTCTAAGCACTTTAGACCTATGAGTAGATACACTTCCTTATTTCCCCTAAAACATTTTAAGCCTCACGTTGTCGTCGAGTGACATAGAGGCTTCGAATAGAGGGAAATACCATTAGGGGTGACTCTCCTGGCTTCAATAATATGGCCAAGTGCTATCTTACAAGTTTGATTGACGAACGCACTTTGAAAACACAATGGTGGGTGCACTGTGTTGACCGACATCGATCGGGATGTCGGTTTGAAAAAGGCCGTTTGGTTTAAGCCTAGACCAGCAAGGCCCATAGCTATATTTGTTGACAAACGATGCATCTCCCCATAACCATAAACAGAAATTGCTTGCCGTCAAGGACTGGCCCGTTTGATATGAAGGCGTTTGGATACCCCAAGGCTCAACTTCTAAAAATACTGCAATTATTTTTGCATTACTTTTAGCAAACATATTTTTAGAAAGGCGGTTCAGTAAATCAGTTATTTGGGACAAGGGACCGAGGCTTTGAAAGCTGGTCTTTCAACCTCGTGGACACGGAGACGACAAAGCCACCCTAACAGCGGTGCGCAGGGCGCAATCCATATTTCAAAAGTACCATGGTGATGACGAAGCCAACCAGACCTTCAATATAGGCTTCTCGTGCTGATGGGTATGTGCGTGGCTGGTGTCTGCCTGGGCGAAACTTTGTAAACGACGCATGCAGTCGAGTTGGGCTGACGATTTCAGTCATGATATTTGGCACAAGCACTCCGTTTTGCGTTTGTTTCAACCTTGTGCTGTGGTCAACATGGTCGCAATCTATGCCTACTAACGTTCGTGGGGGTGCTCAGCCTCGGATAAGCCGGTACTTTACGGAGTACCAATTGCCTATTAGAGAATAACACGGAGTATAGCCGCCAAGTAAACAGCGTAACCATACTCCGTGAACCCGGCATGAATGATTAGCCATCTAGAAAACGCGGAGGCGCATTCAAGTTCCTTTAAAAGGGTCAATATATACTGCAAATATCAGCGGAGGCAGCGAGTAACGCCACTCCGCCACTGCGTGGATGATTTTGCTTGCTGTATTTTGAAGGCGAAAGAGGCGAGCGGAAGGAGCCGAAAGCCTTGATATCGAATTATTAGACCCTAGATGAGAGTCATTGAACGATACCCCGTACCTAGAAACCAAGATAAAGGGAAGGAAAAGGGGAAAAATAAAGCTTCGGATATAAACATCATCTTGCATATACCCATACATAATATGGTTGATGCCTTTTAAGCGATGCGGGAAGCCTGCTTGGCCCACCTATGACAGACGACAGCCATCGAGCGTGACGCGGCGATTGACACGACAACGTGCAATCGGTTTTTCTCGTGGGATCCTCGCGGATAGCCTATTGAGTAGTTTGAGCGGTCAAATTCTCATCCAGGCCAAGCGATATTTACTCGAAACATCAACCAATCCATGCATATAATAAGTTCATCTGCACATGCAAATAATGGAAGAGTGGTGAGCAGGAAAAAGGTGAGGGCTCAGTCCTCTCCCCCATCTGACACAGGTGGAGCTATGCTGGTTCGAATATCTCATTGGATCGCGATATATGCTTAGAACAGCTTGATTGTGCTTAGCCACCGCCCTGCAGGATACGCCCTCTACGGGAGTCTATCCCATGATTGCATGCGTGCGTAAGATGGTAAAAAGTGCTGCTTTGGTGCCTGCGATGGTTACTCCGTGCTCCGTAGTGTTGAGAAAGGCCCGTCTGTCGATCGAGTTGTTTCGTGTACGTACCCACAAGGGACGGACCATGCTGGAAATTTACCTCATTTGGAAGACTATGAAGGCAGGCAGCCCACTTGGAGTGGTGACTAGCCAGAACAGGTCATTGGGGGGATGCTACCTGGCTGCTGGGAGAACGGAGCAGCATAGCATGTGGTACCGAGGGCGTACTATATATATGTATATGCCTGTAAGTATATATATTTTTTATAGATGTGATATCAAACTGGCAGCACACTGAACTCGGCCGACTCACCGACCGCCCATCCACTCATCTCGATGTAATAAAACATCCCCATCATCCATGCATGCTGTATAGGGAAGTATATATATGGAGTATATGGAGTATATGGAGTAGATGTATGATTCCATCTGTCAGGGGCAAGCACTTACATAACCAAGACGCGATGCTAAATATAGAGCCGTGCTGACCAACCAGCACGTCCCAACCGGGCCTAGCGCTGAAGCCAAGAAGTGCGGCCGGAGTTCCGCGAGCTAAACTGCTTTTGGCGATAGCGGCGGGGCTTCGGTAAAACCGGCAAGGATCCGCTCTTCCCCCCATCCAGTGTTCCGGAACGCGCCAAGCGGACGATCGCGTGGTGCTGCGATGGCCCCTTTGGGCAATATTAACCGACCCTCACTGCTTCTTTTCTGGTTATGGTTATGGTTAGCATTTTGATGGGCAGCGTTTGGAAGAAGAAACGTTGGCAGCATCCGCTCACCCGCGGCGTTATTGCGGGCCACTCAGGGCATGGAGAGCGCAGAACGCCTGCCTCGCTAGTTCGGCTTCTTCTCGATACCGGTGCAAATCTCCCTGAGGGCTGCCAGTTTCACCGTGCCTCTCCTGCATTAGCGCCTGTTCGCCTGTTCTCCTAATGCACCTGTTTAAATAGAACATGCCGCTTCTCGTTACTCCGTATGCTTGCTTGTTTTATTTCCCGCGGCCTCATTTGGATTGCCGATCGCCTACTGCATTATCCATGGTTCTCCCTGAGCTCTATAGTTAGGCCCGTAGGGTTCATTAGGGGTGTACTCCGTCCTTCGATACTTGCAAGCATTCTCGATGCCATCGCTTAGATGCGATTGCTTGTCTGAAGCCACCTATAAGTTTAATAGTATGAGTAATCGGAGAGTTTGATTCCATTCCGCGTTTTGCTGATAGGCCCTGCCTGCCTCCGCTAAACCACGGTTGGACTGAGAGCAAGGGTGAAAGACGGCAGAGGTTTTACCCAAGCGTGGTGATTGTAGGATATGCGGGTAGTTATGAATGTCGAGGTTGCACAATTTCCCCTGGCTGACACGTCCGTCGTGCATCCTCGCTTGACGGTATACTTGGAGTGCGAGGTGGAGAGGGGAGGAGGCTCTTCGGCCGTGGAGATGTGGTGATGCCTTAATTCTATTCTTAGCATGGGCAGCGGGTGCCATGAGGTTGCACCACATATATATGTAGCAGTATATGTCGGTATGTCGGGATGTATACATGTGGCATATGAGACACCCGGAGAACGCGGAGATCATTCAACCTGCATGGGACTCCATACGTTGGCCACTTAACCTAGCCATTCACCGCGAGTTGCCTGCCTTTTTTTTTATTAAAAAAAGGAGCGGCATTATTCTTTTTTCTCGCTGGCTTAGCTACCGCGGCGATCCTTGATCGGGTGGCCAGAGTACGGAGTAGATGCTTCGTGTTCGAGCTGTCAGGAAAGTTCTTGAAGCGGCTCTCAGCGTGCATCTATAGCCGGCCATCTATGATATAAGAACGTTTCTGCCTTTATGGCGTTGATGGCAGGGGAAAATGTACGGAACTGCTGCAACTAGTCAAGCCTAGATTGGACTTTGTACGGAGTACGAGAAGTATCAAATATAACGGAAGGCTGGAGGTGCGAAGCTGTCGGGGTGGAGGGAGGCTGATGTTAAAAATAAATCGGTGACGCACATGGCGCTGGATGGTAGCATCTCCAAGCAGTCAGGTAGTAATGAAATTAATTAAAGTGGGATGCATGAAGGGGAGGAAAGTGGGTTTATGGGCATAATATAGGGACGGAGCACGCTTCTGCAGACAAGAGATTGCTGATTGCTGAGGCCGTCGATCAAGCAGGACAGCAGATGACTCTTCTGGGGGGGAATGTACCATGCATTTTGGTTTGTTGTGATCATTTCAAGTTGTTTTAGCTCCCAACCTTATGCCATGACCCTTACGACCCACATTGCAGCCAGCCTAGCTGCTTCCAGCTTTGGTTTAGTTCCCCTCTGAAGCTGAGCTGAAGAATGGCGGAGCAGGGCCCCTTCCACGACCCCTTTTTTCTTCTTTCTAGGCATCGATACTCTCGTAAAAATTAAGCAATGTGAAGGGAAAAGGGGCCCCTTGTCTTGCCTCTGCGTGGGCATATCCATCCGCATTTCTCTTCAAGGGTTTTATAGTCTGCCTCCACCGTTGTCTTGTATG